AAAAAGGACAGGATGCTTCCACTTCAGGTCAAAGAGTTAGAACTTCAGAGTGAAGAGAAGAGGGTGTGTGTTGTGAGGTATAAAATACTGTTCAATTCCTTTTCTCCCAGGACCGATATCACAGTTTCATTTCCTCAAAATATAAAATCTGCAAAATCTGCTTTTGTTGTTGCTGGAAGTGTATGCATGAGTTCTTCCCAATCTCTGCAGACACCTCTGTTTCACTGCAACTATACTGAACTCACTCACCTCATGAGTATTGCTACACTTCTGCTAAAGACAATACAAACGATGCCGGGTTGCATGTATGTGGTGTTTGGGAATACTCTGAATACTTACAATATGCATCTTTGATTACAATCCAAGGTCTCTCTGCACCTCTGTGAATCGATTCCTGTGGAGCTGCAGTGCATTTCCCCTTCTCTTTATCTGTCTATCAAAGCACAAATCACACTAACCTGATGGTTTTGTGTAACAGCTGTTAGGCAAAATTGGCTTTTTTAAATGGTTCTTCTCAGAGATGACTGCTGGCTGACTGCCATTAACTATCACATTCTCATTTCGATGTGAAAGGCTAAATGGCTCTGTAGGCTGAAACATGATAGAGATGAGCAATTATGTGGATCGAAGGATAATCTTTCTTTTTCGAAATACAGCCCAAAGATGATTCAGAGGCTAACGGATCAGAACCGTCGACTCTGTCGTCTCCTGTGTCTGGAGGGGGTCACCACGGGGAGCCAGCCAGCAGGGAGACCACTGACACCGAAGCAGCAGGTCAGTGACTTGCAGATGTGGTTTCACACATGCATACACATCGCATGTGTGAAATCATGCATACTTTACTTCTAAACCTCATGCAGGTGTAACAATGTGTGTTTCTTTGTGTGTGTGTGTGTTAGGCGATGACATGGACCATGAACAGGACACAGTGCTGCAGCTCCAGGAGGTCATCGAACAGCTGAGAAACGTCTTCCCCTCAGAACCGGGTGAGTTCATCTCGGTTGCATGGATTGTAGCAGCTGTAGCAACCCAGCGCTTCAGAGTCTGACTTTTTGCTCCTCCATCACCCGTGGGAGAGTGAGAGATGGAGAGGAGAGCAAATATGTACTGCTGTGGGTCGATAGTCAGAGGGGAGGGACGGGGAGATTAAATGGCAGAGAGGAGGAGTAAGATAAAAAGGAGCAGAGACAGTAGCACAGAGAGAGAAAGAGAGCGTTGGCGTCACACTGTGCAAACTGTCCCGTCACATTTAAAACGCAATTTGCTGGGCAGTTTAAAGCCTGTAACTTGAACAAAGAAAGGGATTATCATAATTACAGCCGTCTTACTTATAACCAAGAACATTCTGTCAGTCTTGAGAGTGTTTAATGGAAATTGTAAAAGCTTTTCCTTTCTGCTCTTCCTCTCTTTTTCTAATTTCAGGCACCACCTCACACATCTAACCCTGAGTTGGCCTGGAGGAGGATGGTTAAAATCTGTTAGGACACCTGATGGGCAAGGGAGGAGCTCCATACGGCTTAGGTCAAGCAGCAATTCACCAGGCCCAGTGACCACTGCAGCAGCAATGATACCCAGAGCTAACCTTCCACTGGAACTCTGTGCACTAAAAGCCTTTTTCATGCAGACCGCTGAAGGTTCACACTGATGTCCGTTTGGCCAGGTTGTGCTTTATAACTTAAGCCTGAAACCCGCGTTACCGAGCCAAAGGAAACTAACGTTAGCAGCAGGTCAGGGAGACACTGAAGTAAGAGGAAAATGCTCAGCCAAGACACTGTGCTTACCAGTATCTGTGTAGTCATTCGAGGGTGTGAAGCTTTATATCAGTCCACAGCACAAACTGGACCGTCGATGTAAAGAACTCTAAAAAAAAAAAATGCAAAAAGGAATAAGAAGAAAATCCCTTGTTTCGTCAGAATGCCTGTATCTTCAGTGTTTGTGGTTTTTTTCATCCTTGAATGTTTCATCATAGTTATTTTTGTTTTTGAAAGGACGGTGAAGCTCGGTAGTGTAAACCAGATCAGGGCTGAGTGACTGCACTTCATGTGGCTGCGTGGTACGGATTGTCAGGGAGTTGACAGCAACCACAACGAGCTTATTTACTTTGTGAGAATGACACATCATGAGTTAAATCCATGATTTATTTAAGACAGCCAAAGTGCCCGCTAGCACAGCGCCTCTGTATGCACACACAGTGTTCCTTTAATCCTCCCTAACTGCTTGTCGCTGTCATTGCTCGCCTCTCCTAAGTGAGCCCTTAACACTCATGCAAAACCACTTGCACTCTCTGTACGTGCACACGCATGTATGCTGCTACATCCATTCCGACGCACCCTTTTGTCATTGTGCTCAAATACACCAATTACTCCTTGCATGATCGATGAAACGAGCTGATCTGCATCCTTACGAACACAAACCTCCACGAAAATTGAGCTCCCATTCATCTCTGTGTCTCACAGGATTCAGACAAACTTTTTCACTTTCAGAGCCGGTTTGTACTGTGACAGAAATTGGAGGTTTTGTTTGAGGAAATGTCTGCTGATAAATGTCAAACCTCCACTTTGGAATCTTTGTGTTCTCCTGCTGGGAGCAAAGAAAGAGAGGGAGAAAGAGCTGCAGGCGAGAGTAGCGCCAGACTGAAGATTTCTCTCTCTGTCTGCAAGGCCAATTCCAGACACTCCAGGGAGGGGTGCGAGGCCACTATGACGTGGCCCTGCACCGACTTTTCCTTTCATAATCCTCTCCCTCCATGAAGACTAAAACTTCCCTATGACTCCACATGCCTCATTTGCATACTGGATTGCTTTTAGATTTGTAAAACAGCTTTGACCTTATGGTACTAGCATCGGGTGGGTTCTGTTTTAAACACAGCACACAGTCAATTAATGCCTTAAATCCATCGAAAGTTAAGTTGGTCTCATTGATTTTTTTCCCCCTCATGTGTAACATCCAAGAAAGGAGGTCACATTAGTGGCGAGTTTACCAGTTTGTGGAAAAGCTCGTTGTTAATTTAGAAAAATAGAAATGTGTGGATCACAGAGTGTGAGCATCCGTTCATACAAAAACAATTTAACAGGGCTTTTAAAGGTGCACCCATGATGCTGGGCTGATGCTTGGGGGGACTTAAGATCAGAGAGATAAGAGAGGAAAGGTGGAAGAGAGAAAAAACAATCCATTTATCGCTCGAGGGCTGGTGGGAGAGCTCCACTTTGATGTGCCTGCCACAGCAAAAAATCTCCAGAAGCAAGACACGAGATTGCCTGAAACTAGTAAGCTGTGGCTCTTTGTTTCTCCACAGTCGTTCTCACAGAAAAGAAAAGAGATATTCTCATCCTTAAAAATACGGCACTATGACCTTACACATGAGTTCTGAGCCCACGTTGCTGCTCTCATTACGGTCCACTCCTATCGGCACACGGCGCTCACGTTTTGACACTGCACTCCCTCCTCAGCGCTCGCGGTCTGCCTTCTTAGTTGTGATTCAGTTGCTAGGGAACTGTTCCCAAGGACGCAGCAGCGTAGGTTTGTGAGCAGGTAAGGTGATGTGCTGCACATAACTCAGACGCTAACAGCCTTAAGAGAAGCATGAGATAGCGCCTCTCCCCTCTCCTTCCCTCACGCTGCTGTAGATAGTCATTAGCGTCTCTTGAATCCATCCACGCTTTCAGTGAAGCTCTCACAAGTGAGAACAAAGAGCGGCAGAATAAACATGACAAGTAATCTTTATTTGTAGACATTTATTTATTGGTCGTCACACATCCTTATTACACATTAATGATCACTCCCAGCCTCACACTTTGTTCTTTAGTATGTGGGCGCACATAATGATGTAAGAGTGATGTGTGAATAAGCAGCAGCGGAGGGATTCCCCACGGAGCTGTATGTCAACATTTGTTTATCTTCAGACGATAAAGAGGAGGTAGACTTTAATACAGCTGAGTAACTATCATGCATAGATTGCCCTTTTTCTTATCTCACTTTAATGGTCCTCTAGCTGCAGTACAGTCGCACAGCATCTCATCCCTGTGTCTCTGTGGCCGTCTGATCCATGCACAAGTTCCCATACGAGTAGCAGCAGCTCCACACGCTGAAACATGCCCTGCTCCCTCTATATCTTTCTCTCTGGTGCAACTGAAGTCGTGTGATTGAAGAAAAAAAAAGCTCTCCACAGCAGCCAGAGTCACCCAAAGGACACTGCTGTCTCTCTCTCTCCGGACTAAAGTTGCTGCATGTAGCTGGCCAACACACTAATGGCTCCCATCATTACCCTCTTGTCTTTGCGCCACACCCTCCTCATTTGCTATCACGAATCTAAGCTTGTAATAAGGACACCGTTTGCGCTTCACATGGCGGGGCAGTGAATCACCTAACCTCAATAAACGTGGTGTTTATAACACGAACACATAAATACACTCATGACTTACTAGTGGACTGAGTTTCTTTTTTTTTTTTTTATATATAAATCACCATTAATATACCTCATTAATCTTTCAGATGTTTCATGTTTAACAGTTTTGAGTTGATGTTTTTTTATTTTTTTTCGTCCAGCACTCAAACACTTCTTGCTGTCTTTTCTCTGGAGTTTTTAATCTGTAAAAAAAAAATCAACAAAGTTTTCTGAAGAAAGGCTTTTTACTGTAATAACAAGTGGGTTACTGGCTGCTTTCTACTCTTTGTGTACAGAAATAAAAACTTTGTATTTGCCAAACTCCTGTGCTTTTTTTTCCCTCTCTGTCCCAGCAGTTATCCCTCTGAGAACTGAATAATGAAACCCAACGCGGCCTGTTTATGTTTACATTAATTTTTCTGCTTGTGTTTATATTTGGATTTGTTCGTGGCAGAATCAATATTTCCAGTTGAGACTTCAGGCTTGGCTGTTTTTCATGTGTCTCTGCCTCATCCATATTGCTGTTTTTTTCCCTGTATTTAGGTCTGATCTTCTCTCTGCTCTCCACTAGTACAGAGTTCCTTGGCTCTACGCAACACATTTCCAGCCTGTTGGTTTACTCTGATTGAGTGTCACCTCTTTCTGCCTCATCACCGCTGCCTTTGTCCCCCTGGCTTGTTCTGCTGGAGCCCTGTGCGGCGCTTGATTGGCACCTGACCTTCTCTTTGGCCTTATCGTGTGCTGATCTTTTGCTCACTACATTATCTCTGCCTGTGCCGGTGGCCTCTGAATTGCTATCTTCCTCTGTTGCTCCATTATCTGCTGTGTCCTGCCTGTCCTCGTGAACCACGACCCTCTCCATATTTTTATTATCCAACCCCTCTCCGCTCTCTCTCCCACTCTGTGGCTCTTTATTACTCAGCTCTGCTTTTGCATCTGGCTTGTTCTCTGTCTCTGTATCATCTGCTGCCTCCATCTCAGCAGGGGAAGGATCCTCTGAGTTTTCCTCTTCTTCTATTCCTCTGTTTTCTGTCGTCTTGTCAGCTTCGTGTTTTTCTTCAGGAGCTTTCTGCGAAATTTTAACTTCATTTTTCCTTGTAGCACTCTTTGTCTTGCTTCCACCAGGCCCCCACTTCTCCTGCGTTGTATCCCAGTAGGTCTTATTCTGGTTGGAGTGGATTATGCGTAAGCCATCAGCCATCTTTTTCAGCTCCTGGCGGATGTAGGGTTTAAACTTTGGGTCCAGTTTCTCCACCAGTTCGTAGTCTCGCCGGGCTTCTTCCTCATTGTACAATGCAGCGTGTGCTCGTGCTCGTTGGTACAAGGCTTTAAAGTTCCCTGTGAAGTAAGAAATGAATTTTTAGTAGTTTAATGATAAAAAAAAACTAAGATGATCAGGAGGTTTGCAAGACGAGGTCAAGTAGGAAAAAAACAGCAAGCAGAGAAGTAACCTTCTGAAACAAGAGCACTGAGACACAAGAGAGGCAAAAGAGAGAAATAAATGAAGGGAAAAGGAGAGCATAAGAACAACCATTTCACATCAGCCTACACTATAAATAATTCAGGCACAGCAGAAACAAAAGAAAACAATGAGATCTTGTTCGACTGTGATGTCCACGGGTGGGTGCTGAGGGGAAAGAAAGAGAGACTCAGCAATGTGGTGCTGAGTGTTTGGTTCCTTCTCTCTCTTGTAAACACAGATCAAGGATTGTTGCAGTGCAGAGACAGCCGTTTGCTGAGGGCAAGGCATTTGTAAACTCACAGCATCTTGATATTTTGGAGCTCACTTTAAAAAATGATAGTGTGTTAGGAAAAATTAGCACGCTTAAACATTCGCACGTGCCTTGTCTTATTTAAACTGACTTTATTACCTTTATGTTTCTTCAGCAGCTTGTTGTTGAGATCCACCACTTGCTGGTACTGTTTGAGCTCTAACAAACACTGGCTGAGGTTGAGAGTCAGCGGCAGACGCACTTTCTCCAGTGACTCCCAGTCCTCTGTCTGTCGATCCGCCTGCTGAGAAAACACAGAGAGAACAATGTTAGCGGGAAGGTGGTGGTGGTGATGGATGGCAGAGAAAATGTTAAAAAGATGAAGCAAGAATGAAAGAGCTGGACAAAAGACAGCGAGATGACGCTGTAAGGGTTTTGGGAATAAGAAGGATGACAGATGCTGGAAATAGAGGGTTAAAAGGTGGATGATTATTAGAGGAGAAGGAGGGGGAATGAAGGTGGAGGAGGAGGAGACCGAAGACAGCAGGGAGTTGGACTGTGCAGGAGTGATGGAGTCTAAAGAAAAAAGAAGAAACACAGACGAGCGCTGTCACAGTGATATCTCTGTGGATAGTTGTTATTTTTAGTGCTCTTTCCTCTGCTCTTCACTTTGCTAGCATGCCTTCGATGCCACAGCTGCTCTTTAGTGAAAACACCACAATGACAGCTGATCATGGTTTGCAAGCTACGATGCTTTTAATGAGACAACTTCCTGGCATTTACAACAAACTCATCTGGATGAACGGCTCAGATTGGAGACAGTTATTATGGTCCAAAAACTGTGTCTGTGTGGACAGTCATTCCCACAAAAACAGCTTAATTTGAAATGTAATATTTACAGTGTTTATGGACCTGACATGAATGAAACAAGCTACTGTGTTAGTTTCATGTTGATAACAGTGGAAAAAATACCTTAAACATGGTCATTATTGGGTGTTCACAAATATACTTGCAGCCATCTCAGATGTCAACAACGCTAAAAAAAATCTTACAGCCACTTTCTGCCTCAAAAAGAGGCATCCATGATGTTTATGTACAGAAGCATCTAAACAGGACTTAGCCCAGCCTGTATAAGGTAAACTTTTGAGACTGGCTCGACTCTGAATCAAGCCTGATGGAAATCCAGTCCGAACAGGGAGACCTGACTCGATCTGCCAGAGGAAATAAAACATTGCCAAGACTAAACTTTCACAACACGCCTCTTGTACTTACCTTTTTCTGAAGGAAGTCCACATACTCTAATGCCTCCTTGAACTTCGGAGTCGCCTCCTCATATTTTTTTTCCTTGATGAGGAAGTTTCCTTCTTTCTGCAGGTACATGACGAGTTTTAACATCTGCTGCCAGTCCTTCCCCTCTGTGACGTCGGAGGCATTTTGATCAGCCTTAGACGTGTTTGCTTCCTCTTTGTCTCCTGCTCCCTCACTTGGTGTGTCTTTATTCCCCTTAAGCTCCTGTTCATGGACTTCTTCTGATGGAGGTTTTCCCTCCACCTTTACTTCATCCTTATCCTCTGTGGTCAAACTTTCACTGTCCTCTTGCCCTTCTTTGTCCTCCTTATTTTCCTCTTGTTCATTTTTGTCCTCCTTTTTCTCGAGCTTGTTCCAGTATTGCTCCTTTTCCTCCCAGTACTTTTCCTTCATTCGCTCAGACAGGGCCCTCAGCTCTCGGCTCACAAGAGAGGTCAGCGAGATGTCCAGTGTGGACACCATGTTGTAGTCCCTCCTGGCTTCTTTTTCGTTCCACACGGCAGCATGGGCCTTCGCTCTCTTGTAGTAGGCTTTCACACAATCTGAGATTCAGACAGATGACAAAAACACCACAAGAAATAAAAGTTACATAGAGTTATGAACAGGTAGATATTCAACAAAAAAACCTGCCCTTTGTACTGAACCAAGGTAGGGATTTGTCTGCATTCAGTATCTGGATGTGTATTTCTCTGAGTTTGCATAACATATTAGACCAGCAACATAAACACGCTGCATCTCTATTCCTTACTGAAGTCTGACCCAGAAAAAGAACTTCCTGCGTATGAAAGTCTATCCTCTAGGGTAGGGCCGGGCGATACGGAAAAAGTTTATCACAATATATATATTTCATATACAATATATATTTTCATAAAAGTCAATATCGATTTCTGCTGGGGGTAGCACTCATTTCCTTTTTTTCTCACCGACAGTGCTGTCAGCTTCACGTGTTAAAGTGCTATGGTTGCGCGTAGCTGCTGCCTGATATTACGCAGTTGTTTACTACTTGGTTCTAATTCAGCACATGATTGGTTCAGTGCAAAGTGGACCCGGAGCAGTCTACCAAAATATGGCAGAATGCCAACTATCGAAAAACATATTGACCATGTTTTATATTGGTATTGAGGGAAGTTAATTTTCGCTATATATAGTAATCATTTCATCGCCAAGCCCTACTCTAAGTGTAAAGAAATAAATCACCTTCCCACCACAAATGACTGAATTCTGACATGCCCGCTCCCTATTTAAGATAAACAATCAAATATATGATTATATATGTAGGACATTAAAATAAAAGATCTAAGAGCAGTCAGGTCCAAAGATGCATACATTTTTATAACATTATTCAGACTGTCATACAATTTTGTGACACATTCACACTGACATAGTCCTGGCTATTTTGCTGATCAAATGATCCTTCATCCATCATCTCCAGTAAGGACGTTCTTGCATGGAAGAAATCTAAAATGTGTCTATTTGAGAAATTTAAATACATGTTAATCATTTTATATTTTTTACTACTTCTTTCCTTAAAGTGAAACCACTCTGACAACTTTTCACAAAGCTGAGACTTGAATTTGAACAAGTAAAGATTGCTCTCACTGTGTGAATGATTCCTCAAAAGCAAACAAGAATGTTAATGTGATCCGAGGAGCTAATTATGCTTTAAAAAAATATATTTTGATTTTGAAGAAGAAAAAAAATAATGGCACTTACGAGAAAAATGAAGACCTAAATTGAGCAGTTTAAGGTCTGGGAATAGAGAATCAAATGAAAAATAGCCTTTTTTCCTGTAATTTTCCCCGTATTAATTTGAAATATCTGCAAGTTCCTCATTTGCTAAAGAACTTGTTATTAGTTAATAAATACAGGGCCAAGGCCAGCATTCACTTAGCATATCTTACTGGCAGGTAAACTAGCCTGGTTTTTGTTGCATTGGGATATGTTTGAGAGACAGTCTAATTGTTTTCTTTAAAGGTGCATTAAAAGTATATAAATTATAACCACTACTACTACGGATAACAATAATAATAGAACCACACTCACTGTTTTAGCACAAGACAAGCCCCAATCACCTTTTACCTTCACACAAAAGTATCTCTCCTTTAACTCACACAGCACTGCCTCTGTTTCAGCAGAATACATTCATTTGCTTTGTTAGGTGCTCACTCATGACTAAGATTTTCTCTCTTCATCTGAATTTGATTTCCCCTAATGCTAACTCTCGATTAAGCCAACATTTGAACAAATTTCTTCGTTGCCTCCAGCAGAGGCAGAAGCTCTGCAATAAGCCCCCACTGGCTGCTCTGCAAAAGACCAACTGAGTTTAATAGACACAACAGTCGAGTGGTTGACTTGAACAGACACAGACAACATGACATTGATGAGAATGGGAAAGAGACTGAGTGGATGAGGAAAAATGAGAAAAGAGAGACATAAATCTAAATGCGTGGTTTAAAGGAGATTGAAAAGAGGCAGCTGAAGACTAATAAAGAGGGAAAAGGAGGATAAGGCAAAGGTGGAGTGTTGCTGCTGTTGGGTGGATCTTTTTATGAGCCTTTTGAAGAGTGCTGCAGCTTGAACTGGGCCAGTGGAGCACACAAATTCAGGCAGGTTTACACCCTCCATCCTCTCGCCACATAATCTCACACATGCATAGAGGTGCACATGCCTTACTCCTGACACACACACTTAACTTTGTGAATCCTCGAAGTAAAATGAAGACTGCCCCTGTGGATCCAGTCTCTGGGTGAGGGGGATAATTCATGGGGCTCTGAAGTGGATAGTGTGTCAACATGTGAGCTCCTCCAGGATTACGTGAGTTGCCATGGGTGTGACAGTACCATTCCCGGGGCTGCTCCAGCTGTAAAGCCCTCGCACACACTTTTCACAGGATACGCAACACGCTAGAGCTACTGCAATTCAGCCAGCCGAGGCACTAGACCCTGACCTGTCAACTTTTTACAACATGTGAAATTTGCTGTTTGCCACAGTGCTCAGATCCAGCAGTTGTAACTCTGTAACGAAGAGCCTTCTTTATGGTGTAAGAAAAAGACAGTATCATGAGCACCAGAAGCTGAGCTAGCCGGTGCCTAATTATCTGTATCACTAAAATATTACTCACGATATCACTTCACCTTTCAGCGTACTATTCTGTCTCCTTTTTAAAGCAGCAGTTTAATGTTGCATTTCTCTTTTTTGGCAACTTAATGCTAAACTAATCCCTTATATCCTGTTTAACCGTAAGAAGGTTGTTAGCTAAGTTTGGCTAAAGCCTAGCTAGGTCCAATAACCTAAACTTATAGAGGGCAATTAACTGCCTTAAACATCCTCGGGCTCTCCTTCATACAACAACAACAACAACAACAAGCATTAATGTTTTACTGGAATCCAACATGATTTTTTAAAAATATTATTCTTAGATTAAAGTCATAATTCTGACTTTAAAGAATATTCCAGCGTAAAATTAATTTAGGGTCAAACACACCGAATCACAGAGTTAGACAATCCCTCGAGAGATGAATGATCATAAATGTTCTTCCTTTAGCTGCGTCACCCCACAGCAGTCCGTAATGGACTGTCCCGAGGTCTCGCTACAAACAAGCGGCTGCTAGAGGGGAGTGAGTGAGTTGTGTTTAGTCTCTTTGCTAAAGAAATTAGGCAAAGCTAAAAAGATGTTTGGTGTCTAGTGCTATGGCTGGGACCCTGTATGTACTGTTGATGAAGTTAGGTGCTGTTCTGAGCATTATTTGTGACTATAGAGTGGCGTTTTGGTTGAGGTTTGTTATTGGCTTCTCAGACCGCTGTGTATTGCTATCCTGCGGTCGTTACTAAAGTTGGTACAACTAGAGAAGCAAGCGGCCGGCAACATTCATCTCTCGAGGGGGTGTCTAACTCTGTGATATGGTGTGTTTGACCCTAAATGAATTTTACTCTGGAATATCCCTTTAATCTCAGAATTCTGACTTTTTTTCTCAGAAAAAAAATAATTTTTTAAGAAAATTATATCAGACCTCTTTATTTTTCAGAGGCCCTTGTCCTCTTCCGTAATGTTTGCATCCCTCTTTCTGCATTTCTTTTTATTCTCTGCACCCTTTTCAGAGTGGTGAAGCTGAATGTGAAGTCGTCGAGATTAAAAAGCGTGCTCCTCTGGATAAGTTCGATTGAAGTGTGTTTTGCACCAAGAAAAACAGAGCTCTAGTTAGCAATCAGACCCAATTTGTGAAGTTTGACCAATTTACCTTTGTGTTTCTCCAGCAGTTCAGAGGTGTGCTCTATCACCTCATAATACTCCTCCAGCTCCAGCATGCACTGGCAGTAGTTCAACTCCAGGGGGATGATCATTCGACCCAAATTAATGTAGTCTATATCACCTGGCATCTCCTACAATCACACACACACATACACACACACACATGCCCAGGAGAAAAGAACATGATCAGTACTGCTTTTATGTTCTTCGGTCTCTCCTACACATATTTTAAAAATTCATGTGGATCCTCGGTGTTGGAGTAATTTTTTTTCTCACATTTATACATATCATGGCGCTAGGACACCCATCTCTGCCCGACAGAGCTATACAAGCGGTTTTGTCCAAGTATCTGAAGGCCTCCAACATCAAACTTGTTAGCATGTCAAAAGCTGCCAAAACCCACACTCAAACACAAAAAGAACTCTTCACTCTCGCTTATCGCATCTGATACACAACATGTTCTCCCCACAGTATTTCTTCCATCCTAACATGCCCCGCTCATCTTCGACACCCTCTGTACTTCCTTCCTCTTTTCTTTTCAGCCCTCCTACCCTTCTGCTTGTAATCAGGGACGCTGTGGAGAACAGCAAAACAGGAAAACATGGATTCCCCACAGGAAGAGAGAGGCAATGTCCCAAAAACCTGAAATCCTGAGACAACCTCACAATTCACAATCCTGCACATCATTCATTTTTTTCACCTCCTCTATCCTTTCTCATTTCCTGAACCATTCACTTACTCTAGACTGGACTGTTTTCAGCAGCAGGACAGCCTCTTTGTACTTGCTGGCAGCCTCTCTGAATTTTTTCTGCTTGACCAGTTGGTTGCCCTGCATGTGGAGAGTTGGCACCGTCTGCAGCTTCTCATCCTTTTCCATCATCCACGACTCTCTGTGGTAGGACATGGGGTCTCCCACCTGGAGGCAGCAGGGGCCAGAGGAGAATGCAACAGATCAGAGTTGTTTGGGATTAGGATAAAGGTAGGATTAAAAATTGGTGTAGGGTTTGGGTTTAGCTCAAGGGATTCAGGTTTAGTTAGGGGCCGATTTTTGGGCACAGACTAAGAAAAGGTTCTGGGGGATATTCCAGCGTAAAATTAATTTAGGGTCAAACACACCATAACATCAAGTTAGACACCCCGTCGAGAGATGAATGTTGTCGTCCGCTTGCTTCTCTAGTTATACCAACTTTAGTAGCGACCACACGATAGCAATACACAGCGGTCTCAAGAGCCACACGTTCAACCATTACTTTATCATTTCCTTGAAGTAATAATCATCTAATTAATCATTTTGCACTGCAGACACGGTAGTTCTTCTGCCTAATGATCATAAATGTTCTTCCTTGAGCTGTGTCAACCCGCAGCAGTCCGTAATGGACTGTCCTGAGGTCTTGCTGCTAACAAGCAGCTGCTGAAAGAGAGTAGGTGAGTTGTGTTTAGTCTCTTTGCTAAAGAAATTAGGCAAAGCTAAAAAGATGTTTGGTGGCTAGTACTATGGCTAGGACCCTATATGTACTGTTGATGAAGTTAGGTGCTGTTCTGAGCATTATTTGTGGCTACAGAGTGGCGTTTTGGTTGAGTGCGTGGTTCTCTATATTGCTATTGTGCGGTCGTTACTAAAGTTGGTAGAACTAGAGAAGAAAGCGGTTGGCAACACTCATCTCTCGACGGACTGTCTAACTCAGTGTTAAGGTGTGTTTGACCCTAAATTAATTTAAAGCTGGAATATCCCTTTAAGTTTTAAAAGGGTTTGGTTTTGGGGGTTAATTTTAGAGTATGGATTGGGTTTGGAGTTTTGATTGGGTTTCAAGTTAGATCACAGTTAGGATTTTGGTAAGAACAAAACCTGGGCCACTGAAGCCCCTGTGCTTCAGATCTGACTCTTAACCACTGAGCAAAATGAGTGAACTTTTGAAGGAACTTCTAAAACCACGAATTTGATTGCAATCTAAGATTTCTACATTGTGATGCTCCTGCTCTCACTTCAAGATCTGAGTGCTTCTGCTGAAGAGTTTTCGACTGGTGGGAAGAAAAGCATGTGAAACTATAAGAAATAGGAAGGGATTTAATTCAATTCTACTGCTGCCGGACCTCCTGGAGAGAGTAAAGCTAGTTCTGGATAATATATTATTTCAAAGCTGAAGGTTTCGGGCTGAGTGGGAATTTTTCTTTTGTCACTTCTGTCAGCAGATCTAAAAGCAGGGTGTGTAGGAGTGTCACAGTTCTTGAAGAGGGTTAGATAAAAAGGTAATGCCTTTTCTTTTTTACTGTCGGCTTATGTTTACACATGCTTCATTCGGAGAAAGTCTTGTTTAGAGGAAAAAAACACAGCAGAGTATTTTCGACATCGCTTCTTTCCAGTATGACAGTTTCTTGCTTCTAGTGCTTACCTGTATTAACTCCATTATGAATATAAGAGACTGAGGGGTTCTCATTAGCTCGTCCAGCTCTGGGTAGCCAGTGGAGTGATAATGAAACATGTTGCCCATGCCGCACATGTGTCTCTGGCCTTCCAAAGGGTCTCTCCCTTGAGCGATCAGCCTCATTCCCTTGGAAACGATGGGGTATAAGCCTGTGTGCTGCAAAATAAACTCATCAAGAAAAACATTGCAAGCCCATGACAAGGCGAAGCAGCACTTATTCATGCTAACCCCCCCCCCCCCCCCCCCCCCCATGGTGCTGCCAGAGTCAGGCTGTGCCAATCAGCCCTATGAGGAAAACACAGGAAATGGACACAATTTAACTTGCAAATTAGAGTTTTCTCTAGGAGAGAAAAACTAATATTTGCTCGCTAAGATTGCTCTGCGTGTATTTCAACACTGAGCATGGAGAAGACATCAGGAGGCTGATTCATGTACATCATAATGAGGAACAATTCCCCCACTCAAATATAATAACTGTGTAAAACTAGAACTACGTGTGTGGCGATAATACTTGCAAATTACCATGTCATTTCATTTGTGCATGAGTATTTTTAAATCACTTTCCATGTATCACAGTTAAGTAAGACCACTTCTGTGCTTTTGAATGTCAGATTTCACCTATAAAACATCCTGGATGACTCAGTTGATGTGTCAAAAGTAGTGTGCACTTTGGGTCTAGTGGAATTAAAACATCACCAAAGTATTTCTAGATTTGCTAAAATTTGAACCTGATTGCTTGACTCACCACAGCGTCACACCAGAACTCAGCCACCTCTCCAATCCTCATGGATGTCAGCAGGGTCTCCCAGACTTCCATCTTAAACATCTTTCCAACAAAGATCTCAGCCGGCCTGCCAGCCAGTCTGCTGTCATCGATTACTGTCCGTTCAAAGTTGTCCAACAGTGTCTGGAAATGGAAAACCAGCTGGAAAGAAAAGAGGAGGCAAAGAGAAGAAGTAAATAATTAATGATCAAAATCCAAAATAAAGCATTTCCCATTGCCCTCTGATCTCAAAACAGTTGTTCTTGCAGAGTTATCATTCATCCAGACTGGACTACTTCAACTCACTTTACTGTAGTATCTCTCAAACAACAATTCACAGCTTGATCAAGATGCTGCTGCCCAGATATTAACAAGGACAAAGAAACATCACCACATTACCCCCATCTAAACTTCCTAATGTTGGCTCCCTGTTCATTTCAAAATTCTTCTCATTTTTTTAAACAAATCTCTCCATGGTCTCACCCCTATATGTGTCTCAGAACTTTACCCTCCTTACAGAACCACCAGATCCTTGGATCCTCACTCTGGCTCTGCTGTGTTTGCAAATGAAAACGGTTGGGGACAGGGCATTCAGGGTAGCTGCTCCTTGGCTTAGACAGATGAACTCTGTTGAGGCCTCGAAGACACATCTTAAGACCTACTTTGAAATATATATATATATCTGTTTGTCTTTTTGATTTCAAACTGTTTTAATCTCCCCCTTTTTCATTTTTTTATGTATTTCCTTGCATCTGTAAAGCACTTTGAATTGCCTCGTGTGTAATTGGTGCAATACAAATAAACTTGCCTTGCCTTGCTTTTAAGTGTGATTTTTCTTGTATGTTTATATTTTGTCTTTTTTATGCCACGTCTGTCCTTATGAAGCACCTCAGTGCAGATTTTGATTTGGTTTTGAAGATGATTTATGAACGTAATCGGCTTAAACCTCAGCTGAACATTTTCTATTTCTTATTCTGAACTGAAAACATACTGGCTGTCATTATGTGACCCATCTGTTTTTCTGCATGTGAAAGACCAACAAAGCGTTTTCATCACTCTGACTGTAAAACTGCGTTGGCTCTTTGTAACCCCCTCCATTTATAGCATGACAGCTTGTGTATAAGGGTCTAATTACTGTGCGAGCAAGTGGGAATCACCTCACCTGGGAGGGAACACACACTGAACACCAGGGTAAATGGAAATCCATGCTGACATTGTCATGGAAAATGTTTGTCACAGTGTGCAGGAAAGTTGCCATATGGCTGGATTTGAGTAGGAAAGGAAAAAAAGTCTGCGACCAACGGATCAGTGGCTGAACAGAAACACAGATACTGTGCCAAAAAACATGTTGCAATTTGGTTGACCAAATGTTTGCTCTGTGTGGAAGTGCCAGAGACAGAATAAACTCCCTGACTTCATGAATAATTCAACAGGATCTAATAAAAGTGGGCAGAACAACGCACGGCTAAAAATAGACAACGTTTCCTATCACATTTATTTTAATTGTAACATTATTCAGGTCATCAGGTTAAGTGTGACTCTCTACCTTTGCTCCTGGTGGAAAGTGTGGCATCGGTCCCGTTCCTCCTGCCAGAATCTTCTTTTTGACTCCTGGATGGTTGAGAAGATACGTCTCCTCCATTTTCACACAGGCTGCAGCAGGATCAGACAGAAAACGACGTGTTTTGGAGATGTCTTTTTCCTGTCTAGGTCTTCTGGCTTTTTAATTAGCCTTGTGGAGAGAGTCTTGGCTGGGTTAGCTGCTCTCTGACAGATGGCAGGATTAGGCAGGGTTTGGTGGTGAACACTTAAATCTCAGGAGCTAATCTCTCGCCTACCCTTGTGATTGGTGGAATAATACCTGCAGGAAGGGGTGGAAGAGGTTGGGATGACCAACAGGCTCAGAATTAGGTGGAGGAGAAAGGTCTAGATCACTCTCTGACAGATTAAGATCATTCTGGAAGGGCAGACATCTGATGACGTATATGATGGTTTAGTGACGCAACCATGCAGCTATAAGGGGAATCCTCCACACACAGGAGATCCAATCCTTTTGAATGTAAACCATACCTTGTAAAAAGCTAGTAAAAAGCTAGTCTGTGTACTTAGTTGTCCGCACCTTATGTTTTCTCTGACCTGACGGGAGTGGAACTCTGTATAAGCCCATCGGCTTCGTTCCCTCCTTGCACTGTTTTTAATCTGTGCTAAATAAACAAAATACAAAATACCTTCTAAAATCTTAATAAGTATCAATATTATTCACATTTTTTTAATATTAGTTTATACTACAAAATGCCATAAACTTGTTCCTCTTTTACGCCAAACCAATTAGAAATTAACATTTTTTTGATCATTCGAGAAAAGCAAAAAACTTCATTAAAAAAGCAATAAATTATCAAAAATGTTGGTGATTAATTTCCTCTTTGTCATTAGCTCTTACTTGACAGTAGTCGTGAGTTGTTTTGAAGTGAAAGTGATCTTTAATTCAGTAAACTCAATGGATCTCTCCTGATGTAGACCACTCTTGTGACTGAGATACAAAAACTGGATGCACTACCAATGTCACAGGCAGAAGGAAAACCTCATGAGACTGTGAAATAAAACGAAAAATCCAAGTTCTGATGATGTGTCAGGCCTTCACACTCATCACTTAACTCAAAATGACATTCAGCTTTTTTCTATTCTTTCTTTTGTTGGTCAAAAACTGTTTTAATTTTCCATTTTGGACTCATCGTAATCATGGGACTGTTGCACAACTAAACTAGCAAAATAACTAGTTTACCATGGGAAATGGTTTTAAGAACTTCTTAGCAACTATTGTCCTGTACATGTGATTGAAATGTAAAGTACCCCCCCTCTATTCTTAAACTTTCAAATGCGTCATAGAAAATTTGAAAAGGCTCTGTTCTTATCATGCTTTACTTGTCCTGTCTTACGCCAACTCCCATGCAATGGTTACATACAAAACTCACTACAAAGAAACACTCAGTCTTTGTTTTTGTTTTTGGTCCGGTTGGCCTTTGTAGTTCATAAAGAGGCATCAATACTTCTTTCAAACCGTTTCATTTTGCAGTTAAAAGCTCCTCAGAGTGGCTTTGATGGCTGGAGTCAAATATTTGATCTCCTTTTTGAAGACAACTTTGACTTGAATTATGTTCGACAATTCTTTCCACTCGGAATTTTTGTGTCTTAAAGCAACAAAAAGTTGTAAAGAAGCATCTTGTTGGTGCGAAAGTCCTTCACTTAAGACATGTTCTCACAGTACACCAACACTGAAAAAATACTGTGAGTGATGGCAATGTTAATGGGAACAGTTATTGAATGGAGAATTAGCTTCCTGAGAATAAGAATAGGCCACTGACTCAGTCAAGCTACATAGTTGGAATTTCCATACCCTACTTTTTAGAATTATTTTTGGATTTTTGAAATTTTATGCTCTCTGACTCAATACAGAGGTTCTTTTCAATTCAGGACAGTCCATATAATCTCAGAGGTGCTTGAAAATTTACTGTACAAAAAGCAAAAAAAGTTATAAAAAGGAGATGTGCCTCCATTACTGGAGTTAAATTCTGGAATGATGCCAACATAAATCTAAAAACATGTCGTTCTGTTTTGTTTTTTTAAGAAAATGGTTTGTAAAGCTATTTCTGAAGCTCGTAAGTGCGATTAATTATCTGTTGTTGTGGTTTCTTTGCTTTTCTGGAAAAGTTGACAATACAGGATAGACTTTTATAAGCAGTCTGCTTCTGCCTTTTCAGTCAATATTCAACACATGGTTCTTGATTTAGTGATTTTGTGTGACATGTCAATATTGTGTACAATATTTGGTGTTGTCATGACTGAATAAATGACTACTACTACTACTACTACTCTTACTACTACTAGTACTACTACTGAAAAACCTACTTTTCTCTTTCAGGAAACAGTATTTAAGAACTGTGTCTGTAAACAGAAATATTTTTCCATACTTTATTTTTCATTTTCTATACTTTTTAAGACCTGGAAATTAATCGTATTTATTTCCATACTTGCAAAGTACATACTCCCTAGTAAGCACTGAGCCTGTTCAGTTTTGGGAAAATTGAACCTCTTTTATTATAAATTTTCAATTTTAAACTTGTTGCAGCCATATGACAAACAAAATTATCTATACTCTTACCATGTAGTTCAGACATCCACAAATGAGGCTGTGTCACATGTATGACCATCTTTTTAAAACCAAGCAATGGTGTGATGGTGCCAAGTTTCCATCCCTGTATTTTATTCTAGCAGGTGATTAAATATACCTTCATACTTAACTGAGTTTCTGAATAGAAAAAAAACCCAACAGTCAATGTTTAAGCCAACCAAACGCTTTAATAGTAGCAACTAAATAAAAACAACGTTACGAACAGAGATCATCCAAATGACTTAAAACAATAACCTTCAAGGAATGACACAAGTCAGCAAATAAATGCCCCCTCCGCCCTGGAGGAAGGCTCTCCTCCTCCTCCTCCTCTTCATGGCTGTTCATTAGTAGCTGATAATGACGTGATGCTGCCCCCTGGTGGTCACTTCTCTATCAGAGAGTCCAGCTGCTCCTGCAGGGAGGCCAGCTGTTGGAGCAAAAAATAGAAGGCTTGATTGATATCCCCAAAGTCCCGTGGTGTAATTGGAGGGTAAGTGGATGATGATTAACATGTCTCTCTAAATTAATTCACTGCCTCCATTTGTCAATACAAACAACGACCCCAGACAGAGGGTGGTCATGTGTCATGTTCTATGTTTTAGCTGCACTCGGACTCTGCCGGTAGCTGGTGACAGGTTAAATGTCACATGATTTAGTTTGATCTTTGCTGCTGGGCATAAAAGATGTTTGGTTAACAAGGGACACGAAGAGCAAAGCCTTCTGTACACCACACAGCATTTGACATTCATGCCGGGTAAATGCATGCAAAGTGCTAAAAGCTGTAGAAAGCTTGCATAAACCACTGATCCCCTACTTTCAAGAAAAGGGCTCTTACCTGCTCCATCTCTCTCTCCTCCTGCTGAATAATCTCGTCCAACAAAGCTTGGAAGCGGTTCTGTGTAAGGAGGGAGACAAACAAGATTTGTTCTGAGTCGACATGCTGAGCCTCATTAAATTGTGATGGCTTTAAATGTGTGTCTCGGCCGCTCGTGTCCCTATCTCCTCTCTGACAGAAAGGCCACTTGGAATGCTAGTCAGAGACAGCTGACCTTTTCCCTGCGACTGTGATAATAACGACTGGAGAAGGGGCTTTGACGGTCCCAAAACGCCAGCAAATGAAAGCTCTAAATAGCAACGTGGAAAAGGGACGTGTCGGCTGATGTGTCGCATATCGTGGAGTCGCCGCTAAAGAGCGCTTGGCGGAGCAATGAATTTTCATGCCTTTTTTCTGCATAATCACGCTTATACAGTAAAAGGGCTGGTGGAGAAAATATTCAAGGCTTAAAATATACAAAAACTACATAACGGCTTCCAACGCTGTGTTTGATCAGCTGTTTCTTCTTGTGTTTTACATCGCCGCTGAGAGAAGTAATGCTGCGTGAAGACTTCTGCCTCCAAGCTCATCTGCATGTTCTTGTTTTCATGTCTCTGTACATGCAGACCTACTTTCAGGACAACTGTGAAAGTGTGTTAGTGTTTGTGTGCTTACTTTGAGGGCCTGGTTTTCCACTTTAATGATGAGCTCTTCTTGCTGTTTCTTGCGTGCACGGGTCTCCTGAAGCTTGCCCTTCACGTTGTTGATCTGCACCTGATACTCCATAACTGTAGGGAAGAGCAGGAGGTGTAATACGTTACTTTTTTTTCTCCCTTAGAAAACCACGTTATTTACGCTTGTACACACGGCCAACAAAGCCAGAGAGCTAGGGGGAAGGAGAGAGAGATTAACATGTGACATAATTGAGAGTAACACCACACTCACAAAGCCATGAGGACAAGATATGCGCCTTAACTTGCTGAACCACAAGGATGCCTCCATTTCAGTTTGACAAATTGCAGTTAATGGGAACAACAAATCCATTTAAAAAGGACGTGAGCCAGCAGGCCGAAGCACTAAAAGACAACTAAATCAGCCTGCTCTGCGCTCTACAGAGAGCTCTCATTAAATCCAGCTAAAGTGATAATGCCTCGCAACAACCTGTGGATTCATTCACCAATTGTTTCCCTTCTCTGCTCACCCAACTGACTCTCGCTCCTCTGATACAGACCATCTAACATGCAACATCAAACAGGGAGAATCCCCGTAGATCCATTTCATACAGCTTTGCAGATCTGCCAGCCACATGCACATGCACAGCCAGACCTCTGCACAACAGGACAGGCTTTGCTGAGCAGCTACATTTGTGATGACCACCGGTGTTGCTGACTGACAGCTCTGTGTATGTAGATAAAGAGGCATTGAGCTGTCAGGCTGGACAGTTGTCTGAGTGGAACGCTGAGCCACAACACCTATCAGGCTGGTTAATAGAGGAGGAGAGCTGCCAGTGTTTGCACCGCGGCGGGCTAGTGCAGCAGGTGTACTGTAGTAGGACTACTCATCTGGTTTGTGTGTATGTGATGTCTGACCTAGAAAACTCAGCTATGATTACAAGTCCAGACACCTGGCTGAGACTATTTTTGACCTCTGCTTTCCCGGAGAGTACAGTACCTGGCAGAGGTTTGATTGGATTTTTTTTGGATCTGTGCTGTGATCACGACTACTGATTAGTCATAAAAAACAATAACAGTTAAATGTAAGAAGCTTTCTTCATTTCTTTTATACTTCTTTGTTTTCACATCATCAACAGTTTTTCATATCCACTCACCTATCTGGCTGTTTCTGTCACTTTCATGCTGTGTTGAATCCGATTCGTTGAGTTTGTCTTGGAGCTGTCTGACCAGATCATCCTCCGTGTCCATGATGTTCAGGTCCTCGTCCTCGTGACGGTCCCCTTCGTCCTCTTCATCCTCACTGGAGCTGCTGATGTCGTTGAAGATCTCTCTCAGTTCATCACGCTGGGCTGGCCATGCGGAAAATACATTTGTGTTATTAAGAAGATGCACAGAGATGGGAACTGCCAGACTGTGGGAGGCTTTTCTTGGACCCACACAACAGGGATGCATAAACAATAGTCTGGTGAAGAGGAGTGGATCCAGTGATGTTACAAAGAAATAAACCAGGTATTACAAATGTGGATCATCAATGTTTCTGTGGTTTATTTACACAGCAGGTTACTAAGTGGAAAGTTGTGTTTGTGAAATCTCTGTTTTAAGTGTGCTAACGTTTTTATATCGACACATTAGTCATGCCATTCAGGAGCACCAGTCTCCGAGTACACCAGCACAAATGCACGCTTCAGTTGAGAGCGAGGAAGGTCCTCTGGTGAATTCAAAGGTAAAAATAATGAAGTCCAAAGAGTAGCTTATGCTTGACTGCGTTCTATTTCTACTTCAGTCCACTGGGGCAGAGACCATCAGGAGTGACAAGGGTGGCGAGCATAAGGAAAACGAATAAATCTTTGTGCCTGATGTGTATGAAGGAAGCTGCACACAAAGAGTTTCAGAAATATGAATGGAAACATGGAAGCTACACTGCAAAATGAGCATCATATAGCTCAGGCAGAAATGTCTAATATACTGATTTTATAATAGTTATTCATGCCAGAAAAAGTAATTAGTTATTAAAGTTTTATTTCAGTGTAAAAAGCTTCAAGTAGCATTAGCTGATGTAAACTATTTCACAGTTTTTGTCATTATTCTTTGAAGCAGTATCTGGTGTCCTTCTTGTTTTTTTTTTGCATAGTTTTTTGTATTTTCAGCTTTTACAAATTAGGCACAAACCAGCTTAAAGATAGTATGTGTGGTGATTCCTGTATCATGTATGACAGAATCAGATCTCTGTTCACCTTGTTTTCATTACCACTTATAGAAATGTTGAGTTTACTGTGAGTAATACCTGCAAAGTTTGACCCTTCTGCTTCATTCTCTGTCAGGAATTCCAACCCACTATAACAAGCCGCTCACCTTACATCCTCATCCCTTACCTATTTTAGCTGCAAAATATAAATCATTCATGTTTTTACTTACCAGAGGATCCATGGCCCATCTTGTGTCCTGAGGTGCCCGGTGATGAGTCCAGGTTGCCCAGAGAGCTATGCTGATCTGCTTCCTTGGACTCATCCTCTGCTATGATCTCCCACCCTGAACACCTTCAATTAAGGTCAACACACTCTATGGATCCATCTCCACGCTCACAAGTGGTATTTTGAAAAGACTTGAGATCTATCAACACTCTTGCGCTCTAAAAACTCTTCTTTGAAGTCGACTTGAAAGGTAAAATCCACATGAAGCTCCACAGGAACTTCCTTCGTTACAGTGTCATGCACACGTCTGCTGCTGCTGCATGCAACTGCTTAAACTATAATTAGAATCTAGCTTCACCGTAACCAACTAAGCAACGATAATGAACAGTCTATCTAAATTAACACGCAGCATGCAGCCACTCATGGCAGCCCTGCTGTGCTCTTATTCTGTCAGGCAGGTTTAGAGTTTCATTAGAGCGCTAATAGCCTCTTTGCAAAGTGTATCGCTCTCACAAAGGCATTGGACGAAGTCAAGCCAGGTGAGCCAGAGGGGAGACAGGGCTGGTTAGGCCCTAAATCAAGCTGGATTTGAGGCAAGATGGGAGCAAAGACTGTATGTAAAATAGACCTTGTAAGGACTTATCAGCATTAAAGCCACAAGATTTAGAGCTCCCCCTGGAGACAGACCTCAGTGTGAGTGATAAACCCTCCTCAGCTACGTTAACACATGAGGCAGAGGCCAAACTATGAAATCAAAACACACCTTTTTTTGTCATTATAGCTTGTTCTTATTTAACTTAAATGCTGAAGGTTACTATGTTGCCAATTTTCATTAGAAGTTCAGTTTCAATCATAGACTGTATATAGAATGGACGACGTTTGCCTCCTTGCTGGGTGAAGACACTCCGAGAACAGCACCCTCTGGTGACGGGCTGCAATATAGGTCATAAATCCCGCCTCCTCCAGCCATCCTTATGGGGCTGTGGACAATCTTTAGAAATTTATTACACAGAACATACATTTTTATCCCCCCTGCTTGCAATGTTGACATGTAGTTATTTTAAGACTGGTTTGTGCTCAAGTCCTCTTTTTTCTGTTCGGCTCCGTTTTTAAAAGTTATTAGGGGGTTCATGTTTTCTATGATTCACACTTGATACAGCCTTTGGGCGTACGAAGACTGCTTAGCTCACCCAAGGATTCGCTGTTTGAGCCAAGCGTCATCACAGCAACTCTCAGTGACTCTCCCGCCGAATGCGCACAATGTGCTGCGCAATGTTGGTTTCAGGAAGTGGAGGAAACGTGGAATTACAGAGAGCTTTTCAGCTTCAAATCTGAATACTGGCGGAGGGCGGAACCAGGTTGTCCATAGGTATATACAGTCTATGGTTTCAATTAGTGATTTGATTTTAAAAAGAGCTGATATGATGTCAGAAGTAACTGCACTTCTGTACCAGATTAGCAAAGAGGAGGAAGAACAGCAAAAGACAATATAACAAATACTACCACAGGACTCAATGAACTTCCCATAATTGTAAGTGTTTGTGTTTCAAATCTACACAACAATCTGCTCCACTGCAGACTTAACTCACCGGAGTGATCTTAAGAGTTTTATCAATGAGTTTAATGAACATTTTAGTTTGTGTTGCAGGTGTGACTTCTGTCCTGGAATGCTACCAGCTGACTCCTTTCTGCACATGCCTTGGTTTAACAAGCATGAACATTGGCACCCATTGTGATTGGGAAAGGAAGCGATGTTGTCTGTTCTATATACACCCAACACAAGAGTCAGGTTATGGGGATTATCAAAGCTAAAAGCATAGCCAGTGATTTTAGAGCTGTGCTGCTTGGTAGTTATTAGCTTCCTGGTTTGACAAAGCAAGAGCATGGGAGAGCTGTAGGTATCCAAGGATACGAACACTGACGGCCTCAGCGTCTGTGCTCAGCAATCTCTTCACTTCTTTTTCCACATCTGGAGATTCGATGTACTGTGAGAGAGAAAGAAAGAAATTGTGTTACATGTAGTGTTAGCAGAATCCCTCCACACTCACACACGCACACACACACACACACAAAAAGGTAGCAGCTGGCCACATGCCAGAAAAGACATTAGCGATTAAAAACTGAAGGGAACCAAATCAATATAGCCTGGCTCTGCATCCTTGGGAAGATTTATTCTGAAGACAAAGAAGACGTGTTTTGCTCAAGCATATTCGCCTTCACTCTGATCAAAGCAATAGTGAAATTGCTTCTTTTTTGTATGCCTTTGGGGCAAACTAAGACAGAAAGGCTTTATTTATATGTAAATCTTAGTTTTCACTTTCCCCACTGTTCTTGGTTTATGAAATGTAAATGTCTTGTTGGAAGCGGGTCGGGTGATGCTGAAGAAAGAGATGGAAAAGGGGAGTGCATGCTAAGGAGGATAAGACATGTCAAAACCTTCTTTTTCGCAGTCTTCCGAAATCTTCTCTTGCGCGTGTTCTTCATAGGGCAGGTAACTAGAGAGCAGAATAACAGGATTAGTCGAGTCAGAATGGCTCAATCAGCTGTGGAGGGAGAAATCTGCATCTCGACTTGCTGATGTGCCAAGTTTCCATCACAGACAGCTGAGAAAGCTGTCTGTGGAGATATTTTTACTTACTGCCGTGGTTCCAAACGAATTTCTTGTCCTTGTCTTTGTCCTTCTTTTTACTTTTAGGGTCTGTGCCAGTTGGCTCCTCTAAAGGAGGGTAAAGGTCTCCATCTAGTGTGCACACCAGCATCTGACCCAGAGATGGAAACATGAATCAGAAAGTACTCTGAATTCTGCTAACTGATTAGGTTGTACTTGTATAACAAAAAGGTAAAACTGCAACAAAGCCTTGGTTTGAAAAGGACCAAAAATATGCCACATCCCTTTTTCTAATCAAAGTTAGAACAGTAACTTTTACCTGGCAAACGTCAGCAGTCTTGTAAAATGTCTTCTTGTCTACTGTTTTAAGAGACTCAATCATACAAGGCAGATCCACCAGCTTGCAGGCCAAAGGAACACGGTCCACTCTCACTATGCCGTGTCGACCATCAGCTACAAAAAAGACCATCTGATTGTTACTATAATGAGTTGCGTGTAAGATCAAAATAACTACTGCAACTAGGAAAGGACAGTCATGGACAAATTAGGAGATTTTTAAGACCAGACCATGACATAAAACTTTAACTGTGGGCCAAATATTTATGACAATCTTTGCAAAGAAAATAGTGAAAAAAAATGTTTGGATACTCTTGTTTAAAAAGTTGAAATATCTTTATTCTGATGGCATGGTAATGTAGACTTTAACACAAATTCCTTCACATATCATAGTGTCTCTCTCATCAGGCTGAAAACAGATGGGAGTTATCTTTATTTTAAGGTCTACATGACCATGACATGCTCAGAGTAAAGACATTTACATGTGTCTCAATCCAGAGAATACCTTGAACTCACACTTCTTGAGTCAATAGAGAACTACTTTCTTTGTATTTTATATTTCTTCAAAATTGTTTATGTGAAATAGGTCAGAAGAGCTAGTATGAAGTTTAGTCGGTGCATCTGTGATTATAAACTAAAAACACACCATTTTTTTAATTAGAAAAGATTTCATCTCATGGGTTTAGATCAGCTTGAACACTTGGATAGGACAGGGGAAGAGATTAGTGATAAACAAGCTTACGATGCATCTCGATGGTGAGTCTGTCTTTCATGTTCATACTGCTGGACTGGGCGATCCTTCTCACTGTCGAGGCATACTCCTGTTTACAAAAAATGAATCCACGAATTTTTTAGCAGGATTCATACATCATCAAATAAAAATATTTGGTTTCAAAGAGGCTGACACTCTTACCGAAGGAAGCCTCAGGACATACTGACTCTCCAACTCATAAGGAGCATCCTCCTTGCTCTTGGAGCCAGTCTTCCCAGCTAGAATTCAACACACGACAGTAAACATCACCGTAAAATAACTCTTTTCTTTTTAAAAGTTTATTAAAGATAACATATGGAAGTAAATCTGTGCCATCTGATTTTGAATTTGAGTTTCTACAGCTGAAATTTTTTCCATCAAAATCTGACTTTGAATCTCAAAACCATCGAATTTCAAGCAAACATCCATATTTCTGACACATTTTTTTTTACAATGAGGAAACATATTCGGTGTAAAAAAAAATAAAAAATCGGTCTCTCAAAATATTCAGTTAGTGAAAATTCGACTGAAAAAAAACTGTAAAAAATTTCAACATAAAAAAATAATAAGTGTCAAATAATTCAGTGTAAAATAATTCAGTGTAAAAGTGTCCTTTATTTCCTCATTGTGAAAAAAAAAATAGTGTCAGAAATAAATATGTGTGCTTGAAATTCAATGGTTTTGAAATTCAAGGTCTGATTTTAATGCCAAAAAAAAAAAAAAAAAAAAATCAGCTTTAGAAATTCAAATTCAAAATCAGATGGCACAGATTTACTTTCATAATAAAATGTCATTGGAATCACACTCTGTCATCTTGAACTTTTGCAGCAATAACAATGTATATTTTTGGAGTTGAAGTGGGTCATCACATTGTTAAGTGGAGCTTAACAAGAGAGCACAACACCTTACCACCTCACCAGCTTTCATTGTTCAGGGTTTTTTTTAGCTGATTATCTTTTAAAGCTACTATGAGGAACTTCTGGTCTGCAATGACACTGGTGACCCCTGTGGACAAGGTGATATCTCTTATTTTATACACGAGACAGTAGTGTTTTTAACTGTTCCTACCCCTCCACCCCCAATAATGTTTTTTAGCATTGGTAATTACCACAACGTTGTTATTATTCGTGTGTAGTGTACCTAAACATATTGTAATCCAGCTCTATTATTAGCTTTCTAATAAACTGAATGCAATAACAATGAATAAGCGCCTTGGTGATGTTTAAAAACCCGCTGCTAACCATTATTAGCTCAGTAAACAACACTCGACCAAATCTAAAACACAAGATTGTAACGTACCTTTCTGTTTAGATGTCATTTCCGTTTGTATCTGGAAGAAGCTTCTGCAGAAATGTAATAATTCACCGAAATCCAAGCAGATGAGAGTAAAAACTACTATTTGGGTTTGATATCAACCGCTAACCACACAGTGCTAACACATCCATGGCTGCTGTGAGGAGAAAAACGAAGCGCTGCTCAGTAAGACACTGAGACGTTCAGGTCCTCCTCGGAATTTTCATGTACACTGAAATTTTTCATTTATCACCAACGGGTTAGAGTGGTGCTCTTTCAATTTAACTTTTCAACCTTCATATATTATTCTGTCGTGCGAATGCATAAAAACATAAGTTGATATTTCCTGTACTTTCTCATTGTTGGTGTTGTTATTGGGCACATATGTTATGAAATACTAGCATTCCAGTTTAACAATTATGTGTCTATTGTTGTTTTTGTCTGACCATTTCCCGGTAAATTAAAACAATAAAAGTGACGACAAATTCATATTATAAGATAACATAAAAAAACATAGATTACTGCATAGTTCTTTAGCAATGATTTGATTTACATCGTGACCGACAGACGCGAATATCACATCACTTCCTCGTCTTATTCTTTGTATCGCGAGACTTTTGATAAACAAATTTCGGGAAAATACGAAAATAATTGATAATCAAAAAATTGCTACAACTGTTATATAGCAAAGGAACACATTTTATACATTAAATAAGATATATAGTTATAAAAAATAGACACTAGATCGTATTTCCTGTACTGGATGATGACCATCACAATTTCAAAATAAGAGTCTTAAATTAGAAGAAGTGCAATAATTTCAACCACTTGCCTGTAAAAAATACAACTAACGTTAAAATTCTGTTCTATAGAAATCATACTAATCACACATGATGAGATAAGTCTAGTTATATGCGTGAAGAATGATTACAACAAGCATCATACTTTTACTTTGAAGTCAACATCCTACACTTTCTCCAAAAAATAGTTTTCACTTCCGGGCCGGGATCGGTTTTTCTGTTGCTGTCGTCGTTCTGCTCTTTACTCCCGTTATTATCATATTTGCTCAAAGTTTGCTGTAATTTTCGCAGACGTAGCAGCGTTTGAGCGCGACCAGCCAAAATGGTATTTAGAGTGACTGTCAACAGCGCGTGGAGGGCGACGAGGACGCTGTGTCTGCTCGTGCTCGTGAGTCTTTCTGTGTGCATCTGTGTTTGCCGAGCAGAGTCACCACCTCAGGAGGAGTACAGTGCCATGGAGAACATCGTAACAGAGAAGAAAGCCGAGGAGAGCCACAGGCAGGACAGCGCGGACCTGCTCATCTTCATCATGCTCCTCACACTCACCATCCTCACCATCTGGTTGTTTAAACACCGGCGGTTCAGGTTTCTGCACGAGACCGGGTTGGCGATGTTTTACGGTGAGATGATCCGGCGTGACTGAGAGACGTCATCATCATCACCATGAGTCTGATGTCTGTCATCTTCACGATCAGCTGTGGATTTTCACTCGTCCTTATCAGGCCTTATCCTGACATTTAACGGCTCAGCTGCTGCCCATTATATACAACGTATATATACATCAGTCACGTTTAGAACAGGCTTAGTTACTGACAGCTGTAGAACACCTGCTCAGTAGTGTGTTTCACTTCTACTTTCTTTACACCTTCACTTTCATAGGAATGTAAATAGATACTGGTTTGAAAAATACTGAGGCTATTTCCTCCTACACTCAGACACCTGATCAGAGAGTGGGTAGAGTGGGGTAAGATGAGCCATTTTTCATATTTCGGATCATTACATCAAGGCAATCATAGTTTTGTCTCTAACTAGTGTATCTTTCAAGGTGTTGTGCATCCCTGCAAACTAACAGAATGAGTGTAAACCTAACTGTCTTGATAATATAGCATGCCAAAAAAAAAAAAAAACGGGAATAAGCGGTAGAGAATGGATGAATGGATAACTGCTAAAAAGCTGTTTTGTAAAAAGTCATTTTAACATGAGAATGTCTTGAAGTGATTCAGAACATTCACAGCTGTATTTCAGATAAGAAAAACTAACACATTTCAACAATCTGAACTGAAACTCTGATCCTCTCATCAGACTTCTTTACTTTCTCAGTTGAGCCACTGGCTTAACTTACTCCAGAACTACTATTATGACTTTATTAGTCCTCTAAGCTAAAATGGTGGACTTATATGCTAGGTTTTTGACCTCATGTTGTAGCTCATAGATACCACAATTGATGTATAAAACAAATTTAAAATGATCTTTTTTGGTTTGAACATGATTCTAGTCAAACTTATGACAGACTAAATTCACTTTCAAGTGTAACTCCATGAATTGATGCCCACCTCCTTAATATTTGGTCATATGATCAACTTCTTTGACCATTTCCAAGAAACAGGGGGTGGTTCAATTTACCCTTTGGCTCAACTTACCCCACTCTTCCCTACTGAGCTGCGTCGAGTCTTTGTTTGTTGTAGGAAGTGACAAAATAGATTTAGCTATACTCTGATATAATAGGATAACGATGATATAATATTACTTGGTGAATAGTTTTTGCCCGTTTATTGTTTTCAGGACTGCATTGAACGAGAAGTTTGTCACCATGCAGAGGATCATTTTATATACATTTTTTTATCCACAATCACAAACTTCAGTTCAGTTGTTTTGTCAAAAGTATTCGGATAGGTCATTTATCCACCTGATCTTTTGACATGTTTAAACACAAAACCATTGACAATAATAGCACATACATTCAGTATATGCCTGGTCCAGCCTCCACAAATGTTCATGGTAGCTTACTTCACTGGAGCACTTTAACAGGACAGAGCTAATATTAACAGTAGTTTATCCTTCTGCTTGATGAGTCAAGAATCCTGGTATAAAAAAGTTCTTACAGGGAGTGGTCAAGTGCTATGATTCACTGACTCCCACACTCTCCTGTTAGTGTTTTCATTTCACCTGCCAGGGTTTCATCTTTTATGCTTCCATCCTGATCAAGTAGACTACAGTGTTTCGTGACATCCTGCATAACTCAAACCAATTTTCTCCTGACTTGATGTTTTATCAGCTGATCAGATGGAGTAACTTCCAACATGTGTGCAGTGGCTTAAATAAGTGTTATGAAGCACTTTAAAACATGCGCTATTCCTAATTCATCTGATCAGGATCTGACCAGGCAAATTGTTCTCAGATGGATTTATTTTTAGACTTTATAGTCACGCCAGTCGCTCAGCTTGATCTGTATACTTTTCCTTTGTGAGGCTAATTTTACTTTTCTTTGTCACTCTCCTGCATCAGTCATACTGAAAACTGTGACGCTCTAGAAATCTTCAGTTGAATGTCTTTCTTGTCATTAAATTTTAGAAAGAATTTTGGTTAAACATCAAGATACATAATGATCAAATTTGACACCTCTGTAGTCATTCTGGCTTCAATATTCTAACCATGAATGTTGGACATAAATCAACTCTGCTGCCTGTGTCTCGCCAGGTTTGCTTGTTGGCGTGGTCTTGCGCTACGGCATCCATGTTCCTCGGGACATGGGCAACACGACGCTGAGCTGCCACGTAAACTCCAGCCCTGCCACTCTGCTGGTCAACGTCAACGGTAAATTCTACGAGTACACGCTTAAAGGGGAGATCAGTGCCAATGAGGTGAACGACGTGCAGGATAATGAGATGCTGCGAAAGGTATGGACTAACCTGTCACAGTTTTTTTTATATCAGTTAGATATGATTGGAAATATAATTCTGGGTTGTGAAGTTTGTATTTATACTCAGGGGACACCAGGGTGGGTTATCACATTTTTTACTCTTGGGTGAATTGCTAATGATCAATATTGTCAACAATAGAATTTCTCACATTCGACAAAATTTTGAGGTCTTGCATTATTCTTGTAACTTAGCAACCCTTAAAGACACACATCCAACATGTGTGTTGGTTGTCCCAATAGTTATTGTTGGGGTTGTCGTAAAGAAATCAGATTACAGTATCAGTTGTAACTTTTTTGTCCCCAAACTAATTAAAAAATCAGTAACTCTGTAAAGCTCATCACTGCCATGTGCATTTGTCTGTTTGTTTGAGTTATCCTAATTAATGATAATGGACTGATTTGAAGATATAATCAACCAAAAAGATCACTAAAAGTATCCTAAGTTACAAAGACACGATATGCCCATCTTTTTTTTAACGAGTGTCCTAATTTCAGCGAGCGCATCACAACCAGAGCAGTTCGACACACACCTTGTTTCAAAGAATTTGTGTAAACTACCACTATGGCTTAAGATAGCTCGCGAACTAGGCTCAGATCAAAGATATTTATGTACACTTTTTAAATAAGTGTTTGATAGTTAAATGACATATCATCTTTAAGATATCAAAACATCATCATTGACTCCATTTTCTTACCTCTGACATCATGTTTATGTAATTATATTCCCCACATTATTATGTATTCTGTTTATAGCAGCACAGAGTTAAAGAATTTTTAACTGGTGATTAAATGAACTCAAATCAAAATTGATGACTTTTCATGACCTATAAAAGCAAATAAGATCATGATACTGACACCTTTTACTCTGTATATTGTAACATTTGATGAATAAAAGTGCAACACATAGGTAGGTGTCAGGGTAGATGATTGACAGCAGGCTTTGTTTACTTCTTCCTTAGCAAATATTCACAGTGAGACATTCATTTGACTGTTAAAATAAAGTAAAACGAGAACTTTAGGCAGAAAATTCTTTCTACGCACATACAGGACAAGATCAACAAAAAAACAAGAGGTGCAGCATAATACACAGAGCTCCCAAAAATTCACACCAACAGAATGTTCAGCAAGTAAAATCCAAATGGAAGACCTTTTATAGACTTCATTCTCCAGGTAGATTTTTGTCCGCTAAATCTGCTCCCTCAAGATCAGCTGATAAATGTCAGTAAGAAACAGTGGACAGGTTTCCTTCAAGCCCGAGGATCAGTTTGGTATTTTCAGCATGTGTATTTTGGCAGAGTTCATATGATGGTTTGCAGTTCTGACATCTGGGACTCTGGGGCCAATAAGCCTGAAAATGAAGTCAGGACACATGTAGTATGTAAACAAAATGCTGCAGAGGCAGTGTTATTCTAAATGGTTGCATGATTTCTCTCTGGTTTATTTTCCCTCCATTAGATGTGTTGTATTACGAACTCACATATCAAACAACCCAAAGTCATGCACTTTTAAAACAGAACCGATCTGCAGTTACAGCTACAACACTGGTTGTGTTTTCTGCCTGTGTACACATGCCGTCCTCATTTCTTGTCTTGTAATTTCTTGTTTTTACAATTATTTCTTCATTATCCTGGAAGCCAGTTCGCGCCGTCCTAGATGTGTCACTTCTGATTCATTCATTAATTTATACTGCAAACAGCCTAGAAGTGCAATAAACCCGAAAACAAATGTCTCTAAATCTGGTTTCATTTCTTATTCCAGCGACTCAGAGCTTTAATAGTGTTTGGTGTTTGTTGTGTGTGACTCAGGTGACCTTTGACCCAGAGGTTTTCTTCAACATTCTCTTGCCGCCAATCATCTTCCACGCCGGCTACAGCTTAAAAAGGGTAAAGGACACTTGACAGCCTCTTCTCCATGTAAAACACATAAAAAAGAAGGGGTGACGAATGGGTGATGATAATAATACAGATAAATAATGATGAATTTTGCAGATGATTGTTGACGTGTGTGAATTTTTGTCTTTCAGAGACACTTTTTCCGCAACATGGGATCAATCTTGGCTTATGCCTTTCTTGGAACAGTTATTTCCTGTTTTGTTATCGGGTAAGAAAATTCATTTGCCAAAAAGATGAATAAAAGTAGCAGTAGGGGTGTCATGATACAACTTTTTGACTTCCAATACAATACTGAGCCTTCATATTGACCGATACTGATATTGATCCGATATTGGCATGAAATTGTGCATGAACAGTTTTTTACTCAGCTGCAAGCTCTTTTTCGGACTTAAACAAAAAATACTGCCACAAGGTCAACATCACTCTTACTCTGTGCTACTTTGTTCGTACCTTAGTACACACTAATGTTGTGATTTTGTGGGCTCTGCATGCTGGATCAGGGCGCTGCTAGATAGAGGTGCCGGAGCAGAGTCTGGAATGGACTGCTAGTATTAGTGTGCTGATATTGGAGATTTCAGATGCAGGCCGATATAACCCAATATCTGTTTTTTTGCTAATATCGGACCGATATCAATATCGTATCGGGACACCCCTATAAAATAGTACATCTGTCTTTTAATGCAACCATAAATTACGATAACATTATATGTCAAAAATGTACTCATATGTGTCAGAAGCCGTAGTGATGAAGTGCCTTTAAAGGCAATAATACTAGTATTGTTTATGACGATATGCAAACACCAGCTGCTTTATCTCCGTCAGGTTGCTAATGTACGGCTGTGTGATGCTCATGAAGCAGCTGGGACAGCTGGGTGGAGATTTCTTCTTCACTGATTGTCTCTTCTTTGGAGCCATTGTTTCTGCAACAGACCCTGGTACGTTTAACAGGCATGATCTCAGTGTTCAAAGTTTGTTCTGCTTCCAGCTCAGACTTATAAGAAACTGTAATCACTTTTATCAGTCAAAGTACATATCAGAAACATGTACTGCTGCTTCTTGGACATAGAACATGCAGTAACAGACATTTCTTATGAAAACTTGTCATTACCAAGAATGGCAGAGTTTTTTGCGTCATCTGAGAGGAAAGTTGACACTCTCCTTTTTCCAAAATTGTAAAGGTAGCAAAAACTTGAAGAAAATTGGTTCAGAGAAAAAACAAAAAAATAAGTTTAATTATTTAATGTTCGTTCTGAAGTTTGTATGTGTCACAGTGGGCCTTGTTGTCCGTCTGTTTCAGCCTTGTATTGTTCCCTAGTGAGACTAAACAGTCAACTTCCTCTTTCGGAAAGCCTACCCGGACTAATTTTATCTGATTTTATCTGCTGACTGTTTTTATTGTTTTGCCCTGTTGCTGGATTTTTACTGTTATTGTTGTCCTGTTGTGCACTTTGAGATTTGTTTTTAAATGTAAAGTGCGTTACAAATAAAATCTATTATTATTATTATTATAGATGTGATAATAGTGTAACTTTGTGTTGTAGTATCAAAACACAGCTCTCTAAAACGTCTGTCTCCAGGTGTGTATCGTTGCGTTGGTCCATTCTGACATAAAAGAGGAACTTGTTCTTCTCTTCTTCTTCTCCACAGTGACTGTCCTCGCTATCTTCAACGAGCTGCAGGTAGACGTGGATCTGTACGCCCTACTGTTTGGAGAGAGCGTGCTCAACGACGCCGTGGCCGTTGTTCTGTCCTCGTAAGTCGCTGAAACCATGACTCAGAACGAGTGCAAGTCATGCATTTCATATCGATCAGCTACTGACCTTTCAGCTAACCAAATATCAGCCAAACAAGAGGTGATCTCAAAGCTAACACTCAGCTTTTCTCCTCCTCCTCCACATCGGACTCTTATTCCCACAGAATCTTAAATTATAGTAGCAGGCACAGTGGAGACGCTGGGCCCTGTGGAGGAACTCTGGGTGTCCCATTGAACGGGTGCACTAAATAGAGCGTAGCATTGTGTGCCTTTGCGGTGCCTTGGGACAGACATGACAAATCACCAGCCATTTATTCTTCAACTACAGATGCATTTCATTATTTATTCATATATTCTTTGCTTTTTTGGTGAACAGTTTTTGTTGTTGTGAGTCAGCAAAGAGCCCTCCTCTGTTATCTTTAAAGAAACTCAAAGGCTGAAGTGAGGGCAGAAAGCCAGGAGTTCTTACAGAGAAAAGGCCTGGTGATTTGTTTTGTGTGTAAGGTGGCTGGGAATAGAGAGGGGTGATATATTACTTTGAGTACAGTTATTGCAAAAGAGTCTCAGCCAAGTATCTGAAGAATAATTTCCAAGGACTATTGCCTTTACAACTGGCAAATACCCTCTCTAAACCCCCCCTCTCTCTCAGGCTCGAGTTGAAGTGCAAGAGGCTCCTATATTTTCAAAAGCTGAAGTTTGCTATTCTTCAAAGTGCGACTGTATTGAGACAGTTCTGTGTAAAAACTCAACTACCCGGAAACACAAAAATGCTCTGTAAGGGGACACATTTTAGCTGCTTTTTTATAAGGTGTACAACACAAAGTTACTTTGTTGTCTCATTCTTCAAAATAATTTAGCAACTTTTTAATCAGCTGACTACAACAGTTTTAAAATATTAAATCTGTAAGTTTCCAGTTCATTAAATGTCTTTTTGGTCCCTATATCAAACCGTTAAAACTAGTAAACACAATGATAATTCAGACTAGTGTCTACTGATACAAGTCCTTCCATTTGCTGTAATACGATGTGGTTCTCATCCACATAATATCCAGAGTAAGTGTTGTGTTGTTTTCTCCACACAAAAGCGTCTAATGTGTCAGCTAAGATAACAAAACAAACTAGCTTTTCAACTCACTCATGAGCTTAGCCAAGTGTAGTTTGTTTTCTCAAGTCTCTGCCAACATTCAGGACTCCAGAAATACGTTACTGTTATTGTTATTGATAATTCAACTAACAACTGAAATTACACAGCTGACACTGTTGACATGTCCGTGAAAAAAAAACACTCCTTCAGTGACTGCTTTTCACCATCAGGGCTCTTAAACAGAACATGTTTCCATCTATGAAAGGAAAAAAAAAACCAAATAGATAAACAAACAGATAAAACCCCTAGTGAGTAAAAAGCATAGCTGATGTCCTTGTTATTAGAACAACAAAAATTAGAAATATAATGACTCACAGGATTTGTGTGAAAATGCGTCCCTAACAAAAACATATTGATACATGTAGCTGGAATCTCACTTGTATTAATGATCACTTGTTTTTGCACAATAATAATACAAAGTCAAACTATAGATTCAGCAACTGGGTCATAAGTTGAGTATTTAACACAGAACTATGTTGAACCAGTCTTCTTCTCTTCCTCCCCTCTCTGGCCTGAACATTTCTCTGCTTTTCTTTTTACCTCTAGCATATTAGTATAAGAGTGAGTAATACTTCTGTCACTCTTTGAGCGACCTGAAATGTGTAAGAAAAAATCAATTTACAAAGAGGCCTGTTGCAATGAAATGTGCGATTAGCACTGAAAACATAAGGAAGATTATTGAGAGTTCAAGTAACACCTTTGTTCAGGTGCTGCTTTAGCTTTGACTTTATCAGACCTCAGCTTTTCTGTTCGACTCTGTAAATCTTTGGTGTGCACTTGTTGATCTTGATTTTTGGCATGATTCACACTGTGTAAAATATTACATACATGATTGTCATATACTGTTAAATTTTGTGTCGTATCAGGTCGATAGTAGCGTACCAGCCACAGGGAGACAACAGTCACACCTTCGAAGGCATGGCGATGCTGAAATCCTTTGGGATTTTCCTCGGGGTCTTCAGCGGCTCTTTTGCGTTGGGGGTGGCCACTGGAGTCGTCACTGCTCTTATATCTTTTTTTCTGTTTCAGAAAACATAAATGAAATAATTTTAAGAACAACTGAAGAAAAACAGGAGTTAATCTGTGTGGATCAGCAAAATTACTCACCCTAAAAATGGTATTTCTTATTCGAGTTAGTTATTTAGTTATTTAGATAGAACAGATAGAAATGGGATAGAAATGAACAGATAATTGAACTTGTGATTTTTTTTTGTTAGTTCCAGAGTTTGCCACATTTCTCTCTTTGTTTTGTTAAACTCCTTGACTTTTGTCCGTACGTGACTAAGTTCACAAAGCTGAGGGATTTCCAGCTGTTGGAGACGGCTCTGTTCTTCCTCATGTCATGGAGCACATTCCTGCTGGCTGAGGCCTGTGGCTTCACAGGTAACACACACTCACACTGAACCGCATTACGGCAGATGCTTTTTATTTTGTTTTCTGTCTAGAAAGTTTTGTCTCTGGACTTTTTGTTGTAATCTGTGTTTATTGATCTTGTAACTCTTCTGTTCCTTGTATGGCTGTCCCTTCTGGTTTGTTGTAGGTGTGGTTGCAGTGCTGTTCTGTGGAATCACTCAAGCCCACTACACCTTTAACAACTTGTCCCCCGAGTCCCAGGACAGGACAAAACAGGTCAGATCTGGACTGTCAATGCACCTTTTTTCTTCAGCCTTTTTTCAAGATTTAAGGTGGATTTTACACCTCTGTTTTAAGGCAGAAAAATGTGAACTATTACTTAAATTTCATTCATGCTATAATCTAAATCTGTTTCTCTCATGATGCAGCTGTTCGAGCTGCTCAATTTCCTGGCAGAAAACTTCATTTTCTCCTACATGGGTCTAACCCTCTTCACCTTCCAGAACCACATCTTCAATCCCATGTTCATCGTTGGCGCTTTTGTATCTTTTGCAAATGAAACTTCCCGCACACTCACACACAACCTTCAGTTTGTTATTGTCACTCATGTTTTTGGCACCTGTGTAGGAATGTGGAACTACTGGAACAAAGTGCCCTCTGTATTTAACTAACTACTAGGAAGCAGGTGGGTAAAATGGCAGCAAATCAGCCAGTCTTTTGCTGGCTCTCGGCTCAGCTGTGCTCTCCTTAACCTTGTTCCGAACCAGCTGGCTGTGTTCCTGGGGAGAGCTGCGAACATCTACCCTCTTTCATTTCTGCTCAATCTGGGCCGGCGTAATAAGATCAGATCTAACTTCCAGCACATGATGATGTTTGCAGGTTGGTAATAAACAGATTCACTTTGGAAATCTGCTTCAAATGAGATGTAGGCTTTGGGGCTTCTGTGACCTTTGGGTGCACTGCAGACCAATATGAGCAGAGTTATGGATGCTAAATGAGCAGTTTTACATGTCATGTTTATGTTCAAGCAGGACCATCAACTCTGTGGCGTAGGTGGCTACAGATCAAGCTAGCCATAACAAAGACAGTAATATTTAGATCCAGACATACTTAATGTGTGAGGAAGAGAGATAAGATTCAAATGACTCCATGAAATGATCTTTAAATCATAACCCTCACAGGCTTGTAAATAGAAGGCATAAGATTAAGAACTTCAACACTTGTGTTCATCTTTCTGTGCTCCCCAGGGCTACGAGGCGCGATGACCTTTGCCCTGGCAATCAGAGACACGGCGACATACGCCCGTCAGATGATGTTTACTACCACTCTGTTTGTGGTCTTTTTCACTGTGTGGATCTGTGGAGGAGGCACCACCCAGATGCTGTCTTGCCAGCGTATACGGTACACTTCCCACTTACCATATTTGGGGTTAAGTCGAGGTAAATTTTTCTCTCTGTAAGATTTTGACACCACAGGGTGGACAGTGCACTCCAGTTTCAGTCATTTGGTTTTCTTTCTTGGATGAAACTCAAAGCTTCGCTCAGTATTACCTCCGGTCCTGCCTGCTGAATGCTTTAGGCTTTTATCATCTGCTGCACGCCCACCTATTTATGTAAACTTACTCTTCAGAAACTTGCTCAACAGGGGAAGCACGCTACGCAACACTGTCCTACAACTACAGTTTACTACAGTTGATTTCATGTGTTTATACTTCCTTTAACAGAGTGGGTGTGGACTCTGATCAAGACAACTCTGTAAGTGTGACTTGGGAAATACTTATTAGCTGTAAGGTGACTGGTGTGCAATCATAGTGACTAAACACACGCAAACTTCTCTGTTTGTACAGATAAGCATCGCCGAAGGCTCAGAGAGAAGAAGCACCAAACAAGAAAGTGCCTGGCTTTTCAGGATTTGGTACAACTTTGACCACAAGTATCCTTTCATGACGGATGACTTTTTCAAAAACTTCAAAAATTTGGAAAATAAAAACTTCTGTGCTTTTGGTGTTTTGTTGTTATGAGAACCAAAGTGCAAGCTTTAATACTTCTGATGCAAAACTTAAATCAAAGTTAGAAAAAGATGTTATTGTATATGCAGTTTTAAGATCTACAACTTCAGTGTGAACAAAAGTCTAAGAGCATAAATGGAGGCTTACAGATGACTGCTTCAGGCTTCAAACATGTTCAACTTGACTTGTAGTTCCCAATATTGGACAGCAGAGGGAGCAAATGATCTCTTTTATTTATTGTGTTTTATAAAGGTCACGAAGTTTAATGAATTTCTAGGTAAACGACTTCTTCGAATTACTTTAATTTTGACCACTTTGCCCTTTTAACCTGAAGAAGAAGAAGAAGCCTCATTTTTGTTCACACTGTGATTCAGTATGATTTTATCCGATATTACTGTACACAGCTGCGTCTGTTTTCTGTACTATGACTCCTTTACTCAAGCCTCCCCTCCAGCTACCTGAAGCCCATCCTAACTCACAGCGGCCCCCCTCTCACAGCCACGCTACCTCCCTGCTGTGGCCCTCTCGCCCGCTTCCTCACCAGCCCTCAGGCCTATGAGGTCAGACACTGGAGCTATTTGTGGCTTAAGTTTTATCCTGTATTAACAGATGAAAGAGAGCTATGTGAATGACTCATGATCAGTGTGAAACCTGAGGTTTTATTTCAGTGTGCAGACAGAGAAAAAATAAGCTCCAAGAGCAGAGGGAACATACTGCTGCTCTGGTTTGTGTAAATATGTGACATTGTTTTCCTCCCCTCTCCTCAGAACGAGTGCCAGCTGAAGGATGATGACTCTGACCTCATCCTGACTGACGGTGACATCAACCTGACCTATGGCGACATCACCGTTAGCACGGACGCCACAGGTGTTCACACGAGCGGCGGTTCTGCCTTCGCCGGCGCCGCCACTTCTGATGACTTGGACAGAGAGTTGACATACGGAGATCACGAGCTGGTGATGAGAGGCACACGCCTGGTGCTGCCCATGGACGACTCAGAGCCCCCCTTTACGGACCCCCACCATCGCTTACGGATGTGAAGTTAGCCCTCCATTGCATACGTCCAAGACCACCGTCCGACTCAAAATCACCCGAGCCATCAAGCGAGAGACCAGTACCTGACTCTCCTCTTTTCCACATTTTTTGCTCTTGCACCTTGCCTCATCCCTCTTGCTTTTTTTTCCCCTCCTCACAGCTACGTTCACTTACTCCCTCTAGTGGCAAATCACTGTCTCTACCTCATTCTCATTCTGCTCGTTTCCACACCTTTTTTCAGCGTCTGTCATTATTGTAATATAGTCTTATTTATTTGCAGGGGTTCTGAGTGTTCAATTCAAAACCGGTTTCTTTAAGTTCGGCTTAAAGTCCCGTATCAGTCACCTTACTGTAGCATTGCACAGAAGTCCAGCAGCATGTGTTAGTGTGTAAATGCAAGTTCCAACAGATAGCTTATTTGTCAATGTACAGTATATATTACAAGAGTACTATAACTTTGATATGCATGCTGAGGATGCTTGTCGTTTTCTTTGTACGAGGGCTTTTGTGTTTTGGGTCTAACTTTGAATGTTGCTGCCTTCTCTCTGTGCACCAGAGGCATGCTGACCCAGTGAACAACTTTACTGTACATTTGTTACAATCAAGTGCCTGGGAATTGTAGTTTGAAGCCTGGAAACCCAGACTGGATCAGCTCTGCGATGGGCAGTCATGCAGTTGTAGTTTTCCTTTGTAAAAAAAAGTACAAAAAAAGTACAAAAAAGTGAACCGACACCTCTGTACATACGGTAGCAATATACTCAGAGGGTGTTTGGTCTGTTTGTTGCTATCTGCCTGTAAATAGTGTTTAATGTGATGCCATTGATGCAGTGTGAACCTGGCGGTGAAAGTTGCGGATCTCTCCCAATGACCTTTGACTGTGACATAGAGAGGGACTTCACTCCTTATTTTAGAAACTGATGGCTCACAGCAGAACGAAGGGCTCTTGTTTTAAAAAAAAACGGGATCCAAAATGAGTTTAAACGCAAAAAGCTTTGTGCCATTTCTGTCCTGCATTTCGACATTTTGTGAAAACTTCAAGCAGGCGACCTTAAAGTATTTTGTAATCGTTTTGCTAGAGAGCTTGAGCACTTTAAGCTGAATTACATTTGTCATACAGCGGTGTGCGTATGTCCTCTTTTCATGCGTTAATGTCAAGACTTTAAATCCAGTTCTCCTGCGAATGATCCCAGTAAATGCGGAATAACACAAATCTGGTATTAAAGGAACTTCGTACCATGTTACCGGTGATTTGTGAACTCCTCGGGCACTTTGTTTGACATTAAAACACAGCCACTTCAGAGAGTTGAATTTGCAGTTACCTTGTTTGGTCTGATCAACAGTTTGAACCCAAAGATTTTCACTCGATAATTTTGAAAAACTAGAAAGTTTTTTTCTTTCAACTGATGAGCTGGATGCAGTAAATTTGAGGTAATTTTTGCTTTGGACAATTTGAAATAATTGCTCCATCATAAAAAAAAATCAATCGTCGAACGTGTGATCATCTTTGTTGCAGTTCTTGATTTTTTACAGTGCGGGCGATACTATCAAGAAAGAATATTTTTAGTCTAATGGCACTGTTACTATGAGCAGGTACTTGAGTATTGTTACAGTTCATCTTCATGAGATTGCTTTTATAAGACAACATCAGTTGTTATTTTGCGAGGTGTTTTCTTTTCTGCTGTCTATTATACAGGGGGTTCTGGAGGGTGACTAGACTGACATGAACCCACCAGAATGAAGTCACTGAAACGCACACCATGTAAGGGTACTCCTGAACCGATGTTACATTTTACTTTGAGTCTGATATTAGAGAGGCTGTACAAGAACAACAGGAGCTTCAGTGACCTCCTTAGCGTACTGAGTGTAGCAGCTGTTAATGCAGGAAGTGTTGATAGGGTGTAACCGTGGAAACACTGTGTTGATGTGAACAGAAGCCAGTAAAAACAGGCTGTGGTCAAATGCAACAGTCCTGTGGTAAGAGTGGATGTAAAAAAAAAAATGAGTGTAATCATCATTATCAGAGGATGATGAAAGAGTTAAAGTAAAAAAGAAAGACGATGGTGAAGAAGAGAATTGGAGGGACGGTTTGGCCCTGTTTTTGTGTGTATTTGTGTGTCGGTTAAAGGAAGAGCATGCCTTTAGATATTGCCTCTTCCTTCTGTTGTTATCTTCTGCTGTGCAGGAACTTATAACTTTTTTTTTTTTAATTCAGGCATGCCTCTCGACTCCACATTATCCAGGAAATGATTTCCTCTTTGTAACATTTTATACTTTTCCTTTGTGAGTTCTTTTTTGTAGAAGGGAAACAAAGGAGTGAAAGAAAGCTGAGAAGATTTGCACTCATCCATTGAGAATGTTTTATTCTTTTGCTTTGATATTTGTTTTATCTAACAACTGCTTTTATTATTACTTACCTTTATGTTTCTGAAGGTCGTGGAAAATGAGCAAATTCACGTCAGTTCTGTGAATCTTGTGTAACTCTGTGAGCCGCTGTGGAGATGGTTGAAAAAAATCATCTCATCCTGTTGTTTCATCACTTTACCATTCAGGTACTTTGTGTGTATGTTTGCAACAAACTGAATGCCGTTACCGTGACCTCTACAGAGCATGAATCGTTCATCCTCCACAAATGATAGAAAACAAATCTATATATATATATACACGAGTTGAAATGTGTGCCACCTTTCTTCAAATGACACATTGAATAATGTGAACTCTGCAAAAGCCGATGTAGGTTTTGGTGTTTGCCTACTGCTCTGTCAGTACGTGTTCTCTCTGTTCTCTGAATGGTGATTTGTGATTGGCTTTGATCGTTGGAAATCGCGTCTCAAGTAGCTGACCAAAGAGGCCTGCTGTGCTTTGTGTTTCTAGACAGTCCACTCTATCTTTATACTGCAAATTCTCTGCATATGTATGTGTGTGAATGTGTGTGTGTGATGTGTGTTAATGCCTGCTTGTGTACATGGATGTGTTACCTTGTATGTGTGTTCGAGAGAGAGAGAGAGAGAGAGAGAGAGGAGGAGGAGGGACACTGTGTTCTGTCTCTTTCCTCTGTGTTGCAGGTACTGATTGTTTACATCTGTGTAAATATACTCTCACCTGTTCATGTGCGTGCAACGGTCAATAAACAGAAGCCTGTGCTTTTGGTTAAAGCCCTCGCTGTAATGGCGTCATTTATCCTGTTTCCTGTTTGTTAGATTTTGGTATTGTGTGAGAATGTGGCTGCTGAGCCGCTGAAATCATCCCATCCAAAAGAAGTATGAAAGGAGATTAGTGCCAGAAGTGATTTGATTTGAGTAGCGTAAATCTAAGACAGGATTTTTATTACGTCGGGCTAAGAAATTAAATATGGCAGGTAGCCCAAGCCTAGAAGATATTAGAGCGTATATTACAGTCGAATGTTCCAAAAGGGATAAACTTCAGATTAGACCTGGTCCTGCTCTGATGTAGGTTAACCCTTAAAAACTTTGGAAGAATTCAACAACAGAGGGAAAATTTGACTAACAGCGAACACTCTAGCTCTGCTTTATTTGGGCAAATGTTTAATATTTTTTCAGCTCTCCAATGGTTTGAAAAATCAGGCGGAAATTGAACAACATTGATGGTCTTGACTTTGGCAGTGATCCTGTTACCATGGTCTCCATTTTAAAAACAGTAAGGTTTTGAGTAAACACTATTCTTACATGAAAAAAAAGTAAAAACACTTAAATTTGCGTGACTTTTCACAGCCGTAAGTCAGAAACAAAAACCTTGACTTGTGGATGCGCATGGTTAACTTTTTCTTGGACTCCATTGTATTGGTGTTACTACAGCCGCACCCCTCACAGCAAAGACTGATGGCATTTTATTCTCCCAGCAACAATTTGTGCTAGATATCAGGTAACATGTTCCTAATATGGACACAACTCCCTCCAGTCTGCACAAGAATGTCTGCATAGTGGAGTTAGAGTCCAGGCAGGAAATAGTAGTTTTAAAGGGCCACTTAGCTGCAGCAGATATCTGTGATTCAGATTGGCTGAACCATCTGAATTCAGCTCTCCACACATGGATGTTGATGTGAAATACTGTGATGGCTCACAAAACTTACAGGATAACACAACAGGATCTGAGTTGTGGTGTTTTTCAATGTTCATACTGTGTCTTTTGTGAAATCTGTCGTTCAGTGACTGATAAAATATACAGTATAGCACTGCACCACAATGTCAACATTAGGAGGTCACCCTGCAGGGTCTTCAACATGTTTTCTCCACCTCAAGAGCTCATAAAAGACACCTAAAAAGGCATCTCTTCTTTACCTGAGCTGCACAAATCTAATTTGCCACCCCAGATGTTACTTAAAAATAGTAAAATCAAAGAGCTAGCTCAAAATCCTAAAATACAAATTTCCTTGTTAGACACTGAACACATTTTAGAGCATATTATGTTTTCCCCACTGGCAAATTTCTATTGACATTTCTCTGCAGAAAAGGCGCCCTCTTTTGGCATTGTGTTATATTTTCTCCACTGCAGGGGCATCTTGGCAATCAAATCGTCCTGTTTTCTGCATTGTAATGGCACTTGACTATGTTTTTGACACTGGAAAGCCACCTTAAAAAGTGCCTTAAAAGGCATTAAAAGACACCTAAGATGTTTTTTTCCCACATTTCTTTACCGGAAAGACTTCAGAGGGCACCTTGTTTTATTTTCTCCACTGGACTCCATACTCATCCAATCAATGTGTTTGCAAAGCCAGGTAATCATGGAGGGTCCTCTCATGTTTTCTCCACCCAGTTTTCTCCGCTGGAAGGACACCTTGGAGGTTACTTCACCATAGTTTTCTCCACCAGAATGGTAAGGAGGGAACTTTTTCATGTTTTCTCCAAAGATGGGCACTTAAAGGGTACTGGATTATGGCACTGCGTTTCTATCGGGATGTCAGCTTGGGGGTGATTTACTATATTTTCTATAAGTTCACATACACTGCCAGTTGATCATGTTTTCTCCACTAAGTTTGTCGTGATTGGGGAAACAATTGAGAGCATATGGTTAATAAAAAAAAGTAAAAGCATGTTGCATGATAATGAGATGCTGTATTTGCTTGATTATTTTGGTTATTTGCAGAGTACTCTTCTCTGTGTCTTTATATCAAATGCACATACAGTACATTACAACATCCTCTCCCTCAACCCTTATGTTTAGAGGCATCATTGTTTTGTTGGTGGATGTGGTTCATGGGGAAATTAAATGTGTAGTTTAAATATAGTCTAAATAAAGCATCTTGGAACACTTTTCAGACTTTTTTTAAACATTTATAATTGAAACAGATTAACTCTTAGGCTGAGTTTACCGGCTGCAAGTATTTACTTTTGGTTAAGATTGAGTCATCTTGATGTAACTCCTTCTGGCATTACCAAAAAAGGAGATGAGTGAGGCTGACACAAGAAAAAGAAGAGTGTGTCAACTTAACAAGTCTGACTATTTCTCCTCACTTTTCTGTTGTTAACATTTTTATGAGGATAACTATGTTCCTATGAGGGGATCCCCACAGAGCAAAACTGTGTGTACACAAAAGGTGGTTATTCTGTCTCCCATCACATTTCTCATTACACAGAAAAGTTATGACTTACTTACTTCAGGATGCCGTCTATTGGGTGCAAGGCCAATGAGAAGTTTACAAAGAGAGCTTATAAATTCCTGGTTGAGGTCATTGTTTATGAGAGCTAACAGAGGTTTGGCTCATGTCCTGAAGTTTTCTCTCTTTTCCCCCCCTCTGCTCCCCCTGTCTTTAAAGCTGTGTTGCCACTGCGGATTTCACCTCTCGACCAAACCCTTCAGACGCACTGCTGGTGGAGAGTGAAAGACGCTCATCTGTTCGTTTCTGAGAGGTGAGTCCAAGCTGGGTTCAACTCAGACCGTAAGCCTGCTGTTCAGTTCACTTCAGGTGATTTTACTGAGGAAGAGCGGTGAAAGACGATATTCAGACAAGTTTTCATCCCGTTTCAGTGCGGTTAGGTCAAATGTGTGATTGCAACGTGTTGTTCGTGGATGGAGATGAACTAACTTCCTTTATCAGTCTACAGGACCTTTCTGAAAAACTCTCACATGATCGACAGTTTTAATATTTAATCTGACCAACGATGCGCAACAGGTGATAACAGGGTTTGGCACTGCAGCTGCGCATACTGTGCGCTTTCGATTTACCCTATCCCTATTCAACGAGCTGTTAGCTCTTTTATTTTTATCTTTTTAATTATATATCAGGTGCAGGTTGACTTTTGAACATTTTATTTGATCAGTTATTGGTTTATCTGTCTAATATGTTGAGTACTTTGGCAGGAGAGGTGCATAACCCGGTCACAGCTCCTGCTTCAATGTGTATTTATAGCCGAAGCATTTTAGAGGTAGCTTAGCCTATATATCATTTTGATTTATTTACAGCTCTAATTGGTTACTTAGTGTTCAGACCTTTATTTCTAGATTTGCAAAATAAAAGGACTACCAGTTGCTTCCATATCAGGTAGAAATAACTTGCCTTTATCATCCAGTGACTGAGTTGGAACTGCGTGTATACAAAGAAGGAAAATGACATAAATATGACATAAATGTTACTGCGATGAAACATTTTATAGATCAGCATGAGATATGGACATATCGTGTCCATAAAATATAACTTCAGCTGTGCTTATTTAAAGTTCATTTAAAAACATTTTTCTGTCCAACTTACCATCTTAAAGTGTACTTTAACTACGCCTGTTATTAAAATGTACTTAGAGAGTATGCTGATTAGCTTTATATTAATGTTTTCACCTAAATCACGTCTATTTCACTCTTCCTATTGGTCTACTTTATGTTAGAATATGCTCGATACTTCCATTTCAAGTGCTTTAGAAATATAAGTTGACCAATCTGCTGTGAAAACATACTTAATACTATCATGTTAGACAATTTCCTTTAGTCTACTTTGAGAGAAAGGACATTTTGCAGAATTTTTGTGATGTATTTTTGTTTTTTTTAATCAAAAGATATTATAGTTTACTGTGTTTAAATGTTAAAAACTGAAAATATTTAAATATACCAACCAAATCTTAATTGGTATTGACTTAAATGGTAGCATATGTCTAATATATTCATAAAATTTGTGTAAAAATTACACACATGCACACTGAATTCATTATCTCCACAGTCATCTTCTGTAGGCTATATAACATTGGCTCCACCAATGCTGCTGTATAACATCTGCTAATGAGGCTTTTATATTCAGCTCTGCCAATGCACAGTCATAATTGAGAGCATCGTTATGGTACTTGTACTGAGTGTTATATAAACTGGTACAAACAGTGTGAGTACTGTTGCTCTATTGACTGTAGCAGACCTATAAATCCCACTTGTTTAGACTGGACAACGTGAAGTCCTCTGCTGACACCTTCACCATGAACATCAGAGCCCAAAGGTACCATTAGTGCCCTGAAACTCTTAAAACACCCACCAGATTACCGTCTCCTCCCTTCTAGTCTGGATTGCCGCCAAACCAAATGAATGATGTCATAACAGAGACCTGAAGATTACAGTCCTTTTCTCTGGCACAGTGGACCTCCTTGTGGCTGCAGTATGACCTCACCATCCTTCTAATCCCATAAAAAACTTTGTACTCCAGCGAGAAATGACTTAAACCACTTTTGACTTCACAAGAAAACAGTTTCCCTGGAGCTTTTATTATTTATTTATTTGCTGCAATTTATAAATCACTTTTAAGACTGTGATCTCAGAAGTCTATTTTAAATTTTTGATGTAAAATCGGCACAAAAGCAGTGTACCAGTCCAGCAAGGCAGTTGCGCATTATTCATTCATAAAGCCTGGTATGTAATGTGTTATTTATACCCAACTTCAAACACGCTGTTGTGTTCAGTGCCAGTGAGCTCCTCTCTTCTTTCAGACCAGCAGAGAAAGTTTGGTTTGGTTTTTCTCAGGCAGCCTGGAGTTTTCCAGTTTGCATCGACAGAGACTTTTTAAAAAGGAGACAGTTTCATCACCTCTTTTATTCTTGCAAATGGAGCAGAGAGATTGGCGGGGGGTGACCGAGTTGATGAAACACAAGAAACAGCACCATCACCAGGGCTGATTGAGGCTGAGCCAGTGTGGCAAAAATCTCCTATGTGGATGTCAAATCTCCACTGCTTTCCTCTTTCTTTTTCCCTTTGAACCGCTGAAAAATCTCTGCAGAAATTGCACATGATTACTGTTTTTTAAAAAATGGAGAAAGTGGTGCATGAATGATCAGAAAGAGAGATCAAAAACTTAAAGGAACAGTAAGAGGGAGAGTTCAAAAGAGCAAATCACTATTTAACTCAGTGAGGTAATAGTATAAAAGCATAAAATTTGCATTGAAAATATTGTAAATTAAAGATAACAAGGCTCCTCAGATGAGTTTTCAGATTGGGGATAATGTATAGTGAACAGGTTGTTATGCAGGTTAGAATCCTGACTGGGATAACCATGGAGTAATTTAAGACAGACACTGATCTAAACTATTGGGTTAAAGGAATTGACTTCTAAATTATCTAAACATATAGCGAAAAAATTGCCCCTTTAATTCTCATTGCGAGTGCTGTTTCTATGGCAACACATTTTCATTAGCTTCCTTGTAGGAGAAATTAACTCATCAAACTCATCATCTGCCTGTTTGACTTGACATAATTCACATTGAACTGACAAAGTGAACACAAGAACATTTGTTATTTTCTGCTCTGATTCAGCTCTTCTTCTCAGAGCTTTGGCACACCTTTAAAAATAAATTAGCAAAAGTTACAATCAATAACATTGTTGTTGTAACATTACTACCCCCTCACTACCCCTTAAATCATTTTGTAACTATCAGAAACTTGGGCCATCTCTGCTGTTGCCTAGTTTGAAGAATCAGAGATGGTTGCTCAATAGATGTCAGTATTTCCTACTCTCAGGATCCACAAGCAATTTTGCCACGGTGTGAACAGGCAGAGGTGAAATGTGCCAGACTGCATTCTGCAGGTTTATTTTACTGATAGTCATGAACTTAGGTGCTCTTAGCATTGGAGAAATAACCTCTGTTGTTACAGGGTCTTGACCATCAAAATCAAGTATCTGAACCAGACTGGCCAGGTAATAACTAGCTCTAAAGCAGAATAAAATCAATAGTGATGCTTTTTGATGTGCTACTAAAGCAAAAATACTGTTATTTTTTCTTTGTTGTGTTGTTGTTAAATGGCTGTAATCACATGCAAGAATTAATTAAGACAAGACGTTTTATGGCGTAAAAGCAGCTTTTTTCATTAGCCACAGGAAAGGCTAACTGTAAGTAATATTTGCAACTGCTAAAAAGGATGAGGGTATGAGTCCTACATCCTACCATTCATGAATGAGATAAGGTGTAACATTTTGTCCAAGAGGGGGCGCCAAAACCAACACAAATCAAAAGTTTCTGACAAGCGCTTTAACACACTGTATTCCTTTACTCTCCATAAACTTTAAGTCTGCTCGGAGAAATTCTGGCTCTGTTTAACAGCATGACTGTGGAAATACTGTCTTTTGTTCAATTATTGGAGGGTAAAGACAGTGAGATTAACAGAAGGGACACTTTCTGTCTAGAAACTCACAATATCACAGAGACTGACACTCACTATCCACAATGAAATATGTTTGAATGATTCAGGTTACTTCTTTCATAAAAAAAAAATGTGCTGCACAAGTCAAAAGACGACCTGATTTTTCTGTCTTTAGAGGCTTAGTCATGTGAGACCACAGGAAGCTGAAGTGCTCGCCACCTACAGTGAAGGCTTTATCTGAAAGAGTGTATGTGTGTGTGTGTGTGTGTGTGTGTGTGTGTGTGTGTGTGTGTGTGTGTGTGTGTGTGTGTGTGTGTGTGTGTGTGTGAGTCATACCCCAGGAGTGTTACAGTGTTGATAGAGCTACCCTTTTGCCCTTTTGTCCACACGTACTTGACCTCAATGTGTCCTAGCCTTGCAGTCACGCCCTGATCCTCTCAGCCACAGGCTGACCTTTCGCCATGTTGTGGTTCAGCGTCATGCGCTCACAAATGAGAGCATGTGTGAGGGCCTTGTTGTCTCGACACACTGTTTTTGTGTATGTGCATGATGAGTCACCGAGTCCCCTGACAGCGATAGTGTGGCTGTGTCTGCTTGCCCAAGAACCGGATCCGGAGGGTTACAGAGACAAATGGACATGCAGGGCTGGAGGTCATGCTGAGGAAAGAGCCCTCAGACACAAACACACAAGGTTTTTGTTGCCATTGGTGACAGTGAGGAGAGTGTGGTTTGCTTGTTCAGATAACACTGAATGATTTCCTCTAATTCACTTAGAAAGTACAGGCCAGATTTCCTGTTTCAGTTTAATGGCAGAGTCAAGATGGAGGACTTACAGAGGCGACACCTAACAAAAGTGCATGAGCCTCGAACCCATGATGAGTTTAAATCAGACACATAAAGTAAAAATAGAGTTAAAACTGCTTATCAAATTTGATAATTTTATGATTGATGCACTTTTATAGTTTATGTTGCTCTACATGATCAGGAGTTGTCTCTGCTCTGTTAGTGGTGACGCTTTGGAGAAGTTTTAATGAGCTTTCTGGATAGCAGAGATGGGATAGAGTTAACATTTTCACCAGAAAAGCCGGAAATACAAGTGGTAATATGTAGCTGCAGGAGTAGTGATAATTGCTAACTGAAGTTTCCAACAAAAAGCAGCCATACATGCAAAACATGATAGAAGAGGTGATTGTAACAAACTAAAAACACAGAGTAACTATCAACACAAGTCAACTACAGTCATAGGTAGAACATCTACAGCTAGATATGCTTGGTCATATTTAAAAGTAACAAACTATCTTGCTGTAAATCCTGCAGTTGCGGCTGCCCAATAACATTTGACCCCTAATATGTGTATTGGATGTACCTACAATTATCCCAGTTATCATTTTTCTGTTCAACACCATCATCATCATCACTCTGTTAACAGTCAGATTAAATATAACTTTGTCACCTGTTTACTCCTTTCATTGAGCATTTGGTCGTCAAACCCTTCACCGATTCAAAGCTGCAATAATGTAAACAGAAATAAAAATTGTGATAATTCAAACAGTTGAAACTAAAGTCTTCTTGTAAATGCAAGACGTGAAGAAGGACAAAGTGACCTCCTAATAAAAACACAGAGCGGTGGGGGATTTTATAGGCAGGGAGACATGGAGCCTTCCTGCTTGTTAATTAGTCTTTGTGGGTTTGGAGTAATTGGATGATAGATTATAAAAGAAAGGACTAATGCTGTGCTCACTGGTAATGTACCAAATCAAATCTGTAATTACAACCAGCTGCCCTTTACAGAACCAAGCAAACCAACACACACAAGCTAGCAAACCGCATTGATTTGTTTGGTCTCTGATATAGAAGCACAACCATTTGGCTAAGAGGGAGTCTCTCTCTTTCTGAAGTACAGTTTAATGGCCCCAAACTGAGGTCAGTACATTTATTATCTCAATAGCTCAGTTATTTTTTCCTCAGTCAGTCCTCTGGGACTCCAGTTTCCTCTTATTTCCATCAGGGAATTGTAGTTGTGTTTTTAGGCTGATCCTGTTTTAAAGACCCGAAAGTTCATCTTTCAATGGTAGTCAAAATGTTATATTATGTTGTATAATGGCATATTGTTGGTCATTTAAAAGTGGGGTAAAATTGTAACGGAAAAATGAGCATTGATGAGTACTTTCAAGAATACAGTATAGCCTGTGCATCTTAACTTGAAGTGACAAATCCCCAGATAACAGTTGTCTTACCTGAACCTCTTTAAGCCCCTTTTTTGTTTTTTTCAGCAAAAGGCTAGGAAAGAACAAAGCTTTAAGCTAAACTATATCGATCTCCAATTAGCTATCTGGTATTTGCATTACATTGGAGGATTTAATGGTTAAAAATAACAAATATTATGCTGAGATGTTGGTGGAGACCAAAACAGGGCTATAAGTGAAATAAACAACAATTCACTTTTGACACTGTTTATGTTTGAGACAGAGGTCCAAAGCCTCCTCTGGACACACAACTAACAAGACGCTCAGTTTGAATCATGAAGTTATTGGTAGCCCTTACTTGAGTTGAACCTTGTATGTATCAGAAGAATTTCAAAACTAGGAGTCAAACACAGTGTCGTTTATTTCCTCTAGGTAGCTAAACAAAATGTCAGCATGAAGTCCTTGGGGGAACTATGGTCTAGTTTACATAACACATAACATTACAAAGCCTTAAAAACACCCTTAATGAATCCTTTTCACATCCAAAATTACATCCTCTAGAAAGACTTTATAAAGGCCTTTGCTACACCTTTATAAAGCAGTAATAACACCTTTTATCACACCCTTAATAAAGCAGTAATAACACTCTGTATCACATCATTTATTAAGCCGTCATTATATCCGAAACTACATCCTTTAGAGAGACTGAACACAAGCCTTTCTTACACCCTTTATAAAGCAGTAATAACACATTTATTAAACCCTCCATAAAGCTGTTATAACACCCTTTATTGCACCTTTATAAAACAGTAATAGCACCATTTATTACACCTTCATAAAGCTGTGATAACACCCTTTATTACACCTTTATAAAGCTGTAATAACACCCTTTATTACACCTTTATAAAGCTGTAATAACATCCTTTATTACACCTTTATAAAGCTGTAATAACACCCTTTATTACACCTTTATAAAGCTGTAATAACATCTTTTATTACACCTTCATAAAGCTGTGATAACACCCTTCATTACACCTTTATAAAGCTGTAATAACACCCTTTATTACATCCTTTATAAAGCTGTAATAACATCCTTTATTACACCTTCATGAAGCTGTAATAACACCCTTTATTAAAACTTCACAAAGCTGTAATAACACCCTTTATAAAGCTGTAATAACACCCTTTATTACACCTTTATAAAGCTGTAATAACATCCTTTATTACATCTTTTATAAATCCTAAAATACACTCTTTATAAAGCCATAATAGCACTCTGTATTAGACCCTTTATAAAGCTTTCGTCACATCTTAAACTACATCCTTTATAAACACCTTATAAAAGCTTGTATTACACCCTCTATTACGCCATAATAAAACCCTTTGTTACACCCTTTATTAAGCAGTAATAACACCCTTTTTCACATCCTTTAATACAGCCTTTGAGAAACCCTTTATAACACCATTAATTGCACACCCTTACTATAGGGAAACAGCCTTGGACCATGGAGGTCTTCAAGTTCTGTTTAGGAGATTTCAGCTGGTCATGAAACTGACAGGAACTAATGAGGTAGTTTACAGTATGCTGCAAAAATATATAATTTTTTTATTCATGTTTTACAGGAAAAATTATTGACAAGTGATGCATTTTATTGTTTACAGAAAACAGAATTTATTTCTGTTTTTATGACTAATTGTGTTTAGAACTTGTCATAAATGCATGAAGACATACAAGCACATTTTGGAATTTCCAAAGAAGCTAGTCTTCATTATTGTTGGCATCAAACTGTAATACAATGGAATTTTGGATGAAGATAAATAATGGATAAATGAGGATTTTTTTTTTATTTCATTGTTGTATGACTTATTTTGTCTGGGGGTTTATGCTGCCATTTAGTTGTTTTATCAGGAATGAACTTGAGTTTCCTGCAGCTTTAGTGGAGATGTTCTGTCTGGGAAAACCAATCTGTGAGATAACAGAGTACAAAATAACAGACAGAAAAATCCAGTGGCGATTTTTTCTCAAGCTCTAAAGTACTCTAATCTGGCTCTGGTAAACACACAGTTTATATCAGTGTTCCACGTTATTTGACATGTTCTCATACCGTAGTCTATAAATGTAACACACAGAGACATAAAGATTTAAGGAAAGGAACTTATATAACAGGATTTATCTGTCCTCGGCTCAGTCGGTTGTATTGACTTGCTCTGCCTGTGAGTCATCCCTCTGAATTATGATGTGATCCAATGTGTCATCTGTGCATTTTCTCGCCACATTTCAACAAAACGTTTCATGTCAAGGCAGTGGGAGTATCTGTTATCTCTCATGGTGATCGTTCAAAATCTCCAGACGGTCCCTGTTTTTTTACTTGCTGATGTTACAGCCGTGGAATCCAGCCTCCATCACCTAATCTACCCCCTCTGCATCATATCATCTGCTCTATTCTCTAATGCATACCCTAAAAAGGACAGCAGGCCCGCAGGTTGGATTAGGATGTGGGCTCGCAGGGGTGTGTGGGTAACAGAGGGGTATATACAGACCCCCATAAATCCAATCAGGGGTGTGGGTTCTGGGTTTGACCCTCTGTGGATGCTACTGTCTCCTCCATTGTGTGTCTTCTTCCTCTGTCTTCGTCTTTCCCTGACTGGACGCAAACATGACTTTCTACAAACACTCAGGTAAAACCAAAGTAATGAAAAGTGGAGGCAAGTTATTTAATATTTATAAGAAATCTGGTACAAAATGTGAGACGTGTCGGCAAAGAGTGAGAATTTAATGAGGCACAGAAGGCACTGTCCTAGATTTAGAGCGAATTTGTACAAAAACTTTAAAATTTAAAACCAAAAATTAGGCTAGAAATAAACACTCTTCTTGCAATAATGCTTTCTTTTTTTCTTCTTTTTAAAACTTTAAAACTAGGACATTTTGACGTTCACTTTTTATTTAACTTTGCACTTTGTATTTGCAACAACTAACTACAGTTTAACTTTAAAGGTTCATTTAGCTATTTACGGTATTTTTGATGTGCAGCATGATAGGCTAACCTCCTCTAGCAGCATAACAAACAACTATGAAGTCAAACTTTTAAAACTAAAATCTAAAATCTCCCTCTTTTCTGGGTGATAGCTTTATTAATTCCATCACACTGCTACACTTAGATGAACAGATACAGATTAAGACATCTGATTTGGAGGAAATGTAGATTTTGCTCTTTTTCCAGGTGGAAACTCATGCAGCTCATTAAAAACTGTATTGACTGTTTTGAGGAAAGGCTTCGCATCATCATGGAGACACCTTTCGGGTGGATCTATGTATGCAGCTGTTTTTTGTATTAGATCAATACTTGGAGGGCATTTCTCTCTCTCTTAAACTCATTTATTTTCGTTTTGTAACCATTCTTGCTTTTATTTTTACTCATTTAAATTGATATGCATTGTTTCTAACTGGCTGATGTTTTGAAGCATGCTGTAACCTGTGTATAGAAAGATGTTGTATTAATTAAGTTTTGTTTACTATCGTGTCAATTTTAAATTACTAGTTATAAAATCTTTGATGCTTTTCTTCCTCCTGGTCAGTCTGAATACCTTTGATTTGTGTAGATAATTCATCCCTGCTGTGCGATCTCTTGGATGCTGAATGACCTGAGCGTTTTAAGTTACCTGACATGTGTAAATATCTTTGTTCTGATAGTTAAAGCTGTCATCTGCTTTTCATTTTCTTGAATGTTAGTAAAAGGCAAAAGAAAAGTCTGCTCCAGAGGTTGCACTGTACTTTTCACAGCTATTGTGTCAAATTCTTCTAGTTTTGTGGGAGGACATCTGTCAGGCAGCACTCAGCTGTTTTCCACCGGGTCTCGCCAATATAGCCAATGATTTGGCTGATGTACACCGTCTGTCTTTGATCCCGTCTCTCTGACTCACCTTTCTAAATGGTCTCACGTTGACCTTTCTGTCTTCCCAAAGGGACCGCAGTGGTTTTCTCCACTCTGTCCACAGCTGAGTGTGGGCACATACCATGGCTGTTTGACGTGGGGCAGCTGTCGCGCTGTTACTCTCCAAAGATTAAAGTACTGGAACCACAATAGCTGCTTGGTCCCGGTAGTCATCACTCTACATCCATCTCCATTTGTCCGCTCTGGAAGGTCAATGTACTTTAAATAGAGGGGAACATGACTGAAATAGATCTCAGGCTCAGTGATGAGACCTGATCACTGCGAGGTCATGATATGTTTGGATTTATTATGTTGGACTTGGTGTGTTTGTTCTGTTTTAGAGCAGGGAAATCAACAAGTGTGGGCGGGTGGGGTGTGTGGGGGCTCAGTCTTGAGTCGTCTTTATCCCAGAAGCACAGCTGCAGACAGCTCTCATCCAGTCATCCTCACACACACACACACACATCAGGGGTGCATACCACCCTCTCAGAGGCTCATCTCTTTCTCCCTGCTGATTACAACATCCCACTTAAATAGCTGTTTTCCCCTTGTGTAAATATTTTCCTTGTTCCCGTGGTAACTTGGATGAAATGCCATTCCAGCCATTGTGTCCTCCATCGCTCCTGTTGAACTGGCTTGATAAAAATGATATCTGACGCCCTGGATAAGTCGCATTGTTGACACACTGTTCAGCTGCTCTCCCTCATGTCCTGTGAGTAAGAGAGAGAGAGGCTTTAAAGTGATGTAGATAAGCATAATATGTCCTCACACTCCACCCAAATCACAGTTGTTCCAGGAAACTACTCCGTCTGCTCTCTGTGGAGGCGGCCTGTGATGGCAGCAGGAATGTTGATGAATTAAGGATTGAAGCAACTCAGTTTATTCAAAGAGCCAATAAAGTAACCCAGTTAAAATGCAGACAAAACAGTGAGCGTGGGCTGAAGGTGTGACAGGGGCAGACGGTCTAAAAATATGACTTAAGCTCTCCTGGGGGAGTTTGATAAAAAGAAGTCTGGGGGTCAGGAAGTACGCAGACAACAGGCAGACATGCGTGAGCTGCACTTTTACCTCTCCCTTCTCTCAACAGTTTGGTATGCTGCTCTAAGAGATTTATCTTTTCTTTTTGTATTTTTCAAGGCACAGAGGATGAAATACGATTAGTGTCACAGGCATTGTTGCCGTGATCACAAAACTGTTTAAAAAAAGTTAAAGCTGATCTTGAACTTCTGGTTTTCCTCCAATAGTTTGTCATGTTTTATTAGGGCCCAAGCAGTGGGTGAGAGCCCTAATAAAATTGCAGGAGTTATTTATTATTATTATTATTATTATTATTATTATTATTATTATTATTTATTTATTTTTTCTTTTCTTTTTTTTTTTTTATTAACTTTAAAACTTTTACATCCTCTAGATGGGGTGGCAGGCGGGTTGGGCCCAGCTTAAATTCCTGCCCCTATGTATATGAAGAAAAAAAATGTCTCGCCAGCACACCCAATGTCTCTGGCACTGGACAATTTGACACTAAACCTTTGTCTGAATGTTGTAGCGCCACCTGATGGCAGAGGTGAATGTGTTTTTTTGGCAAATGGCCTGTAACTCCTTTATTGATGGGATAAGGCTGAGATTTGTTCAGGACACACCTGATGGGGAACCAGACAGGCAAGAAAATCAGCACCATGTTTTGTTAAACTGCGCCTAGGTAGCGCTATGAAATGTCTCAAAAAAGATTTTAAAAAATTGCAATCACAAACATTTTTTTCATACTATACTATGATATTTTTATCATACTTAACTAAAATATTTGAATCATACCTGACTATATTTTTCATACTATTCGATGATATTTTTTCATTTATTTTATCATACTATACTATGACATTTTTTCATCATACCATACTATGACATTTTTCATCATACCATACTATGATATTTTTAACATACTTTACCATGATTTTTTATCAGTCTTAACTATGACATTTTTATCATACAGGACTATGACATTTTTAATCATACCATTCTATGAAGTTTTTTCATACTATAATGACTTAATCATACTTTAGTACTACAATTTATTATTAAACAATACTACATTTTTTTTAATCATACTTTACAGTTTGACATTTTTATCATAATACAAAATGACATTTTTAACATACTATACTATGACATTTTTTTATCATACTATACATGACATTTTTATAATACTGTACTGTCATTTATGAACATACTGTTTTATGACATTTTTATCATGCTAAACTATGACATAATATACTATGACATTTTATAACATACCTTACGATGACATTTTTTATTATACTATACTATGACATTTTTATAATACTATACTATGACATTTTTGAACAAACTGCAATATGACATTTTTATCATAATATACTATGACATTTTTCGACATACTATACTATGACATTTTTTATCATACTATATTATGGCATTTTTATCATACAATACAATTGCATTTTTTATTTCACTATACAATGATTTTTTTTAAAACATAGTATACTACGACATTTTTATTGTGCTATAATTTGACATTTTAATCATACTTTTATTTGTTTTTTATACTATACTGTTATAGATTTGTCATACTATACTATGACATTTTTATCAAACCATACAATGACCTTTTTCAAACTAAAATATGAAATATTTTTTTCATATTATACAATGACATTTTTATTGTACTATACAATGAATTTTTTATCATACAGTACTTTTATTTTTACATACTATACTATGATATTTTTTTATCATATTACCTTTGATTTGTTTCACACTTTCTGATTTTTTTTATCATACTATACTATGATATTTTGTCATACTTAAATTAGATTTTTTTACCATACTATACGTTGACATTTTCATTGTACTGTGATATTTTCTCATACTATACTACGATATTTTTCAAACTATACTGTGACATTATTTTTCCTACTACAATATGATATTTTTTATTTAACTATGCTATGACTTTTTTAAAGGGACATCTGTAATGAAGGATAAAAGGTATCTGACAGTTTTCTTCTGTGTTCCCATCAGGTCCCAGGAGCTATCTCACCTCCACCATGACTGATCGCTTCGACTGCTACTACTGCCGCGACAACCTGCATGGGAAAAAGTATGTGAAGAAGGACGAGAAGCATGTGTGCACCAAGTGCTTCGATAAGCTCTGTGCCAACACTTGTGCAGAGTGCAAACGCCCCATCGGTGCTGACTCCAAGGTGATGATGCAACGAAAATTACACTTTCTAAAAACATATTTAAACTCTTAATTTAAAATAATATTTTTTAAGATGAAATATAGAGTTTTTGACTTGACAAAGAAATCAGAGACTTTTCTGAAGTACTATACTACAAAAACGACATGGTCTTTATTGGAAAGTGCCTATCACTAACCTCAATTACAAAGAAATTACATAAATATCTACATTTCATCATGGATGTATCGACATATTCAGACTCTGGAAATGTGTAACAACTTTTCTGTCAGGCAGCTGTGACTTTTACTTCAAAACCTCCTTGGTCACAGATGTTGTGATAACCGCTAATGAAGCTTAAACTCTTTATATCACATTTGCACCATCCAAGTCATCCTAATCTTCATGCCTCGCCACATCCCACTTCACCTCATCTCAGCTGTAATGCCTGACACATGGGCCGGATCCTTTCTCTGGCCCTGATCCACGCAATGGAGTAAACAAAGTCCAATTTAATTAAGTTCTTCACCTCTGCTCATCCACCTCCCACTCTCTGTTTTTAGGAGCTGCACCACAAGAACCGACACTGGCATGAGGACTGTTTCCGTTGCGCCAAGTGTTACAAGTCACTGGCCAGCGAGCCATTCAGCGCCCGCGATGATGGAAAGATAATGTGCGGCAAGTGTGGCTCCAGAGAGGATGGAAACCGCTGCCAGGGCTGCTATAAGGTGGTCATGCCAGGTGGGTTTGCTATTGTAACTACTTATGTATTTTTTTTAAGGAGATATTTTTTTATATACCTACTTTGGGTTTAATTTTAGTGCGACAGTCAGAGGATGACAGTGGGAAGAAGGAAACCCAAACACATTTATGCCTTATGTAAAGAATCAAAAATGGTATGACACATACAAGTCAGTACATTACTATACTGTACTATGCAACACAATATATTAGAATACATTATGATACAACGTGAAACAATATGATACAATACAATAACGCTAAGATACAATACAAGAATATAATAAAACAATACCATATATATGATATGAGAGTACAGGGTGATATAAGATAACACAATATGATATGAAAGAATACAACACGATACAGTATGATACAATATGATAACACTAACATAAGATATGATATGAGAATACTAGATGATATGAGATAACACAATAGTGATATGATAAGATGTAAGATTCAGTATGATACGATACAAAGTGATAAGGTCCAATGGAATGCAATATGAAACCATATAAATTTTGATATGATAACATATATTAACATATGATAAAATATTATAGGATTCGATACAATATGAAACGATATGCAATGCAACGCGATACAATGTGATTGGATATGTCAGCACAGTTTGGCATAATAGATCATAAGAAGATATGATAAAATGTAGTAAGATACAATAAACTATGATATGATACATTATGGTACAATGCAATACAATATGGTATGTTATAATATGAAATTACTGTATGGCATAATCAAAACATCTGTATAATATCAGATAAATTGTTGCATTCGTTCTTTTAGTTGTCGACTTTATTAATTTTGAAAGTTTCTTTGTACTTTATTTTACTTGTTTGACGTCCTCATGGTTCAAAAGAATAAGTCTGATAGCAGATCTGGCAAGGATTTAGAGGCATTTGAATGTAAATCCAGGGATAATTAAGAGATCTTTCTGGCTTATTTTTCCAAACACAGATTAGTCTTATGAAAACATGCTGTCACAGTCCAGATGACGCACTTTTGAGGATATATTTCTTTGCTAAAAAATGATATCATTCTTTTAAAGTTTTAATGTGATGGTGGATCATTTTGTCAAAAAATGAGTCATGCTAGAGAAATGAATAGCATTTGAAACCAATTTAAGGGGCTTTAATAAGGTTGAAGTAAAAATATCAGAGCCTGAAGCATTCAACTAAAAGTCATAAGAGGATTAGGTCATCTTTATCCATTCAATCGTATCGCAAATGATTCAGTTTGCTCTTATGAAATGCTCCTCTCCCACCTGACCTATTCAGTCTGTATCAATTCCTTATTCATTGGAACCATTGAAACATTCAGTGTAAACACCACAAAGCTTTTTAGAGGAAACACACCCACGTGGGAGTTATGGTGTACAGCCTTAATAACTGCTTGTGTCTCATGAATGTGTTTCAGGATCCAAGAATGTAGAGTACAAGAACAAAGTGTGGCATGAGGAGTGCTTCACCTGCTTTGAGTGCAAGCAGCCGATCCGCACGCAGAGCTTCCTGACTAAAGGTGAGGACATCTACTGCGCTCCCTGCCATGACAAGAAGTTCGCCAAGAAGTGCTTCAAATGCAAGCAGGTAAAAAGATTTCGATGGTGAAAATTTCACACCCAGTGTAGTCTGCAGTCCACACATTATTTCATTCAATCATAGACCGATATATTAGTCTTTTAGTGTTGAAAATCTGGATCAAAGTGTTCCTCTGTGTCCCTCTCAGCCCATTACTTCTGGTGGGATCAGCTACCAAGACCATCCCTGGCACTCTGAGTGTTTCGTCTGTAAAACCTGCAACAAGCAACTGGCTGGAGCTCGTTTCACCTCCCATGAGGACGGTGTTTACTGCGTGGACTGCTTTAAGACTGACGTAGCCAAGAAATGCAACGGCTGCAAGAACCCAATCACAGGTAAGGGAACCAAAACGGACAAATGCTGTTTTATCATTTCTGTTGCAAATGTATCATAGTTGACTTAACCCTTCTCCTCTGTTAGGGTCTGCACCGACTTGCTTTTGATTTTAAATGCTTTAAAGAACCACTTAAATTAGCTTTTGTGCATCGAGACTTTTTGACATTGTCAGGAACCTCTATTTCAACAAAATAAAAACAAAATAATTGAATTGACTAAATTATAAAATGCTCTTATTAAAATTATAGCACTTGTGGTGTAAAAGTCGTTGTTGACCTGGTTGGATCAATATCTAATAATTAGAGCAAAAACCAAAATCATAAGTGCACTGTCAGGCATCACACTGACAGCCAGATCCTCTTCCAATCATGTGAGATTTAGGAAATTCTCATTTTGCCAAGTTTTCCCCTGCACAAAAAACATCAGGCATGTCCAGACATGTTAGATCAGTTCAGTATGGATGTCTATATGAGGGGTATACTGACACAGAAAGGCCCAGAGGCCCATGAAAAAAAATATTATAAGAAATATTTTCATGGATAATGAAGCCTAACAAGGTAACTTAAAGATGAGGACCAAATTGGATGAAAAAGAATTGTAGTTTAATTTGCAGCTGATTTAAGACACGGGTCAAAACTGACCCTTAACATGGTGGGTGTGTAGTAAAAGCTAACACAGTAGGAAGGTTAAATGTAAAAAGAGAGTAAGGCAGAACATTAAATACACTTTGTACTTGCAAGAAAATTTCCTGCACAATTATACTAGCCTCTTACAAATACTATTCTTTATTTAAGTTAATTTTTTATAGAAATATCAAACATGATGAATTGTTTCAGTGCAGTAAATTGCAGCACGAATAATCACACTTATTTTTCTAAATAGGTCGAAAAATCTTTTGCTAAATCATAGAAAAGTTTAAAAAAGATGATGAATTTTGTTTCTGTTATCTTTAACATCGTATATGTATTCTCAGGGTTTGGCCATGGCACCAATGTGGTGAACTACGAGGGACTCTCCTGGCATGAGTACTGCTTCAACTGCAAGAAGTGCAGCCTCTCACTGGCCAACAAGCGCTTCGTCATCAACGCAGATCACATCTACTGCCCCGACTGTGCCAAGAAGCTGTGAAGCGCACCGTCAGCTCTGCAGGGAATCCCTGTTTAAGAGGGGAGTCGCACCAAGACTAGCGTTTAGACTTGGCTTGCGAAAGAGGATACATTTGAGAGTTTTTGCTGTGTGGGTTTTATGAATTAGCTTAAAAAGTCAATTTTGCCTTTATGAGGATAAACAGCAGGTTATCTAAAAACATGCACTAGCTTGGATCATTTATCTACAGCGACATTATTACAATATTTCAGTGTTAGGGTAGGTTACTTACATGGCAAAATAACAGCTTTTGTTGAATTGTGATTAGCCTAATCCAGGATTCTGTGCCGCAGCCTGAAGCAGAAGCTTTTTCAGCTCCTTACTGGAATCTTTCAGAGTATTTAGCTTCTTATGAGCCGCTGCTCATTCATATCAGCTTTGATTACTGATCTATTATGTCTCAATGTTTGAAGGGATTATGAGGCTGTTTTGAGTGGATTACACTTCAGAGCGTCGAGACGGAAGTTCAAATGAAACTGCTGGTGTATTCAATGCAGTGTGAAACTGAATGTAAAACAAGAATAAAGGAGGAAGTGATCTGAAGTTTCTTCATTCTTGAGACATCAAACATGCAAGAGTACTTCAGCAAGACTTTATTTTTGAACAGTTTGTATCATCTCAGTACACTTTAGATATATTTACAGTACAAATCGTATTAGCTGACAGGGTTAGGTTTAGTAAATGTTCCAGAGAAAATATCCATATTCACAAAGTCGCCCAGGGGTAGAGTGGACTGATTGTCGAGGCCGAGGTAAGGACAAGCTTTTTCAGTTAACTGTGACACAGTAAAAATACTAAATCTAAATCTAAGGCACCGTTCTATACTATATTTAAGGACAACATTAGGGACAGTCAGCTCTGTGCTGCAGCCCCTAAAGATGCAGCAGGACCTGGAGAAGATACAGTATTGGTTAAAGCAGCAGCTACAACAGCCCCCCTTCAGCAGAAGGGGAGCGGGTTTAGGGGATGTTATGCTTATGAATGAAACCTCCTAAACACGTCTTTCCTCTCAGAACATCACACCACTCTCCTACATGTCTGTACAGTAAAGCTCCTCTTTGTAAGCACTCTTTAAATATAGTGAGTAATGTCTGACAGTGCAATGTGTCTCATAGTTTTATCTGAACAATGTAAGTAAACTGGAAGCGAGCAGCTCCTAAAGACATGCTAAGAAATGAAGGACGGTTCCTGTAGCCTGCTGTTACATTCTTAGAGCTTCTTAATCAAAACAAAGATCTAGAGCCCCTAGTCTTTATGTACAAAAGGATGTGTGTTAGAAAGAAGGTTTGAAAGCCAGAGGAGAACAAGGCAAAATTCAAGGTCCCCAAAACATTGGGCTGTTCAAGCAAAAGGAATCACATAAAAAGAAACAATTCGTGACATGTCCTGAACTTATATGGAAAACAAGTCTGAGCCATGACTTCTGACTTTTTTATGTTGTGTCATGGGTCATTTTACGGAGCAGGAAAGTTGTGCCCTGAGCTGATAGAAGAAACATAACTAACCAACAATATGATCAAAGTGACTGACATAATGCGAAGCATATTTTGATGACATTAAATGCATCATGAAGAGGCACAGCTATGACTCATACCATGTGTCAGACATGTCGCTGTGAGGCAGTGCTCAGAATCAGGGCTTGGAAAGTGAGACTCTCATATACCCACACATGAAAAACATAGATAGGGTCTTCACCTGCCCCCTTGATTTGGAAAAGTCTGGTGGAAAAGGTTTTTTTTAGTGAGCTCTGGGTTTTCCCACAGGGCATCAACTGAACAGAAATCTAACGAGAAACAGTCACATAAACTTCAATAATCCACGTCCTGACGCCGCTTCATCCTATGGCTTTGTTTGCCTAATACTGATTTTTCACACAATACAATAACACTTAAATATATATGTAGAAATGTATTTTCTTATACAAACAAAAAGCCATATTTTTGTCTTATAAAAAATAGCTGAAATGCATTTTTCTTTTCCGCTGCAGCAGTTTGTTTGTTGTGGAAAAACAAATTATTAATGGAGGTGATCAAACAGGTGTCTGTTTATGTATTTGGGAAGCTCTGATCAAACTAAACGATTAGCATCCTGATCATTAAGTTCAAGCAAAGGTAGGTCCTGGATATTGTGACACAAACACCAAACACTCTTATTAGGTTATTTGATAAATGTATAAAGAACACTACTGGACTTCACCTGTTTATAAAGCAAACTTGTAAGAGTTCTTCAAAGAGTCAATGAAACTATTATCACTTAGGCTGAGACTTAAACTGATGTAATCTGATTTTAATTCCAATAATGTTAGTAAACATAAATTCTATGTACATTTATAAAAAAAAAAAAAAACTGCTGGAATATGTGTGAACTTGTAAATTACACTAAAGTGAAGTCATGAATTTCAACATTTGTCAACTTGAAATGTAACAGCTAAAGTTGTGCTTCTAGAGACCTCTAGTGGGCAAAGAAGGAACCCTGGTGAGAAAAGCTGGGAGATGACTTGTGTGCTCTTTACGGAGAATATTAGAGAAAAATCAGTTAAGTGTAAATACAGACTCTGCCTCCAATAACATGTGCATAATAGACAATTGCTTTTCTGTGTGTGTATCAGCCCCAGCACAAGCAATGCACGTCTAGAAATAAAGTATTGGGATATAATTGTAAGGCCATTTCGCTGGATGCTGCAACAAGCAGCCAGTCAAGTAAATTTGGGTGAGCTTGAACCCCCTCACAGAACAGAATGTAATAACGCTCCTTCCTTTAACTCACATATTAACATCATATTCACTTTACACAGCCTAATGTACATGTTTCATGGAATATTTTCATACAAGAGAAACAACAGACTAAACATTTAATAACAATAATTACGGTAAAGAAGCCAAAAATTAATAAATTATGACAATGCACCCCTCACGAGACAAAACTTTTAAAAAACATCAAAATTAGACACAACATAGAAAAAAAAAATTGGACAAAAACTAAACACATGAGGGAAGGGGGGAGAGACTTGAAGCGAGCACACTGAAGGACTATATGGAATTTCCCTGAAGCATAACCTTTATATATATAACCTTTATATATTTTGTTCCTCATCATTCAGGGTGCAAATGTAGCACTTGGGGTGGTCTTTTTTTTGCGTCACCTCAAGCTCCTCCCCCTGGAAGAGGAGGAGGAGGAGGAAGAGGAGAAAGCTGTCTGGAACTGTAGGAGGATTTCTTTTTTGTTTTTAAAGGAGCTCAGCTTAACAGGAACTTGATGAGTGCAACAAGAGCATGTCAGCGACAGCAGCAGAGTCAAATCTCTGTGGAGACAAGAAGAAATGGTTACAGTCTCTTTTATAAAGATGTGACTGGATTAATTCCTCTGAGGTGAAGGGGTTGAACTCACCTGACATGGCTTCTAAGGTTTGATTAGAAGAGTGAAGGGTGTTCACCGGGGTTCCCTTGTCCTCGAAGGCTACCCTGGGCCCATCCGAGCTTCCGTCACAGTTAATCAAGACCTGGTTACAGTCCTCTGCCTCAATGAGGGGGTGAGTCTTGGAGTGGACGTTAAGATCAATGAACTCCTCAAAGCTCCATTGGTTGGGTTTACCATTAAGACCTGAGACCACATTGGCAGAGTCCTGCTCATTCAGGAACTCTGAGCCCTCAACGAGGCGGGCTTTGGGGGTTGGACTGCAGAGGAGAGAAGGGAACAGAGATCATGGGAGACGGTTATGAACCACGGGAACCTTCTGGTTCCAGGAAGACTTTGAGGACATGAGTTTGACTGCCCCTGGCTAGACAGTGATCTCTGGTTGTGACCTGCAAGATGTGCTGTAGATTGTGTAATACTAGACGCTTTACTTCCTCTATTGTATTCGCATGCTGCATGATTTCATCAATTTTTCTACCAGGGCTCACCTCACTATTACTAAAGCTGAAAACATACAGGATCCGTACTGGGCGCGTTCCGTATTTGCTCCGTAGAGCATACAGGATGCGTATTTGGAGCGTAGCAGCAGCGTAGCACAGCCCCGGTCAGCTGGGCTCAGTATAGAGGAAACAACATGCTCACAACAGGATGTTTTTCCTTTCTGTGGTCTATTTCCTGCTAATTTGGATATTATTCAGTGACTGTTGAGCCTCTACTACAGGGGTGGGCAATTATGTGCCATGGAGGGCCGAGAGGCTGCAAACAGTGAAATCACTTGGTGGAGTTTTGGGCTGGAAAGAAAACCTGCAGCCTCTCAGCCCTCCATGGCACATGATTGTCCACCCCGGCTCTACTATATCTGACAAAGCAACGTGATTTTACAGTTTTGGTTTTTGCAGGTTTACTTGTGTTTAATTAAGTAAACTATGTTCCTTTATGCTGTGCTGTTACTTTTACCGGATTATTCTGTGTTACGGATAAATTCATAACCAGGAAGTATTTCGCATATGGTGTTTTATTTTGAAATACCGGATGAAATGCACGGTTTTCATGCTTGACTTCCTGTCTAGGACGATCTCCTCTGTGAGAATTTACACGCATTGGAAGCGTAGAGCAGCAAAAATAGACTTGCCACGTATCTTGAGCAGTGCTGCTCTCGATACGATGCTGTGACGGAGCTGATACGCCTCCTGTATGCTTTGCTGCGTTGATTAGTATGGCAGCCTATTTGCTGTGTGATAGGCGACGCTGCTGATCAAAGACAGATCCAGTTGAGAGTTTAGTTTGGACATGTCCACTGCATGTGAATTTCACCTCTTCTGTGCATTATTACAAGTTTACAACTCAAGCACCGTCATCATAACTCCGAGCCCAGTCTGTGTGGGTTTCATTCTCTTTCCCAAAGTCATACCTCACAGCTTGGGTCTCATCCGTGCTTGAGCCATTGTTATTCTCCTTGTCATCTGTCTCTAGTTCTCCATTCACACTGCCCAGGGGCTCGTTATGTTGTTTCCCCGGCTCTCCAGAGGACATACTGCACTCCTCTGTGTCTGCATCCATGGCAATGTCATCTGACTGGCCTACAAGACGATACAGAGGAAGAGAAGCGGATGAGCCTCTAAGAGTTTTGCACATTCATGCACACAAACTTGATATTTGAAGCATGTGCACACAAAGCAAACAGAGACACACCTTCAGTCAATTCAAACATGCGTGAATCATCATGTGTTATTTTGTATGTCCTGCATTTATTAATGGTAGGTAAGCAGAATACTTACTCATAGTCTCTGAGTCTATCTGATCCTTTCCATCATCCCCATCCCCATCCTCCAGAGTGCATTTATCATCATCGCCTCCCTCTCTCTACACAAGAGACATAAACATGAGGAAACATACACACACAAACACACACTGTGTAGATGGTATTTAAACATGGATGTGAATTCACCTTTGAGTCCATTTGTTCCCCTTTTCTGGTTCTCTTCATTATCTCTTCAATTCTCTGAAATGGAAGAAAACACTTTTTATGGTGTTTGGATCGACACAGTGAGGTGCATGAAAAAATATTATCTGTTTATTTCTGACTTTGAGTAAACGATTTAAACTATTTTTGTTATTTGATTCAAAAACACTATCATGGCCATTAGAGTATTAAATCAAAGCTAAACATAACTAGTGTTAGGACTCAATGACTTGTCAGGTGAACACAAATCAATTTGGTTTTCTGTGACTTTTGATGCTGGTAAGACTAACACCTCTTCTCTTCACAAAAACTATTGAATCATGTCAGGTACTCTCCGTCTTTCCATACCTTCTTCCTCTCCATCCGTTCCTGCTGGTTCTGCTGCATGATGCGGTCTCTCTCCTGACGGACTCTCTCGGCCTCCTCCAGGGCTTTGGCCTCAGCCTCCTCGCGCTCCTTCTGCAGCTCCGCCTGCTTTGCAGCTTCCTCTTCTGCCTGTCTCAACCTGTCCTCTTCTGCTAGACGGGCATCTTCCTCTTCTTTCAGTTTCCTTTCCTCTGCCAGCTTCTTCTCCTCCTCCAGGCGCTTCAGTCGAGCCTCTTCTGCCAAACGTGCCTCTTCTTCCTTTCTTAACCTGGGGTAACAAAGAAACAGAGGAAAAGACTTAGAGATTGTATGGAAAACAAAAACAAGAGAAACGATATAAATCTCTTAAAACTGAGGGGAGTTGCTGTTCACAGTTGTTTTAAGTTCTGCAGGTCTCTTTACACTGACTTTAACCATTAGGCAAAACAGGTGCCGCAGTGTTTTTTCTAACAAACTACACACATAAGTTTCACTGAATAACAATAGACTCTTCAGACTACTTATTTTTGAGGGTATTCTGTTGCACAGTTGTCTTACTTTTCCTCTTCTTCCTTCTGCAGCCTGAGCTGCTCCTCTTTCTCCTTCTGCTCTCGCATTAATCTGCGATTCTCTGCCAGGATCTTGGCGGCCTCAGCAGCTGAGTTGGTTCCTGGTGCAGCTATAGAGTCAGGAGGAAACACAAATGTACAGAGGGTTTGTTAACTTCTTGTTTCATCCATTTCTATCTGTATTGCAGACAAAAGACCAGAGTATCAGACTCTTTTTAAAGGAAAAGATGATTAAGCAATGATGATGACAGAAAAGACAGAAAGCCAGATTTGTGCTGAAGGTTGTTTGTGACAAAGAAGAAGGGCTGGGGTTACTTGGTTGTATAACTATCATATGATCCCCTCTCTGCTCTCTGAGAGACCTCTGATTGTTATTCATTTCTACAGGAATATGGCGTGTTCTGTTGGGCGACGTGTTAATAAATACGCCAGTATGAAAAATATGCTTATACGGTGAAAGATTTGCTGTTTAATCTACATCATCACATCTTTTTCTTGTGGTAACGCTGAGTCTATGAGGCGACAGCTGACGGTGAATGAGAGAGAGAGAAGTAAGCAGAACCTTTGGTGGGTTCAGATGAAAAGCAAAACAAAAGATTTGCTCTTCCAGAGAAGAAAAAAAATACATAGTCATCTTGATTTAGATACCTGGTAGAAGAATCCTTTGAATGAAACAAACCACTTCTTAATTTTTTGCTGTGAAGCATCTGTGTGACTGCTTCAAGGGAATCTTAATTTCACAGTAAATAATGAGTCAGACAGCAGCTTAACACTGACATATAGATCCTCCTGTGATATCGAAGTGTAACTGACCACTTGAAAGTTTGCCAGTAACATAATTAACAAAGTGAAATCACAAACTTACTCTGTAGACAATGACAGCTTTCTTAGGCCTGAAGTCAAGAGGAGAAAATAACTATCCTGATGCTTCTTTGTTGACTTTAACTTTTTAAAGCATTCCCAGAAAGTGAGGATGGTAACAAATTTAATTTGTTAAGTGTCGCTTCAGTTACCGTGGCAAACTTGACTTACTTGTTGAAAATATGAGACTTGTATCTGATTTTCAATAAGGTCCACGTAATATGACAATGGTCTACACATAATGAAATTGTCAATTTTCTGTTATTTCAATCAGTGGGTGAAAAATTTGACAGCCAGCACCCACTTTCATAAACATTACATCGAAAATGAACAGCTGTATTCCATACCCTCACATCTCACGATGTGTTTTTTTTTACTGATTTAATGCATCAAATTTTATATTTGTATCTTATATTTATTTTTCATTTTAGATATATTTTATAATTTTACATTTATAACAGCCCTCAAACTTCTAACCATACATCTACAGTTCTGAGACACTCAGTGCTTCTTTTTAACTATTTGTTTAATTAAATATTTTGAGCTCTGTCTTTATTTTCAGGGATCTTTAAATACATTATTGACAATATTCATGCTTACTACATGGAAAATTCTGAATACAAAAGACACCCTCAATGCATCCAGTGTTATGTTACAATGCAGCTATTTTATCAAGCAGGACATGGTTTTGTCCAGCAGATGGCAGCAACAACAGCTGGAGTCACATCCTGTCAGTTCTGTGACAGCATGGGACTCCAGCTGGATCTCCACAGGTCACCTGCACCTCTCTGATTTACTGCATGCCGAACCGTTGCCACGTCAGTTTACAGCACACGTTCAAACTTGGACATTCTCACATGCAATAATATAGATGGTCTATTTGAAGCAGATGTCAACACTCCTGATCTCAGAAATTAAGTGGCTCGTCTTGAAGAAGTATGAAGCTGTGATCACAGAGGGTTTTAGGCTTGCAGAGCTTCAGATAAGAGAGACAGTGGAAGTTGAAAAACATCTCTCCATGGATTAGTGCAAACACTCTCCTTAATAGTGGAAGAATCGGCTGGAAAATACTGGTGATGAATAATTAAAATCAGCTGCCTGTGGTCGTTAGGCCTGCCTGCTAGATCTTTAATGGTGTTTCACTTTTATGAGGAACAGCGACACATTTATATGATGAACTTTGATAAGAGCTGCTCACCGTCTTTCTCTTTGGTCTTACTGGAGTCTGGGGACTGCAGAGGTACACCAGGAACAGGACACAGGTTGGGCTTAGAGTCCCTCTTCCGCAGGGTGGGGGGTCCAGTTGGAGTGAGAGCTGGTTTTTGGATAGGTGGAGGTTTGGATGTAGTTTGGGGGGATGGGGGACGTTGTTTCATTGCACCAGGGGATGGTGGGCGTGTCTTGGGACTTTGCCTGGAGGTAAAAATAAAAAAAAGAAATTACGCATACTGCAACTCTCAAAAAAAAAACTTCTTTTAAAATATCACTCAGTCTGTATTTGGGAAGGCTCTCATCTTACTTGGCTGCTGATGGAGAAGGGGTCCTCTTTGGAGCTGAACCTGGGGAGGGGGATGGAGAACGGTGGCGTACCAGAGTCGAAGATGGGGAGGGAGGACGTTGCCTTCCTGGCGATGATGCCTGTTTGTCCTTCTAAGGTTCACCAGAGACAGGAGTGAAGAGAGAATTTGTAACTATCACTGGAGTGAGATCTTTCAGAAGTGAAACACCTTTTACAAAATGTCCATGTTTGCCTCATTCAGCTGAGTTCAACTCATTTTAAAAAAACTTCCCACCCATAATAACTGCTTACTTACTTGTCGATAAATGTGTTTTTCTTGAAATAAAACAAGGTCCTTTTACAGTTCCTTATTATAACGCAAAGCTTAATTTGAACGTGCACTGCAAGACCTTTTTTCAAGATTTTTCCTAGTTGAATAAAGATACACAGAGACTATAATTGGCCTCTTTTGGCTCCACTGGGGTGTCAACTGACAATACTGGTGTGAGATGGACCTGGAGTCAGATTTGATTCATCTATTTTTAATGCTCATGTGCTCAGAGTGTCACTGTAAACCTGATGACAGACGAGAGAAGCAAGGTCAACCTTGTGACACTCGGGCAGACCCCGTCTTACAGCTCTGACAGACCGCAGGCCTTTATCGCTGCAAGTAAACAAAAGTGATGTATTCAGTGTGCATTTCTACTCTTATCAGCTGAGGACGTTTAGGGAAACACTATGTAACCTCTATTCTCTCGGGAAGATAAGAGGCAGAGCAGTTAAGAGACAGACTGTGTGGCATTTCATTGCACAGATATTAATTTCCTTTTTATGTCGCTATAAAACACTAAAGCAAGAACTACATATGTCTCCTTAAATACACAGTCAGCAATAACAGCCACTTGCTTCACTAAACTAAGGACACTCTGCTCATAATCTTTGTAAATTACTTTTTGAAAAATAGTGAAGTTTTCCCTTTTTTTACCTTCTGGTTTTTATCTTTAAGAAATACTCCTATTTAAAGCAGAAGTCCTAGATCAGCTGATTGAAAAGACCTAATTTTACCCAAGTGACACGCTATTCTGATTATCTCCACACTGATCTGTGCACGAGGAGGAAAGACAGAGAGGACAATGAAATAGTGAGGACAGTCGAAAGCTTTTGACATCTGGCCCCAGGCTCAGGGTGTGGTCTGCTTTGCATGGCCTGATCTGTCCCTAATAAGGCCGCTGTGGATCTCTTTGTCTCAGGCTTTTACAATGAGGCCCTTTACAGCCACAGAGGAGGAGGAGGAGGATGGCAGGCATGCAGGTTTTTAAAGAGAGAGCACGACACTTCAAGACTCCCAGAGAGACAATTCTTACAACAACCGAGACATCTCTCCTTTAAAGCTTCTCTTTTGTTGAGGGACATTTCCCTATGTGTAGCATCCTGCAGAGGAACTTTGTTAGGCAAATTTGAAAGGATATGTGCATAAAATTTAGTCTTGAGTGCCACGCTTATTTCTCAGATGTCATTTAAATGAAGTAAACGAAAACCTGAACTGCTGCTAGTTCTGAAGACACGGGTGCCTTCAACTTCAATAGTATAAGCAGGCATTTAAGAAATATGAACATCTTGTAAATGACTTTCTACAGTTGCAGTTTGAATGTGTTATTATATCAGAGAAACTATCGCAAGCTTACTGTCTGTAAATTCAAATCGACTGATTTAAGATAGCAGGAAATTATTTATATGATCATATCCTTCTATCAAAATAAAATTAGTAAAATTCTTTAATTGGGATATGATTGTTGATAGTCTGAGATGTGATGGGACGAGGATTTTCACATGACAGATAATTTTCACTGCAGTTATCTTTAAGTATGAGTGACTACATCCCAACATGAAGGGCTGGATGTTAAAATTCACTGTATAAAAAAGGGAAAAAGTCAGAACAATCAGTTAATCTTCAATATTATGTTTTATTAAGTACTTCCTTGGTGGTCAAGTGGAGTTAGTCGCTCACGAATACTGAGGTGCACTCACCATTGAAGGGTCTAGAGCTCCATCAGCAGACACAGATGTGGTCATGCCACTCTTCTGCCGATCAATGCTGCGGCTACGCAGGGGTCCACGAGGTGGATGCAGGGGGCTGGCAGAGGCTGAGCGAGGACACAGGTGACACTCTGATAAAGGACACAGTCATCGCAGGGCCAGAGGAGCACAACCAAAGCGCGGCGTGATAAGCAGCCGAGTTTGGCAAAAAAGCAGCAAAGAGCGAAGTGTAAGAGGAGTAAAAGAGAATGAGGAGAGTGAGAGTTGGAGGGAGAGATGTGGAGTGATGGGAGGTAGATGTTGGTTGAAAGGGAAGCAAGGGAGAGGTTGTGTGAGGGGAAAAGAGCACAAAAAGCAATTTGTTAGAAGTGATCTTTCAGGCAGGGAACAGCTTGATTTTTTTGAAGCTTTGATTGAGCTGCAGATTACTGGAGACATAAGAAGCACAGAGAAACAATCCCACAAACAATCCAAAACCCAAACAGGCACCAGAGTCTTTGAACCCAGCATGAGCAAACCTGAACACAAAGCACCACAGCGCTCCACAGCACTGCACAACACAGCACAGACTACAAAAACCACCACCAACACAGGGCAACACTCACTGACAGGGAATATACATATCACACAGATTTATTAGTATGGTAAACACACAATGATTGCTGTTTTGATGTGATGTTTTCTGACTTAAAAGTAAGGATAATGTATATTCTTCCAGCTCTTACTGCCTTCATCAAATAACTTCAGACTCTACATCAGACGCTGAGTGCTTCATTTGTAGCGTAGCTCCGGGAATTATAAGGTAATGCTTGATGTCATACATAAATGAACCTCAACTGTAGCAAACCAAACTAACAAATTACAAACATGTCAGTTTATAACTGTAACTCTTAGGATGACAATAGATGAATAGCTCTGTCCTTGGCACTGATTGTTGCCTGTGGTTTGTACAGAGAGTAAATACTCTTGTCCACTAGCTATGAGCTTGCTGTGTCAGATTGAGGGATTAGCCGTGATAATCCCGAACCCTGGGCGACTCTCGCTGCCCCAGAAGGGTCACAACAAATGTGTTTTGATATTCCTCCTGATCGCAGATTGAGCAGATATGTCGTCTATGAAATGTACCCCGCTGCGAGCCAACACCGCCGCACTGCTGATGATTCAGCTGTGTCAGGTTTCTAGTAGCAGGGCCATATTTAGCAGATCTATAGATGCTAATGGGTTTGTAATGGCCAGTCAATAAACACAAAAACCTGATACCAGCACAGGGGGATGCAGCTGCAGCTTTGCGAGTTGCAGTATGGTTCTTTCTACATTAAAAAAGAAAGTCAACAACAAAGATCTGTATTCATCAGTGTGTTTGAGGAGATTCATTATAGCTGTCTGTGCTGTATATCCCCCACAGCAAAACACTCAAACAGCGAATTTAAAACTGTAATGCATGTAAGTCATCCAGTGACATATAAACCCTACGGACATGGCCTGAAGTTATTTTTCCACAAAGATGTCAGCCTGGAATCTGTTTTTGTTTTTCTCTGAGTGACGTCAAGCACGTATATTCTTTAGCAATGCCTTTTATAACCATTATAGCAGCGTGTACAGGCTTCCCGTGCATCCTGGTCACACTACCTGCACACATGCATTTGCCAAACAGTCTGATTCTGACGTAACCAAGAACCAACAGGTAATCAGCTTAGAGTAAATCTCCCAGCATGGACTCTGAGGCTCCTCAAATGCAGAGAAGTGCTCCCAGCCAGCCGAGCCTGGTCTGCTCGGCCGGCCTCGGCACACAACAACCAATTGTTGTAGATCTGAGGGTGCATGTGAGCGGCACCAGGGTGTGTCATTATTTATTTAGGAGCTATGCTCTTTCACATGAGTGTACTTTGCTGAAAATAATTACCAAATAAACACATCATACAACTCCTAGCTACAATCATAGCTTTAATTTGAGAGTTAGGCAGCAACTTCTGTAATTTTATCGCCATCATGAGGCCGTTATGCGCTGTGATAGGATTATTCCGAAAGCATGAGTCTGCAGCAGGACACTAGGATGAGCTCAGATCTAGTGAATTTTTACTGGGCAGACTTTCTACTGATTAATAAAGGTAAGTAGGGAGGACCAGCGGCCATCCCTCCTCTCCTTCAGGGTCTCCAAATGGAGGTTACCTGGAGTATCTGTTCCTTCAGCTGACAGGACGGCGGCGCTCTTGCTCCTAGCTAGTGAGGCCTGGGTGGGGGTGAGCAGGCGACTAAGGACCCCTCCGTCCACAGAGCCGACCGGTGGCTTGCGAGCTACACGGCCAGAAAACCCACCCGAAAACAGAGGGGAACAAAAAAGCCAAGAAGGGAGGAGTGGGTAAGAATTGGGGGATGAGGGATAAAGGAATAAAGTATAGAAAGGTCACCATGTGATTTAACCAACAGGATAGAGTCAACATCAACAACCAAAGGTTATGTCCCAATAATCTTGCATGGGCTCCTTCTCAACTGTCTTGATCCTGTTAACTTTTAGAGATACTCAATCACAATAGGACAGACGGAGCGAGACAGTAAGGGAAGGATGCCATGGAAGCCTCATGGGACAGGCCAGAGAGTGATTGTCTGGTAACTCAAGATCAGTTAAATAAAGTAATCAAAGTAGAGAATGAGGTCAAATCAATGGTCCCTTGAGTCAGAGGGAGGTGTGCTGATGGGTAAAAACAAAGCATTAGTGAACTTCAAAGACAACAGAGGAATACTATTGGGTAGGAAGATGAGAAGTGAAAGAAACCAGAAATTTGTTTTCACTGCATGGTAAGGCTCAGATCAACTCACTTGGCACTGTTCTTTAGTGTTTTTAAATTGCCTTCCACTCGGTGGCTTGGCTGATTGGTACTCAGCAGCTTCTTTAAGCAAAAATCTTAAAAACTTATTCATTGCATAGAAATGTAGAAGGCGAAACACACCCAGCCTGAGTTCTTATTTAGCAAAGAAAGAACTTCCAAGGATGTGGAGTTGAGGAGAGTCAATACAGTGCAGTGTGATTGGTGAAGTGGTTAAGGACTTGAAGTGTTAGGTGAAGTAACTGTAACCAGGCAAAAGCTTTTTAGCTTCTGCTTTACAAACCCTTTTATCGTTAAGATTAACAAAAAGCACCTAATTTGATATTAAAATAATGCCATCCACAATATCAAGTAATGAGCCAGTTCAAGCCGTGATTTCACCATGAGCTCCCAGAACTATGACATGGTAGAAATATTTCTTTTTTTTCCCTTTTTGAACAGCAGAAGAGGAAGAAATCATACCAGAAGGAGAATTTAAATACTGACGAATTAGTCTGTCCTTAAATACTAACAACTGAAAAGAGAGCGCAGAGTCACTTTCTTTTGTAACCCTTCACTGAGAAGACATCTGTTCTAGACGTTTGTTTTTGCTCTGGAGTGACGGCTCCTGCAGCACTGCAAAACGGCTCACTACTCAGAATACAGACATCAGGAAAGTGTTTTTTTAAGACAATATTATATTTAGTAAAAGAGCAGTGTGTGGGTGCTTTTGGGGTTAAGTATTTGTTTTTTTTAATATGATAAATACTGGGTCAGTGTTGTAGTAACGCACAGGCTAACCACAAAAACAAAAACAAACATGATGTACACATAACAAGAGAAATTTGACAACTCATGATCCGCACAGAGAGGCTGACAATGGCTATGGGACAAACAAAAGCATTGGTGGTTAATGGGGTGGCACTGGCATACACCACACTGCAGCACAATCTCAGTGACTGAAATCCAGCTAGGACGTCATCTGGGGGGAGGGAAACAATCAACACTTTGTGACAACAAAAAAAAAACAATACACTGTGTTAGTGCAAACGTGGTACACCACAAAACCATTCCTTGATTGAAAAAGGGTTAAGACGAAATCAACTGCAAGAGAGAAATAAGGCACAGTGAAGGGTCTGGTGGGTGAAGACGATAGAGAAGTGAAAACAAACAGGACAAAAACATTGCTCTGGTTTAATCACAGACAGAAAACAGTGTGGAGGAGGTTAGAGGCTGCTTAGGGTTTATTCAGAGGTTAGTCCGCTAAGTTTCTTCAAGGGCATTTTTAGAGTAAAATGAGGAATTCATAGAAAGAAAGGCAGACCAGTTCTGAAGACTCACTGATGAAAGACAACGAAGTAAGCCAGATGAAAATATTACCACCAAAACATCTGTGTAGCTGGCAATGGGCGTTTTTAAAATACGAATATTTCAGAATAGGCAAGCTGTTAGCAACCGCAGCAACATGCTTGTTATGTAGCTAGAAAGGCCTGAAATGCAGATGACGAAAAAAACCATTCCTGATTGATCATGCTAGCCACCTTGATCATCCGCTGTCCCTTTATCAGGCTTGGCAGGGGTCTGTGCTCTACCCACACTTACTCGTGTGAGGGAGGAACTTCTCTTCTTCATGGAATGGCCTACGAACATGAAAGTGAGGTTTTTAGCCAAATAGGCGCTGGGAGGCAGTCAACAAGGAATCCCAGGATTCACAGTTCACAAGTCATGTGCACATCATTTGGCCTTTATGTGAGTCACCAGGCTACAGCAGCTGATGCCCAAATTTTACGGAGAATCCTGAAGCTAATAGAAGAAATCTGAACTACTCCAAGTGATTATACCATCTAATTCCTCTTATAGATGTCACAACATGAAGCAAGTAATAAACAACTATTACTGCTTGAGTCAAAAATGTCCACTGAGCTTCATGCATATGTTCCCTGTAATGTAGAGGTTTATCATTCTGTGGTCTAAACACCATCTTTGTTATGAAAGCATAGTGTGGGATGGAGATTGGACCTTTTGCACCTGTCTGTTCCACCTGAAGCTTTTTGCCATCTTCCTTACTGGCCTGAGCAGCAATGCCATTGCTAGGCAACCGGTTACACGACGAACTCCTCTGCTTAACACCTGAGAGACAATGATGAAACACCCAGTGGTGAATTTATGAAAAAAATGACACAAAGTCTCTCAGACTTTTTTTTGGAGCATATCCATAGTCTTGAGAGAGGTCAAAAACAAATACTGGACCAGGAGAACTGGAAACAACATAAAAACTGGCAGCCCAGAGAAGCTGTGGAGAAACATGGATCAACAGATTGTGCTGATTTTTTATCCTGTAAAATCTAAATTCTGATGCTCCTATACTACTGTGACAGGTTTCCATACAACTGTAAAGTAAGATGATAAAAACTCAAAGTTTGGTGATTTGGTTCCCTTATGACTAATAATTTAAAGAGCACAGGGACAGCAAAATTAGCCCGTATTAGTTTATCATTAACTGGATCCAGAGACAGAGAACGGAGGCATCTTTTCACCAGACTGTCTGTGCTTCAATGAGCCTTGGTGTGAAAGCCGGATTCACAGGAGATCACATGGTTTTCAGATTACTCCAGGCTCAAGAGTTGGGTGACAAAGCAGGTTCGTTCAAGAAAACATAAAATTTTTGTCCGCAGTTAGATCTTAAGATGTTAACGATCAGTTAAAAATAGTAACCTCACTGATAAACCATTGTTTGGCAAATATTACATTGGTTTAGACACGGCACATGAATACAAGGAAGGGGGAGGGAGAGAGAGGATCAAAAGGGAAGGGAAGGAGGGGGAGGAGGAGGAGGAGGGGACTTACTTTTGTCAGGAGATTTGATGAGGGTGGCAGAGGAGGAGGATAGGCGTCTGGTGATTGCAGTATCAGACTGCTGTTTCAGGTTGGTGGTGGATGTGGAGCGTTTGTCCACTAAAGAGGGAGGAGGAAAGACAGACAAGGGGGGTGGGGTTTACACTAGAGGTTTGCCAAAAGGGGAAGGACATTGGAGTTCACACAAGGGAGTACAGGGATTCTGCAAGAGCCAAATGCCCTTAAAGTATCACAATTAACATTCAATTAAAAAAATATGCTTGTTTGTAATCAAGTATTCCCACTGACCAACTGATCTAACAGGCTACATATGCAGCACATTTCTGTAAAAACACATCATACACTCAGCACGAGTTCGCTGCAACAGATCATTTGTAAAATGTTTGAAACCAGCCAGAGTAGTAAGTAAAGATCAGCTGTTATAGTTTGACCACTTCAAAGAGGACGGCACCAATAAAATTGTCCATGCTCGAAAGTCCACATGTGACATTGGTCCTGGTTTCTGTATTGAGCTTCCATGCAAAGTCACCCACGTGCTAGACAGTGTGAGTGAGTGACCGCTGCAAAGTTTCACCCTCAGTTTTTCTTTTTACTCAGTATGACACACATTCAGAACACAGCCCAATAAAAGAAACTGTTAGTGAAGAACTGCCAGGTTAGGGGGGTCTGTAGAGTGAGGGGTGGTGGGTAGAAAAGCTATAGACAGCGCTAGTGCCAGAGCCGGTCCATGCTGTGTTGCTACATGACTGAGTAAATGATCAACAAACAAAACCTTGTCGACTCCTTGGTGGCTTTTCAGGTGAGGCAGGGGAAATAACTATTGTTACGGGAGATGAGGCGCTGGCATCAGAGTCTCCTGTGGGAAAAGACAGCTCTCAGAAAGGAGCAGTAAAATAAATGATGCTGAGACACACCATTACAGAGGGGAAGAGAGTGAAGGTAAGACGTGCCTGGTCAACATCTACCAGACTGTGATACAAGTTAAATGGCCCCTGTGGTTCTAAGACCAAATTCTGGAGATTTCTGCAGGATGAAAGTGGTTTTAATAAGACTATAATTAGTTATATTCCACATTTTCTTCCTTCAGTTCTCAATAAATATGAATATCTGTTTCTGGCACAACAAAGCTATAAATGTAGAATTGCTGACAGCCTACAAACATAACAGAACTATTATTATTATTACCAATGCTGCAGACTGAAAAAAGAACCTTTATTGCTTGGGAGTAGAATACTGAGCTAAGCTTTAGGGCTGATCAAAAACAAACACAAATGTTATTAAAGCAGGAGCCACAATTCAAAGAGTTTAAACATTACAGAAAACAACAGCTTCTAATAACTTTTAAACACCTTAACGGGTAACTCTGAAGAAATGGGTCCGAAGACAACAAATCGAATGTTGAAACTGCAAAATAATGCTCTTTATGACAAACATATGCCAAGTTTGAATTTGATCTGAGCAACACCTCATGAAAGAGCAAGGAACAAGGGCAATAAAACACTGAAATAGGTTTAATGCTAAAAAACAACAAATAGTTTTACTTGCAATAGAATATAAACATGGCTGGGTATAAAACAGGCACTCTAAAAAGGCCAAGTCACCCATTCGGTGAGAAAATAGTTCAACACTTCCCTCTCAAATCCCTCTTCTTCTCATAACCCATTGTGTTCAGCCTTGTTAGCAGATCTGACACCCACGTGGAGATGTAGCGAGATAAGAGAGAGCTCAGGTGAGGTGGCCCATTACTCCATTAACTTCACTGATGAAAGCAACTGACTTTCTTACATATAATCAATCATTTCTGTCAATGTCAAAAATTCTCAATACTCCATGATAGTAAATTCTTATTGTCTTCCTCTGCATATCATTTTAGCATCACTATGCTGTAACTGTGTCGTTCATGTAGAAACAGAGAGTTAACACTCCCTGGTCTTGTTAGTTTAGCCGTTTATATGTGGGCCCCTCACAAAAATAAATGGGGATGAGGAGAACAATGTTTCAGAATCTGTCTCGCCTAATCGAGCCATTTCCTGGTGACAGTAGCAGCACCGTGACTGCCCATTTACACTCACACACACTCAACACTGCCTGCATGGCAGATAGCGTTGAGTGTGTTCAAGTGAGGGGCTTCATTAAAGTAATTTCAAATACATATTTATGTAGATTAACACCAGTAAACAAGGAAGTGGGTATAAGTATGAAATGGTAAAAATGCCCAACTCTTGAAACGTCTAACTCACATAAAGAATAAAATTGGCATATATTTTTCATAAAACAAACAATAAATAAATAATCAGTTTCAACATTTGAAGTTGTTGTATTTTAACTTAAATGTAGGGTTTCCATGATTGCAAATCATCAAAATCTGTTTTCATGAACATTTCACATTAAGTAGAATTTTGGACTTGGGGTTATCCCTCCCTTAATTGGGTCTTTGATTAGATAGTGGTTAATAATTAAAGTTAAATAGAACACGTGGTGAAAAGAAGAAAGAGGTTAAAGTTTTGCTGAATGAAGAGACTTCTACCTGTCCGCCCATCAGAGTCTGTGGAAAGTCCTCCCCAGGACCATCTTTTCTGCCTCTGCTCAACACGTTGACTACGCTCCAATGTCCGGCGCATTACTGCCTCATAGTGTTCCTGACATGGAGGAAAGTAGAGGAGGTGAAAGTTGATAGTAACACCAGAAACATCCAACCCTTGGCTACATGTGATAATCAGATCAAACTGTGTTGGTATCTCCTAAACACTAAGTCCTCAAAATACCTTCTTCATCTTCTACAACATCGTTTTAGTGTAATTGCAATATTTCAGTCACAAGGGTCAAATCAACTGAGCAGGCACTACTGTGAGGCTTTCATGACTCCTAGAAAATTGCTGCAGCTACCTTTTCCTCTTCCTGTTTCTGCTTCCTCTTCTCCTCCACAGCCAAACGTTTCTGCTCCTCCTTTTTTCGCTGTTCCTCCACCTTCTTCTGTCGCTCCTCCATCTGACGCTCCACTTGTAACTTTGCTTTGCGCTCCCGTTCCATGATCTGAGACTCTCGCAAAGCTGGCCATACGACAACGCGTACATAATAATGGACAGAAAGCGCACACAGTTAGAAAAGTTTCATCTAATTTCATGTTGTTTTGTGATACAGACTATCCAAAAGTGTTATGACAAATTCCCTCGGTAACAATGCAACCAGTCAACACACCTTTGAACCCTTTTAAATAAAAATATGCTCTCTGAATTCTTAGTTTAACGAGATAAAATTCAACAGTTAAACAAACAGTTATGGAAGCTGAAGCAAGATTTTGCAGCAACGATGTTACGTAGAAACTGAATGGTACTCTTACCGTGTTGTTTATCTGCTTCCTCTCGCCGCTCTTTTGCCACTCGCAGTCGGTCGTCTATCCTCAATGCGGCACCGTCAATGACTGTAAACATAAACATGCAGTATGTTTGTATACTATAAATATTTCTTGATGATATGATTGTGATTACAGCGCGCTTTAGTGGGATGTAGACTTTGTGTTAGTGGAGTAGGTTTAAGCATGTGACTGTCATTTATGTGCCATGTCATCAGTCGCACAGGATGACTAAGGTTTGCCTGCAGTAAGCTCTGGGGGTGGTGGAAGTGGATAGTGTTGCATCTAATGGTTCAGATTATAAAGGACAATAGGACTGTGACAGGGCAGTACCTGTGAGAACCAATCTGTTTTTGTGTCAAGGTGTGGTGTCACTTACCTGGCCTACACCCCTGAGGTTTAGCTGGTGCTGCGGTTGTTGGTCCTGGACTATTCCCTGCGAGGCTGCGCCGCTCCTCGGCTTGTGCCTGTGCAGCTGCAGCTGTATTAAAATATAAAACACTCATTACACAGAGAGAACAAGCGTTTTATCACGTCATGACTGACAAAGCGGGGATAGTAAAGGTTGTCTTGGAAGAAGAAATGCTTTATGTACTCCAGTTAGTTTAAAAGCACTATTTTCTTTTTGCTTTGTTTGCCTTCCAGAGGAATTTTACTTCCAGTGAGATCCAACGGATTTGAAGGCGCAGAACAATCCAGCTATTCAGCTATTTGACATAACCCCGGGCTCATGGTCAACCGTGCAGCCAGCCCAACACTGCTTCCTGTGACGAGCTTGGACCTGGGTGTGATAGCCTATGTGAGAAACATGCATGGAAGCTTCCTGATATACATTCGTTTTCAAAGTTAACGGGATATTCCGGCATATATGTTTATGCCATAGTCAAACACACCTTAACACCAAGTTAGACCCCCCTGAGAGAGATGAATTTTGTCAACCCCTTGCTTCTCTAGTTCCACCTACTTCAGCAAAGACCGCACGATAGCAATACACAGCTGTCTGAGGAGCCATAAACAAACCGCAAACAAAACGCCACTCATAGCCACTAATAATGCTCAGAACAGCACCTAACTTCATCGACTGTACATATAGGGTCCAAGCACGTAGTACTACCCATCAAAAATCTTATTAATTTTGCCTGATCTCTCTGGCAAAGAGACCAAACACTCTCACCCACTCTCCTCCAGCAGCTGCTTATTTGTGGGGGAGCCCTGACAAGTCGATCACCGAGTGCAGCGGAGTTCCGCAGCTTAAGGAAGAACATTTATGATTATCAGAAGGCAGAAGAACTACCGCGTCTGCAGTGCACATACAAGATACACAAGAACTCTGATTGCATCTCTCTGATCCCTTTAAGTGAGACATCAAAACAAAGAGAACCGTTCTCTCAACACATAAAAATGATGACTTTTTCTTTGCCTATTGATCAATTCTGACAAATCTAAACACTGGCATGATGTACTGCACTGGCAGCAAAGTGAGAAAACTGTCAGTATCCAATGCCCATAGACCCTTAAGCATTTCCAGACCCAGGTAGGCATGCTTTCAAAGCAGTAAATATGCCAACACTCCAAGTAGGACCGCCACAGTGTTAAAATGACTTTCCTCAGCCAAAACTGCTCAGGGACAATCATGATTAGGAAATACAGGGGCAGAAAGGAAGGAAACACTGAGGATATGATTAAGCTTTATGAGCCCTAGTATCAGGCATTTCTCCTTTCTCTTTCCTCCGCTGTTGGTGTGTATCCAGCACTCAAGAACTGCTGACAAAGTGTCAAACGATACTCAGTCATGTGATACTCCCATTATTGATGCATACTTCTGACTCTGTCCTCAAAGTCTCTGACCATCTTCAATAAAGACATAAAACCACTGCCTTAACCTTGAAAACTACTTTTTAAAAATAGACGAAAACAAAACTGAACAAGTATTTCGCTGTTTTTGACTCACAGCGTATGCACTCAAACACAAGAATGCCACGGTTGATAAAAAAAAAAAAAGTACCTTTAACACCCCTAATATACTGTTTGTGGTATTTGAGTTAAAATGCATCCAGGTCTGAGAGTAGGCAGCTGAAAATGAATGTAATCTTAGGGCTATAAATGAATCAGAATTTCATCATTACAATTTGACAGATTACATTTGGCAGCCACTGAGATTCAGTATCTATGCTGTATTGACATATATTAATACAAGCATCAAGCAGCCTGATTAAACAGGCCATAACGTGTGTTATCTTCAGGGAAAACACTAGCTGCTATCTATGCAGCAGTCACACCAGAATGCGCAAACACACAGGCCTAAATCAACGGGATTACAAACACTAAACCTTATGTCACAGTTGGCTTATCTTATAAATTCATAGATGTGGAATACTAATGTAAAGAACAGAAATATCTATTCACATAAAAAAGTGATCTTACATTATGAGACAGAAATGCAAAATCCAAGTGGACAAAAAGTACAAACACAGAACAAGTCCTCCCTCATTTTTCAGAGTGAAGGCAAGATAAGAAATGCCCCATTTCCTTTGGCTTTTTAGACACTTTCATTCAATGTGAGCAGAGTCAGGATCATGTGTGCTCTCAAAGGCAGGGGTGACTGCTGGCAGTATTCTGGTCCTGTTCAAGAGAAAGAAGAACTGTGTCTATCTCCAAATAAACAGATGCTATACTTTTCAACTCTACTGTTTCTGAAAGCTAGAGTTTAAATTTTGTAGATGACGCTACATTTGGTCTTTGGTACGGCTGAACAATACATCGCTTCAGCCTTGCAATTGTGATCCTTAGGTGGCAGTGATATGAGCTGCAATGATTGTTGTCACAGAATTACACAGTGATAAACACATAGCTGAATTCACTTAAATTGAGCCCCTCATTCAAATGCCTAAATAAGAAGAAACACTAACAACTCTGTAGACAGCGGGTGTATCTGTGTCACATGACCACAGAGTGTAAACGTTAGGGGTGCACCAAAAAAAACGATTGACGCAAATTGCGATTCTAATTTACTAGGATTCAGATTCTGTTCAAAATGTCCCAAAATCGATTTTAAAAGATAAATATCCGCTGCCTGTCCGCCTCCATTTTGGAACTACGCTGGACGTCCTGACGTCATCACGCAGCCGGTTCTCGAACGCACGCATTTGCAGAAGGCACCAAAACAAAGAGGGAAATACAACGATGGAGGAAAAGGAGATCCAGCCGGGCCCGTCTTCACTACAAGCTAAAGTTTGGCGTCATTTCGGATTTTACCGAATGCCCGGACACACTGAGCTGGACGTGACGCACGCAGTGTGCTGACATTGTAAAACTAGAATCAAGCATTTCGGCAACACGACAAATGCGCAGGCTCACATTATGAGGCATCACCCGGAGATAAGAGACATGGAGCAGACTCAGCCGCCAGCTACAGACCAACGCACGCTGCAGAGCTTCACGAAGCTCTCCACCAGCTCAGAGCGGGCAAAAAAAAATAACCCGGTCTATCGCCTATTGCTTGTAAAAAGCATAAGCATAAATAAATGCTTAAAACTTAATTAATGTGAAAAGATACTATAATGTCTTTATCATTCTGTCTTGCACAGCAGATGGGAGTAGATCATGATCAGAAATCCGGTCAGAAATTACTATGAATAAAATCGTTTTGAACCAAAAAATCGGAATCGAATTGAATCGTGAGACAGTAAAAGATTCCCACCCCTAGTAAGCATGTGTGTGCACCTGGGAACACATGATTGTCTCATGGTCATTTGAGATTACGAACATTGTGGGGCATTGACTTTTATCTTCTACATGTCCACTCAGTGGTGGCACAACGATCATATGCCGAGTGTGGCGAGGAGTTCTCATGTAAATAGAGTTTATCATCAGAGGTGTGTGACGCAGATCAAACATAATTTTATAATATCAACAGAGATGACTGACTGTATGTGAGTGAGTCAGTTGCTTTTATAAGTAAAGTTTATGAAACAAAGCATTGCTCCACCCAATCTCTCTACTTCTCTATGCTGGCAGGTGGTAGGATGGAGTGGTAGGAGTTACAAAAAATGCTGTTTTAAAGGGGTCCAAGGTCACATAAGGACAAGAACTGCGGAAGTGAACTGGAATAATTACACGATAGGTCATCATCCCGGTTAACAAGACATACTACTTTGTTGTCTTTGTTTATGGAAAACACTCAGATTGTGCCCACCACAGGGACTGATCACGGTTTCACAGAGAACAGCATGGCGTGCATGTCCTGTCGGTATGCAAATTACGCCACTGTCTGACACTGCTGAAAGCCGAGCGACAACAGCTCTTTCTTAATCCAAGTGACACAACCTGACTGATAAGGTTTTATCCGCAACTGACTATCTAATAGGCTATCTCTGTGCATCTGAACCATTGGAGTATTAATTAGAGGAGATAAGGAACTGGGAATGAGGATTCAAAGGCTGATCACAAATTTTTTAAGAGTACAAGCTGGACATGAACAAGAACAGACATCAATGGTACCAGCAACGAGACAAAGACAATTTAGAGCTGATGGGATAAGGAAGTGGTAGTCAATTGTGCTCCAATTATCTGTATTCTGCAGAAGCATCAAAGAAGCTTACAAGGGTCAAAGTCTAGAGCTAATAATGCCACGTTGAAATAAACAGGTCACTTTAGCTCTGCTGTCAAGGTTTCCTCATTTAGCACTTCAACTGCAAAACAGTGTCAAAGATGCACACTGCACGGCTGTGATTTGATCGTAGTTTTTTGATATACAATAGTAACTTGTAGCTAACTAAGGTTCGGTATCACAAACTACGTTGATTTGATTCCGATGTGATTTTCAATTTGGGGATTAATATAGGGATTTTTCAGGTCCTCATGTCAGTTCTTTTGGGTACTGGTGCAAAGGATTAACTGAAAATTTTACAATGATGCATCATGCAGTGTCATCATAAACCTTGAACTATTTAGTTGGTGGGCTGTGTGTCACCCCTGCATACAATTTGTGAGTGGCAACTTCATCCAAATGTGTGCACGTCGGTTACATGTAGTGTCGTCTGGGTATATCGATAGGCTTTTGAAGTCAGTTTCAATGCTATACAGACTAGGGCTGAAACGATTACTCGAGTAACTCGAGTAACTCGATTAATAAAATTCCTCGAGGCAAATTATATGCCTCGAGGAATCGTTTAAATCCGGAACCATGTGCAGCGCACGGTGTTTGACACGGACGGTTATTTCTGTTGCGCAGAAGCGTGCTCTTTCCGCTCCTTCCGCTGCCGCGCGTTTGGTTCAATCATGGAGGGAAACGAGGACAGACAGAAGCTGTGTCCGAAATGGCATACTGCCTGCTATCTACTTACCTACTCAAGCAGTAGCTACTGCCTACTGACTACTCAAAGATGATTTGAGTATGCCGCGGCTGCCCGAGCGTTTACACACATACATACTAAATACCCCAGAATGCATTTCGTGCCGGCCGGACGCAGCGCCGGTAAAATTTAAATAGTCCTACCACAAGCTACATAGAACGACTGCATACCGGACAAATTATATAAATTCATTCAATAATAATATTTTTTCTAGCGAGAAAGTAAGTGTTTACATCACGATTATGAGCCCAGTTGTTTGAAATAGTGGCTGTTTGTAAATTTGTCTCGGCGTTTTCGGAGACCGAAGCGTCCACTTGGTCGGTGTTTGCGTCTATTTACCGTAAACACCGGGCAGCAGCAGCTCCCCCTTCACGTTTCCAAATTATTGCGAAGTGTTTTCATAATCAACATCTACACGACACAAACCGGGCGGCAGTGGATGAAAAAAATCACACAAACATCCGTGTATCCATGGTGATAATGCTATACACCACCTGCTAGGCGTGTGATGAGCAGCAGAGGGCTGCAAAATGACCAACACACAACAACATGTAAATCAAAATGTAACACTTTTATATATTGAATAAATGTACATTTGCTTGTCAAATTATGTTAGTATCCAAGAATTATATTATTTCAGCCTATTAATTAAACAAGTAAAATTAGATCCAAAGCCTGGAAATAGTTGTGACTGGTTTAGTGAAAACTGCAAAGATCATTACCATAGCAATTAAAAGACCATCTGCAGACCTTGCCTTCAGTAGTTTCATGTGAACTACATGGTAAAATGTAAAACTTTTGGTTCCTGATTTATGCAGTAAAAATATTCATTTGAAAGACCTGGCCTATTTCAGTTTTGTGTGTTACTGATGGTTTTTAATGAGGCAAACGTGATTCAATGCAAAGTATTACAGTGAGAGCAAAACATTTCTTATCCGATTACTCGATTAATCGACAGATTAATCGATAGAGTACTCGATTACTAAAATAATCGATAGCTGCAGCCCTAATACAGACATAGATCCTTGCACATAAACGTTGCAAAAGCCTGGGCTAAGTTGTGAGCACAGGAAGAGCTGGATGTCAACATGAATACAAATGCCTTCTTCAAGTGAGACATGTTTTAGACATATTTGTGAGACTAAATATCTGAGTGATGCCTTCATAAATGGTTCCAGAGGTTTGTAATATTTCTACAAAATTTCACCTCAAGCTCTTCTCTATCTTAGAGGTTTGTGCTTTCCAGATTATTCCATGTCCCTACATGTTTATTTTAAGGTCGGCTGTCAACTTCTCATGTGAACAGAACTTACTGCACTAGTCTTGTGGAATGAAAGGCCCCCTTAGGAGAGTAGGTAATTAAAAATATCAATCTCAAGATTTTATGAATAAACATCTTCTAATGCGGTAAAAATCATTTTGGATCAAAATGAGAAATCTTGATTGAAACTCCATTACTTACAGAATAAGTTGCATGAGCTGACAACTGTAAATGCGATATCTGACAGACAGTAGATCTGCATGTTTTATGGGCTTCCAAACAACACAAACACGTTCTCTTTTACTCAAGAGTATAAAGGGGAGACACACACAGGCTTAAAGTATGGGCTAAATGATCTGATCAAAATCCACAGTAAAAGAAAACTACTATATAACTCAAGCATGATGAGTCACACCCAAGGATGAACACAGTCAGCTCTTAGAACATAAACCAAAAAAAACCTGCTGTGGTATTACTTCTCCATGGTTCAGTGACAAAGTGCAAGCTTTTTGACTTTTAATGTAATAATCTTTCGGTCGCATCATCTCTACAACACGCTTCTCTTGATGGAGGACAGGTATCATACCAGGCACTCTGCTGTGTAACTGAGCTACAGTTGCTAAGTGATGCACAAAGCAGCTTTGGATGAATGAAGTGCTCCTCAGCCATGTTTGGGTCTGTATGAGTCAGAACGCAGACAGTGAAATGGGATCATTTATCGCTAAAAAAAAAGGCAAACAGTGTAGTAAAGCTGTATGATATGCAGTATAATAACATCTTATGAATAAAATCAAGCTGATGCTGCACCTATAATAAATGACTTTGCATATATTCTTTGAAGAAGCTGCTGAACAGTATCAACATGAAAATAAGGCCATGCACAAGACTGTAGTAGAAGAACTTGTTGCAATGATGTGACAGGTTTTACGCAGCACAGTACTGTTTTAGGAAGTACAGTATTAGTAACACAGTATGGCAGCCAAGAGTCTAAGAAGGAAGCAGCTGTTGAGTTACAACCATGCAGACTCTCTCCTTAGGCACGAAATACTTCTTGTGCATAAAATTAACTTGTGTACCCAGATTATGAGCCGTTCTGTGAGAAGGGAAGAAAGATGCTGTTTTCCGAAAGGACAACGAGAGGGCCAGGTGTGCTCTTAGAAATGAAAAGGGACAATCAGTGGAGTTGTCTCGCATCACTCCATCACTATGGAGATTTGCACACATTAACATACATCATTGCTGCCGACTGCATGAAGTGACTCATCGAAACACTGCAGAGGAACAAGTTGTTTAATAGATATAGACCAAAATATTAAGATAGACAAGCTAGTGTTTCAGTGTAGGACTAATTATCCAAAATGTTAATAATTTTAAAAGATTAATTTGATGCGTGTTTATCAATGTGGTCAGTGGTTTAATGGAGATATATTGTATGTGCAGCTTTTGTTATACTGATATCAGTGTTATCAAGCAGGTTTATGCAGGAGGAGACATTTGAACTGAAGGATCCAGGGAAACAGTGTGTACAGCACATACATATTGATTGCATGTGGCCCAACCTTCAGGCTACAGAGTCATTATGGCAGCAGTAAAGACCACCAAGGGGGCTACTGATGAACCCTGCTCTGAAGCCCAGACAAAAAGCCCGAACAGGAAGCGGGCCAGTCTGGATTACATCATAGCACTTGTTGTTGAATGCTAACACTGATCAAAAGCTGGGTCTCTAAATAATAAGCAAAATCTGTAAAACATGAGCAGTCTTGGCAAAAAGGATGATTTTATAGATGGGAGGCAAGAGTGGGTGAGGTCTCTTTTCTGTCCCTCCTTCGTGTTGCAGCCTGAACTGCTGCATGGTATAATTAAGTAGCTTGTTGCACAGGAAGTGTCTGCACGCTTTAATGAAAGGGTGGACTGCAATTCTCCAGTGGGGACTAGTGTGAGGGGCTTTTTCCTTCCAATGAAACACAGCTTACCTTGCCTGTTCACAGCATTATTTTGTTACATCAAAAATTCTCTATATCGTCATCTTGTGTAGTGCTTGGCCGATAGACAAAAAAACCTTGACTGTCTGGGATACAGAGCGTCTAATCACTGGCTCAAGATTTTAGGTCCTCAGATAACACTGCTGATGCACGCTCACAAACGTGCACACACACACGCACAGACATACACACCAGATCTACCGCAGGATTACTAGAGACCTGTTCATGCTAAGGTAAGCCTCGGCTATTTGCAGTCCTTGCAGGATAATGATGACACATCTTAGTTTGCGAGAGAGTGTCCTCTTACAGGTGGACCACACTGTCTTTGAACGGATGTGACGACCAGAACATTCATTTCTGAGTTAAATCATCAATGCAGTTCTTCTAGTGATGCAACAAGTTATTAATTAATCAATTGGAGGATAATTATTTTCAGCCTTTAAAACAAACGAATAAATCTGATTTAAATGTACTTTTGCTGTTACAGATTTTTACACAGAACTTCATCAGTGACAGTAACCAGCAGATCTTTGGGTTCTGGACAGTTGGTTGGCCAACAGAATCAGTCTGAGGAAGATGTCTCTTTGGGTTCAAGCAAATTTGTTTGCGGGAGCGTTTTTTTTTTCGTGCGATTATTTCGGATGTCAATACCCCCCCCCCGTAATTTCGCGTTATATATTTGCGTCGGCCCGGTGTGTAAGGACCCTCAAGAGGAGTCTTTTTGGGTTCTAGCAGACTACAGGATACATTGATTTATGGCTAAAACATCTGGTTGATTAACTGGAGATGAAAATAATTGTTAGTTTAAGCACAGCTGTCTTGACCCTTATCTATCTGAGTGATTCAATCAAGTATGTCATGGTCAGGCCTTGTGCTGTTGGATAAGTTTTGTTGATTCAGTTAAGCTAAAAAAAAAAGTCAACTATATGTGACAAACAGCACAACAGATAAAAAAACACTTAAAAACCAGAGGAATAACTGGTTAGGTTTGGCAGGCCTTGCAAAACCAAACAATTTAGAACAAAAGCGCTGAACCAAACAGCTGCTTTAAACAATATCTGATGAATTCATTATGTACCCACTTATATATAAATGAACCTTACCTCTCCTGCCATATGTAGCCTAAATACCTGCGCAAATAAATTATTGCAACTCACAGACAGTTAAGATCTGTGCTTTGTAGTTTGATTTTCTGCAAGCATCTCCATTTCATGAGGACTGAAGCCAATCCTCATGAACTGGACAGTTTGAACCTAGTTTTTAACTTGAAGTTATCCTCCAACGCAAAAACGGCAGACAACTTGAATTGATGTGAGTAATTTAGAGTCTAAAATGGAGATGAACTCCAAAGTAAACAGGATATTTTACTATGAGAAATGAACATTCTGGCTGCTTCTATTCTAATGACAGACATGCATAAGTGGCAGTCTATACAAATTGACTTATTTTGCCATTCAAATCTGTGGATTTGTATGTTTAACCGCGACTGTAAAGACTGTAAAATATTGTTCTGGTAAAACAGACCCAAATCTACACAGTGAAACTGAGGCTGGTCCATTTCCTCCTTTGGTTAAATCCAACCAGCTCAGGAATACTTGTCATGCTTTCAGCTCTGCAGCAGCAGCAGTTGCTGAGCCTGGATCAGGATAACCTTGTAGTGTGACTTGCAGTAGTGTGATCTCCCCCTATAATAGCGGGGTGCACTTCTCCTTGCTCACATTCTTGTGGAAATGATTGTGCACATGAGCTAGATTCCTAACATTATTTTATCGCTGTCAGCCTTCTGCTCTGACTGGAGGCCAAGCACAGGATGACTTCCTTTAACTACTGGCAAAGCTAGATCGCTAACATTTCACATCAGATATTTTCATAAAACCTCAGAATGGGGTGGATGTTGAATTCCAGACTGAAAATACTGAATGGAAAAGTCAAGAGAAACAGGAAGACTTGGACTAAATATGGTCCAGTTGTTTCCAGGAGTAACACATGCCTACACCCACGTTGGGTATGCAGAAATCTCGCTTTTACCATTAAAAACTGCGAGCCCGGGTGCAGCCGGAGTCATAACAAACTGTGCATTCATGCCCACAGATGCAGACACAGTAAACATCCATGTCTGAGAGACGAGCATTGATTGAGACTTTGCTGCAGCAGTTGGCCTACATAGTGCTATTCACAAACAAGAAATGTGCTTTTTAGACAGACAGGACTGCTTGTGGCACAGGGCCTGGAGAAGATAAGGTGCCCAAGAAGACATTTCATACAAGGCATGAAGCTTCAATCTCCCCACATCAATGTGCGATAGTGTCTGACACTCTTGCATTATGTGAAATTCAGGTCAGACATTGTTATGGTCGCCCTCCCTTTTGAGAGGAGGGGGTTATGCCATATGTCAACAAATAAAAACTGTCCACCAGTGTATTAAAGAGAGAAAGTAACATGTTAGATGACTGGAGCAGCTTTATGTTGCATGGTGAGCCACTGTAAAAGTGCACACAACTATTTATAGTGTACTCTACAGTAAGTATCAGACTTTTTGATACGTGATGAGAAAACCCTGCCTGAGATGATCACTTTGGACAATAATCCCCACTGATGATGGCCACCGCTATCTAGACGAAAGCCAATTACAAAGCAACTAGTTAGCTCTGTTTCTCGAGCATTTCCTGCCCGTTGACTTGGTATACTGTATTCATGCATTAGAGCTCTGTTTTGAAACGTGATTACAAAGCGATAAAGCAAAGCTAAAGCACTGCTAAGTACGCTAGGCGCCAGACAAGTTAAGTCGTCATATGTCAACCGGCTCTCTCGCTCTCTCTCAGGCTGCAAAATACAACGGTTAAACTTCACTCACTTGGCTGTTGACTCGTGGCTCTTAACTTTCACTGAGTCAAACTACTTCACCTAGCTTTTAGAGGCACATAGAAATCAACTTTTTTGTGTAAAAGCAGTTTAAAAGCATTTTAACGCGCGATAAAGTTGGAGATTTTCCCGCATCCATTGTCAGCAGATAACCGGACACAGAGCTAACGTTACTAGCTAGAAAAGCTGGACGACGTTCAAATCACCCGGTGAGCGGCGGCCGTTGGGAGACAACATTACAAAGAGACAAAACATAAAAAAGATAAAAGTCCGGAAAAATTCAACCCACAAGTGCCGGAGAATTTCTTACCAATTTGGGCTCGTAAGCCTTTGAGAGTCGAAGCACCCTCCGCCATTTCTCTGAAGTTTTCCTTCTCTGTTTTTTTTTCTACAGCAGGGGCGCGCGAAGCATCGCAGCCGGTAGGACTCGGACACCGCGGGGACGTGGACATCAAAGATCGAGTGTGACAGCAAGAGGTCTGACTCTGATTTGTTACCGGAAACCAACAACAGAGCCGCAAATGTGGGAGGAGACATTCGAAACGCCTAAAGCTGACAACTTTTTTTGTATGGTAAACCTTAGGTTTTTAGAGAAAAGAAAGTCCTTCATGAAAATACTGACATTAACACACAGAAAAAAAATATATATATATCAGTGCAATCGATAAAATTTTAAACGAGGTAAAGACATGAACTATCTTGCGTTCACTTACGATAAACCTGCGCTGTATATGAGTGGCTGCATATTTTTGGAAATTTTGTATGCGTAGTTTTGTATGTTGGCTAAGAAGCTCCATTGCTGCAAAGAAAATAAAAATGGAAAAATAAAAAAAAAGTCACAACGGAAGCTACCAATGAAAAAAAGAGACAGAAACTGCTGCAACTAAATAAAGATTAAAAAAAACAAAAACAATGAAAGTTAACGGCGCAAAAAAAGTGGCAATGTAAAATACTGCAAAAATTAAAGGATGCAAATAAAAAAGATTTTAAAAAGTCACAATGGAAGTTACCAAAGCAAAAAAAAAAAGACCCAAGCCCACTGTAAATAAAAAAGATTAAAAAAAAAAAAACAACAGAAGTTAAAAAAGTGAGCTGCCGGGGACCAATAATGAAAATGCACTGGTGTTTTGGCCTGAGTTAATATTAAGATGAACTGAAGGATGCTGGTGTAGTGTTAGCGACTCATCGACTCAGGCGCTACATGGCCTAACCAACCTAATGGCACATTAAAAAGCACACAAAGCGAAATTAAACAATAACCTTTCCACTTTCTTCTTTGCTCGTCTTTTTGCTATCATCTTCTGTGCTGAGATCGTAAAACACTGGTGCATCATCATTATTGGTCCCCGGCAGCTCACTTCCGTTGTGGCTTTTTTTATTTGCACCCTTTTATTTTCGCAGTTAGTAACTTTTTTTTTATCATTGCATCGTCACTTTTTTGTGTTAACTTCCTTTTTTTTTATTATTATTATTATTTTTATTATCATTATTCTTATTCTTCTTATTATTATTATTTTTGTCTGCACTGTTTCTTTTTTATTTGCAGTGGGCTTTGTTTTTTTTTTTTTCTTTCTGTCTTTCTTTTTTTTTTTTTTACATTGGTAACTTCCGTTGTGGCTTCGTTTTTTGCATTCTTTTTTATTTGCAGCACTGGCAGTTCTCGGCCACCGTAGGTTTAAATGAGAAGCTCAACAAAAATTGTGCAAACAGCAAACGGACCACTAATCATCAAAAGCGGTGGTGTATTTTTCTAATAGACGATCTACGGAGTCCTAAGGAAGCCACATTCAATTTTGCTTCGGAGTACAATTGCCCCCTCTAGCTGTTATGCGTCGAACTTGCATGATGACACACAAAGTTAACCCACTCTAGGTACTGCGAGCAGCAACAATTAGGGCGTACAGACTGTTTATTAAGTAAGCATGACCTCTCATCAAATAAGGCAGTTCAACTAAACTCAGAGAGTGCTCTAAACAACTAAATATCTTTGCAAACAGCCTGATACTAACAGGCAGGTAAGATACAGTACATTGAAGAGAACAAGACTGAAAACAACACTGTAAGTTCGACCATGTTTAGATTGCTCCACAAAAATGTGACGATTAAATGTAAAATCTTACCTTAGTGAATTTGTTGAACAATCTTTACAGCTTAGGATCAAAGTTGCTGGTCTGTAAGAAACTTCCCCAACTGAGAGACTATCAAACTTTCTCAGGGCTCTGTTCTTTTTCTTGACCTGAACACTGTATCCTCTGTCTAAGTCAGTCTCACATGCTTTAGCCAGAGGGCCTCTCATCTATTTTACATGGTAAACAGGAAGTATCACTGTATGCAGGGTTCAGTTGCAATGTCCTGGATAGGATACTGTGTTATTTAACACTCAAACTACAACAATCAATACTTGGCAACTTGACACTTAACATCTTGATTAAAAATGTGACAGCAATTATTATAACAAGCCTGATGTATTCGGACAAAGAAACCATACAAATACAGTCTTAAAGTGTTTTAGTCCGGTTTTAACTTTAACAATCTCAAAATCAATTCATTTCAGAGAGATGAAAGTCTTTGAGTCGCAGCAATAAATGAACTGTTGTACAACTGTTGGCGCCATAGGAACACATCCTGATGGCCGATGTGGTCACTTGTTCACCACGGCTCTGTGTATCCTAGCAACAACTTGAGGATTAGGCAGCAGTGCAGCAGCCTGGGCCAGCTGGGGCAGCAGTGTGTACGTGGATGTGCGCAGGTACTGAAAAAGGTCCTGGAAGCTATGGAGATGAGCAATAACCTGAGGTGGGACGCCCAGAGACCGCCCCAATGTCCTCAACATCCCCTTATCATCAGCAGAGTCAAGCAGCAGGGACAGGTCCTGGACTGAGTCGTAGTCAAGGTTGTCAATACTCTGACCTAAACAGATCCAGAACAGAAACAATAACATGGATTTAAGAGAAAAGTGAAAAATATATCGCTGTATTGTTTTGATAGGAGGCTGCTTACTTACTAGACAGAAAATGAACCTACCCTGAGACACTTCCCAGATTGTCTGAAGTTGTTGTTCCATCTAATATTGACATTAAAATTAAGACAGAGAGAGATATTCAGTAAATGCTCACTCTTTTTTACTACTACATCAGCAAGGTAAGTTGACTGTTAATCTAAAGTAAGAGATCATATAAGTTTGCATTTGAACATTAAAGAAACTGCAGGGAATTGTTGCAATGTGATATTTGGCGCCCCCCTGTGAACAAAACAGTACCTCTTTTCTCCTCTGCTTTGCTTTTACATTTGTATTGTGTTTTATATCAACAAAAACTCACTGACTATCTTCTCTTACTGTCAAATGTACATATCTGAAATGTTGTTTCAGCAACACTATTAACCACTTCATAGGGCATCTACCCTTCTGTAGAGACTATCTTTGTGTTACATTTTTTACCTAAAATCAACAGTGTGAGTGCAGCTCCGTCTAATGATTGAAGACCCTCTGGGGTGACGAACCAGAGCATGTAGTTGACGCATATTTCCATAATAAAACACAATAGTTGTCCATCTTTCCTTCCTGGAATTTACTTGGAGGTTTACTTTGCATAACAAAACGATACTTTTTACGAATAATAATGATGAAACGGAGACCCGATGTAAACACGGTCAAAAACCATTGTGCTCTCAAAGACCCACAGCAGCACTAATTAGCCAAGAAAAACCCGCAGGTCTCACATTACGTGTCTCCTCCAATAGGAGAGCTGCGGTAGTAATCGGCTTAAATTAAACTTTGAAGTAAAACTATACAACTGTTCAGTCTCTCAGAATTCTAATCAGGATAAATAACAAAAATTATGAATTATCTGTCTAATGATCAGCGGTGCACAAATGGCTCTAACAAACAGTTTATTTTTTCTATAGGGATGACCAAATTAAAATCAGCATGTATGTTTATCTAATAACATAATACATTAAACCACTTTACCTCCCCTCTAGAATCGCAGCTGCCATGTTGTTCCTGCTGTAAGACGTTCTCTTTCTCACTTGACGGCTTAATGTTGGTGGTGACATTAATCACAATAGAAGGTGGATGCACTTCATTCTTGTGGCTCAGTGAGTTTAAGTCTCTGGATAGAGAGTTAATGAGTGTACAAAATTACACAGAGTAATTGAATGTATAATCAGTGAGTATGTAGCATTCGCAAAGTACCTAGTGGGGTCTTGAGCTGGAGGAAAACCGTCTGAAGACGCCTCTGGTTGTCTGGCCTCTGCCTCTGTGGGCCTGGACAAAGGTTTGTGTTTAGGGTCCCCTGCAGACAACAGTGCTTCAGGCGCAGGGAAATACTCAGGAACTGGCTCTGAACCATGCAACAGGAGCATATGATCCAAATTAACTCGGCAAAACAAAAGAGAAATTGAAAAGAGGAGCAGAGAAGTTGTGTTTGTAACTCACTGAGTTGCTCTGCAGTCAGAAAGAAAGCCCACAGCAGCAGAGCAACCAGGAAGATGAGGGAAGCTGTTGCTGAACCAATCAGGACCGTCGAAAATGTCTCGCCTTTGACACCTTCATTGAAAACAGTCAAGTTAAACTGGAAAAATGGATCGTGTTGGTGGTGATAATCCTCAGGGTTACTCACTCTGCTCTTCAGGTTCTGTGAAATCCCCCATGGGCACAGTGGTTGCACTCTCTGTCAAGACAGGACTATTTTAACTCTTATCGTACAGATCTAGAAAATCATCTGGCAATGAAACTATATATACAATCTTATTGTGGCTCTATTGTTTATCTTTGTGTCATACCTGCTTTAGGGCCTTGAGGCATCAGAAACAAACACTCTTTATGGACTGTGTCATGTCTGAAACATGGCAAACATGGCAGCTCAGCTTCCCCAGTCATAGTCCTGAGTTCATAATACCTGCGCAAACAACTGTGTTATCCAATGAACAAACATGTTAACATATTTTTGGTTGTGTAGCTGAACTGTAAGTGTAGCTCACCCTGGGAGGCACTGACCACACTGGGCGTCACTGCTGGGTGAGCATGCTGACTTCTCCAGGCGGTTCAGCAGATTGCACTGGATGCATCGCATGCATGGAGCTACACTTGTATCTGCACTGAACCTGCCCTCTTCACACAGAATACAGACACCTTGACCAGCATCCCCAAAACCACAGTCCTGTTGATGCACGATAAACTTACTGATGGAGTCATGACTGGTGAAGGAAAGAAAATCTAAAGGAAAATGTTAATACACTACTGTTTTTATTTTTATTTTTGTTTTTATGTAAGTTACCTCTGAGAGCTGTTCTCCGGGCCCACACACAGGGCAGGCAACACAAATGCCATTTAGGTGTAAGAACTCAGTCTCACTACAGCTGGGCTCAGCTTTCACCAGCACAGACCAAACCTAAGGAAGAAGACAGGTAAAAACACTGCTGGGAGAACATTTCAGAGCCTATCCTTAACTTAAAGACTGTCATGTAGCATAAATAAAGTGCAACAATTCACATCACAGTCAGTCATTTATAATACTGATAATGTGTGCATATAGGAACAATTTTGAAAGAACAACATTACGAAAGGATATGCTTATTTTGCAAACAATAATATGAAAACCCTCTCCTACACTACAGGACAGTCAAACCTACCGTGAGCAGAGCTGCATAAAGACAAGCCTTTTTCACCGAGGTGTCCATAGTTCTCCTCTGAAGAGCAGATCACCTATCAACCATCAGTATGGACAAGCATATCCAATAATCCCTGTAAATATTAGCTGACTGGAACAAAAATCACAAGGAAGAGATGATTAAAAACTTACTTTGCAGGTTTTAAGAGCAAATTATTCATAGATAAATCATTTATTTACAGCCAGTTTTAGAGCTGTGTGGTTTTTCCTATTTTCAACCAAAGTAAAGTGAGAAAGCTCCTCAGGAATCCCCCCAATACTACATCATCTGTGACGCAGCCGAGGTTCCCAACAAGCCCACTGACCAGAGGGCCAATGAATCCAAGAGGTTTCCCCCGGGCTCCTCACGTCACACCTGGTCTTCTCATGTTACACCCCTGGACGAACGACTAGCTTGTTTTTGGCTGGGGCGTCACAATCAAGGGAGCAAAAGAGGAGGGGAAAGAAATAAAAAAAGCATCAATGAGACCCTTGTTAGAAAATTTGTTTCAGACAAGGAGACTGTGTGTGAGTGTATTTGCAGGACAGAAAATACACTAAGTGCGATGACCAGTTCTTATTAGTCCGTCTAATGCCACGGACAAGAGTTTTGGTGGAAACTTATATTTTTGCTCAATCTAATCACAGAATTGCAAGATACAGTTTGACCACACTGTGGGAGTATGGAGCCATAAATCTGACCATCTGACAATCTGTCCTCTTCCTTATTCTGTATAATGGGAATAAAATAATAGAAGTACTTGGTATCTATTGGTTGTTTAAAGGATAAAAGGAGGAGTACATTATGAACTGTCTATACTTTCAGGTGTGTACAGGTGTAGACAAAACACACAAGGGGATTATATGTCAGACTGAAAGGCCAATTTCATTTGTTTGAACAGTTATCTCCAGAGAATATTTGAAAAGCACAAGAGTATAGCCCAAGAACATTGCTTTGAGTGTTTGAGGACATTTTTGATAATCTCATGTACAGAACAAACACACACACACACACACACACACACACACACACACACACACACACACACACACACACACACACACTTGTCTGGGGTATAAAGTGTGGACGTCCCATGAATGTCCCATCAAAAGGGACTCCTCACATGAAAGGTTGTCCGTCAGTGGTCAAAGTATATAAAGTAAAACACACAAACATATGCAAACTGTCTCAGTCATCTTAACCCTACAACACTATCCTCAAAATTAGTAACACCATCACTATCGCCGGGTGATTTTTACCCGAAATAATATACCCAAGAAAAAGTACTTGTCATCGAAATATATCAAAATAGGACAATACATAATAAATTAAAGTTTTCTTTTATTTCTAACGGTGCAATGTCCAGAGGGAGGGGAAAAAGTGCCATGTGAGGCACAGAGTGAGTAAAAATGACCAGCTGACTAAAATATTTCTTCTCATCACATGAATTCTCTTGAAAGTCACTACTTTGTGATAGTTATTCAAAACCACTGCGCTAAATAAAGATAGCATGCAAATTCCTGGACCACTCTTACTGACCTTATTCGCCTACATGCAGCTATTAAATCCACGTGCCTGTAGGAAATAGCAGGTTTTGGATCAGGGAAACAAATATGTCTTCAAAGATGTCAAAGGCAATGCTGAAGCTACCCAGGGACCCATGATGATACTCAGACAAACGCAACATAATGAAAATCACGTAAACATGTTTGGTCGGGTGAAAATCACTCAGCAATAGTGTTCTAGGGTTAACCAAAAATTCATATACAGATGATGCTGTACTTTCTTTATCAAATCTTGTCAGTATCTGCGTAGAATTGTCTTCATGTCAGAAGCCAGTATCCACATGTTATAGTTAGGGAGGAATATTATGTGACACCTCTAAATATATAGGTTTCTACAAATTGGGTCCAGTTATCATATTCCATTATGTCATCAACAGCTATATGAGCAAGTACAGGATTTCTCAACATCCTGTAGTCTACGGTTAAACTTTAAACCTTGTTAAGAGAATAATTACCAATAAAAACTCTCACTGTTTCACCACAACTCCCCAAAGATATAAAAGTACTTCACTGGAAACATTAAAAAAAAGCTATTTTGGTGTGTTCATTATATCATTTCTAAGATTTACTCTTGAAAAAGTTTCCTGAACTCATGGTTTTAACGTTATCATGTTTGTCAGTCAAGTTTATTACTGCGGATGATTAATGAGTAACTCTGGGAACCGAACAGAGAGGGTGTGGAGGTCTGCTCCATGAGAATTAAAGTGACACTTGGCCACGGACTCATGGTTCTGTTAGCTGCTCGTGTTGTTTGATCACTTTAGGTTCCTCAAAATGGCTTCAGATCTGACTATTTGAAGGATATGACCATGGTAAGTCTAACTTAAATATTCAGACATGGAAGAGTTATTAAACTTCTTGTTTTCTTTAAAGTGTATGCAGATTTAAAAGTGTTATTGTAAACTCTCAGCAGATGGACGCTTGACTGGAATAAGAAGTCCTGTTTTTTTGTTTGCGGCCATGAAGTCTTTCAGAAACTTGTCTTCTCCAACTTTGTGTTTAAGTATCCTGCTGGCTGGGTGTCTGCTGTCTACAGGTTAGGATTTCATACATTTAAAAGTCCTCTTAACTTTTCAAAGACAACAACTCCCATAAACATTCCCGGATGCATAACTGTGCGTGATACTGGCTGTTTTTATGGTGTAAATTATTTTATTGTGTCTTGTTTTGTTTGTGTTTTTAATCACGTGTATAATGGGAAAATGAGAATGACTAATCTACCTGTTTCCTTTTTACATGTGTTTTCTTTAGCTTCCCCAGACAATCACAGTCTATGGGGTAAGAAAATAACCTTCATGGGTCGCCAGTGTTTGTGGCAGCTAGACCCAAGCATCGAGGTACCAGCCCTGGAGGAGCTGAGTGTATGTGTGCGTTTACGATTCACAACTTTAACAGAATGGACCGGTTTTGTTTACAAAGCTCCATGGGGAAGAAGCATAGAGCTTGGACTTCAGGGCACAGGTGAAAAGCTGTCGGTGTTTCTTTTTGGAGAAGAGGTCTCCTTTGAAAAGAAACTGAAATCAGACAAATGGTACTCTGCTTGTATCACATGGTCTGGCCAAGCTCAGATGCTTCACGTCTACATAAACGGAGACAGTGAGCTTAAGGCTCATGTGGATCACTCCTCATCCCGACATCTGACCCCTAATGGCACCCTGACTCTGGGAGCATCTCATTTTGTCTCGGTGGACGGTACGGTGAAAAAGGAGGATGGGAAGGATCTGTTGGGTGAGATCGGTCTGTTCAGGATGTGGGCCAGAGAATGGAGTTCTGAGGACATAAAAGGAGAGAGCTGTGCTGATGGAGACGTGGTGAGCTGGGATCTGCGGCAGTGGAAAACCACATGCCCTACTGATCCTGATAGCAGCCTACATTGTGGTAAGCACAGTATTAATGGACTTCAATTGCATTCCATGGTTGTCCACATTTGAAAATTAATTAGTCTCAGATTTTTCTCACCTATTCACACAAAGTAGCAGCTGCAGTTGTTGCCGCTTAATGTCAAAGATCAGAACAATATTAAACAGCTGATGAGTCTAATGGTTTCCCATATTTTCAGCATGGTCACACTACAAAATCAAAATGCTGACATTCATGGATCTTTCACTGAGGGCTGAAAATTGTTCGGTGCCACTTGAGGGAGTTACAAGGAAATGGGTACGTGGACACGGTGAAGCTGTTAATGAAATCTGGCAGCCAGGGATGCAAAACAAACATTGAGATCAACTTGATTTATCTTTGTTGTCATCTCTTATCAGCTGGAGAGCGCTTTGCCTCCTTACACTACCGTCCGTGAAATCTCTGTGTCATCTCCAAGGTAACGTCTTTTTTGTTTGCAAAATACATCTCGAGGCTGGCAGCAGGAGGGAGTGTTTAGACAGAGCCAAAATTGATGATTTGAACCTCTGGGTGTAAATGAAGACTGTCCATTTCCTTCTGTTACAAAACAGCCCCTGCCAAAGGGGAGACACATGAAGCAAGAGTTAGCTAGTTAAGCCATCGAATAGTTCCCCTTCCTCTTCTCTTAACCGACTCAATTGACTTACCTTTAAAACATAAAAAGCTTCTTCATGGTCAAACAGCATCTTGGACCAATTATAAGTGTCCTAGGTCAGGGGCGGAACTGAAGTGAGACATGTAGACCAGTCTGGTGGGTTTCCCACCCATATACCACCATAACAGCATCATCCCTGCTGCCCGGGATCGGGTAGCTAGCTGACTAAGTAGTTTAAAAAGCTAGCCTCAAGTATCTTAACTACCATCACCAACATTTTAAATATAATCTAATTTTGGACATCTCTGCCTTTGAAAGATGCAGCCCTTAAATTGGGACATAGCTGTTGTTAGTTAAAAGATTCTTGTGCTGTTGTTTGCGGCATCTGTTTTGCACTCAGTGCCAAATAAAAAGCACTTGCCAACACAAGCATAACACAAACTTGCGATGACAGTAACAACGTTTGAAAAAATGTCTTGATGTGATTTTTAATTTTGGAACACAATTTTTAAAGTGTCATCGGTCCAAGTCCAAGCTGTCAACATCAAGAGGTGGAGCTAGTGAACATTATTGTCAGTTATTTTGGGGGGTACTATCATGTCATCCATCTTTTTGTACAGTCTACAAGGAGAAAAAATATGAAGGTTTCGCAGTTTATGTATTTCAATCTGTGATATTAGAAGTAACCAAAGCCTTGAAATATATGTGTAGGAGAGTCCAACACAGTGTAATTTAAAGACAATTATCTGAAATTCCTTGTAAAATGCTTCAGAACTTAACAGAGTTATTCTCCACCTCTGTTTACTGGGTTTCCATCAAGGTCAAATACTGTAGTGCGTGTATATGCTGTGAGTAATAGAGGTGACCGGTACATACTCGGTCTTGCCGGCGGTATCAATCCCTGTCTGCATTCCTGTCTGTAATTTCTGTTATCTGTGTTTCCATACAGCCGAAGCTGCCCTGTGGTTAATAATTCTGCAGCCCTGCATGTGCAACAGCCTCAGGTACACCTCTGATTGTCCTCAGTTTGATTTTCCATGAAAAGAAGAGGCAATATCCTCAAAAGGACAGCTCATTAAAAGCCTGAATGAACTTTCCAAAGAAATTGGTGCCATATGTTAGCACTGAGATCAGTTCAGAGGCAAGGTGTTTGTGAATCGTAGTAAGAAAGTTTGGATAAGTACAATGACTCAACCCTTTACATCAATTTACAACTCACCTGTGTGTTTCAGGGACCATGGACGTCATTTGCCTGTGAAAAGTGGTGAGTCACAAAGTATAAAAGTAGGCTGGTGTTTTCCAACTCAGACTCAGTAAACATAAATAAATAATTTGTGTCGATTTCAATCATCCAAAGTTTTAGCTGTGAAGCCGTCATAGATGTGAATCCTGCCGCTGATGTAGACGTGGTTCAAGCAGACGTAATTGCACGACTGAGTGAAACGTTTTCCCCTGACAACCTCAACCTGACTGCTGATCGTCATAGCATCACTGTTCTACCTGTAGGTACGTTCGTTTGAGTCTTTAGTCATCTCATTTTTAGGGGACTTCTGCTGCTGTCAAAGATTTCAATAGTATTGTTCAGAAAAAAAGGTCTTTGGTTTGATTGTCAATATTTGTTTGGTTCTGGTGTTTTGCAAAGCAGACTCTTGGTTTATTTGAAAATGTACTCTTGAGGCATGTAGATGAGGAAATCCATTTAAGTGGTTAAAGTTGTCTTGCACTTTCACTATAAATGTTTAGTTAATGGATTTATACCTTGATGGAGATACACTGACAAAAAATAGATACGATAACTAATATTGGACATCTGCAGAATAGAGAAGACATTTCTCTGTTTCCAGAAATACCTAACAGTTAATTCATCAGAGAATAAAATCCTTGGTTGATTTACCTATTGGGATGTGATTTTACACTTAATTGCCATTTTTTAAATTGTTATCAATGGTTCATTTTATATTATTTCAGAATCATTTCCTGAAGAGTCAGAACCAGCTCCAACTATCGGCACCCACACAACTACATCAGGTGAGCATACAAAGAAGAATACCACTTAATATCATGTGTAGTCTACAGTATACTGGTGCTTATTAAAATATACATTTAAGAGTGCTGATAAATCAGCTTATCTGTAATGGAAGTGTCGATTCTTTTTAATGGATCTAAAACATTGTCCTCATGTTGCTTATCGGGACCTTTTTGTGTAAATGTTGTCATTTGTTCAGCAGTAACAGGTCCAACTCAAAGTCTGCAAACTCCCCCCAGCAACATGTCAACAACTGGAGGGCCTCTAGATCTCAATGAAACCACCAGTAAGTTTACTAAACTACAGGAATGAATCCCTGTCTGTCTGCTCTTTCACGATTCAGCTAATTTGTGTTCCCTGAGGCAAAACTTTTAGCATATTCTGAGAAATCACAATAAGGTAATGTAAGACAAGGGTAACTTAGGCCTTTACCTTTAAGGTAGTCAAATAACATTTTAACTGTGTGTGGAATCGAGAGGCAGTTTGTTATACACAACAATATTTTTATGAAACTTAAATCTGTATTCACAGGGATTCCAAAGCCATCTGGTAATATTTTGATGTTCCCGTATTGATTTGAAGAATTTTACTGACTTACTTATTCCATCATCTTTGTACATATTACATGGCATTTCCCCGTTGTGTAAAAAGTACTCAGTGAATAAGTCTTCATCTCTGATGGCTGGTGCAGTTTTATTCTCAGAGGGCTATGACAAATGCTGAATATACATACTACATATGGTATAGAAGGTCTAACAGGTATTTCAGCACTAACTAAACACCCTTTATTTGAATGGCTGAGCTGACTAAACTTTTGCATTTGTGTTGATTTTACTTTATGCTGACTTTACATTTGAGCAATAGAGATTCAGGCTTTCAGCTTCTTGGCCAATAACCACAATATACCAACCTCAGCTGTCCCCTCATACAGAGGGGGATTTTTCCATTAAAATAGGCTATTAAGCATGAATTGATGGAGATTCATCCACTTTTAAAGCCCCCCGACTGCAATTTTTGCACATCAACAACGGCGTCATTTTCTTTCAATTGCTGATGTTGCTGCTTGAGCACAACGAAGTCTTTATGTCTCAGTTCACATGACATACCTTAGACGTCTGACTGTTAAACAATGATTCGTCTTGACTTTGGGGTACTTTACCATACTTCAAGAGGCCCCTACTGCTTGTATTGAAGACAAATGAATGCATGTGTGCAACTTATAACAAGAGTCATTGGAGACCTGAAAAATCAAGGCCAATTAATAACAAAACGTCAAGGAAAATGTTTATTATTATTATTATTTTTAAAATTTCAGATGACATGATATCTACCTTCATCTTCGTTTGAATAGATTTTCAAATATCACTTCAATGAGTAAAAGATTTTTAGTTTTCTCATTGGGCACACCCTGTACCAATCAACCATCATGGGTCTTAATTCCAAGAGTTGCAGCTTTTAGGGTTGCACCCGATACTTAAACATACTTTGGCAGACCAAAGTGCAGACTTAGCAAAAGGAAGCTGTTAAACAAAAGACAGAAATTTCAACAAACTTATTTCACAAAGTAAAAAAAACTTAATATAAGTCTAACATCGGGAAAACAGAAGAAAGCTAAGGTAGGAGTGGAAGTGGGGAAAGGTACACAGAGTGACGAACACGTGACAAACTGACACCAAAGGACCAAAGGACTAGCTACAGGTGGGACACTAGACTCAGGTGAAATGACTGATAGTAATCAGAAATGGAAGGAAAACACAGGAAGTAACTGGACTAGACACACAAAGATTAAATACTACAAAATAAAAAACAGGAAACACTGATAACTGAACTTAATAACAAACCAGTGAAAACAGGAACATGAGTATAATGAACACACTGGGAAGAGGAACACAAGGGGAAAATACACAGAGAGTGATATTTAATACAAAACAACTAAAAAAACAAGAGCTCATCATAACCGATTCGATGATTAAAAGACAATTGAAAACTCAGATTTACTCTTTCAGCGACTGTAATGTCAAAGTCCTGATTTTGTCCTCTCTTTGTTGTAGTTGGGCCTGACATATTCTTCAAAGTTAATCTGACCTTGAGTTTAACTGGCAGCCCTACAAATACGGGTCCTGTTATTACGAAATGGGTAAGAGACACTCACTGAAACACTTTATGTTGTACTGAAAATATGTGTACACTGAGTTATTCTTCTGGGTCTGCAGCTGAAGGAGCGGCTAGAGGTGAATAACACCATGATTATACTGAATCTCATCATAAAGGGGGGAGATAGCAGGTAGGAAAGCACTGATACTGAATAATGAATTCACTTTGTCTGACCACTGCAGCTCAAACTGATGTAACTCCAAATTTTGTGTTTCCTCTGCAGATATAACTGTATCTTCCATGTTCAGGAATACAACATTAACAGTGTGGAAGTAACTGAAACTCTTATTAATGTGGCACTGACATCAAAGTATGAAGGTGACTCGTATATTATTCAAACTACAAGTCTGAGTCTCAAGCATATAGGTAAGCCGACTTTTCTTGAACAATAAAAAAATAAAGGCTAAGTCTGATTATGAGATTAGACTGAGCAACAGGCTGTGTATTTTTTTTCAGAACCTGAAAACTGTTTAGAGGAAACTACTTCAACAGTATATGGTGAATACATCTGGCCTGAAGCCTTTCCTCAAGTCATGGGAGAAATGGCATGCAGAAAGCCTCTATCAGAAAGAGCCTACAGGCTTTGGTAAGACATTAACTCCCATTTACTCAACTGATTTCCATTTGACCAGAAGCAATGACAATGAATGGTCAGAGAGCTATTAATGGCATAAACACAAAAGAAACCAAGGCAGTACTTACAAAACGTACAAAACGATGGCTTTGACCTCACTAGGTGGTCATGGGCTTAGCTTTGTTTTTAATAAAGTCAATATGATGGTTGTAAATTTTAATAAACTAAATAAATCGGTTAAAATGGGTATTAAAAAAGAAATGTATACCTTCTTATGATAAAATAAAGTGATTATTCAAATAAAGAAATGAGATCCTTCAAACAAAAACAGCATTAAATTATTGTTTTTTTAAAGATTAATGGATGAACTGTAAAACTGGATGAATTAAAAACACCAAGGATTACTGAAGGTTAAGAGGAAGCTGTATAATGATTTAATAACGACTCTGGGAGAAAGAGTGGGATTGAATAAGCGTGTTCTTCCCACTCCTTTTTGAACATGATTGCCAAATAATGGAGTGCGTAATCATCTTGTGTTGCACTTTTCTATCTATTTAGTGAGATATTATGTTTTGTTGGACCATTTTTCTTTTTAAATCACATGTTTGCAATGAAATCGAGTCAATAAAAGAGTAATATTCTTAGATTCTCCTGAGTCTGAGTCTTCTGAGCCAACATTTATCTTGCTGTATAAATAGAAGGATAGGGAGGGGATTTTTTTTGTGTCGGCTCTATTTACAGGTACAAACCCTGTTTATCTTTGCCTCAAGAGTCTGTTTCCATAGAGACAGCCGAGAAGCACACAAGAATTCCCTCAATTATAATGTCCTGTTTGCACCAATATACCCACTCAGTAGGCGACACAAGCTCTGACAACAGACATAAACAGATGATAGTGAATGATAGCTGCCAGTCTTTCCCACAGGCAAAAAAACAATTTCCTTTGAGTGAATTCTGTTGTATTAGGAGAGCAATAAAGGGCCTAATCTAATAACACTGAAGGGACAAGGGCAAAGTTATAATCAGTTTTCAGGTCACTTAATAAAACTCTCAACTGAGGTGATTAAGTTCAAATAGATTTATCAGCAGCAATCAAGTTGTTTTCAAATATTTTCTACCTTTTTTGGAAACTGGAAATAAATAAACTAGCTGAGGATGAAGCAAGACCCTGCATTCACGCTGTCTATTAACTCTGGTTTTCTTCTCTCTACAGTAAGTTAGACATTGAAACTGACAGGACCAGCTGGGCTGTTCCTGATATGACGAGATGTAAACGTCTTATGAGCATCTCAGATCTGGAAAATATCACCGTCTCCACTGGTAAAAAGATCAGACACAAATAAAAAATTGTAAAATAAGACAAAGCGTTTTCCAAAATCTCTTAAGGATGAACATTAATCTTTCTTTGAAATTGATTTTGCCCTGTTTTAAAAAAAAAAACAGCAAATAATAGTGCTGTTATCTATTCCAGATAATGCTAAGGAGGTGGTGGACATGATCCAGGCCCTTGTAGACGATCAGCTGGGAAACAGTTCAGAGATGTCTTCTTCTGATCTGGATGCAGTGGTGGAGAAGCTTAATGAAGTGGTCGATGTCAGCGTTATCAAACCTGATGTTGGGGCTGATATCGTTTATATTGTTGCCGATATCCTGCTGTCCAAAACTAACATCACTCCAGTGGCTAGCACGTAAGTAGAGGAAGAGAATGAAGTGTTGATCCCAGTATATGAGAATTTATACTTTCTTTGAAGTCTTGAATTTCCAAAATGACTTTCTCATGAATGCTAATGTGATTTTGTCTTTTGAAATAGTGTCCTGAACCTCACAGAAAGAATGGCTAATGGTATGGATTTTGAAGACGAATCTATCAGTGTAACAGCACCCTCGCTCGCCCTGTCCATGGTTAATGTCGCTCCAAGTGAATTTACTGGTCTCACATTTGGTGTGTCCTCCATTTCTCCTACCCAGAACCCAAAGGTGACACAATATAAACACTGTGATATGAAATAAAATAGGCATACTCTTTTACTTCTCAGCTGTGAGCCATGCAGTGTTTTTTTTCCTCAACTCTCTATACAAGGTAGATTTCCCTTGTGTCCTTGTGTGACTACAAAATGCTGAAAGAGTGTGAATACAAAGATATCGACGCCCTCCGCAGTCTGGTGCATTAAGCTTGAACTAGAAAAGCTTATACTCAGAACATTTCATTTGTCATTTTCTTATGACAAATGAAATTGGCCTTCAACTCGGAGGCCTTGTTTTTAACTGAGCTTTGTTTTTTGTGTTTTTATTTACATGTGCTGATGTTCTGTGCCTTACGACTGTTTGTCAGCACTTTGTAAACTTCTGTTTTCAAAAGTGCTATAAAATAAAGTTTTTATTAAAGTTATTTTGTGTTATAAGATTTACAAATGATGAGAAATACTTGGTTGTCTATGGAGTGACCTTGTAGCACAGTGATCAAGATGTATGCTTTCCCCTCCTCAGGTTTTTATCAACCAGAGCTTTGTGAGTGAAGCCCTCCCTGGCTCAGATGCAACTATCTCTTTGCCCACCGCCCTGCATGACCTTTTCCCTGGAGGTCTAAAAACCAGGATTCAGTTTCAGTTCTATGGCACTTCAGAACTGTTTCAGGTACTTCCAATCAGAACTCCTTTGTGTCCAAGTTTCTATTTATTCTGTTATTTTGCTCTACTGCAAATTTGTATTTCAGGCTGTGTAATACTTAGAGACATAACATATCCGTGGAAAGGTTTGAAGGAATGGAAAAAAGCATGTGTGCTGTCTTATGTAAGAAAACCAGGCAGTTGCCAGGCAACTACAAGATTACTTGTTTTTTACACTTGGGTATGTGTAGAGGTTAAACAAACATGAAATCACAAGCTTGAGAGCGTTTTGGCCAGTCAGTGTGCTAAATTAATCCAACTGGGCTTTAACGTTAGATTCATATCAGATGTGCAGATATAACAGTGGTGACTTTAAACCTTTTAAAGAATGCTTTTTCCAAGTATTTCACTTTTATTTGAAACTGAAAAAAAAAAAAAGTATTTGAGCCACTGCCTAAAGCTATTTGTACCATTTGTACCTGAACTCCTCAACATGCATTTTGTTCACTTTGGTGTGTGGCCCCTTTGCATTGTTGTAACAACTGATTTATTTTAAACAGGACCCAGAGATCAACACTGGAGCAAGTGTGGCAGTCAATTCATATATAGTATCTGCCAGCGTTAACAGCAGCCGTATCAGCAACCTAACAGATCCAGTGGTGGTCACTCTAAACCATCAAAAACCCAAAAAGGTCAGAAATAGCTACTTTACCTTAATGGGTATGAAGAGGATACCTGGATATTATAACCTTTATCATGTCCTTTATTTAACAGCCAAAGGACAAGGTACGATGTGTGTTCTGGGATTTCCAGAAAAATGGTGAGTTAGACATTTATTATTGTACCTCATGCATTTATAGTTAGTTTAAAACAGTGATTGAGCTTCTTGTGTGCGTGTGTGTGTGTGTGTGTGTGTGTGTGTGTGTGTGTGTGTGTGTGTGTGTGTGTGTGTGTGTGTGTCAGCCGGACAGGGTGGTTGGAACAGCAGAGGTTGTGTAACCTGGAGTGTTTCCTCTAATCGGACCAGCTGTCGGTGTAATCACCTCACTCACTTTGCCGTGCTGCTGGTGAGTCTCTGGTTTGCTTTTTATACATGAAACTGGAGAATAGAAAACACCCACAAATACCAACGTATTGTGTACAATCTGGCCATTTGCTAAATGCTGGCATCTCTTTCTGCCAATGATGCAAGATGCTGATGCAAAAGCCACAATCTGTTGATATTTGAGGTAACAATAATTGTGTTGTGTTTCAACAGCTTGCATTGCTGCAGGCCAAGGTCTTTTTTATCTTCTTCTTTTTTTGTTCTGCCAGACGTGGGAGATGCAAGGAAGTTCTTGTCTGTAGAGCTGAATCAATAATATGATTTGTTCTGTTTATTTTTGGTTTCAGGATGTTTTCGATGGCGATCTTAGCAAAACCGACAGTCAGATCCTGACTGTGATTTCATACCTTGGTTGCGGCATATCCTCTATCTTTTTGGGCATTACACTTCTCACCTACCTCGCTTTTGAGTGAGTCATTTTAAGCTACACTAACAAACATATTCTTTTTTTAAAGGTTTAAATTATAGGGTCAACATTTGCTGCAATAAAAAATAGCAAAGACATACAGATGTATCAGCACAGGTTAAACAAACTCAAATTAGCCAATAGGATGAAAAGAAGTCTTCAGTAAAAGAAGACAGTTTCTTGTTTGTAATACATTTTCCTTTGCAGGGGTGAGTCCAGGAGTTTAGTCTGGGGTGGCACCTGCCCACTCCAGGTGCCACCCCAGAAACTGCAACCTATTTTGGGCAATTTTTTTTTGTCAATTTTTTTCTTAATAAACTGCTTTTGAGTTTGCATTGCCTTTAATTGCAGCACACTAATATACACAGGAAATTGATATCAATATGATTTATCAGTGGTTATTGTTAAGGGTGAAACAGAAATGCTAAACAAATACCACCCCAGTATAAATCAGTTCCATTTTGGGCCACCCAGTTCAAAAATCTAGTCATGCCTCTGTATGAGAGTTGAAGTCATGAATGAAGCTACTCTGTCACCAAATTTCTGTTATCTCTGTCATTATAAGGAAGTTGCGCCGAGACTACCCGTCAAAGATCCTCATCAACCTGTCTGCTGCTCTGCTGGGGTTGAGCATGCTCTTCTTACTTAATTCCTGGCTCTCATCCTTCTCCAACTACGGTCTATGCATTGCCACTGCTGCATCTCTGCACTACTTCTTGCTGGCTTCTTTCACCTGGATGGGTCTGGAGGCCGTGCACATGTACTTTGCTCTGGTCAAGGTCTTCAACATCTACGTTCCATCCTACATCCTCAAGTTCTGTGCAGCAGGTTGGGGTAAGACATAGCCTTCACTGATTGTCACTGCAGTAGTGCAGGTTCATGATCTGTTGGCTTTGATCAGCTGTCTCAAAAAAGCAATTGAGTGGTTGGGGAAGGGTAGCCCTAGGTATAAGAAATGAAGAAACTAGCATGTTCAGAACTGTTGTTTTTTGTTTGTTTCAGGTGTGTAGTTGACTTCTTTAAAAGAGCCAAATTGATTTGTGTTCCTCTTTAATGTCTTCAAAGGTATTCCTCTGGTCGTAGTCAGCCTGGTGCTGGCCATAGATAAAGATGCTTATGGCACCGCTAGGCTGGAAAAGGCTCAAGTGGCACTTGAGTCGACTGATCCATTGTAAGTTAAAGCACAGGATGAGTTGTCTCCATCTTGGGAGTGAGTCATTTATCTACGAACAGATGCAGTTGAAGGATAAATCATCATATAAATGACATGATGACAAACCATCTTCCTTTTTTCCAGCTGCTGGCTGCAGAATGACGTCTACTTCTTCGTGACAGTGGTGGCTTTTTTTCTTCTGATCTTCTTATTCAACATCTCAATGTTTATCGTGGTTCTGATCCAGATCAGACAAACGAGGGTCAATAAGCCGTCAGCAAGCAGTCGTACATCTCTTCAAGATCTGAGGGCTGTGGCCAGTCTTACTGTCCTGCTGGGCCTGACGTGGGCCATGGGTTTTTTTTCAGGTGGTCCCGGAAGAGTGGTCATGTTGTACCTGTTCTGCATCTTCAACACTTTGCAGGGTAAAGATAAGATATGATAAGACAAGATAAGAAATAGTGGGGGTTGTGTAGTAATGTAATCCCAGCACATGCAGTATGTTTCCATATTTGTGTTAGTGTTTGAGTTGCTTTGCATGCTTGCTCATACTAAAGTGAAATTACTGTGACATCTAATACAGTACCATGCAATATGATAAAGCCTTATAAGATACCGTATGATAAGATATAAAACAGTGTAGTATTCAATGCAATACAGTATGGGACAATCCAATATGATACAATGCAATAGAATACAAAATGAGATGATATGATAAAAAAGATACAAAAATAGGTCATATGATACGACTCAGTATGATACCATATTATAGTGTAAAAAAAGGGTATGTTTAGCTTTATTCAACATTACATTTCAGTGCAATATGATACAACACAACAATGCATAAAATATCTAAGTAAAAAATACGAAAAATTCAATAGTAGTATGGAACTGTAGGATAAGATGTAGTAGGAAAATAAACATTATAACCAGATATTAAATCGGGTACAACTGGCTATGTGAGACAACGTATGCAACATTATGCTTCGTCTTGTCATGTCATGTTGCGCTGTGTTGCATTACAATGTGGTACATTTCTTAGTGTGACAATTAAACACAATACAATATCATAGTATACAATAAACAAGAATACAACACAGTAGGATAAAACAGTTATAATAAACTGCCATTAAGTGAACAGTGGAGAGCATAGACTACCACAAAAAAACAAGTATTCTACTTTTTCTAATAAAACACAATACAACACACCACATCAGGGAAAATAGATAGGACCGCCATGACACTACTGCACAACCCGCAAAGAATCATTTGAAACAGTTCAGTTTAACCATATTTCTCATTTATTATTTCCAGAAAAGAGAAGTGTATTTTCAGTACATCTTTTTTTTCTCCCCAGGCTTCTTTATCTTCTTGTTTCACTGTTTGATGAAGGAAAATGTCAGGAAACAGTGGAGAATCCACTTGTGCTGCGGACGTTTCAGACTTGGTGACCACTCAGGTACACATTGTGAAGAAGGACACAGCTTGTACAGTATGTGGAGAACATGTCAAAGTATAAAAGTAAAATGGGACATTCAGGTGACGTCTATTTTTTCCCTGTGTTCAGACTGGAGCCGCTCTGTGACAGGAGGTGGCGGCCACATCAAAAGAAACATTCTTGTTAATTCTGACTCAGTGGCCTCTGACGACACCACCACCAGGAAGGTGTCAGACTCCTCCTCTACAGGATCAGCACCAAGCCGCCACCAGAGGGTGTGAGCGAATCTCTGTGTCACACTGTAAAACTCTCCTCTCTAAGGGCCTGATTAAAACAAGAAAAGAGACCTCAAACAAACCAGATTTTCAAGTAGGGGCAATGACTCCATGGTTACCAAAAAGCCTTACATGCACTGTCATCTAACAGTTGAGTCAAGTGTGATGAAAACTGCACTTTTCTTTTTCCAGACATTAAGAATCCCAAGGCTGTCAGTCTACAGTTTCCTGCCAAAGTTTCCTCCATAGTTTTCACAGTTCTGTTAAATTATTCATGCTTGGCTTGTAAATGTTTTCAGCAAAGTTGTGAATGTATGTGATGTTGCACAGAATGTAAACTCAGGGTTAAATGTGATTTTACTCACAATATTCTCAAATGGGCACACAGTAAATGAGAGGATTTTTTTTATTTAAGATATAACACCAGCTGTCTGTGCTGCAGCTTTTGGATTGCAGTTCGTTATCTCTATATCCTCTGAAGTTCAACTTCCTGTATAACCTTTGATAGGAACTATAAATGTAATATTGATTGAAATGACAATAAATGGTGTGTGAGTAATGTTGCAAGTTTTTGTTCAGTTTGATATTCTATTCACATATTTCCTTACTTTCTGTAATCTAACTGTGGCTCTTTGGACTACTTCTTTTTACACGTAAGGAATACAAACTTTATAAAGAATGAAAGTCTTACTCCTACCAATATCCTACATACCATATTGTGTAAAATTAAAATGTGCTGTCACAAAATCAAAAAAGATAGGAAGCATCTACAGTATTTAATCTTGTATTTGCATAATGACACACATTCTGTTGCAGTGTTTTGATTTTTCTTTGTATAATTTCAACCGAGGATAAATGCTAATAATAAAAAATGTCAGAAAATAAATGAAATATTTTAGAGCATATTAAGTGTAGAAATTTCAGACAATCTAAAAATGGGAACAATACTTCGTATATTAGCAAAAGGTAATAAAAAACAGCCACAGAATCCATGCATTAAAGTCCTTAAGTTATGGTGATCCACTCAAAATGAATTTTTTTGCACTATGCACCCCGTAAAGAGGTCTGGCTTGTTATTACATCTTTGGAAATTGTTCTGTATATTCAGGGAAATATATCCTGAAATCTGTCTCATGTCCACAAAGTCCTATCACATCTGTTGTTGACCTACCTGTGTGCGGGTTTTTTGGCTGCGTTAACCAAAGTATGTTTTAATGAGGTGTCTTTCAGGTTCTGGTGTAACTGGATGGATGACATTCTGGTCATAGCTGTCTGCATTCATGATGCACCACACGCCCTCCCAGTCCAACACATCCAGTAACTTTGAAGCCACAGTGAGAAAAATGCTGTCTCTATAGAGGAGGGACAGAAAGAGAGACAGAAAGAAAGAAAGACAACTGCTGTGGGATTCAGGTTATTGGTGCTGATCGTTACACTGAGGCTAAAGGATCCTTTTTTCCTGCATTTTCAGCAACAGCTCTTGTAGATGATCACACCAGCTTTGACCACGCAGTCAATGAAAAGACGCACTCGCTGGTCATTCTCGGTCGATCATCAGGTCAGGTAAGAGAAGAGAGGCACCAAAGAATAACTAACACAGTGGTATGGCTGCTTATATGCTGTCAGTTTAATAAAGCAGGACGAAGATACTTTTGGTCTGGGATTAATATAATCTGATTTTTTACCGTCTGGTCAAAGCAGCCAAGATGTTTGCAGGTGATAGGATATTTATTCTGCATTTTTGGATGCAAAACTGCACAAAAACATTTGAGTCTTTTGAGATTTGAAATATCAAACCACAGCGTCTCTCTCTTCTGGCAAATTATAGAGATTATCTTTCTTTTGTGGACATTTGGCTGAATTCACTTTTGTTTCTGGAGTAATAAGTTGGGTCCTAATAAGTTTACCCAAAGACTGGTGTTCTGTACACTCTTACTGATTTCATCCCTGCTTCAAAAACGTCCTGTCAGGTCAAGACACAAGGCCTCCAGGGCAAATCTCCTTTGAACTGCTTCAGGTATGCAGATGGAGGGAGAATCTGCGCCCTGACAATTGGAGTACAGAGCAGATTTGGATCAGATTTTTAACATTATTTACAGACACCCACATTGAATGTGTTTGTCTAACTGCGGCAAGCAAAACATTAATTTAGAAGGAAGCCAATGGCTTGAAACATTCAAAGTTCTGCTCTGAAGTTGAGTATTTTAATTTGGGGCCTAATGAGGGTTGACTCTGTTTTGAAAGCCTGCCTCAAGTGGCCATGTTTGGTATTTTCATGAGGTAGTTTTTTTAGATTGGAGGTTGTTACATAAATCAAACCCTTTAAATGACTTTGATTAAACAAACAAACAGTAAAAAATGGAGCCAGGTAATACTAATTGAGCTGTCTCCTTTGTTGGAAATACTTACACTGTTGTATTAATCTTGTCAAGTGCTAAATGGCTGCAGCAGCCGTCTTCATGTGATTCTGATTTTGTGCTTGTTAACGACAGCTGACCCAATGGAGGATATAACAGACGGTCAAATGGCTGTGAAGGTGGAGAAGCATTCCCAGTATGTCATCTTGACTTACTTCCAGGGGGACATCAACAGCATGGTGGACGCCCACTTTAGCCGTGCCCTCAGCAAAGTCTGCCAGGCTAAGGCACCAGCAGAAAAACCAAGGAAAAAAAGTAAAACTATTAAAACAGGTAAACTAAAAAAAACCTAAACAGTGTATGTGATTTTAAACAACACTATCAGTCCTGTTATCATGTGGATGCCTGTTTCTTTCCCACAGAGGACAGCAGCCCCTGTCAGGGGAGTTCAGTCGACCCTTGCTCAGAGTCCCTACAGCCTCCTGTAGGGGGGCGTCTCATGACCTTCAACCCAACAGGCAACTCTCCTGACTGGCATTCATTTACCAGGGCAGGAGAGGGTCCAGGGTTACCGTACACCCTTTCCCAAGAAGGCTTGAGTCTAACTGGACAGCAATATGCAACATCTCTGCTCAACCTACTGCATAATGACCGGGGTGATTTGGGGCCCACCATGGCCTCCAGCTCCAAGCCAGAGATGCTTCCAAGCTGGACGGTGCCACAAGGATTCAGAGAGTCTGTAGACCCCGCTTTGGGCTATGAAACTGGTAAGATGTCAGCTGCTGTAGATAATCTTTAAAAATGTCTACCTCCATTAAAATAAATCAGTTGCTCCTTGAGAGAGCATGGATAACAAATTCAATTTAGTAGGTAGTAATACAAGTACTTTAGACTACCCAATAAATTCTGTGTCATAATTTAAGAGGAGGACGTGAAACTCAAGATCGATGTCTGTAATCATGGTTTACAGACATCTAAGACATCCAGCACTCTGCAGAGGTTTATCCAGAGGGGTGGCTTGGGTAATGTAAAAAAGTAACGTTACTTTTTGAAGTTAAAAAATTATACAGGGTAAAATCACTTGACTCTTATCAGTATAAGAATATATGTGTTGCAGAGACAGTAAGAAAAAATAAATGATGTTCACTCAGGTGTCACCACAGCCCAATGAGTGTGTTTTCTTGGGCGGTTTATGGCTGTCCCAGGACAACAAACAGAGCAAAGAGTGAGCCTAAATCCATGAAAGACTCTTTGAGGTAGATGGTTGAACAGAGCCCATTTAAAGTAAAGCCAGATCAGCAGGTGAACCTCTGTCTGTGGGGATGCTCAGACTGTTAGGGGCTTTAGAGCATTGTAGTACTTTTGGTGGACAGAGTTAATTACACACACTTTGATTTTTTATTTTCTCTTTTCTTTCTTTCCTTCGTGATATATTTCAAATTTTGTTTAATGTCATATTTCTTGCGCCTTAAATGATGATTTATTAATACACTTGCCTTGCGTGTGCACACATACTTCACGCCACTGCACTAATCCGTTTCCCAGCCGGGCCACCTCAGTCATAAAAGTCTGAACATGCCCCCAGGAGTCTCGCTCTACTCCACAATCAAGTATCAACTCTGGTTTTTGAGAAAAGCGTTGGTATTAAAAAATTTAGGTGAAAACCATAGTCCAACATTTACAATATGTTCATGATGTCTTCGTGAGTTGCACCCTGATCAGGGATAATCAATTAGGAATGTGGTAGGTAAGCTATTTTAAGACATGGCGGAGCCGACTGTGGTAAAAAGAGACAACCCATTATTATCGTAATCTTGCGTAAAACTTGTAAATTATGTGGTAAATGCTAGTTAGTTCAGTACTACCCGACACGTTTCTTCAAAGCGACAGAAATGACAAAGATAAAACATTTTACTCGGCGTGCTTACAAAGCTGATTTCTCTCCTCTCTGTCAGGACGCCACCTGGAAAAGAAGGACCTGTACTGGTACTGAAGAGTGAGCACCTGGAGCAGAAGAAACAGAGAATAGTCACAACTCTAACTAAGGCTCTGGGAAGCCACCTGTCTCTGTGTTCACCCTGTAGCTGTTCGATAGTTCCTTGTCAAACAGGACTCTGAGAGTACACAGAGATGAAACAGCAATGCTTCCATTCCCTGCCGTGCTCTTTACACCTCTCAGTCAGATGACCTCAGTACCTCAGTATGTACTAACTGGAACAACCTTTCTAAAAAGGAACACTCTCTGACAAACCAGTTCATCCACTCTGTCAGTCCACCTGCGGAGCTCAGGGCGACGTACATGTTGTAGCTTCTTTTGTGGTTCAGTTGAATGAAGGGCATTTTTTCTGTGCTTTTTTTTAAAACAGGCACTTCTGTTTGTGGGCCTACACCAGTAAATAGACCAGTATTAAGTTAAAGTGTTGTAGTATTGATGTTAATATAGCTGCCTACAGATCATGAAGATAAATTTGTTATATCCAGAGAATACAAATATGAAGGATAGTGATGTTATTGTAAGAATTTCTTCTTTAGATTAAGTTTGTTTGAGAAATATTGTTGTATACTGTTCTTAATGCAAATTTAAATAAATATAATATGGTAGAAACACTTTTCTATGACTTTTTTGTATCCAGACATCATCCATGTATTATCTTGTTTGGCTGAGAAGTCACATTTTGATGGATATTCTGATACAGATTGGGAAACAAACACAAGTTAAAGTTACCTTATAATCCACAGAGTAGGCACTGGCCAACAGGTAATGTTCTGGGATTTTTAAACTATCGTGGCGGATAGGCAGTCCAGCGCAACTTGGGATCTAAATGGTGGATAGATGCAGTCTTTGACATTTGGACATGACCATTAAAAATCCTTCAACGGTACTGTACACCACAGCTCGTCCACATGCAGGAACTCAGGACATGTTCCTACATTGTACTTCTCTCTTACAGAGACTGCAGCTTTTGTCCAATTCTTTTTTTAAAGATGGGATTTATGGCTCTTTAAAGGGAGCCGGATCTTGAGAAGGTGTTCTTTTTAAAGAGCTGTTCAAAAGACTGGCTCGTTCATATATTTATTTATTTTTTAGAACTCAACTAGGGGCACACGTGGGTGGGAATTATTCTGAAATATTGATTATATTTTCATTTGTCTTGTGTTTTCATTGTAAACAATACATATGGTGGTGCCATATCCCCATGCTTTGACAGTGAGATCACTATTTTGAGTTTTTCCCTCACCTAAAAATTTTTGTGGCACAGTAAAAACTATGCAGACTACAGGTAACTGATAACTACCTGGTGTTTGGGGCACACAGGTGACACATGACAGCAGCATGGGCAATTTGCATGTGGGAATGGCCTGCAAAGGAACAGCCCATTACTGTGAACCGATTCTCATTGCTCACTTCAAAGAGCCGTTCAAATGACTGACTCGTTCGGGAACATCACACCTCTACTTCTTTTCCCTAAATGAACATGATTGTACTTCACACTCTGTTGCAAAAGCTTATTTTTCCATATTATAGGATTTCAAAGACTGATGTGAGCCTATGACACAGTTAAATTTAAGTCAGCTTTCAAGGTCAAATAGATTTTCAGCTAATAGACAGGATGTGTCAGATTATTAGGAGAAATAATTTCAGTCTTTCGTGCCAGTGCCGTGTCTGTGACAGAGTAATGTAAACTCCATCACAAACATGTTTGCTAACAGAGTAAAGTAAACGTATTTAGGTTTGATGTCTAACAAGTCCTGGTTCAAATCCCAAGAAAGACCCACCTATGTGAAGCCAGTATGGCCTGGCTCTTACATCTGGGGTCTGCACCATACTACTTAATCTACTTAATCAACACAGTGTAGTCCTAATGTAATATAAGCAAGCACATTTAACAGCATAACAAATACGACATCATTTTCCCACATATTCTGTGATCTCCTGTCGTGTCATATTAAATAAATGTGATTGTTTACTGAATTCTTTTGACAAATTTACATTTAAAGGACTAGAGAGTAAGTGCCTCTGAGAAATCCTTTGTCCACATCACAGATGTATTTAACTTGGAGCATCATTTTTACATGTTTTGTTATTCAACATGCTCTACAGGTTAAAACAGTTTCACAGTAATAAAATGTGTGGTTACTCAAATAAAAAGCAAATCTGTAGGCTGAATCCTTCACTTACAAAAAGGTTCATTTGTTATTTTTATAGCCGTTTAATGCCGCTTCTGTTCAAACCATATAATATAATGTGCCAATGGAACAAAAGGTGGCATTGACGTGATAGTGCAAAGTACCCCAGAACTCCAATTACATCTGTATTCATATGGTAATTTGTCATTTGACAGCACCAGAAAATTACTGAACATGATATTTCACAAAGTGTGGTCATTAAGACACTATCATTAAATGTTCTGGAAACAGGACTTGTTGTTCTGTTGAATCCTGTTACACCAGTGTCATTCTGGAGCATCTTTAGAAACAAGTTCTGCAAAATATAACACAGTGTTCAAGGCAAGTTCTTGTATTCCCTACTACTTTTGGCTTTCCTAGAGTCCAATATTTTGCTTTTAATTTGCTTTCACCAGCTTTTTTTAAAAATATGTTGTAATTGGATTTAAAGAAAACATTTATAGAACATGTGTTTTTTTTACAATTTCAAGTTTCAATGTGTTGTCTTTACATTATTTTAAATTAGATATGGAGTTAAAGTGATTTCTTAATCATCAAATCCTGTCATAACATTTTAGAGAGTCCCAACTCTTTTGGCATTGGGTATGTAATTAGGTTCCTTTTGGAGACACACGTCCTATACTTTGCCTTTTTGGACCCTTACATTCAATGGAATTAAAAAAAATATATACTGAATAAAAAGCTGCTGCATTAGCAATAAGCTTTTCTTGTAACTGCTTTCAGCGACTGTTGGGTGTGAGGAGGAAAAACTAGGCAATCTGTAGTCCCTCCAGAAGGCTGGCATACATTCAAGCATCCATGCAGACTTGAAACCATAATCCCTCATCCTCCCCTGCGTCAGGCATAATCAGACTGATCTGACGCCAATAAGCAGAGAGAGGAGAGTGGTTCTGCAGTCATGATCACCTATTGAGCTTTCAACAAGCCAATGATGCTGACTGCAGAGCACAAAGCGGCATCGAGTTTATGCAGATGCTGCTTGTAGGTTCCTGCTGTCGCCATTGACCCGAATGATTGAGATGTAAAGAGAGCTCTTCTGTGATGGTATCCATTCACAGAATCACATCAGCGCTTCCACTCATATATCTGCAGCTGGCTTTTACCCTTGTGCATCTCATTTTTGTGGCCACAACAGTCTTATTTCCCAGTATGGTGTTAACACGCACTTCAATTTGTATATAGGAATTGAAAGAAACATTGTCAGATCATAAGAATAAAGTCTAATTGACTGTGAAATACAATTAATGGTTGTGTCTCTTTTATTCAGTGTATTCTGATATTATTAGAGCAAATAAGAGGAAATGCCAGATTTTTTTTACAGACTAGACTGAACCAGTTCTGGACTTGAAGTGTCCAAAATACCATTTTTGTTTTTCATAACAAATAAATTATATTGACTGTTTTCAAAAACAATGGTAACACGTCATAAAATGTATTAGAACGAATATAAAAGGTTGAATTGTACACTTTGATTGAAACAGTGTTAATCCATATATTGTGAGTTAACTATATCGTACGTCAAATAACCACCAGTCTTGTGGATTTGAAATAAAAAAAAGCCCACAACAGTGTCACAGAGGAAGTCCTGAGTGTGAGGTTTCCTTTGAGTCGAGTTGGATATCTGAGAGCTGTTGTTATGATCCATTTGGTCCATGTACAATAAGAACATTCAGATCATTTGGCAGCTGTTGAAGACTGACAATCTATTGAAGATATTTAGGCACTCACTGACAACGGGCCACACGATGGTTAGTGCTGTTGCCGAACAACAAGTAGTTTCTCATGGATATGTGTGACTGGTAGTTGTGTATGGTTTTCTGTCTTTATGTCTGCCCTGTAATTGGCTGAGGAACAGTTCAGGGTGTACCTTGGACTCTCGCCCAGCATCAGCTTCTTTGCTCATACCCTCTCTACCTTTTAGAGTAGGCTCAAAACTTTCCTTTTTGATAAAGCTTCAAGTTAGAGTCGGTTCAGGCTTGGGCTAGTGCTTAGTTATGCTATTGTAAGTTTAGGCTGCCACAGGTACTGGCACACTGAGCACCTTTTTCTCCCTCTCTATTCCCTTTCTGTCTGTGTCATTACCTTTGAACCATCATGACCCATTAGAGTCACTAATCACAGTCTTTTATGAGCGTCCCTCTACGTTTTTGCTGCTGTGTGCACCAGTCTCACCATTTTAACACATAGCTACTGTTAAATAATAGGCATCAGTCTTCTTTTCGATTTTTCCAATCAATTCCAACCTACATAAATAGTACACATACTTGTTCTGTTATCTCTGTCACTAAACATCTGCACAAACTATTGTTGCTATTTGTCTCTGTGTATCTCTCTTTTCTGCATCTCCCTCTATCTCCTCTCTAAACCTGATACAGTTGCAGCAGATGACTGTCTTTCATGGGTCTGGTTCTGCTCAAGGTTACAGCCTGTTTGAAGTGGATTTTTCCTCTCCACTGTAAGTTGCTAAATGCTGCAAAGTGCTGCTCTCACATGGTTGAAGATCAAATGGAAGTGGGTGTAGTCTTATGAGATGGGGCTCAATCTTATCCCATCTTTATGTTGGGTCTTAAATATCATGGAGAATACAATTGACACCAGCTTTTTCAAGCATCTTGAAATAACTTTTGTTTAGATTTGGAACCATATAAATAAATATTGGTTGATTGATTAATTTGTTGATAGAGTTTTTGAAATTGCTGGCTAGTTTTATATTGATTTATTTATTTTTAAGAGGCTTGCAGAAAATTAAACTCTAGACAGGTGTAAAACTCTTGACTTGATGACTATCTCTGTGCTGAATTGAATCAGTTGTATGCAGAAAGATGTAATGAATATGATTTGCAGGTTAGCAAAAGCAGGAAACCAAAGTCTGAGCTCTCAATAACCCCCCCCCCCCCCCCTTTAGAGAAACTTGGACAATAGTTTGGATAGTCACTGTTGGGGTTATGGACAGTCATGGAAACAAAAATGGACATATTACTGCAATGATAGCCTGTCTACTGCTTATTAAAAAAACTGAGTGCACTAGACTTGCACTTGTTACTTTGGAAATTGTATTCAGGTCTTCACAATGCAGCAGCTTAGCTTGTTGAAGATAGGGGAGACCGGGGCTTGTTGTCACACGGGTAAGTTGTCACATTGCAATCATCTTTGCCACCAGAGGGCGCAACTAAAAAGTGGAACACTAGTGTTTTAAAGAAGAGGAGAAAGTGAGAAGACATGGTCAGGAATTGCAAAAGAAAAACAGGATATGGCAGTGTGATGGTGAGGGCAGTCAGGCAGGTGGCCCCGCTAATAAATCAATCTAGAGTACAATAAAGGACTTTAATGTCAACTACCATACCTTAGCTCAGTACTGTAAAACATTCACCCCAGCCAAAATACAGTCTCTCCAAACTCCAGAGCATGTTGCATAATGCTTTATGTTAACGTTTGTTCAATGACTTTTTCTAGCTCAATATTAAACATTTTCTGTGCCTGACTTTGATGTTCACTTTAATGGAAAAAATAAGAACAATAATTTTGTTTTTGTTTTATTATCTGCAAAATCCACTGTGACATCTCACCCCATATAGTGAGACAACCTACCCGATTGTGGGGCAACATGTCACATGTTCACACTCTCTATTTGATTGCTTACAACTCTGCACTGACACAAGATATGAAAATGACATGAATACTAAACATATACCTGAGACTTTGGTCTTTCATCTGTTACACATTTTGTTTATATATGATGTATTGATTCCAAGAAATATTTGAGTGTAAAAAGTGTGACAACAAGCCCTGGTCTCCCCTACTTTAATTAAGGTTGCCAGGCAATTGATTTGTTATTGTATTAAAATACACTATCGTGATCAAAACGATTCATTGTATTGACTGATTATTATATGATTATAATGTAGAAGAAAAAAGAAGAAAGATAATCGCGTAGTGTTGCAGATAGAAGGGGGTGGAGGTGGGCTTTTGCCATCTTGTCTTGGGTGCAGGTACAAAGAAGTGCACAGACAACATTCAATGCTCTCCTTACACTCCTTGGATAATTGTGTCATCCTGGACATCACCGCGTGTGGACTCAGACAGGAGCTGTACAGGATTTTGCTCTTCTAGCTCCTCTGCTCTCCTCTCACTGCCTACTATGGTCATCCACACGAGCGGTTGCAACATCAGCACCACAGACAGCTCCCTCCCCGGCTACAGCCCCGGCATCGGCTCCACCCTGCTGGACTCCCCCGCGCCCCAAAGCTCTCCCGGCGGGTTGAGCCGGAGCGGACACACGGTAGTGGCGGTATGCCTCGGCTTCATCTTAGTAGCAGGAGTCCTCGGGAACTTCTTCGCTCTCGTTGTCTTTGCAAAGTTTCGCTCCCTCTGGACGCCGATTAATCTCATCCTGTTGAACATCAGTTTAAGTGATATCCTGGTGTGTGTTTTCGGGACTCCCTTCAGTTTTGCTGCGAGTCTGCAGGGTAGGTGGCTCATCGGAGAGTACGGCTGCAAGTGGTATGGCTTTGCTAATTCTCTTTTTGGTAAGTTACATGTGTGCTGCATCAATAACTTCTTGTGTGTATTAAACACATGTCTGTTAAATTCAGGAGTTTGTATGATTGAATCAGAAAGTTCAGATTTCATCAGAAGTTTTCCCTGATCCTGGGGGACATGGATTACCTGCGAGTGACACTGTTGCGAGCTTTGGTGTAATGATGAAGTGTGATACAACAATTTGTTGTACTATAGATTTCTAAGATTTCTCAAACAGATTGCATCTTCTCCAACAATCCATCAGACAGTAGTGTTGTGTCGTTAACGAACGATTCGTTTAAAATAACTGAATCCTTTAAGTGAACGTACTGAACTGAATCACTTCCTCAAGTGATTCGTTTGTTTCTCACTTCAGTTAAGCTAAAGTGAGAGACAGCATTGCCAGTCGAGCAATCAGTGAACGAGGGACCGCATGCACCGATGCCTGAATCACTAGGTGAACGAATCACGCATTGAACTACACTACTACAATCATTTTTGTCGGACAAAACTTCCTTTTTTACCGCTAAATTGCCATCACAACTTGCATACAACAGGACACAGCATGTAACAAGTCGTGCATTAAACCCGCAGCATCCTACCATTGCAGCGGTTTGCGAGGGAACGGTGCATGTTCAGTTTGAATTCTTCTAAACGTTCACTGAATGAATCACTCACTGACTCCAATTTCCCGAGCAGACCTGATAAATAGCATACCGTAGGACAGTACACTTAAAACATCATGACTTATAAATAAGTTCATTTTTACAAACATGTTTGCCAAAGTAACACAGACAAACACTCTCGTCTTCTAGTCCCAGAAACTTTGAACTGAACTGAATCCTGAAACGTTCAGCTGTGTATCAGTTCAGGAGGTCGGAGTCGCAGGCTTCTCCCTAAATGATTCAGTGATTTGGTGAACGAATCTTTTGAACAAATCTTTTTAGTGAACTGATTCTAGTGATTCAGTACATCAAAAAGAACTGCCATCACAATCAGACAGTAACAGCCATTCTTGACCTATGAAAATATTCTTTTCTCTCATGGTGTCAGTTTGTTTACTAGAGCCACATCGATCAGGACTGAACATGACACTGAGCATGTTAAGCTGGCAAATATCAGGGAATTAGTGGATGAACAAAACTGACAAAACACAAATGGTTATATCAAAGTCCCATGAGCTTCTTCTCTAACTTAGTTGTCCAATCCCAAAGGTTCAGGGTCAACACGGTTTGTTTCAACCTGAGTGAAGAGTGCATAAAAGTCAGCTTCAAAATTCCTCTAGATGTTTCATGTGGATATATGTTCCTCATTTAGGAGCAACAAGGAGGTCCAGGGTCACCCAAGCTATTTACTGTGTAGGAAGTGTGAGTAACTGTACAAAATGTCATGTCAATCCATTCAGCAGGGATCAAAGTTGTTGAACAGACTGACCCCGCCATCCACAAAGCCTTCTCCCTATAGCAAGTCCACCATGAAAAATAAACAACATGTTTTCCTCTTTTCTTTGGAGGTCCTTCGGCCTTGAGGTTTTCCTTCGCGAGAAAACAAGAAACTCTTGTGTGTGCAGTCACTGTCAGTTACACAGTACCTATTCTATTCAGTGAGGCCGTGTTGTTCAACAATGTGAAAAGACAACCAATTTAGACCCTATGATTGGTCCCTTATTGTCTTTTATCTGTGAGTATTGACATCAGACAGAGGGCACTTAAAATACAAAGCTATACTCGTGCAAATAATATACTAATATTCTTATAATATCTAGGGTGCCTGTCAGTCTTGGACATGTATTTTTCCTACTATACAGCTCTCCTGGTCCTTACACTAATCAGGTGAAAGTAAAGATGTAAACACAAATAAGTAGTGTTAGACTGATATCACTTTTTCCATGGCCGATGCCGGTGCTGATAGTAAGAAGGGTCAGTGGCAATATGTAATGCCAATTTACTTTGCCAATATCTCTTTCTGTTTTCTTTACTTTCTTTTCTGCATTTGAAAAAAAATACATATAAAGTCTTATAGCTTATGAAAAATAATTTCAAATACATTTTGACAAGAATTTTGTTCCAGCAAAATATTGCAGTAAGGAACTTTTGACTTTTGACTCTTTTTTTAACAAATAGGTATGAAAGACAAAAAACTAATTCAAATTAATAAAGGAAAGCCAGGTGTACATCCCTTATTCCAGACACATTAAAATCTGATCTCAACTTGTTTATCTTAGCTGGTAACATGTTTTGGATGTATTTTTACTGAACTGATGAAAAACACAAATACACTTGGTTATGCTATAGAATTCTGAACATGGCCAACCAATATCAGGAGATATATTTGACCTATTATTCTATATATAATAACAGAATTTTTATGAAACACTAGCTCATGACTGTTTTAGATTTAAGCTGCTATCGTTGGGGGATGGAGAAAAAGGCATTTTCTATAGAGAATAGATAATGAGCATCATGAGAGCCTTGTTACGTCAAAAGGCCATTAATCAGCTTGATTAAATGGGTGACTGATTGATTAGTCTATCTCTCCAAATTAGTAAAAATAAGTATCTTTGTTTGACCTTTAAAATGCCTTCAAAAATATTACATGAACTATTTGGTGAGAAAAGAAACTACCTCAATGTTCATTTTGTGGTTATTGGAGTGTTAGAGGGAAGCACACTGAGGTGGAAGAACTAAATTATGGTCTGATTTGCTCGTTCACTGGGTGAAGGATTCTTTTTATCCTTGTTGAAAACTGGGTCAAGTTATGATTATTTACTTTTCATCTCTTTGGTGCTTTTAAAGGAATTGTTTCCCTGGTGTCCCTGTCCATCCTCTCCTATGAGCGTTACACCACCGTGCTGTGCTCCTCAAAGGTCGACATGTCTGACTTCAGGAAGGCCTGGTTTTGTGTCGGAGGCTCCTGGCTCTACTCCCTCCTCTGGACCCTCCCGCCCCTCTTAGGTTGGAGCAGCTACGGGCCTGAAGGACCAGGAACTTCATGTTCTGTCCAGTGGCACCTTCGCTCTCCTATGAGCATCTCCTATGTGCTGTGTCTCTTTGTCTTCTGTCTGCTGCTGCCCCTCCTGCTGATGATTTACTCTTATGGACGGATCCTGGTGGCAATTAGGAAGGTGAGCTCATGCTGGTCTGCTGCTGTGTAGACAGGAATATGTTATTTTTGTTGGCTTACAAACACCAGACACTTTCTATTATTAACCCTCAAACATAGAAACTATTTCACTTCATGTACATGAACTTAGAAAGGCATGGAGAAAATTACACTGTCTCAGACGAACTCTAGCCACTTCCATGCTGAATGTTATTTATATTCAAAGAGTCTATGTCTGAGACAACAGAGAAATGTGTTGTCAGTTACGTCTCCATGCTCTGTCTGTAATTTCACACCTTTAATGACACACGGATGTTTCACATTTTCACTGCCATCAGGATCTTTTTCTGTCGCATATTAATTTCCTTTAAGAAATCTAAGTTCATCTAGCGTTTTAATTTAAAATGACATAAACACTGACTCACTGTTGCATATATGAAGCAGTCCTTTTCTCAGGTATGTAGGTGAATGACATCATGTCTATCTGCAAACCTCCACTGATTCTTAAACAGTCTTTAATGAACACTGATGCCTCCATATATCCTACTTAAGCAAGCAAGACCATCAGCGACAGGTTTACTCATTTCCAGATAATTAAATTGAATACTGTTGGCAACTTTACATGAACTTGCCTTTGTTGACATTGCCCCCGCCTCCTAAAAAGATTCCCTGCAGGTGGCATGTTTGATTGTTAATAAAGTACAATAAGATTTTTTCATAAGGAAACACATTTTTCACATGTATGGGACAAATACGAGGTACTACTCCATCCACAGGGGGCGCCAAATACAAGAGTTTAAAATGAGCTCTGTTGAGGCTTTAAAGATGGCAAGCTGTGTTTAAAGATTATGTCAGAATCCCACTAAAACTTACTTATGTGTCTGTGTGGTAATAATCAAAGGGCGTTAAGCAAACCTTTATAACCCACTCCGACGAAAATCATGTTTCTCTTGTTGTCTACGTGGTTATATGGCATTTTTCTGTTGCTAGAGGACATATCATGAGAAGAGTAAGTGCAAAATTGCATTTCTGGAACAGGAGCTGTATTCGTGGAACGAGTGTGTGTGTTAGCGGATCAGAATGCTCATAAGAAAGGTAATTATAATACTTAATTTCATCAAGTTCCCAAAGACATTAGTGTCTGAAAGCTGAATAGCTCCTATGTTACCTTCCACTTCTCGTCACCCTATTAAAATAATGGCCTAAGTCATTTTTTGACGAGGATGAGTTTTTGGTCTGAATCATCTCTTGATAATGCTGGCCATCTCTTGTAAAATCACCTAAATCCGTAGTTGAAAGGATCATGCCACATTTTACTACACCGGCAATGTTAGGCTGCAAGCTAGCGTGAAGAGGAGTGTGCAGAGCAGCGCCGTCTCCACCCACAACTTAAAGGTGAATTGCTAATGAGCTGCTGGAGCTCTGCAGAAGAAAAGCCCTTAAAAATTACACAGGTAACGTGATTTTGGCTAAAAACTTCATAATCACAATTTAAAGAACACTGATAACACTCTAAGTAGTAAAAAAAAAAGGGCTGGAGTGGGACTTCAAAGCCACAGACCTGTGTTAAAAAAAGCTTTCAATCAATTTTTCCAGAAGGAAAGAAGCTACAGGCAAAATCTTCAAGGGTTAAAGTGAGGCACTGGTTGCATTCTTTAGGGGCAGTGACTCATCCCTTTCATAGTCGCTGTTACATAAACCTGCCAGTCACTCAAATAATTGACAATTAAAGACCCTCAATTGGTGTTGGCCCCCTTTGCACTTTGTAGTCTCTACTCCTATCCATGAATCAACCAGAGGATATTTTTAGACATGGAACCAACCCGTCACTATTGGATACTGGCTATTATATAAGCACCACTATGCTGTTTTTTTTTTACACCCAGGGGACACAGAGCAGAAAGGAGCTTTGCAGACTTGATTAACTTACCAGTGAGTATGGGGCTCAGACGTGCACTCGTCACCCTCCGAGCTGAGAGCCCACCTTGGGCTTTTCTTAGAAATACAGCAATCAGTCTGTACGCCTTCTGTTGGTCTCCCCAAGGTGGCTTAGATGAGCACATCAGATAGACAGATGGCATTTGCATCAACAGCATCAATGGGGGTCAAGCTTGGACTTTTTGTCTCTGTATGACAGCGCTTTCTATTTATAATGTTGCATGTTTCCTCTTCATTACCACTAATTACAGACTTACTCTTCCTTAAGTTATGGGTTATTTTATGTAGTGAGAATAATTTACAGAGTGTAAAATATTCAGTGATACAGAAATCATGTTTGTATAATTTGGTCAGAATAGTTGTTGCATAACAGAAGGATCAAAGAAAGGAGAGGTTATGGCCTTTGGTCGTACAAGATGAAGTATTATTGAGTGGGTATAGGATGTAAATTGGCCAACAAGGCAGGTTTTTCTCTCTGGAGAGCTTCTTCTTCAAACAAACCCTTCCACTGATGCATGAGGCACCATAATGAGGATCACAGTGTTAATTACACAAGACAGTGACCACAGGGGCATGTTGTTAACACTGAGGAGGGGGGGCAGTAACCTCAGAGGGGATACTGTTGTATATATTTGCCTTATGGCATGTTGTCAATGGGCTAATTTTAGCCCGTGGCAACATACCTGAGTACATCAAGAGTAACCAGTGAGACAGACCAATTAAAATAGCATACCAAGCAGATTGTTAGAATGCAAGTCTGCACACAAGCAAAAAAAAAAATATATATATATATATATATTTTATTTTTTATTTTTTCATGGATATGCAACCAACCAAAGGAACAAAGTGCATGAACAGCTTTCAACTGCTGGGCTTTCTTTTAGGCATATTACACAGGATAATTTCGAGCCACATCAATCAATCAATCGATCAAATTTGATTTATACAGCGTCAAGTCACATCATTCATGGGAAATGAAATATTTGACAGTATGTTCAATAGTGGATTGGCTGCAATCACCTTCATCATTCAACATCCATAAGATAAATAGTTTCAATTAGCCCATAGGTGCCATGGAAACTTTTCAACCTTACTTGTTGATTCTGTGGTGTTGCTAACGCTGTGTGCAGAATTTCACAATGAGCTATTAGACAATATAAATATAGACCAAATGTAGATAGTGACATGTTGAATGTGTGTTTCATCAGGTGTAACCACTGCACTGCTTTCTCTGACAGGTGGGCAAAATCAATCTTCTCTCAGCGCAGCGCAGAGAGCAGCATATTTTGGTTATGGTGCTGTCCATGGTGTCTTGCTTCGTGTTGTGTTGGATGCCCTACGGGATCATGGCGCTGATGGTCACCTTTGGTGAGTCTGGATTGGTCACCCCCATCGCAAGCTCGGTGCCCTCAGTCTTGGCCAAGTTTAGCACTGTGGTCAACCCTGTCATCTATGTCTTCTTCAACAACCAGGTGAGAGCTTAGGCTGACCCACATCTACTGTATACATCTCACATATTCATGACTTTAAGTATGTTATGTAAACTTTGTTGGCTTGAGCACAGATAATGTCAGCTGGAGCTAAAAAATAAAACATGGAAGAAAACAGAGACAGTGTTTTATCCAGAGGGGAGAACTCAGTGATTCTCTGTGTCATTGATGCTCCAGTTCAGTCTCACTTATCCTCCTGTTGCTCTCCTGTGGCTCTTCATCACCACTTCACCGGTGCTAAATGCAATAGACCTGATGGCAGATCACATCTGTTTGTTGATATCAGTGCTCCACTTAATCATTATAATTCAACACAATACAATATCATTTAAATATACATTATGATATAAAACATTATAAAACATAAAAAACAAATGCACTACTATCCATTACAAACCAATGTGATACAATAAGAAGTGATACAACAGTAAGATACAATATATGAAAGTAATAAAGTATGATACAGACTGACATAATATAAAATAAAACAATACAGTACATTATAGTACCATACAAAACAAAACAAAATGGTACGATACAAGATGAAATGATACTTAACGGTGTGATAAAAGTGAGGCAAAAGATATGAAACAGTTCACTACCATACGAAACAAAACAGTATGATAACATCAGATTCAGTGTAACACAACTGGATATACTGTATTGTCCAGTGAAGGATATTTGTCTCAGTCTCAACTGTTAATGATTCATTATGATATGATACATCATTACATGATACATTGAGCTATGGTGTGGTACTATGCATATCACTGTAATAGGAGTGTCTTGGTACAACTTTTTTACTTCCGATACGATACCGATATTGTCACCTTCAGTGTTAGCCGATACCAATATTGATCCAAAATCGGCACAAAATTGTGTTTTGCAAGTTTTGCACTCAGCTGCAACGTCTTTTTCGGACTTAAACAAAAATAACTGCTACATGGCCGACATCACTCCTATTCCTAGCTGCTTTGCTTAGTAGTAAGGTACAGTACGCAGTGTTGTTACGAGTACTCTGGGGGGCTCTGCATGCTGGATCCGGGCGCTGCCATATAGAGGTGCTGGAGCGAAGTCTGGAATGGACTGCTTGTATCGCAGTGCTGTTACCTGAGATTTAAGATGCAGGCTGATATGATCCAATGTTCATTTTTTTGCTGATATCCGTTATCAATATCATATCAAAACATCCCTAAACTTTAATGCCCCTGAATTTACCCCAAGTGCTGTACACATATACAGTAACTCATATGATCCAATGCATTGTATTATACTATATCATACCATGTAATGTAATTGTCTCCACAGATTTTGTATTGAGAGCTGCACACATTCAGCCGTATATACAGAAGTAATTATGGAACAGTGTTGTAATAAAGATCTATCATTTTCAAGCAATCGATCCCTTGTTATATTGTTAAATTGATATTGATGTTATTCCGTGTTATATTGATAGCTTGGTGCCCTGTTGTCTTCACAATCCAGGCTTACCTGAAAACGTTTTTTTTTTTTTTTCTTTCTTTTGCTTGAACAAAGTTTTACAGATGCTTTGTGGCCTTGGTGAAGTGCAGCGGAGAGCCAGAGCCCATTCAAGCAGAGGACCTCCAGACTCCACGGGCACAGCTTCCAGATTTCTTTGCTGTTCGCAGACAAACTTCTCTCAGCTCCTCACAACCGCAGATCCTCTACAGCCCTAGAAGTGATGCACTCTGCAGCCAGCACAATGACCATCACATTCTGGTTGTCCACTACACTCCATAACAGCACTCCTCTGTTAAGCCTGACTGACTATGAGTGTTAAAACAAGTGTCTTTCTTTTCCCAGAGAAGTTCAGCTCAGAGACAAATACTTTTAATCTTTCCATCCATCTAAAAGCTCATGTTTTTGATTTCACAATGAAATTAATGTTCATGTCCTAGTACTCTTTCACATTTGAATGTGAAGTCAGAGCCATGAAGTCAAGCCGTTCATTTTATTTTCACATGCTGACATTTTATAATTGAAATGTCATTGTAAAGATGGTTTTGGTATGCTGAGAGACTCTGAGAATGTATGTGCAGTCGCTCAAAAAATCGTACATACCAATTCATGGCTTTCGTGGTTTAGACACATTTTGATACACCTACGTTTACTAAAAGTCATACAGGTGTTTCAAGTGATTTTAGTAAAACATCCTGTTTTGATGGCGATCAAGACTGCTGAATTCAGTAGCATACTTATCAGGGCTATTTGATACAGTGTTAATGGTGAGAAAAAGCTTTTATTTAATAGAAAAAGATAGTGGTGAGACGATTATAGTTGTTTCTTATTATTTTTAATGCATCACATCGTCTTGTATCTCTTGTAAACATTAAAAGAACAATATAGAGGCGATCATCAGGATTATGTATTTTTATATCGTTGTTTGATATTATGTATATTGAGTGTGATAATAAATGTGAGTCCTGTATGTTCTCTGTCTGTACAGTTATATAAGCACTTGAGAATATTTTTAACCACTAGATGAGGCTGTGAGCTTTTGAAGAGTTTCCTTGGTGTCGGTACATCTGCGGTCTCTTCAGAGTGTGAACATCATCACAGAAATCTCACAGAGTTGTTCCATTTACTTGCTATTTAGGACAGCGTGTGTGGATATTTCTGAAAGGAAAAGAGAGAGAAAGACAGAAAGAAGTGTCAGCAGGTCTGTTAACTCTCAATGGAACTGCGAAAATAGTATGTCTTACATAACCTCAGTACTTTTACCGGGAATAATACTGCCAAATTTACACGGTTTAGAGTATGTTAGTCACATTTAAGAGGTTTATAACATACTGAATTACTAATTTGAACAAAATGTTATATATTTCACAATTCTGTTTTTGTTTTTTTTACCTTAATTAAGACATGACTTTATAAAATATGGTCATTAGTGTTCATTTTAAAAAGTCTTGTGCACACAAAAAAATGACATTTAGGTTTTAAAAAAAAAAACAGCTTAAAGAAATACTGAAAGTTCACCACCGCACGATATATTTAATCGACTCGCAGAGAGCCTCTGACAAACTGCACTCTTGCAACCACATTAAACGATTCCAATATAGTCTCATCATTCTGCTTCACTCTGTGACCTTGTGTGTGAACATGAAAAATCTTTCACACATGACCATCGAGGCGGTGTGAGCGTGATGTTGCACCAGAACAAGTAAAGTTCTCACACACTGCTGTGATCGCACACTCTCACACACAAGATCACTATATTCATACTTTGAACATGCTGTATTAAGCTTGAACTAAATCCGTGTGCGGTGGTTTTTGACTGTTTTTGAATTGCAGTACCCTCACTTACAGCCTTACAGCTAACCTCTACGTCAGTGGTTCTTAAGTCCAGTCCTCAAGCCCCCCCTGTCCTGCATGTTTTGGATGTTTCCCTGCTCCAACACACCTGATTCAAAATGATCAGCTCGTTATCAAGCTCTGTAATTACTTAATAACGAGCTGATCATTTGAATCAGGTGTGTTGGAGCAGGGAAACATCCAAAACATGCAGGACAGTGGGGGCTCGAGGACTGGACTTGAGAACCACTGCTCTACATCAAGCTCATCATCTGGATTTGTTATTACAGTTCTATTGAGGAAACCTGTGGTTCAGACAGTATAGGCTGATTCATACTTCTGTGATGACTCCTTAATTTGATATAACATTGAGGAGCTTCCTCTGCTGTGGTCCCCAACCAGTGACCACAGCTTCAAAACTGTGTAACCATATTAAAGCTTAGCAAGCACTATTCCAGTTACATTCAAAACACTGGTGAAACAGTGTATTTGGTTAAACTTTATATTAAGGTCCTTGTAATGAGCATTAATAAGACACTAATAAGTGTTTAAAACATTAAAAAGTGTTAATACATGTTTATCAAAGCATAATTAGAACATATAATATTGCATATAAAACGCTCATCAGGTATTATTGCTTCATTCATCTTAATAATACCCTGCTTCATCTTTAAATCCAGTGCCTGCAAAGGATCACTAATAGTTAATCGTTAAAAAGCACTTACTTAAGGCCTCAAAAAGCATTAAATATGACATAATCTTATTCATGGTTAATAACATTTAAAAAAAAAGATAATACATTGTCTGTAAATTGTTAACAAAATTCTAACAAGTGCTTATCTGGGAGCTTTTAAGCAATAATAAATGCTAAATATAATTATATTAAAGCCTCAGACATTATATTAATGTTGATAAACATCTTAATATGTTCGAAATGCTGTTTACACTAAGATGACGTTTCCTGCAAGTGTGTTACAAGCTTATATGGTTTAATGTTCATTAATCTTTCATTAACGCGTATAAAGTCTGATTAATGTTAATAGCAATCCTACTTTTTTACTTGAATGTAAACTGTGAACATGTTTCTAATCAGAGCCTTTAAAAGTGAAAGTAGAAGTGTTAATTAGGTTCATATTAACACTTATTAATGTTTATATAGTCTCATTAGTGTATGAGACTATATAAACATTAATAATTATATTAATTATATTTAACTATTAATTGATGTTTTTTTACAAGGCCTTTAATACAAAGCCTTTATGTTTTACCCCGTCTCAGGCTAAAATGAATGTGTATGCCACGTGATGGCAGAAAGGAAATGAAGAACAGCTAGGAGGTATTTTAGGACAACCCACGCACTTACATGCAGACATGTGTACACCAAAGGTTGCATCTATCACAGACACACATGATGAGGGTTTCAAAGCTTCCAGGAAGTAACAAGAGAAAAACTCTGCTGCTTGAGAGAGCTGCAGTCAGAAGGTGCATGGGATGTCACGGACCTCGGGCCTCTTCAGGTTGCACCGCTCCTCTTCCCCAACATGATCAACACCTACCAGACCAGCTTGGCTCCTCCACCAGTGCCACCACGCCAACACGGTGGATCTCATCAGGTCCTCATTCCAGCTCCACTTCCAACAAAAGCCTACAGCAAGTCTCTCCTCCACTTTTTGGTTGGTGTGGTGCTGCTGAATTTATTTCTGACCACTGGAGGATTCATCTATCTGTCCTTCAAAATGGTAAAAAAAAAAAACAATAATTCCAGTATGTAAGATTTTTGACAGTGCAGTTAAGATGATGGTTATTTGCCAGTTTTAACTCTGCCTTTATAAACAGTCTTTACAAAACTGCAATTTAACTGTATCAGCGTGAATGTGCTGCATAGGGGTGATGCTTTCCAGACCACGAGGGCAGGATTTTATTTTAGAAATTAAAAAAAATTTATTAAGATTTTTTTTTTTCTGCAAAATCCACAATTCTCTCCACCTAGTTGACTTTGCTCTGCTAAAGCCTGATGGTTAACACTTTTTTTTTTAATGTGAGAAGAGTCAGTCAGGTCAATGTGGCAACAGGAAATGATCTTAAACAAACAAAGATGAGGTTTGACATTTTGCGGCACAGTTTTGTGGCATATGAACATGTTTTGAGATCAGGAAGGATGTTGAGTCCTAAATATTAAAACAATTTCAAAGAAAAATAAAAAAAAACAAGCTTGTCTTTCATGTTTTTCTGTTTTCATTCTTACAGGATGAAAAATCTCCCACAGCTCAAGAAAAAGGTACATCCTTTATTTTTTTAACCACAGTAAATTTTATACATGCAAAATATAATATCATCAGCCTCTGACCAGGTATTCGTTCTTTTCTCCAGCATTTTTTGTCCCGCCAGAGAAGCAGATAGGTCTTCGACCAGAAACGCCTGGCAAAGCCTTAGCACACCTCATGCTTTATGAGCCGCCAGGCATGGGGAAATCTATACGTAAGACACCACACTTAGTTATAAAAATGCCAATATGAATTGCCAAATATCCATTTTTAACTCCATGTTTCTCCTTTTGTCTCCCCAGCGGGTTTACTTCAGTGGGACATTGGCCACTCTGATTTGAGGAACATCAGCCTCTTCTTCAAGAACAAGGTCGTCATCCAGAAGTCTGGGAAGTATTATGTCTACTCCAAGGTCACCTTCTCCAAGGTCACCTCCTCCAAGAGTGACTCTGGCAGTCTGCTGACCAGCAGGGTCATGCTGAAGAGAAAGGTAGATGAGGAGAAGGCTGCCATGAAGGCCTACTGCAACCTGGACACTAACAGCGGGTCTGTGTCCATCCCCCGTATGTGCACAGCCACGCAGGGGGAGGTGATTGCACTTGAGAAAGGAGACAAGCTCAGTGTCTGGGTAGAGGATCTTTCACTGGTGGACTATGAAGATGGAGCAACATCATTTGGGATGTACGAGCTGTAGGACTTCTGTATGAGCAAGCATGGGCTGAAGATTGGACCAAAGCTACGGATTAAAAATCAAACTAAAGACTTTTTTCTTTGAGTTTTTTGGACCAAGAGACAAAGACCAAACTCTTTCACTATAATTTATTTAATAAGAAATGTTTGTGCACAATGTGTTTTTTGTTTTCCAGAAATGTAAATAGTTCTTTTTGTATTTATTTTGGTAGATGTTGTGAGAATGAAAGGAAAAGTAAAGTGGATATTTAATCAAAAGTAATTGCGCTCCCTCTCTCCATTTTGTCATGTGTCTTCCTGTTCCAGGAAGTTGAGGGGGTGAACACACCAGACTTAAACACAACTATACTGCATCTTAATGTCAGTAAGAAGCATATCTGTACAATGAATAGTGAATTTGGGAAGTGGAATAAAAGAGTGACACATTTTTTCAGTCAAAAAAGAGTAAATCCCAAGACCTTGAAATGCTTATCAAGAGTGATGACATGTGGTACACAACTTTAATGAAGACAATGATATTCAAACATTTGGTTAGCTCTCTTTTATGTGGGATTGTATGAGTAACTTGTTAATTATTAGTGTATTACCCAGGGGATGCTGGTCAGCTCTGCCCTTTTGTTGAGAAACCGGCCCGGGGACCAGAATGACAGCTCAACAATCACAGCGGGAACAGGGTCAGATCTACTACATACTTTTGGTTAGTTTTAGGTAATATACAATCACCACATCCATGAAGACCCCACTTGAAAGAACAAGCCATCCCTTTACGAAGTAATGAAACTCTTTATGTTGGCTAAGGGGCTTTGTTGCAATGTGCGCTCGAGCTCAGTCAATACCACTTCAGTTTGAGATTTCTAGGACAGGGGAAACCGCGTAGCACAAGCAGCAGCTTTTATGTTGCTATATAACAAAAAAAATAACCACAAAGATGTCATTTAGCTCTCAGGAGGTACAGTTACGCTCAGTGACAAGGATGTTTTTAAGATGCGCAGCTAGCCGCACACTGTTTCCAGCAATATAAGAGAAAATCTGTTACATGTTTGAGGTCAAAATCCGCTTTATGAATCACATGCATGATTGTTTTTCACCTTCTTAAGAGGACTGCTTATTTACTTTCCCCACTGATGTTCTCTACCCTTCAAGCAGACATTGGTTTCCATTCATGTTTAAAATATTTGTCAAACTCTTGAAGTTTATTCAAACTGGATGATCCCTTTTCTTCATTCTCTTGGAAGAAACCGCGTTACAAGCTGAAGAATTTTGTAAAATATGAAAATCAAACTTTTGAACAATTTATTGTTGATGTAACATTTTGAATGCAAAATCTGACAGAAAAGGAAAAACCGAAGAATCTGCTATTTAATCTTCAGACTTGAGTTTGAACCAGTGGTCTAGGGGTAGACTTAAAACAACTATCTGAAATAAAGCAATAAACATAGTAGAACTTTTAGGTTTTTGTACTAAACGGGCTAAATCACGACCTTTTACTGTAAATTTCTCAAGAAAACTCAAGTGACATGGCTTGATCTATTTTTAACTACTGGATTCACCATAATCTAGATGTCTGAGTATGAGTATGAGTGATAAAGCTTTACTAAGAAGGGATGAGTAATGTAAAAAATGCAACATGCGGTGCATCACAGGATAGAAATTAACACCTCAAAGCACGGAAACAGTGAAACTCTATGGAGGTGTGATTAGCTGCAGAGGCAGCGCACACTCACAGGATGTTATCTAGTCAATCCTTCCACCCTGTAAATGGTGTCATGCCACCAAAAACTGAACCCACAAAGATCCTGAGCTGCATATGTGCCGAATACAGCGTGGAAAAGCCTTGTCTTGGGTGGATTTTCCAGTAAGAACAAAGTAAAACAGGCAGTTTCTTTTTTTCCCTGCTGTGTGTGGTTTTTCATTTCTGACTCCAATCGACACCAAAAGCTCAAAACCCCATTCTTATATTAAATCTTTAATAAAAGAATGACCATACCAAACACAAAGTACAGAGTGTCTAGAAAAAAAGTAAGCATTACAATACTTGCAACAATAATTGCATAGAACCTTTCAATAAACAAAACACACACTCACACTCACACAGACACACAAACAAACAAACACACAGTGGTCTGGAGACATCATTTCAGATAAACAAGCCGGTGTTCAACCCCCTCCCACCAGTAAGTGCTCACTGAGGCTGCTGGGAATCCAAAACTACAGTATGCGGTACTTACTGAAAACAACTCAGAGAATAAACACACCTTTGATTTCGATGTCCACTGACAACTTCTGATGAGACAGTCGAGACAAGCACACGTCTGTACAGCTGCTGTGATTACAAAGCAGCACTTTTTCCTGCTCAAGTCCTCTGAACTGTACAGATGTGTGCTTACAAAAATACAAATTGTACAGCCTGATGAAACCCTTTGTAATATCTAATGGAAACTTGGCCCTAAAAGTGATTTTTAAAAGAATCACGAACACCAGGAGACATAATTTAATAAAGGCAAATGAAAAAAAAAAGCATAGCCGCACATGGCTTGGCCCTTTTTGGTTAATATATCGGGTTAATTCATTCATTATTCATCATCATTATTATTATTATTATTATTGCAATTTCTCCAAACCTGGCCCCCAATGCTGGGTCAGACCCAGAGTTCAGCCAGTAAAACAGTCATTTATTGCATTTCAGTAACATCCACTGCTGCTCCACGTCACAGCAAGAGTACATAACAGTGTTAACAGTGCACACACAATCAACCTTATGAGGAAATGTACCGTTGTGGGTCCTTGTGCATCTAACAAAGCTTAAAAAGAAGTTCAGCCCTGTACGTTTTCAGACCCGTTAACACTGCGCCATTCCTATTGAAATAATACGACACACCAACTGCGACACTTGCAAAGTAAATCACTCATTTAGTCCTTTTCTGGTCTGCAACTTGCTTGAAAAGTTTATTGACCCTTTCGGGAGGCACTTAAAACCAATGAGCTTGACTTTTAATGCACAAATAAATCTCTGTCTTTATTTCCTCTGTCTAAACTCTGCATGAACCTGCCGGGAAGCTGAGAACAAGAAACTGAAAATAAAAATGATTTTTCCAACTCTCCGCTAGATAGATGTCCTTTTCCCCTCAGCTAAAACAGTGATAGTTTCCCGCCTTTACACACCAGTACAGGTTAATAAAATTGCAGGTTTAAAGGCAGCAAAACTACATCTATAAAGGCTAACACCACAGTTAAATACTTGGGTGTGAAATAAATTAAGAATATCTTTAAAAATCCAAAATAATGCAAGGCTATGTCTTTAATATGTTAAACTGTTATAGGAGTATATTTTAGTAAGAAAAGTAGAGCTGACATCTTTGTTGTTTTCTGCGTACTTTTGTATTATAAACAATATATAGTTCAGCCTTTTTCTATTCTATATTGAAGCTTCATCCTTGAAAGCTCTGTATATCTGAATAACTTGATAATCACATTTCTGATGCAGAATTTATCCTGTAGGAATGCTGTACATTCATGCAGTTTTTAAAATAAACTGTAACAAGCGTTTTTTTTTAAATGTCGCATGATTACCCAACCTGATTTTTTGAAATGTCCTAGAAAAGCACCCAGAATCGTGTAAAATGAATGTCTTGGATGACAAAAAGCGAATCACACATGCCCATGAAAGCTCAATAAACCCGTTACCCCGCTGGGAGTTTTTGTGACAGGTAAAAAATGACAATGACCAAAAAAGGGAATTATGGTGAAAATCAGTCTTCTTGAAAACAGAAGTGCATGCAAGAGAACTTGTATTGGACATGATGGCTTCGTACTCCTTTTCTTTTTTCCAAATGAAGCAAGAGAAGCAGCAGAGAACGCTTTTAGTCCTCGTACTAAATTTTTCCACTAGTATGGGGAGTATTCACAGTGCAGCATGGTTGGAACATCCCGCTCGATCAGTCTCAGTTTAGCTTAGCTGCTTCATGAAGAGGCTTGTTTGGAGTCTCAAAGAGAGAAGCTGGATCAGGAAGACGATTACATTTCAGACAAAGTGTCACATCACGCCACGGGGTTTGCAGCGAAGATTCTCAATACACATTCGCCAGAGAGCGAGTCCAACTTTGTTGTTGTTAGCATATGGAGATGTGAAGTTAATAGACACACACACACACACACATGCTCACACACACAAATCTCAGCCTTTCTGTCCCTCTCAAAGCCTGCTTACATAACCTTACTCACACACACACACTCACTCAGTCGTTCACACACAGCCACACCCGGATGAGGTTGATCAAGTGAATGTGCTCAGTGGCCACCGTCTTCCCAGGCACAGTCATTCTTCTGCTTGGCCAGTTTCCGAACCACTCTCTCCAGCTCTTTACGAGACTTCTGCTCTTCCTCCAGAAACTGCTTCATCCATTTGTTCTCCTGTAAAACAAAAGTGACAACAGCAGCTTTGTGAAGTCTGTGTGATTGACCAGCAAGTCAGTTTAAGCCGCTAAAGTAATGTGATGAAACATTTACTGGCTATGTACTGATATTTATACAGAAGCTGCGAAGTAGTGCAGAGAAAGGTTATTCCCTAAATAAAGTTGTGTTGATTTTTGCGCCCCTTGTGGACAAAACAGGACAATTCATCTGTCTGATTTTAATTCAAGCACTTAAAACTCAGTCTGCATCAAAACGGTTGGTTTCACTTACAATAAATGCTGCTGGAAAAAGCATTAGGCACTATATTTATAAGAAAATGTCATTTTAGAAGGGATATAGCCTTATCTTATATATTCATATGTTTATCAAATCTTTCACTCTCACTGTATTCTTGTTTTTTTTTAATGCATAGAATGGGAAAAATTCTTATATCAGAGCACTTGTAGCAATTTTCTGGTTTATGTAGGTTTTGGCGCCCCCTGTGGACAAAACAGGACGATTCATCAGTCTGATTTTAATTTAAGCCCCTAAAACTCAGTCTGTGCCAAAGTGGTTGGTTTCACTTACAATAAATGCTGCTGAAAAATACGTTAGGGAACTACATTTATAAGAAAATGTCATTTAAAAAGGGAAATAGCTATATCTTACATATTCATATGTTTATCAAATCTTTCACTCTCACTATATTCTTGATTTTATTTTTCTATGTACAAAATGGGAAGAATTCTTATATCAGAGCTCTTATAGCAATTTTCTGGTTTATGTTGGTTTTGGCGCCCCCTGTGGACAGATGCGTACATCCACTCTCTTTGATGGTTTTGTCCTGAACACGCACAGGCTATAATTGTTCAAAACACAAAATCTAATCCTGCTTTATCTTTCTAGTACAAAGTATCTCTCGGCAATAATCATGACTTCATATGACATCTACCCCTGCAGCAGCATTCAGTACGTCTACAGTTCAGTCAAGCTACGATTAAGGCTTGATTAAGAGATTCAACTGAATCACAATCTTGTACAAGTCTACAAGCACCGGACAAGAATCAAACATTGAAAGATGCATGTCCGCCTCTGCTATAGAGAATGGGGTCATGGCCCTTATCAGCTTCTTCCTTTCCACTCGTCTCTTGGTTGATGAATTAAGTTCCAAAACAATTAATGAAGGCGTGAGTAAGTGGTTAATCTGATGTACATGAATGAAAACACTTGTCACTTTCACAGCTCCGAACCTTTTAATCAACAGTTGTGCCTCTTTTTACAGCCTTTATCTGTCTGTTGAGGTTTTGTTAAACGTATTTAGGCTACTTAACTTCCAGGCCAAGACCCGGCATTCGAATTCTGACTATGAGAAGTTTAAATATTGTAAGTGCAATTTTAGTCAGACTAATGTGTTTACAGAATTTTTTAAAGTCCAGTTTTAATCTGATTACTGCAGTACATAGACTTTTTGAGCGTCATGTAAGCATACCAACTACCAGATATTACTCTTACTACAACTACTAATACAAATAATGATTCTTATGGTTATCACTATTTTTATTACTACAATGTAGAAGGAACCAATCTACTGGCTGCTATCAGGGTTTAAAAAAAACATTTTTTTTTTGTATTTTTTGTAACCAGGGAAATGCTCCTCGCAGCTGCTTTAATGATTCTTTCAACCATAATCCCAACCATGCATCAGGCTTGGACACTTAACCATGTTTCCGATAGAAGTAAAAAAAAAAAAAAAGAGCGTTTAACCAAAAAGTAAAAGACAATGATTAACTTCACAGCTCACACAAACCTTTTTCAGTTCATGAACCTCGTCCTTTAGAGCATAAACAGCATCAACCAGACTCCTGAAATAAACACAGATCATCATTATCTATTTAGTCTTTACATAAACATGTTATTTCAAAGGAAGGTAAGCGCGGTTATTCCCATCACAGCTGTGTATCACAGTTAGACTGGCATCAAATCTTACAGTGGTATTAGGTTAGGATTAGTTCTGTATTAGGATCAATAATACATTTCTCAGTGCGATTACAAAGGACAGCTGGAACCAAACAGAAATAAGAACAAAGCCCACTCTGTCACTGTTAGTGCAATAAGAAAATCAAAGCATATCTTCCAAAGTAATAAACCACTCACTTCTCCTCAATGACAGTCTGCCCGTTACTCTTCATCTCCTCCACGATGATCTTCTCCTCCTCTGGCAGAAGCACCTGAGGGACGCACTCTTTCCGCACCGCTGTGTCAACACACACACACAGGCGCGTTAATGGGAAAGCTTGATTCATGGCCCTATTAGCTGTTCAAGATGTATAGTCTAAGGAGGGTTAAGAGAAACTATCTATTGTTTTTCTTATTCATAAACAGACCTGTGCTGGTCTGGTGCAAGCTGGCTCCTGTGCAGTACGCCTCGATCACCCTCAGTATCTGAGCGTCCTCCTCCAGGGCCACAGTGCCTGACAAAATCAGATTCAATCATAAATGTATGTCATGAAAGGGGCTCTTGCAATCCCCCAGTTTTTATGTTTTTGGTAACCCTTCCTTTTGCGGTACACTTATTACCAGGTAATTAACAGGTAATTACCTAGTAACAACATGAAATTATCTGGTAATTACATGATAACTACTAAGTCAATACTGTCTAGTTTTTCTTTTTTTCTTTTTTCTGTGCAGATCCATTTTCAAAAGCTATTTGGGAGTCCTTCTATTTTCTATGATTGACACTTGATACAGCCTCTGGGCGTGCGAAGATTGCGTAGCGATATGCTGTTTGAGCCGAGCATTATCACAGCGACTCACCCGCCGAATTTGCTACTGCGCAAATGGTGGTTCCAGGAAGCGGAGAAAATCCTGGCAATACCAAAGCAATTTGGCTTCAAATTTGTATGATGATGGAAGGTTACGTACCTGGTAGCTAGACAGTATTGACTTAATAGTTATTATGTAATTACCAAATAATTTCATGTTGTTACTAGGTAATTACCTGTTAATTACCTGGTAATAAGTGTACTGTAAAAGAAAGGGTTACCATTCATTTTGGGTGTACGTAAAACATCAAGTTTGCCGTAATTTTCTTTGTGACACACTGACTAAACATTTTCTCTAAGCCTGAGACAGAATTCCTACTTTTCCGTGTCTGAACATCGTCATCAGATGGCTTCCGATCTTTCTTCCTGTTGCCTGGCAAGAACTTCTTCATGGGCCGCGGGCTCTTGCTGGAGTCCTGGAGGAATGTGACATTAAAGATTCAGATCATCTCTTCGTCATAAACACACACTTATACAGCTAAACACACACCTGTTAAGCAGAGGCTCCAAAACCAAACAGAATGCAAGCTTACAAGGATCAGATCCCTTTGAACAAACATCGATGAACATATTGCATCAACAAACAAGGCAGCAGGCATGTTGGGAATCCCGACTCAAACGAGCCTACAGACATTAAGAAACAGTTTTTGTCACGTTTTCCCTGTACATAAATCCTTTTAAAGACAGGCTACTGATGGCTTTAAAGGAAGAAAATCACACTAAACATTCAAGGCTTTACAGGGAGGTTTTCACTTTTATAAGTGTATTAAAACACATTGATGTGGTTTTATGAATGAGAGGTTCCCTTTTAAGTTGATAAGTGAAGTTTTGGTTTTGAAAACAGGTGTGAAGAATAAATGACTAGAAGTAACGGTTTGGTGAATTTACTGTGCTTTCGCAAATGCAGACGTGAAGTGAAACTCCTGACTTACAAACACTACTGTTTTAATATTTTACATCATGATTAGTCCTCTGCTGAAAGGGTGTTACTTGGGGTGCAATGGGGTTCTTTGGCTGAGTGGAGAGAGGAGGGGGTTTGTGGGAGGTGTGCCAATGGTAATCCAGGAGTGCACCAATATAGCATTATGCATGGAGTACAAGTTTTGCACTAGTTTCGTAACTTTCAAGAGACAATACAAGAGACTTATTCACATATAGTGAAACAGAAGATTGCAGGTCTACAGGAGATGCTATCGCAGCCATGAAAATGACAAAAAATGTAAAAGCTTAAATGTGGTTTCTGGTATACTTATTCTTGAGTTTCTCAGTTCTTGGAAACTGATAGCAGTGCATGAAGTGGACTTGTGGTGAGGTGGATTTTTACCCTCTGTAGACATAGAGAGCTGAGGTAATGCACCTTTTCTTATCATCTGGTGATTTTATCATCTTGCGTTCCTTAAATGCCGATGCACACTGGCACTTTGACTGTCTACTGTTCATGTCCGAAGCCACAGAAAGCACACAACAGACGAGGCCTTTACATAGAAAGCTGTTACAGCAAACACGTTACATATCTGCAAACACATCCAGCAAACACAGAAGGAATCTAACGTTTATTTCAAGGTTCCCTCAACACAAGACTAAACTGTAATGGTTGTAGGTCACACTTACCACCTTGAGACTAATCTTTGCTACTAATTTGGCAACTAATCACAGCAGAAGGCTAAAGTGCAAACCATAGATAAGCTAATCATGCGCTTGAGAAGTGGGTAGAGTTGGATGATTACATATAGGTTATTATTTACGGGGAGTATAAAACAAGTGTCATTACATCTAAAACACTTAAAAAAACATGAAAAAGTATGTCGGGTTTATTTTATCTTTTAAACTTTTTAACTAAATGCTACATATCCTTCATTAAGCTGCAATATAAATGCATAACATTGCAACCACTTAAGTTTTAAGGTGATTTAAGCCATAGTCTAATTTGCCAGCCTTGAAGCATCTTTAAAATGAAGTGTTCAGCACTGAAATACCTCCTTGAAAATACTGATGATTGTGTTCCCTGTCTACCAGGTTTTCCAGTATCATGGAACCAACTCAAAGCAGCAGACATCACCTAACCCATGACAGCGTGACACATGGAGTAAACGCAGTCGAGGGCTGCGTGGTAGAAAACCTGACTGAACTTTCAACTCTCTGTGATGATTTCCAAAAACTCCTCTTCCAGTAGAAACTATAGTTACATCAGACGAGTATTTCATCTCATAACTGACAGGATACTCTACTAACATGGTGAGAAAAAAAAAGAGCGAGACGCAGAAAACAGGAAACCCAGCGTGAGACAACGAGGGAGGAGTAAAGCAAACACAGCATTGGCATGCTAGCGCAACACGCACACACAAGCAACCCAACTCTGATCCCCCCTCCCTCCCCCCAAGCTTCCATCCTCACCCCCCTTCACATAAACACAGAAACAGAGTTTGGTCTAACCTTACCTTTATGATATAAGACATCCTCTACAGAAGGCAGGACAGAGACAGAGAGAAAGAAGGAAAATGTGCATGAAAAATATGACGAGAGGAAGAATGTGATTGAGAGTGAACATTTTTACACCCCTACTGGCCTTGACTTATTCTTGATCTTTGCAGAGCCGGGTGTTTACCTCATAGAAATTCAAAGACAGAAGCCTTTTGGTTAAAGGCTTGCTTAGATTGCGGTCTGTTGGTGTGAAGCAACAAGTCAAAACAGGTCTCAATGAGGGCATTGCAAGACCGTCATAACTAGAAAGGCAGCATCTACCTCCTACCTATACCATAAAGACAGGCAGCTCAAACCTACCGCAAGTGTACGCTCAGCATTTTCCAATACCAGTGAAGACACGATGGTCACTGTGCTTTAACTGGAATTGACTCCGCCGTGTCTCAAACAAGTTCCATTTGAAATAAATCTACAGCAAAATTAACAAAGCTGAAGCAGAAAATGTTTAAGAGTCGGTGCATTCGACCTCGCAACGTGAGGGAGCGAGTGGTTCAGTAACCTATACCACAATCAGAAATGTCTGCGGTGCTCAGAACAAGGTCACCAAACTCAACACAACAAGTCGAGAGAGAATTCACATGTTCAAAGCTTCTAGTAGTCTTAGTTAAGGGCTAACGTACTCAGCAGGTCCCATGGTCCAATCACTGCGGATCTATATCATAATGGTGGCACCATTGTCTGTCTCAAGTAACAATGAGGTGCTAGCAAAGAATGTAATGTTAGTCACAGTTAGCATAACATGATTAATTTCCCAACGTGAAATGACAGAAAATCCATCATGTAAAATGATAATATGTACCGACCTCAATTATAATAGGTGGTACTGACATGCAGTGTAAGCAGTTCAGGCCAACAGCTGGTCAATAACCTTTCTGTTTATTTAACACAATGGTAAGTAGTGTCCCTTGATACACATGGTCAGGTTGTTTGGATCAATAATGGTAGGGATGGAATGGTTACAGAGGTGCAAGGTGAAAAGAGGAACATTTCTCCTGTTTCTGTTTATTACAAAACATCACAAACGTTCTGTAAGCATATCACTACAAGCTGGTTTGTAAAGACTCTGTTGTCTCCATAAAAAAATCGTAAAACTTTCAATCAGAGTGAAAGTCAAGTGTTTAGAAAATGTTCAGCAGTGAAAAAAATCCGACTTACATAACTTGTCTTGACTCTTTAGCTTGACAAAAGTGTAGTTGTGCATCAAAACGCCAGATAGCACCAGATCAGATCGGACTTCCAATGTATACGTGACCTTAACTTCTAAATTTGTATCATTCGCAGCAGAGAAAAGATGATTGTTTCCCACTTCTCTTCTATTATTCAAACTCTGGGGGTTTGAAATGACTGGAGAGGGAAAATAAGTGGGCTTTAGTGGGCTTCAAGCGGCGGGAACTTCTCGCCTTCTTTGACTTACAGCTTTAATTTGTATACGCGTCTCGTACGTGTCTCAAGCCTCCTACCTCTTTGTATCCCAGCGCTGCGGAGGGTTTGAGCGGGGGAGCGGGGCGCAGGCAGCTGAGCGACCAGGGCTTGCTGATTTTGGGTGGTTCCAGTGGGCCGCGGCTGACCGCGCTGAGGCTCCCCAGGTGGGACAGGTGAGTTGGAGTGCCAACCATACTTAGTGGCTTTCCTTCCCCGGTCTTCATTACACAGTTAAGAAAAAGAAAGAACCAAAGGAAGATTGTCACCACAAGGTGAACTTTAATTTGCAGCAGTTCACACCTCAGCACAGTGCAAGAGTGCACTTTTGGTAATGGTGTGAATCAATACAGTATGCATGTGTTTGCAGAAATATACGTGCGTCCTAACCTTTAAGATGGTGCCTGCAGGGCTGCCTCCTTTAGTGAAGGGCTGAAGGTGCTCTAACCACTCCTGTAGCTCCTGAGCACTACTGCAGAACACTGTGATCCGATCAATCATGCTTCCTAAAGGACAATCAGACTTATTACACATTACTGCCCTCTGTGAATGTTCCAGCTCCTTCTGAATTTAGCAATTCATGAAGAATAACACACAAAAAAACGTGACAGCGAGTAAACACAATCAACCTGTAGCCTTAGCTTACATTAACACTCTTTTAAACATTGAGAAATGTTTTAAAGAGAAGGATTTCTTCAGATTTAGGTATCAGGTTGATCACTTTCTTTGAAAAAGTAGGGCCTTCTTGGAACCCACAGCAGCAAACATGGATCTAGCGGGGAGAAACGCCTGAAACATTACATACTCAAGAGTCATGTCATACAATCTGTGACCAAAGGGAAGAGTGGAAAACTAGGGGAGGATTTTTTTCTGAATCAGTCCCACAGCTGTGCAAGCTAATGCTTGATTTAGGAGTCTTTTCTGGGTTACAACTCATTGAAATACAATTCATTATTCTTTCCAGAGCTCGGGATGCAAACCTGTGATGTCAAATGCGTAGTGTACGCTGTCTGCATCCTCCACATGTCTGGTTACCGTGGTACCTGTCAGTGGCAGTCTTCCCTGTATGAGTCAAACACAGGAAGAGGAAATAAGTAATCATTTTAAAAAGGTGGAAGGGACTGTTATTCCCTGACACAGCTGAAGTGAGTGTGAAATTGGAAATTACTAACAGATGGTAGGTATTTCTCATGTGAATTTAAACCCCATAACCCTTACAGTAATTCATTGCCTATCCAATATACCTTACCTGATAAATAAAGCCGCTCATTCGGGGACTGGCGGAAAGCATGACCAATACGTTAGGGAAAAGCATCAGGTAGCGCTCCTCTTTTTCCTGCAAAGGAAAGAAAGAGTGTTTGGTTGCAATGAAAACAATGTTTGATAATGCTTAAACAACATGCAACAGGGTGGCTGATGAACGGAAAAGACTTCAATCAAAAAAATATATCTATTTTTAGCCAGAACGCTTATTTTCGATTATGTTGACAAAATCTTTATCAGAAAGGAAATTAAACCAACTCATGAGAAGACTGGATGAATATTAAGGCTGGTTAAGTGATTGGAAAGCATTTCGCAATGATAAAAACGGTGAATCTAAATGTCCGCCAACTCAAAATCAACCACACAGAAACCACACAAGAGAGAGGAGACGCCTCTGAGTCAGTTTTTGGCCCATATAAGGTTCTGTTTTCACACTTTAGGTAGGGCATGATGATATTAACGACAGGAGGGACTTTGGTATGTGCAGTGGGAACTTATTAGTTCTGAAAATGAGACTTTGTGGTAGTCCAGTGATAACTGACATTTAATTATTCCACTCCAAAATGCATACAGTTGTGCTTCTTACAGTCATTGTGTGACTTGATGCATTACCTACTTGCAGTGAACTAGCTACATTTCTTAAACCTAAAGATGCAGAAAACCTGATTTATAAAAGGTGGTAAACAACTTCAATAGTTATTCCCTATCTGACAGATGACTTTAGCCTCCCTGATGGAAAAAACCTACCTGTATTTTATCTATACTGTCACCAGCAGGAGTCAGTTCCATTAGTTTTTGTGCCTGACCCAGTATGATACAATGACCTGTGCTGTTTTATGCCGGTAGTCGTTCAGTCTGACAAACACTTAATAGCTGACAAAGGACCTCAAATAATGAGCTAATAAGTGAATTACCTCTCTGTTAAAATTTGTTGCTCAGTCAGCATTGAAAATCGTTCACTAGTTTTCAATCCAAAGGGCCATCCAAAGCTCTTTGATTGAACTGGAGCTGTAAGAGTGTAATTTAAGGCTTTCGCTGACACAAACAGATCTTTACACAATTCAATGGAATGAAATGACCATCAACAGTTTCTCTGTTTTCTCTCTCACCTCACTGGAGCCATTTTTCACATGGACCTGGGACATGTAGGCCACATGGCCCAGGCTCTTTATGCTGTCTCCCTCCCAGGATCGGACCGGCTCGGACAAAATCTGGAGCTCCAGGTTTTTACGCTTCCGCAGGTCCTGGCACTGTGTCTAAAGATTCAAGATTTGTTTATTTGTCATGTGCTTGTTAAACAAGGTCAACAGTGTAATGAAATGCCCTGGATGAGAGGACCGCTCGACTCAAAGCAGTACAGATAAAAGACAATAAGTATTTAGAGGAAAACAATAAAATAAGGATGCAACAAAAAAATATTAAAGGTGAGTAAAAGTAGAAGAGAAATATTTACAAAGTGCAACATTTACAGAAGTGCTGAGTGTGAATATATGAAATGGAGGGTAAGTTGGTGGGATAGATGAGGTATGAAAATTGCCATATGCACATGATGAATAATGGTGTACGAATTGCTGTAATGCACATCACAGATAAGTGGGTTATTGCAAATAACCCCCAAATAAATGCAACAAATAAATGCAACACATATACTAGTCACATCAGATCTAAAAACTGTGGAGCTTGTTATCTTAAGAGTTTTATAATCTTCCTTTTGTCCTTTTGAGGACTTGGTTTCATGAAAAAAGAGCATTTAGCAGCTTGATTTTTTCCTTCACTTTGAATATAAATTAAGAAAACAGGAAGGTTAAAACAGGTCATATCAAATTCTTTGATGTAACCCGTGTATGCAACTTTTTTCCCCCATCCTTTCCTAAGGTATATGGAGTCACCTGTAATGTAGGGTAGTTCGTTTTCAGGTGCCTAACAGGGGCTCCCCCTCCTCATACAGAAAAGTGACGATGCAACATCTGACAGTTTCCACTCCTTTAGAAGAAGCGCTGCAGAGGAGTAACTAAAAGTTCTTTTGCACCTACCCGACCAAACCACACATTGAGAAACTCAATGAGGGAAACTCAATGCAAATTACAAAAGTCAGGGTTTTGGTTTTTATAACACTCCCCTCCCCCACCCCCACCCCAACCCCCACCCCCCGACAGCTTTCCTCTGAAGCTCCTCTACAGACACAGGTGTGAGTCACCTCAGCTATATTTACGAGGAACTCTGTGCTCTACCAAGGAAACTGTGCCTCAGTGATCTTCACTCAGGTACAATGCGGTTGCTTGTTTCAACTACTGCTCTTTTCAGAACGCATTTCAGCTCACACCCACTGAAGGAACGACACAATCACGAAAAGACAGACGGGGAAAGCTTGGGCACTTTCATTTGTCTGATTTCAGTTGAAAGTTTTAGTCAGTCTGACACAATAAAAAGCAAATGATTCAGGGAAAAAAAAAACCTTAATATGTCAAGTCAATAGATACCAAGAAGGAAACATAAGGAAATACATAATGCAATGTGGAAAAGATAGAAACTGAGCTGCTTTACGATCCAATAATCGAGAATTGATATTAGGGGCTTACAGGCTGCTTTAACTCAGCCTCGTTCTGGGCTGATAAAATGCCAAATCCCTGCAGGAGCTTACCAAGGATGATAAAGAGTAAAGATAGCTCTATCATGCAGAGCTCCGTGGGCATGCCGGACTTACCACCAGGCTCCTAAATGCTGCTGTGGCCTTTACAATGTCTGCATAGTCTGGGTGGGCTTCCTGTTGTGAATATAAACAACAAATTACATCAGACATAGCAGCTAAAAATAACCCAAGCACCCAATTAAAGCAAGAAAAGTAGTTAAAGTTCAATATGTTAGATATGTTATTGTGTTTTTAAAATTTTACCTCCACGTGTCTCTCCAGCTCCTGCAGCAGGGTGGGGTATTTGTCAAGCCTCATGAAGGGTTTACTGAGACTGGTAGTCAGGGTCAGGATCCCCGGTGCATTGGCACCCTGGCTCTCCATGAACTTGTCTAACTCCTCACTGTTTGTGAAAATTAAAACAACGACAACAAAAAACACTTAATTGCAAAAGTCAGATTCTGAGCAAGTCCACTGAAGACAGAGCAGACCACAGAGCAGAGGGGCTGCTGAGAGACCGCAATAAATGTGTCTCTAAAGTCACTTCTCAGCTCAACATCGGTTGTCTTTTACTGAACGGATTGAGGCCTGAGCAGGGATTGACAATGAGCTAAATTTTGACAGTGAACAGTGGTCGGATAGCCGAACTATTAGCCGTACATACAGAAAATAACAGCATATATCTGGCAAAAGAGGACATCTGTGGCCCCATCATATCCCGGCCAACTCCAGCAGTCTCGCTAGTGAGTCAGGAATTTTCTGTCCCTTCTGCTTTCATGCTTCCTCTCTCCCTGACTTAGTTGAATTCTAACTTGGATTTTGTCCATTAAGTGGAAGTTAGCCTGGGGGAAAACCTATGCTACTGTCAAGTCTGGGTGTAGAGACAACGGTTGCAGGAGTGACAGCAGTTAATGCAAATCTTCAGTTATGACACACGCAAAGGCGCTCATGAGACAAAATAGTGAGAATCACTGACCAAGCCCCGGCATCACAGGAAAAGGGTATGACAATAGGTGATGTGGTTTTATAGATAACATGATTTCCTCAGACAGTTTTTTTTTATTGGCCTAAATGGGCAAGTGCAAAGTGCAACAAGCAGACCTGAAGTCTAACAGTTATAACACGGAGCCCTGACTGTATAATATGGTTATACATCTACACCATGTTGCTGCAGATGGATGAATCTCTAACTATCAACTACATTCAGATCAATTTGCAACACTTTAATGTTTAATAAAACCGTTCTTTTTTATTTTGGCATGTAAGCATAAAAAAATGTAAGTAAAAGCTAATATTCACTCATTAAAGCACTTAAAGAACTCAAAGCAGTGCCTCTAATTTTAAAACGCACTTTCAAAAGTGGCCCTAGAAAAAATAAATAAATTAAGATTTCACGATTAAAGTCGTTAACTTACAAGAATAAAGTCATTACTAACGAGAATAAAGTCATAGCAAAGTAATTACTTAAGAGAATAAAGTCCTTATATTCTCACCTGTTGTTTAAGATGACAGTTGTTGAAATGAGCGCCATGGAGCATTTCTAGAAAAGTACTTCAATATAGGTTTCTCAAACAAGGAGATACTCAATCTTTTGGCACATCAGCATCACATTATCGTAAGTATCATAATGATTTTATTACAACTTTACTCTCATAAGTAATGACTTTATTCCTGTAAATTAACGACTGTAATCTCAAACTCTTAATTTATTTATTTTTTCTGAATGTTGCCCTAATACTCTGTCGTAGTTTTAACATTAAATTTGATCATTTATCTATTTCTTCCAGAGAAACTGTGAAAGAAAGGTGGTTTTAGCAGCTCTTTCCTAACTTTATAGACTCATCAAAGCAGTCAGTCCAGCTCCTTTTCATCTCGTTTGCTTGTGTAGCTCATAAACTACACAAGCATATAAAGAGCTTTAATATTTGTTCAGTTATCATACTTCCTATTGCTGCCGCAGCATTGATTAACGTCATTGCACATCACTTGTTTATTTGCTGGCCGATTACATCAGAGTTAAAGGACATTAAGATGATTATATTTGTCTGCATTAGATCTTGAATGTAGCAAAGTACCACTGATGCTGGTGCAAATACACTCCCATAATGATTCTTCTATTCTGTTGCTTTAAGTAAAGTGGTGGCATATTTCAGTATCAAGGTTATGATTAAATCGATTAAATTACACATATTACTCTTGATACATGAGGGTTAATACAATGGAAATATGCAAATAAAAGAAAACTGCACACCCACATGTCTTATTGTATAACAAAAATCTGAGCTGTGGTTGTTCTGTGGGGACAACTGGGAGAAAATTTGAGTGGCAGCTCACACACAGTTTTTTCACACATTTAAAATACAGCTCGCTCTTGTTGGTTTGGTAGACTTTACTCAAAGTCATTTCACTGTTTCATTGTTGCTGCTGCTGTTTTAGTGTATCTTGGTTTTACCTTTAGCTCGAGGAAGGCTAATATTTGCCTCGACTGCTGCACATGCAGGATGCAGTGCCGGCCGATTAAAGCTGTTAAAAGTGTTACTGATCACAAAAAAAGGTTTTAAATAAATTGCCTACTCTATGACCAAAATATATGACTGCCTCTAAAGACTGAGACATGTTGCTAGGAGACAAATTCTATGACAAGATCATATTTTGGAGGGTAAATTTACGTCATGTTGTTCATACGTCATTTGTATTTTGTGAAAAAAACCTCACTTAAGTCCAAACAGCCCATCATCTCAAGAAGACTAGAAAGCGAGCAGAGCGCTTTTAAAGATTCCTACTTATTAGTCAGATTGCTAAAGGCCACTAGCTGCGAATCAAAGAAAAAAAGAAAAACGTGTTTGTTTTTCCACGCAGGTTTAACCACAAAAAAAGTGCAATGGTGTTAAAAGTGTGCAGCACACTCATATTTTTGACATTTAAACTTGACTGCGGCAGATTAACACCATTGTAGACCTGAAAGTGCTTAAAAAAAGTAACACCATTCATGAGTTTCCGTAACCAAAAGCATTATTCATGTAACATAGTGTTGCTAGTATCGTTTGGTAATAGTGAATGTCAGAAGACGGGTCCTGCAACTGCAATGCAAATGTGCTTACCTTGAAAAAGTGTCTCGCTTGCCTGTCAACACAACCACAGCTTCATGTATCCTGTTGACAGGCAGCTTCCTGTGTGAAATTTGACTACATCGGCTGCTCATGAGGTCGAATCAGTGACAGAACTTCTTCAAACAAGTTTGGACCAGTTTAACTGTGTTAAAGTGACTGAAATCAGAGAGACTGAAATCTATACTTTAAAGATTGAATACCCCAGGAACCTCAATGAGGCTGGTGCATTTTTACAGCGCCAATGTTGAGCACAGCAAAGAGACTTAATAAGAGGTGCTCAGATTCAGTGTTGCCTCCAGAGCATTTACAGAGAGGAAGCCTGACATCTTGTGGTTAAAACATGAACTTCAGTTTATCAGTTGTGTCAACTCTCTGCAAACAAATGAACAACATCACAGTGAAAAAACACAAAAACCTTTTGCTATGATTATCAGTATTAATGAATCCCATTCCCACACTACTGCAACCTGCAGGGGTTGTTTGGGGTCAAGTGTCTTGCCCAAGGTCCTAATCACGACTGACTCCACCACAGAGGCACAGCCGCCCCAAACAGAAGAATTTCCACCCATAACTGTCCACTCTGAATCATTTCTGGTCAAAACCTGTGTTGAATTTTAAATGTGGGGAACCAAGACAAGGAAAAGGTTGAAAAGTAAACTAACACCGCCCTACAGCCCTAAAAACCCAGTGTTCATGTTTTAGTTTGGAGGATTATACGTCTTTTGAAAGAAAAAAGATGTTTTTTAAATCTGTGTTGTTAAATTCTTGAAATACATTCATGATTTAAAATGACACTTGTCTTTTCAAAAGGAGTAATTATCTGTGTGGTGTGCAGGCGGCTGACCTGTGATCAGTTAGGATGCAGACAGCTGAAGGGTGGCTGGAACAGTAAGCCAGGTACAGAGTCTTGATCTGACACATCATGTTTAAGTAACAGCCCGCCACTCGCTGCTGACCCTCTGGGACTCTGAAACGTCAGAGAGACATGACAAGGTTAGAGAGATGAAGAAAGTAAAGACAGAGTAAAGACAGAGGTGGTTATGTAGGGAAAAGACTCAAATTATTTCAGGTTAAGCGACATAAATGCAGACCATCTATTGGGGTGACCTACTCAGAGCTGGTTTAACTCAAACCTGTAAAAAGAGTATCTTTAAAGTTAGTTATATAATTTAGTTATGTAATTGGGAAGGTATTCCAAGAATTTAAGGGCATACTTCACATTTCTTCTTGTCATTTTCAAACACATTCCTTCTAAGATTTATAAATCCACTCTTTTACCTCCCCCAAAGCAGCTTTTTGTCTCTGCTATAAGTGGGAGTCAGAGTTTCCCCACCACTGCATGCGTGTATTTTAAACATTGATAGATGTTTTTAAATCAAGAAGAGCAAACCCTGTAACTCTGAAAAATAGGTTAGGCTGTTTGGTTATCATGACTGTCTTTAATTAGTCTTTGCAAGTCAATACTCGCACAGAAAAGAAGTGAGAGAGAAGAGATTTGGCAGGAAGGAAGTGATTGCAAAACGACGGTCAAGTATGCTTGTAAAGTGTGTGCTGTTTAATACACAATGAGCCGTCTCACTGCGCTGTAATAAATGAGCAGCTCTAAAACATGTATTCAAACTACCATCACACTGAATGGGGTACACTGATTTATCTTAAGAGGGCTTGTTCTAACAGTTATGGTGAAGATCCCAGCTAAGCGTGACTTACTTGGTACATTCCTCCAGAGCTACACAAAGCCCCTGCTGGAAGGTGAGGATCTCCTCCAGGTTTCCACTCAGGGTGGTGCCGTCTGCGCTGCTCAGCCTGAATATATACATATTTAACATGAGCGGAGAAGAAAACAACTGTGCTGTAGCATCCGCGATGAAGAAGTGAAACAAGTAAAACATGTATTTTTCTTATTTTAGCACATCCAAAAACACCGACCTCTGCCTAAAAACATTTACTCTTTAGTATTTCATGCTTTAAACCCAATATTGATCTCATCACTGATCTTACTTGTCACTGGCTTGCAGGGGTCGTAGATAACAACCCAGGACTGCTTGTAATTCTTTGACAAACTCCCGCTCATGTTCCAAGATGTCCTGCACAACCTGTAACAGAGAGGAGTTTGATTGATGGTGCTAAAATGTGAGCACACTATTTCCTATAAATACAGACAAAACGGTTTCACAATCTGGAACATCTGGACATATTTTTCTTGAATTTCATGCACAGTATGATTATGTTTATGAGTATGATTGAAAAACAGATAACTTCAGAAAAATAAAGAACACGAAGCGAAGGTCATACTAACAGAAAACATAAAGATCATGTAATGAGTATTTTGGGGAGTTGGGTGTGAAGAAATGAAGTCATCCTCACTTTTGGCTCTTTGCACATTTGCTCTGACAGTTGATTTCAATTCTTTAAAAAAAACACTTTTCTTCTACAAACAGTGAATAATAATAATAATAAAATAATAAAAGGGTTTGTATTAATAACTCCTGGTTGAAGTAAGATAAAGATGCAAACAACACAAAATGAGGTGATTTTGAACACACTGCGTCTATTTTGACTCACCACATTGTAGTAGTTCTTGGTCAGCTGTGTTCCTTTGGGAGAGGCAGTTTTTTCTGTGGAAGAGGGTAAAATGGATTGAAGAACCACTTGGAACTTATAAAAAAATAATATTTTAAATAAAAACCTTCTAATAAATGTCAAGACAGTTTAAACCGCTGTTTGGGAGTTTAAAAATAAAATTAAGAAGACTTCTGAGTCACCTACACCTGCTGGGATAGTAGGTAACCAACTAGCTTTTAACTGATAATGCCAGAGTATTTAAGCGTTTACTCTCTTTCCAAATAATTATTACATACAGTTTATAATGTGTTATAAGTATTTATACAAAGTCTTGGGGAACCACGCATGTTAAAAATCTCATTCAGACCCTCACAGCTTTTTCTTTCAAACGCTTTTATTGTAAGATGTTATGATCTCAGAGGTCAGCTCCTCCTGAACTGATTGCACCATTTTATTCTGTTCATGGTCCCGCTAGTGCGTCCAGACTCACCACAGGGTTTGATCTCCCTGACGTAGTTACTGGGGAACCAGCCTGTCTTGCCACTGAGCATGCCCTCCCACCATCCTCCCTCCTCCTGCCGCGTCACGAGGATCAGGTCCCCTTTATTGAAGGACAGCTCGTCCTCATTATTCTGCTTGAAGTTGAAGCGGGCCTTCACCATCAGCTGCCCACCTCCACCGTTCTCAGACATCTCCTGTTTGTTAGGAAACAGTTACGAACTTAAAAACAAACGTCTGTGGATGTAAATTTAGAAATGTATTGTATGGCATTGACATACATTCACAAGCACGTTAGAGGGTTGACAAGAAAAAGAGTAAATATAGTTGCGTGTGGCGTACAACATACCACTGATTTGGATTGTCGACGCAGAGAGCCTTTGGATTTGGTGGAGGAGAATGTGTGCGAGGATGTCGAGTGACTAGGAGAGGTGGCTCCAGACTGTGGGCATGACCTCTCAGGAGTACAGTCTGTGGACACACACAAAGGAAATGAAATATTTTACTCTCCTTGTTTTCAAAATCAGGTGAAAAACACTCACAATTAGACAAACACTCAAGACAACATTTGGCTTTAAGTGTTTCTTAGGACTAACACTTATCATCTAACAATGGTCTTTATGATCATACTACACAGACTGTGCACCTCATTTACTGAATTCTGAGTGACTTTTTACTGATAGACCAGACAAACTAGATTTCTTAGAATTACTTAAAAGAGTAAGACTTTAGTTGCAGGCAGCATCTCTTCCTAAAACCAAATCTTGCACCTTAAAACAAACAACTGAAGTAGCGAGGAACGCCAAAAATATCCTCATGATGCAAAATTTCTTCATATTGCAAAACGTTTCATATGCTATAGTTTCACAGTGAAATGAGTCCCCAAAATATACTTCTGCTAGCCCACACATTCACGCCCACACACGTCACTGTTGTCACTGCTGATGTGGCTGCACATATTTTGGGGGCTGACAACTTCATAATTCGTGTGAGTATGGTCCAGTGCTCTTTACAGCCTCGGGACAGTAAACACATTATGTCCCACATTTACTGGACCCAATAGGACGATCTGATTTAAGCTAAACTGGCACACTGCTCCAAATTAAGTTCGCGCAGCTATAAAAAGGAAGGAAACATACAACCTTCAGAATCTTAACGTGAGCAGTCGCTCATGCGCTCAATGTGTAAGTTCAATCTGACTGATTGACACGTTTTTGACCGAGCTTTCTCCGGCCCCGTCTCTTATTTAAATTACTGTCTGAGTTGTGACTTGTGAAGCACATAAAAATCTACTTTATGTCACAGACACCCTAACCCCTCCCCCCCTCATGTCATCACTCAGCCACTGCAGCAGAAGAGTAGTGATTTAGGGTCAGTAGCTGCCAGCTGTCTGGCAGTGTGGGCGCAAGCCTGGAGGATGCTCTGACAGAGGTATCAATTTTGCTGCCAGTTATCGCCTGAAATGTGACACATGGCAGCCCTGCAACCTCTTACAGGCTAACAAGCTGATGCTCACGCTATCAGAAGCCAAACTAGATGCTGTGGTCAAGGTTTAGTTCTTGTGCATGGTACAGAAATTTAAATAACAGCATTAGGTATTTCTAATATAAATCTATCGAGGGTTGGGACTCAGAAATACTGCGGTACATCTTTTGTTCACTTTGAATCTATCAGCAGTTTAGCATGAGTCTATGTAATGTATGTGAAGTTAAGATAAGGCTGCAGATCCCCCATAGTCTTCCATATGTTGAAAACTCAAGGCAGCCCAACTTCTGGGATGAAAAATACCCTGAAGGCAGCAGGACAGTGAACACACTCTGCAGGAGAGGCTCATGAATCCCACATGACTATCCAAACACGCACACAGAGCAGCCTAACAAGCCCTTCTGTCAGCTCAGCTCTGTAATTTCTTACAACTGTTGTCTATTTTTCCATATATGCAGGGAATGCACGAAAGCGTTCACCAAAAACTAATATAAAGGCTGCGCAAAGAAGCACATATGGCAAAAAGCAAAGCTGGGCTTGAAAGAGGATCATGGGTAAAAAGAAAAAAAAAAAACAAGCCCCTTATGTTTGATCAGATCTTCTAACTTGAGACTAATCCACTTCAAATCAAGTTCACTTTTGAGGATGGGAAAACAGCTGCTGGGTAAAGACAGCATGCAAGGGATTTGCATTTCAAACAAGAGCCCACACTGGCGAGAGCTTCCTCATCTACAAATCAGAATGACAGCCATTCGCCACTTCACCCAATAGCACTCAACAGATACAACCAGAGGACCACAGTACCATATAGTGTTCACATGAGTATGGCTGGAGTGATGAGACAGAAATTTGCACAAACTATTAAGCGGGTGTTAAATATTTGCCATAAAGCTGTGTAGCTGCTGGTTTAGTGCTGGGTACCTCCTCGATGCCCCCAAACATGGACTCTGGAGTTAGGTAATGAGCCCCAAATTACTGTGGGGCTGCTGCAGCACTAAACCCTTTCATGCTGCACCCTTATGTAACAAATGTACTGAGAAAAGAGTGTATGTGTGTCTAGAAACTGTGCATTCATTTTTTGTTACATTATGCATTTTGCTTCATTAAAAACGTAACTAAAGTGTGTGGGGGGAAAAACAATATTAAACTGAACAAATGAGGATATCATCCAAGCTGTGGATGCACATGAGTGAATATGCCGCCCAGCATGACACAGGCGCACACTGCCACACAAGCTGCCCATGGGTTACACACCCAATAACCGTTTAAAATGGCTTCATGAGCACAATCTGTGAAAAATGAACACTGTCATCACTCATACACAAAGCAAGAATGTCACCTGAGCGCTGAAGATAGTAATACCAAGCTCCGTCTTGAGGTAACTTACTGTCTGAGAGGGTTTCATTAGAGCATCATGTCAGAGTAAAAGGATGAACGCTCATAATTCTGAGCAGGATTAAACCAAGCTGTAACCTCCAACATTAGAGTATGAAACCTCTGCAAAAAAAACTGTAGTTCCACATGAGAGGGGGGCTCCAAAAGTCTTAGAGACTTCACTGACACCCGTGTTAAAAAGTCTTTCTTTACAGCAGAGATGATCATGTTTACAGCCTGGTACAAAAACTGCTTTTGACAAAACTGGGGGGCCTGTTTGACTTAATTGATGGGCAGGCATATTACAGCTGTTAGCTAGGAGGTTAACCTTCAAAACTCATCTTTTTATACTGTCTATGAATTTATCAATGTAATGCATCAATCTTTTCTTGATCTATTTCCCCTGACTAGCATCAAATGTACCTCTATTTGCCCTGGTTTTCAAGCTCTTGAATAGTCTACCACTTTACAGTAAGTCCACTTTTACCACTAATTATCAAAACAGAAAAAAACGACTCACTTTTCACCCTTGTTTTTAATTAGGCATAGTTCATAGTTGCAATATCTTCATTATCTCTTTTATTCACTTCTATTTTACTCTTGAGAGCAGCCCCAATGTTGGTTTAAACCTTTCTTTTTTACTTCATTTTTTATCACTTCAATTTTATCAATTGCCGATATTGTCTTTTGGTTTTCCCTTTCTCAACAAGTGCAGACTTCATAATGTCTCAACAGCAGGATCTGTAGGAACTGTTTCGTCTCTTCCTATGTTGTTGCTTTTGTCTGTCTAATTTTTGGCTTCTTGTTAGATACTCCCCAGGGCCCCTCTATGTATAAAAAAGGTCATACCCAGAGGCGTGGGGTGCACAGAAGGTGTAAAACTCTTACCTTGTGTGGCGAAATTGACCGCCAGCAGAGTGGTCAGTACCTTGCCGAAGTTCTCACCGGTGTATAAACACTCTGGTTCAAACCCCTGGATAAAAAAAGACATGAAGAAGTTTCTGTTAGATCACAAACCTCAAATCCCATCACTTTATATGTCAATCAGAAAAACAGAGAACTAAAATAGGATCTTTTCTCTACTGATTGCTGTGATTGGAGGGTTAATGTTTGTGAAGTGCACACAGGCTGCAATGTGGAGACAGCAGGAGAGTGGGACTCTAACTGTAGGCTGAAACAAACAATAGAATTGACAGGCGTACGTACACACAAGTACACACAGAGTAACAGACATAGGGATTTGAATAAGCCTGTGACAAGACAAAGATAAAAACTGATATGTCGAGCGTGACCCATATTCTGTGGTGTGTAATAAAAAAAAGGCAGGGCTAGGCATGTTTGTGATTGGCTGGCTTATACACACACACACACACACACACACACACACACACACACTGACACTGCTTGCTTGCTCTGGTTCAGACAGCTATCTCCTTTCCTCCACTGGATAAGGTTTCACATTTTAAATAAAACATCTTAAATATAGAGGTTGAGTAGTACAGCCTTGGTCCTGAGTTGTGGAGAACCCTATTCGGACTTTAAGCAGGTGTGGCCGTTACATCTGCAGGTGAGGGCTCAGTCTGAGGGTCTTTCAGGCTTATTCAGGTTGCTTTTCATCATCTAAATATCCAGAACACTCTTCATTCATAGTTTATAATGGCTGCAGCACGATGGTGGTTGGTTTCCAGCAAAATCTCAGCAATCACTGTCATCCTACCATGTGTTTAAGGCTTTCTTTAAACTATACAAATTAACCCTGTAAAGTAAAAAATAAGCATACCTGAAAAAACTGACCATCTGTTTTTAAACCATTTTACTGCATAAGAATTACTCAGTATTGACAACGCACGAAACTTAGGGATGAGTGCACTGATAGAGAAGGAAAATGGAAAGTCTCTGATGAACTGAAAACCCTGTTTGCATTGACAGAACAATGAGTAGCTCAGTTTTACAGCGTAGCTATGATTCCAATCAGAGATAGTTGTTGCCAGTATTGATATCTCGGCCAGTGGTTGCCCTCAGTTGTGCCATAAATCTATGCTAATCTGCGCAACTGTAGCAGTATATGAAGTTAATGGCATTCATTTTGGAGCAAGCAAAAAAAAAAATTGCAGGCCTCGGGCAGTAATGTGTGCTTCCTCTTTTTGCATCTGAGGGCAGAAGTGAAAGCAGTATGACTGCTCTCTTTGTGCAGTCACAGGACAAACAAGCACTATTTTCTAAGGCAGAAAAGAGAGAAAACTCCTCCTAACCATGATCACATCACTGACCAAAGGATGGGCACGGGCAGGGCTAGCTGTAGCACCACAGACATCACTTGGCCGATGCATTTGACGGTGGATTGTCCAAAAAAACTTCTGCCCATGAGCTACTAGCTGGCCACAAAAGGTCTAATTATGGGCTAAGGCAGGGTTGGTGGATGAAAGAAAAGGGGACCTCCCAGACATAACAAGCCAGCTGGGCAGAACTACTGAACCACTTGACTTTGCAGTAAGCCAGGCTTGCTGACTCAATTAGCTGTTTAAAGAAACCATCAGATGTGATTCAAGACCAGAGAGAAGTATTTATAAAGCTGGAGGAGAAATTACTGTCCAGTAATGTGGTCAAAAACAGGCTTCTAAAGCAAACACAGAAAACTCCCAACATCTGTACATGATTTCTCCTCTAATATTAGGACATAATCTAGCAGGGTGCGAGTTTTTACCATGCAGCAACAAACCAATGTCAGTGTCACTGCGGCATGGAGGGGTTAAAAACTTAATTGTGGTCATTTAGAAACTGAGGTAATGCTTATTATGGTCAACAAAACCTTCCTGTCTGCTCAGGGGGGTGACTGACAGCATGGACGTGAGAGGAAAGCATATGTCAGCAAGGTAAGCAGATAACAACACAAGCGAGACAGAGTTTAAGTCTTTTGTTTGCATAAACTGCAGTGGGCTAAGAGGGCTAATAAGCAGATAATGAAAACAAAGGTCAGCCAGAGTCAAAATATCATACTTAGACGTGAAAATTGACAATTTCGCCTACTTACATCCACTTTTAAGGACGAGCATCCTCTCAAAAACTCCCTGATGTTGGAAATGCAGTCGGCTTCAGTTCTTGGGTCCTGGGAATACTAAGCACCCACACAGAGAATAAGTGTATTAAGACACCTCTTTAAATGGCAGTTCAAGATCCGAGTAGTCAACAAAGAGCGATGTTACAGTCGTATTAGCTCATTTACAGACGGAGCACAGAGAAACATTGTTGTAGTAGTGCAAAAAAGGTCTCTTACAGTGAGCAAAATAACTGTGGAGCCTTCCTGCGTCTCCTTCATGCACACATAACCATTAAACACTAAACAGCCTACGTTAAGACGCGACATTGAGGCAGCACATCCGCCAATATTTTCAAAATAAAAGTCTTGAAGAAAAAAGCGCATTTGTAGAATAAGTAGAATAAGTAAGGACAACATCTTGTAAAACTCTAAACCGTGTCTGGTTTTAATTTTTAGAATTATATATTTTTAATTGTGACAATCATTTTTTTTTTCTTAAATTAAGGTTATAGAATATCATGTACTTGGAAAAGTCTCTATATTATGAAGACATGATATTTAGTGTATAATGAGTAGGATTGCACCGATCCACTTTTTTCACCTCCAATACGATATAGATATCTACAGTTTAGTATCGGCCAATACCGATCCAATTCCAATACAGGCTCAATTACCTTTTGTTGTAACTTGAAGTTTTACCACTGCATCCACTCAGCATGTTTACTTGTGGATGTCACCCATGGTGCATAGCATAGAGTTAGACTGAATAGATCAGCCCATTTGCATCGGGCCCAATGTCACGATACCCAACATAGAATTTTCTTCAGTATCAGGACCAATACCAATATTAAGTATCGGATCGGATCGGTGCATCCCTAATAATGAGATGTTTTAAATTTTGTATGACAAAATCAACAGATTTAACCATGATTAATCAAGGCCATTTACATCAGTTTGAGAATTTTTTTTCCTTATTTATTTAGTTACTGGCCTGTGGAGTAGGGGTAAGATTTTACGAGCTAGTACATCTAGTTTCTTTATGTGTTTCATTTTTCATTTTCATACTTTATTTCATTTAGTTAATATTTAAAACATTCAATACAAACATGGAGAAATCTCAAACATGAATGAAAAGGAGCAGAAAGAAGAAAACTCTTACAGAGTCTGCCCCTCTTTCATAATATATTAATCAACACACATAATGAAAATAAACAAGAGCTGCAGGCCAACATGCTTTTTCACAGTTCAATATTTCTTATCTCTTATTTCGAAAACAACCGACAAAACGAACAGAAAAGACCATGTTAATTCACATTTTTTCACAAAACAAACATACCAAGACTTAGATTAACATATTTCCCTGTATTTACTCAACATACTGGCTTTGACACTTTTTTTGTTTAAGATAAAATTTGATTTAGCTTCTTTAGTTTATCTGTTCACGTTGTTCCACAAACTTATTCCTCTCACTATAACACAGCGCTCTTTCAGTTTAGTTCTGAATCTTGGCTTTTTAAATATTTCAAATCCTTTTAAATTATAAAAAACTTCATAATCCATAATCTGCAACATACTGAAATCTACTAACTCACTGAATTCCAACAACTGCAATTTAACAATTAATGGGTTTGAAGGATCTCTGTATTGACTTATTGCTCTTTTTTGTAAAGTTAAAAATGGCTGGATGGAAGTTTTGCATGTACTTCCCCACATTTCAACACAGTAGGTCAGATATGGAATGTTTCTTTTTGTGTTGTTATTGGAATAGGCAAATGTTTAGCAATTCCTCTGGTTATTATATCTTTACATTTTTGACTGTCTCTTTGGTTGCTTTTCTCCTTCAAGTTAGGAATTACTGAATTTCCATGTATGTCAACTCTGTCTGTTTGCAGCTGGTTAATATAAACCTTTTTGTTTTTTTATTTTCTTCTTATCAAAAACTTGTGAGCAAGCAGAGAGAGTAAAAGTCAGTCCTAGGCGGTTTCCACCCGTGCTTATTGATGCTGCTTTGTCAAAGGGGGAGGTCGCACCGGGAAGAGCCTTTTGAAGAGGAAGTGACGAAAAGTCTTTGCAACTGTTGTTTATCATTATCAACTTTGTCATCTCTACCATTACACTTATGCGTGTTATTGACGTTACTTTGCCAAGTTGTTAAAAAGTTGAAGTAAGTCCCGTTCCTCGACTGCTCCAACACGGTTTATATTCACAGTTTTTCTACATCAAATGTCTCATGTTGTATACGGGTCTGCACACCGACTCACAGCAAGAATGCGGAACATTTTCCTCGCTTCACAGGAAACCGCATCTTAAAATCAAACGTTTGAAAACACGCAAAACATTAACGAATCTTAAAGTCAGTGCAACACATATTAAAGAGGATAAAAACACGCGGGGAGGTAAACTTCACGGCTAGTGTACTGAGCCCTAAAAAAACGGAGGCCTGCAGCTGCTGGGAGAAGTTCATGTCGGTATCATTTTGATCAAACCCCTCCCTTCCGTTCACCGGGAGCCGTCGATCATTTGGCATTTAGTTAACTTGAGATTACTTAACTCACCTTGGGAGTGAAACCAGGTATGAGCCTTTCCGTGAGCTTGCACAAGACGACCCCATCCTTCAACGAGGTTTTCAGGAACTCCTCCGGGTCCGCTATGTTCTTTTTAGGTGAACTAAGCACTCCTAATGATATTAACCACGTTACAGTCTGCTCCTCTGGATTCATAGCTCCACAATAATGATCATAGCCTAAGCACGCATTGCGAAAAAAAAAAGTAGTGGCCTCCTGTTCCGTATCGATATGCAACTCACATCCGCACTTCTGCCAGAAGTTAAAAAAGAGGCGGTGGGGGAAGGACGACGCTGTCTCTATACGCAAAACTGATGATCACCCCTGCTGGCAAATAGGCACCTCAACAATAGACAGGAGTGTTTTCCATCCGCACAGTTGCACAAGGCTGGCAGAGGGGATATTTCACTCATGTTTCCGGTTTAACTGCACTTTGGATCAGGTGTCACCACTAGAGAACTGATACCCCGGGTGCATCAGCATATTTCAATAGTGCCAGAATAACTGAAGACGTGATATGTGGAGGTTCAAGTAGGGATACTTATGACCAGCTAATGGTAGCCATTTAGTTCATTTTAGATGACTATTTTTATTGATGGGTTTAGGTATAGTTCTCCAACAATGACAAAGCTACACTACTGTGCCAGCTTAGTTAGAAATCAAGATTTCTTAACCCTTCTAAAAAGTTAATGAAGGTCAATTAACATGCAGATATTCACTTAGTAGGTAGGGCACACAGGTACATTGGCCTGATACGACAGACCACCAAGCACATGGTTTATTTAGAAAATAGTTTAGGAAATTTTGCTGATCTGGGCAAAAAATGGTGTGACCACAAAACAGTGTTTTCAAAGTTTTTATTGAACATCAACATAGACTCCAAACTTGAGCGCGTCTCCTGCCTTCGTTCCCTCTGCTTCTGTCACACATTTCCACCGACAGACGAGATGCCTTTGTTGCTTTCAACAGACCGCTGCGCTGAAACCTGAAAGACAGCAATAACAATGTTCTAGTACAAACTGTATCTACAGCATCAAGTAAATGAAAAGTCTGTTGTTTTCATTTTAACAAAAAACTAACCATGCTTTAAGTACGGTTTTCAATATGTACAGATAGGGCTGGGCGATATGGAAAAAAAGTTTATCACAATATATTATTTCCGTATGCTTCAGGTGGTGAAAAAGATTTGAGGTATTCCCCGACTTTGCAAGAACATGTACTTGGCATGAATTGCAGTGCACATTACTCTGCTACATGTCCACCCTCAAAAATCCAAAATACCTCCACACCACCGACATTTTCATGCCAATGCTGTCGACGATGTTGTCATCTTTTGAGCCTTCTGCAGGGGGTAGCACTCATTTTCTTTTTTTCTCACCAACAGTGCTGTCGGCTTCACGTGTTAAAGTGCTATTGTTGTGTTTAGCTGCTGCCTGCTACCCTCATCTCCCACCCAGAGCAACTCCACTTTTCATTGGCTATTCATAGTCAACCAAAACATGGCAGAATGCAGACTATCGAAAAGTATATTGACCATGTTTTATATTGATATTGAGGGAAATTAATTCTCAATATATATCGTTATCGTTTTATTGCCCAGCCCTATGTACAGAATAAATAGATAAATCAACATACCCGCACTGGTTTGCTGCAGTTTTGTTGGTCCACCAACTTCAGGACACAATTCAAGAATGCTCCAAGGGCAGTTGCCTTGATGGGTTGGTTATCCTGCAATAATAGAATTACATTAACGTGTTGCCTTTCTTTTATAAGTGTATTCATTCAACATCCAAAATATATTAGTGGTCCTTGGTTCGGCAGCAAATTTGCTTCATTGCGTTTCCAGTTTGGCGCAACGATGATGTTGTTCCTCCAGTGTTCTCCATTGTTTGAATTGGCATGCTCGTAGGAAATCTTTTGATGCTTAAAAGGGTGTGTAACTTACAACATCTGAGTATTTACTAAAGACAATGCTAAGATAACAGTCAAAAACCTTTGTGTGCTGTAGTTTGCTTGTTCCAATCACTTTGGGCGACAACTTAGGCAAAGGGTCATTTTCAAGGCTGATAAGAAACATGGCTGTTTAAGTTTCATTGTTGAAAACTGACGAACTTCTTGGGGACTGGTGCACTTTAACAAAAATTAAGATTACACGAGCTGCAAATCACATTGACATCGAGTCGACATCCAGTTTTTGTCCTCTGAGGCAATGTTGTCTTGAATGTTGCCTTGTTGAGGGGATACTGCTATACAGGAAATGAGAAACCCATTTACAGATGAGAAACAAAGAGGTTTGCTTTGCTTACCAGCTGTTGACTACCAGTCGAGCTGCATTTGGTTGTTGCCTTTGGTTTTGTCGTTGTATGCCATCATTTGACTCTAGGGTGATGGATCCATTTTCCAAGAAACGACATTGGAACATTTTGACGGTAACATTTGCCTGACCCTTGAAAACAGCAGCTTCCAGATGATGCACATTTGTTATGCACGAAGTGAGGTCACTCGTCTATTTATAAAGCACGAGCAGAGACTCACATGAGCTTTACAGGAAGCTTTAGAAATATCACGCTGTTACTCAACATTCATTGTAGGATCTCAGGTTTGTTTTGATAATTGATGAGCAGTGGTTAAGGTTCAACTAAAAGCTTTATTAGAGTAGGAAAGCCAGACTCAGAGGGCATTGCAGATTCCAACAGCACTGAATGTACAAAACTAACACTCACTTATGAACTGCACTGTTATATGAGCAAGAAAAATACTAAAAAAACAATAAACAAAAACCTTTACACATAAAAACTTGGGAAGATACAGATTCAAAGCTAAGCTTTATAATCCACAGATTCAGACATGGCTAGTTTGTCTTGTTAGATCTTCTTCCAAAAACACTATGTTAACTTTGCACGGAGTGAACTTCTGCTTTTAGGTAGTTCTCAAGTCCAGTTCAGTATCTGCTGCGAGACATTCCTCTATCGGGTCGATTGCCACCGCGGCCACCACGTGGCCCTCCACGACTTGAGCTGCTGTATGAATCACGAGGAGGGTAGCCTCTCTCGACAGGGGGAGCTGGGCCCCTCTCCTGCCTGCCCATTCGCTCACCACGACTAGGCGGGTATGGGTCACTCCGACTGCTGGGGTAACTTTCACGACTGCCATAGCCATCCCGGGAACTGCTGCCATAGTCATCATAACGACTGCTTCCACTGCTCCCACCATAGGATGGTGGGGGGCCCCTTGAGGGCGGGGCGCCACGAGAGTTACCTGCAGGGTCAATGGGTCAGGTAATTGGCAAAGTTCCATTTATACATTTTCTTGCTCTGTCAGGTGCTCATTTTGGCCAATAGAATTGATTCTAAGACAGAAAAGTTTGACTGAGGTAAAGTTGAAATATCCAATCAGGTTAATGATCTTTTTCTTAAAATTTGGTTTAAGTGAGCAGTAACATATCCAAGCAAAGGGAACTAATGGGCAGTGTTACCCATTTTAGCATGCCATTGATTTGAGAAGCCATTTTTCCTTTTTGAGCTCCAAGAGTTAGGGAGGTAAAGACGAGGTTTTCAGGGTTGTCTTGAAGTTGCTTAATGAACGCTACTCCTTGAGGGAGTTTGATTGGCAACTCACAGCGAGTGGTCAACAGATGTTTCCACAGACTTTTGGGGCTCCTTATGGTTGCAAACTCTCTGGGCCACACATGAACAGTAGTCTACTTTGCAACAAGTTATTCTTTGACTGAAAGTTGTGATACTTAATACTGTGGCGGGTGAACTGAGCTTCTGAATATTACTTTAGATGCCAATGATTATATTTCCCAAATACAGAAAAATATGCAACTTGTTGTGCAGGACAGGGATGCGGCCATTGGAGAGGAAAACATTAGAGTGCCTGAGTTGCTGTTTCCTTTGGGGAGGGACCGTTGAATGAATGGTAGATTGCGGAGATCATTGCTGAGATTGTTGGATTTTGTGCAGCTCTTCTTTGTGCTACAGTGGTTATCTGCTGTCATTGCGCATGTGGAGTCATCTCTTACCGTAACCATCATAGGAATCTCTGTAGGAGCCACCACTGGGACGGTCCATGTATCTTGGTTCTCGGCCACCTCCATAACCATCTCGGTCGCTACACAACAAAAAACAAACAAACCATGTTAGCTGACGACTAGACAGGGCCTTAAATATTTTCATCGTTTTTAGTAACTCAAACTGGTACCTGTATCCTCTTGACATGGACCCATAGTCATCCCGGGAGCTGGAATTGGAGTAATCTCTGTATGAATAATCTCGGGATGGAGGTCCATAGTCTCTTGAATCTCTGGAATTGTATTCTCGATTGGAGTAGCTGTAAAATATTGCACAGTTATAATCAGCCTTGTCATCAATATTATGTGGTACATGACAAACTTGATATCAAAAAGTACTTTGTAGAATTTCTGATGACTCCTTCATCTATGTAAGATACATCCTTTCTTAACTTCAAACATCTCAGATTATTTCTACCAAACTCAACAAAACTCAAAATTTAGCAAACAGCTTCACAAAACCCTGAGTTTTGACTCCATGTGTTTACCTACCTATCTTTTGAGTTGTAATGGTCGTCTCTTGGTGATGGATAATCATCCCTCCTGGACATCATTGAGTCTCTGCGAGGTGGGGGTGGACCATAGGGATCCCTGTCTCTTGACATGGGGGCTGGAATACACAATTTTGACAAACTGGCTCATCAATCAAGTTACAACCCTGAGAATGTCGCCTGTCTGGGTACTTAAAAAAGAGCTGGAGGGTAAGTACAGAATGAATGAGATTAAATCCACTGGTTTGGACAAGTTGGTATTTTGCATGTAGACAGTTAGTAATTGCCCCTCTGTTTTTTTCTCACAGAAACCCAGTTAACGCCCATAAAATTCCTAGTACTTACGTCTGTTCATGGGGCCTGAAGAGGCTGGTCTCTTTGGTGGTGGACCACCATTTCGAACTGGGGGTCCTCTCTTCATTGGAGGTCCTCTGGAGGACATTCCCTTAAAGAAGGGCTCCACATCCCCTGAATTATCATAGTAGTCTTCACAGACAAGAAACACGAATGTTAATAAAATAAGATAAATAAAAGTCACTTCTAGACATAAATTTAAAAAAGTTAATTATTACAAACTCAATTGATCAAATCAGTCAGTTATAGATTACCTCTTGATGGTGGACCTCTCATGCCACCAGGACCACCACCTCTGGAACCACGGGGGCCTCTGGGTGGACCGCGACTACGTGAATGCATGGGGGGAGGTCCTCGCCTGCCTGAACTCTCAAACTGAGGTTTTGTGGCCTGCTCCACTTTGATCGGCTTACCATCAAGAGACTGTGGCGGAAGAGTTGCAATTAAAAGTCAGAAAAATCAACAAGATCAAAGTTTAAAAAGGTGGCTGAATAACAAAGACCACCTACCTTTCCATTCATCTCACGGGCTGCATCTTTTGCATCAGCCGGAGTTTCAAATGTAACAAATGCAAAGCCTCTGGATTTGTTTGTTTCACGGTCCTTCATCAGAAGAACTGCGAGAAGGAAACAGCTTTAGAGGAAGGTGCTATGTGACTGACCTTTCAGGCTAATTACACTGATGACAGATAAAAGTTAATTAGCTAGTCTTTTCACATTCCCCATGCTGCTGAAAGCTTTTCTTCCAGTATTACCCCAGTGCTCCACATGGCCCAAAGGCTTCTTAAAGAGGCATTTTAAGTAAGAGTAGGACTGGAGTAAAGGTGAAATGCGCCACTAAACTTGTAATATAAAACAGTCATCAAACTTGCCAGTTACAAACAATAACACTTAATAACTCTTGGAGTAAAATTGTGAGCCCTAACCCCTGAGATGGAACTTTATTTGATGCCTTCACAGAGACACAGGCGTGGAGCAAATTACAAGTGCTAAATTGTGCAGCTTTACCAAAGTCTGCTGACAATATACATTTTCTAATTCAATGGTTTGATCCATGCTAAGTACAAATAAAAAAGGGGCCAATGGTGGCTCCGTCCACACCTTCAACAATCCTGCCGTATTTGCTGAAGTACTGCTCCAGGGCCTTTTCGGTGGTCTCGGTGTTCAGTCCACCGATGAAGAGCTTTCCAGGTCGGTCTGCCTCTGCCATGCTGCCAAGTACAAAGTTTGCATCAAAATGAGAGCCGTTCGTGCGGTTTACATGTTCACATTTGTAAGCATCCACGCTGGTATGTGCTTCTCAGTATTAAAACATGTATGTAGTGGTTACCTGGTTGCTGGAAGTCCTGAACCGCGGAACGCGCAAAATGGCGATAAACGTGCCAACAGCTGCAGCTGATTACTGGGCTAACGATAGCCAGCGCGGGGAGAGGCGACCAGCGACACACGAGAGCCGACACCCACCTACTGATTATCTCAAAGGACTCTTCCTATGGAGTTTGTTTCATGCACGCACACAGCTATCTGAGAGCACACAGCTACTCTGCGGCGGCTTTGTGTATGCTGTGGTGAAGAACAGTGCTGTTACACTCCCTCCTGACTGACTATTTCTTTGGTTTCCGGCGGAGCAGAGAGAGGCGGGATCACGGGGTGGCTGCTGCTGCTGCTGCTTTCTCTTCTTCTTCTTTTTCTCCTCCTCCTTGTTTCGTGGCAGATGACAACCGGCGTTTAGGCGCACTACCGCCACCCTTGTTGGCATGTAGACAGTGGTAACTACACTGTGTTTAGAACAAAACAACAACAACAATAATAATAATAATAATAATAATAATAGGGGAGAGTGGGGTGAGTTGAGCCACCCCCTGTTGCTTGGAAATGATAAAAGAAATTGAACTTTTTTTTTTTTTTTTTTTTAATTTGGCTTGAGCAGATACAGGCTTTGAGAGAAAATCAAAGAGCCTATCAATGATCTGCAGCTACTCAGACTGGGGTAAACCAAATATTTAGGAGATGGGCATCAATTCAAAAAGTTAGAAGCACATGGGTGAAGGAGTTAGGCATTTATTTAAAAAAAAAAAAAAACATTTTTCACTCTTGAAAGTGAATTTAGTCTGTCACAAGTTTTATTAGAATTGTTTTCAGACCAAAAAAGATAATTTTAAATTTGTTCTATACATCAGTTGTGGTATCTATGAGCTACAAAATCAGGTAAAAAAAAAAACAAAACAAGCATAAAAGTCCAACATTTTAGCTTAGAGGACTAATAAAGTCATAAAAGTAGTTCTGGGGTAAGTTGAGCCATTTGGATAGGGTAAGTTGGGTCAGTGGCTCAACTGACTAAGTAAGGGAGTCTGATGAGAGGATCAGAGTTTCTGTGCAGATTGTTGAAATGTGTTACTTTGTCTTACAGCCATCAATGTTCTGAATCACTTCAAGACATTCTCATGTTAAAATGACTTTTTTACAAAACAGGTAGTAGGGATATAGCAACTTACCCCACTCCTACGGTCAACTTACCCCATAGGAGACCACTTTTGGCATGCTGCATTATCAAGACAGTTATGTTTACACTCATTCTGGTGGTTTGCAGGGATGCACAACATCTTGAAATATATGCAGATACACTAGTTAGAGACAAAACTATGATTGCCTTGATGTAGTGATCCAAAATATGAAAAAAGTCTCATCTTACCCCACTCTCCCCTTGACAATAATTTTCCTTTTACACACATACTTTTCCTATACCGCTCCTTAGTGTTTCTTGTTGCTCTGAATACTTCTCACACAGAAGAAAGGCACGCTGATTCCTGTCCTTTGCACAAGTCATACATGTATGTGTTGCTTCCCCGTCTGTTTCCAAAGTTTACTTTAAATGCAGCTTATATTCATGTGGAGAGTGATCGCCATCTTGTGGAAAAAGTAGGTAACCATCTGCAACAACTTCATTCCTGTTGGTCTTGTCCATAGGCTGTTAAGTCTCTCCTAGTACCAAACAAGGGACTTTAACACTTGTAAGGTAGACGGGATATTCGTGGGAGCAGGGATGGAAAGAAAATTATTTAATTTCCCCACATTACTAAGCTTATCGGTGAGAATACAACTGCATTACTGTTCTTTTTACCTGTCAGTAATCATTATTTCTTATTCCTAGCCTTGATGTTATTATATCTCTTTACTACATCTCCTAAAACCCACTTCTTTAAGCACTGAATCAGGTTATCCAAGTTATCATTCTATAACTATTTGGAGATCAAATTGGGGTTTAATGGGGACTTGTTTTTTATGCCATAACAGCTTTGATTATTGTAAATAAGAAGATTTTAAAATAACTTGTTACAAGTAGTAATATCAGGCAAAGATTTTCCTCGTTACCAGTGATCAGGACATTACATTACACCCACTGAGGTTTACATGATCATCAACTAACAGTCTGTTCATATGGTCTATAAAAGTAGACGATCCTTGCAACACACAATAAGCTGCTCTGAGGTTTAAATCCAGGTTGGGTCCCTCCGGTGACAAGCAAGAATGTTCTGGATCTCTCCTGCAGGAGTGTGGACTCTAATTTTAAATTCCTTGAAAGAACTGACCAGAAAATATATCCTCAACAAGGTACTACAGGGCAGGATGTTGGTGTTGTGGTTTGCAACCCAAGCAAGACTTTTCAGGACCATGGTCTTTAACTGCTAAGAGAGACTTGACTGAACATAAATCCTCTTCAGTAAACATTGCAAAGGGTACAGCAGAATAGTTCAGTAGTTAACACTCATCATCATCATCATCATCATCACCATCATCATCATTATTGCATCTGGAATAGACTCTTGCTGCATGTATGATATGCTGTTATGTTGGGTATGGGTGGAAAAACTTGGTGTTAGTAGAAATACTAAGACCTACTTCAGACTTCAATGAGAAAATATCAGAGTCTATCTCTCACGTGCTTGTTCAATCGTCAGGAAAAGTGCAGGTTTTCAAAGCGTCCAAGTCTAACAGAGGTGCTATTAAAGTAATTGTGTAGTGTTTGCTTGGTGGCTGCAGTTGTGGGGCCAGATGTGACATCCTTTGACGGGGCCCAAAGTTCCTGGTGACACACCTATTAATACATAATTGTCAAATATTTGTTGATCAATCTTTATTCTATGCTGATATGAAAAAAAAAAACTTCCCGTGGGTGCAAGTGAAGCAAGCTAAACCTGAAGCTTTAACGCATGTAAATTAAGTAGAAGTTGGTGTTAATATATTATAAAATTTTATACTATACCATGAATATTTTTTACCATACCATACAATGACATTTTTATCATACTTTACAATGACATTTTTTATCATACTATTCTATGACATTTTCATCATACTATACGATGACAGTTTTTGTCATACTATACTATGACAATTTTTATCATACTATATTATTACATTCTTATCATACAATACTTTGATAATTGTTATATCCTTTAGTATGACAGTTTTTTATCATACTATACTATGACATTTTAAAATACTATACAATGATGTTTTTATCATATTATTCCATGATTTTTTTTATTATATTATACTATGACATTTTTATCATATTATTCTCTAATGTCTTTTATCATATTGTACTATGACTTTTATTTTATTTTTTTATCATACTAGACTATGACATTGTTATCATACTATACTATGATGTTTTTATCATACGATACTATGATGCTTTTATCATACTTTACCATGACATTTTTATCATACTATTTTATGATGTTTTTTCTCATATTATCCCATGCATTTACTTTAGAAGCTCTAATGATATGAGCACGGTAGATTTTGATATGCAGTGTAATGGATGATGTGTTTCACTAATCTTCCACGGGCAGCGTTTGCAGGTTTGTAGTACACCAATACACTGTCCGTCTACTTCACTTGCATTTATAATAAAAAAAAAATAGTATTTTCTGGTAGTTGTTTGCCCATAGTGTGCCCTTGTTTCCTCCACACTCTTGAATGTCAGAATTCTTTCCCGGCCCAGTTGCCCCGGTTGAGTGGGGAGTGTAACCCAGTTTCGGTCTTCAGGACATAAAACAAGGATGTTAATGGAGGGACGATAAGCAACGTCAGTGTTACTTCCACGGTGTCAAAAAACGTGAAGTCTAAAAGTAATGATATGTGGTTCTATGTGACTCCTTTCAACATAAAAGCATTTGCAGTTTAAGAGTTGCATCGTAACAAATTTATGGAGTTAATAACCGTGTAAATTTGATAGATAATAAAATACTACTTTAAAAGATATATTATAAAAGACAATTTAATCTGTGCATCTATTGCTCAGTAGGTTGCTAAACGCTCTTTTTTATTTTGAAAGTAAATCCCAATACTTCCGGCAGTTACACCAAGACTTCCGCGTAGCTTGACGTAGCTTGATTTCGCTGACGCTGGTTGCGTTAGACAGGTTAGCCCAGCCGTTGCTCCCGGTTGAAAGACCCAGCTAGCAGTTAGCAAACATACCTTTCCATCAGAAGGAGGAACACTCTCCTTCTTCGGTACTTCTGTTCAAAATCTTGGAGAAACAGAGCCCTGGGTAAAATGAAGAAGCGGATACACTTTGGGATTCTTCTAGTTTACTCTGTAGTCTCGTTTTTCTCGTCCAGCTCGGCGTTTTATCTTCCGGGTTTAGCCCCAGTGAGTTTTTGTGAAGACGGCAAAGGTGGTGAAGATTGTCAGGTATGGGATTTCATGAGATTTACAATATGTGTGGGATATAGTGTATTTTGTTTTCGAAGTGGAATTTGCATATTCAATTCAGTGTACTAGCTTTTCAAATATTTTAAGCTGGACAGTCTTCTCCTTAGGCCCCGACTACTACATGGGACCAGAGTTCTGCTATAACTGAGGAATGTTTACTTTAATACTCTCCGTCATTCCTAAACACAGATATTAACACCTAAATGACCCAGATCTTACTAAAAGTTGATTTATTGCTTTGATACAATACAAATATATCCCCATTTGTTCAACTAGCCACAGTTCAGTTCATGTTTCTTGGCAAAGACAAGGTAAGTCTTGACTGTCGAGTTTCAATGGAGTTTGGTGACAGCTATGTATTTCCTTACTTGTTAACATGAGATATATAGACGGCCCGCACCCTCTTCAGTGCTTGTCCAGCAAATTAAAAGGCTAACAAGGTTTTTCTTTCAACATCTTTACAGACAGTGATCGAGCTGTTTGTTAATCGCTTGGACTCGGTGGAGTCAGTCCTGCCTTATGAGTATGATGTGTAAGTAACTTGTAATTTCCCTTTGATACAACCTATGTCATATGTTGAGATTTAGCATGTTTTGTTGCACACTAGTATTTTCACTGAGTGTGAATGTTTGTTAATTTCTTAAAGGTTTGACTTCTGCAAAGACATTAAGGAGAAAAGACCCTCTGAAAACCTGGGGCAGGTGCTGTTTGGTGAGAGAATCGAGTCTTCCCCATACAAGGTCGGTGTTTATGAGGAAAAACTGGGCACACATTGCGTTGAAGATGTTAAACCACTTTTAGATTCTATTTCCGTGTTTAATGTACTGAGACTATGCATTGTGACTCCTCTACCCTTAGTTCAACTTCAAACAAGATGTGAAATGTAAGGCCGTGTGCACGAAGACCTACAGGAAAGGCAACCAGGATGACTCCGCCAAACTGGATTTTCTTAAAATGGGAATGCAGCTCAACTATCAGCATCACTGGTTAGACAACTGATGAACTAGTCTGACTGCATTACCTGCTAACAACCACACATGCACATTAAAGTCATTAAGAGGCTTGTGATAATTAAAATAACATAAATACTTTTGTCCCAGGATTATTGACAACATGCCAGTGACATGGTGCTATGATGTGGAAGATGGACAGAAATACTGCAACCCAGGCTTTCCCATTGGCTGCCTCGTTACGGCAGATGGCAGAGCTAAAGATGCTTGTGTAATTAATGTAAGTTGTTTATTCTGTGAATTAATATGTTCTTCTCTTGGCATTAAGTCTTACATAATCACCTGTTATCCAGGATTCATACCAACAGTGTTTCAGAAGGATAAACTTATGATAGATATTTATTTATCTGTATTAATAGAGCACATAATGTCCTTGAACACAAAAGTAGTCTTCAAGTTTACAAACAACTGTCATTATAAGTCCCAACCAGTACCCTTGAATACTGTCTTTGGGTACCCTTATTATGTCTTTGATGTAATTGTTGTAAATGCAAAGTCTGAAGTCGTTAATTAGATTGTAAAAGATACTCACAAATGTTTATCTACAGATTGTTCTCAGTGGAGTTTCAGCACTAAACAATAACTTTTTTTTTTTTCAGTCTGAGTTCAACAAGAAGAACACATTTTACGTCTTCAACCATGTAGACATCAAGATCATTTACCACAGTGGAGAGTCAGAGGGCTGGAGAGGGGCTCGACTAGTCGCTGCCACTCTGGAGCCAAAGAGGTAATTGTGGCTGATGGTAGAGAGATGCTTCTTAATTTGGATTTTAGTCTACTACTGAGTATTCTGGGATTGAGTTTAATTTTACAACCCAAAACCAACAACAGATCTGTTAATAATGTGACTCAAATGTGCTCAACAGCATCAAACATGCGGATGAGACAAACCCAAGTTGTGAAGGAGGCAGCCCAATGGAGGTTCCTGGGGAGTTTGACAATGATGTTTCAGTCATTTACACCTACTCTGTCAGTTTTGAGGTAGATCTCTAAACATTTTGACCAATTTTATGTATGTTGCAGTGAGTAATTTTTTATGTACACAACAGTTTTTACAGTCATTTACTCCCTTGAACAGGAAAACAATTCCATCAAGTGGGCTTCTAGGTGGGACTACATCTTGGTGTCCATGCCTCACACAAACATCCAGTGGTTCAGGTAGGAAGATGATCTCCAAAAGGTTAACCACATTAACACTGGGTGTTGTGGTTTGTTAACTTTTGTCTTATTTCTGTTCAGCATCATGAACTCTTTGGTCATCGTCCTCTTCCTGTCGGGCATGGTCGCCATGATCATGCTGAGAACCCTGCACAAGGACATTGCCAGATACAACCAAGTGGACCAGGTAAGAAAAAATCTCTTCCAGTTGGTGTTTATCCACATGTGAACGTATGTCACATGAACATTCCGGAAGGAGTAAAGAGTCCTGTAAATAAAACAGAATAAGCAAACTTAAATGATACAGAAGGTGCTTAAACAGTTCTTGCAAGTCAGGTTTATTTCCTGCTGGGCACCATGTTGTTCCCATTCAAATGAGCTATTCAAAGCAGCTGGTACCATTTCAGTGAAAACCACCTTCAGAGAGGAGCAGTAGATTTTCATTGAGGAAGAAAGGTGGTTGTAAGTGTTTGGTACATTTTTTTGTGAATAATAATCCTGACCATACCTAAGTATTTAAATGTTACTCAAACATATTGTAATACTTAAAGTATTTTCAGATCATTTTTGAATGGCTGGTGCTCTTGTATGATGCCTCCAGCATATTGGGTTCACAGCACCCAGAACTGTAAATATTTTGTCACATTTTACAGGCAGACTTGATAAAGATTCCCCCGACCAAGGAAAAAACCTCAGTACCCTATGTAAGCGTGTCCAAAGCTTTTCAAGGGAAACGTGTTGCAGTTTGTGAATCAGGTGTTGGGTGTGTGATTGCCTCAAGCAGGCACATTAGAACAGAAAGTAAAATGTGGTGTGGTTATTTCCGTTAACGTTTTATGGTCTAATGTGCAAGTTCAAAGAATCTCCTCTCACAAAATGGCCGGAAGTTCTCACACCAAATTTTACAGCTTTTGGCAGACAAAGTTTTCTTCACTTGTTTCGCTTCACTGCCACACATAAACAAGGGAGGTATTATTCACTGCTTGGTGACTGGTTAACCTTTCACTTTTATCACTTGTGTAAGTCCAGTACTTCCTTGATTGTGACTGTTGACGTGTTGCTGTCTGTCTTGTTCCCAGGAGGATGCACAAGAGGAGTCAGGGTGGAAACAGGTGCATGGAGATGTTTTCCGGCCTCCCAGGAAAGGCATGTTGCTGTCTGTGTTCCTTGGACAGGGCACCCAGATCTTCATCATGACCTTCATCACTCTTTGTAAGGGCTATTCACATATAAGTTTCACTAAAGTTATAACATTTGTTGACAGTGTGAAGTCGTGATACAGGAATAGGATTGAAGACTCAAGTTACATTTTAGTAATAGGTGTGCAGATCTAATGCTTGTTCCTCCACTGCAGTCTTGGCCTGTCTCGGTTTCCTGTCGCCCGCCAACAGAGGGGCTCTCATGACATGCGCTGTGGTTCTCTGGGTGCTGCTGGGAACACCTGCTGGTTATGTATCTGCTCGTCTCTACAAAAGTAAGAGTCCAGGAAGAAAAAAGAGTTGCAGTCAACACTGACTGTGTCACCATCTGTTCACTTTTTCTTACCATGATTGCCTCATCGTTCTCTGTTTTGCTTCTCAGCTTTCGGAGGTGAAAAATGGAAGACAAACGTGTTGCTGACAGCACTCTTGTGCCCAGGGTCAGTTTAATTCCTGCATTTCATTTGGTTTTGTTTATTTTTACGATTTTTGTGCCACATTTCTGTTTGCTGAAGTTTCCCCGGTATACATTCTCATATTTTTCCTTTTGTTCCCTTCTCATTGACCTTTGTCTACCTCTTTTCTATAGAATTGTGTTTGCAGACTTCTTCCTGATGAACCTGATCCTCTGGGTGGAGGGCTCCTCAGCAGCAATCCCCTTTGGCACTCTGGTGGCCATTCTGGCTATGTGGTTTGGAATTTCTGTGCCCCTCACCTTTGTTGGGGCCTACTTTGGATTCAAGAAGGCGGTGAGTCAGATTTTCAGGGTTTTTTTTCCTCTTAAATGTTTCGACACTCAAATATTTGATTGCTGTGTTTGTGTTCAGGAGTTTAAAATCATCCCCTCCCTTTCTTATCCTACTCAGGCTATTGAGCAACCAGTTCGAACGAACCAGATTCCCCGTCAAATTCCTGAGCAGTCGTTCTTCACAAAGCCCATCCCTGGTATTGTCATGGGTGGCATCCTACCATTCGGTTGCATCTTCATTCAGCTTTTCTTCATCCTCAACAGCATCTGGTAAGACGCGGACATTGCTGCCTTTCCAGTTTTGCTTGCCTGTCTGGTTTGGAACAACATGTGCCCTTGGTGTCAAAAAGGAATATTAGTTCATCACCGTGTTTACTTTGACTCTGCTTCAGGTCTCATCAGATGTACTATATGTTTGGATTCCTGTTCCTGGTTTTCATTATTCTACTCATCACCTGCTCTGAGGCCACAATTCTGCTCTGCTACTTCCACCTCTGTGCTGAGGTACCTGAACGCATGAATGTTATGTTTGTGGAAGAGTTGACATCCAAAGTACTGTTCTCTACATTTTGCTCCAAAGTATAAACACACATTGGTGTCTAACTTGTCCTCTTGTACAATGTGTTTCCAGGACTACCATTGGTGGTGGCGCTCCTTCCTGACCAGTGGCTTCACGGCAGTTTATCTCTTTATCTATGCCGTGCATTACTTTTTCTCCAAGCTGCAAATAGTTGGAGCGGCCAGCACTATTCTGTACTTTGGATACACTATGATTATGGTCCTCATCTTCTTCCTCTTTACAGGTGAGCACTTGAGTTACACTTGAGCCTTTTTAAGCAGCCAAAGTGATTTTTCTGCTCGTCTTTACACAGAGATTGTAACTGATATCGCCCACTACTCACTAGGTATAGAGCAGGGGTGTCAAACTCAACCACAACAAAGGCCATAATCTGGATTTAAGTCTAACCTGAGGGCCCAACAGGGTCAACATTTCACCAAAACTGTCAACCTCCTTTTCAAATATAACAAAATCTGCAATGATTATAAACCACTTGGAAATTCAAGAAGTAAAAAAGATCAATTTAAAGGGCAGTGTGAGATTTAAAAAAATATCCAACAGGTTTGTTCGAAAGATCAGAACACGATATTAAAAATAGAGAAAATACATGAGAAAATAATTAAAGTTTTAAGTTTGAAAGGTCAAAATATGAGATCATTTTCAAGAGTTTAAAGTCAAAATATGACTTTAAATTTAAAATTGGAATCTAAAGGATTAAAATGAGTTAAAAAAAAAAAAAAAACAAAGCACAAAATAAAAAGTCAAATCATGTGTGACTTTTAATCTTGAGATGCAAAATTGGAAATATGGATAAAACACATTTTTTTCCCCCACATTCTTGACTATTTATCAAGTCTTCCTTACTCTTTACTTTCCCTGATTTTCATGGTTTATTAGGATATTTTAAAAAATGGTGCTAAAGTTTACATTGTTATCCTGGAGGAAATCTGCAAACTTCATACTGGTGGGCCAGTAATAATACAAATATGATATGATCTCGAGGGCCAGATATAATTGTTCCACAGGCCAGATTTTGCCCCCGGACCTTGAGTTTGACACCTGTGGTATTGAGGATATGCCATTTAGTAGTGCTGTCCGAACGACGAGTGACAGTTATTTAAACCTTAAATGGCGCCCTCATTTTTTTTTCTCCGCAGTACATTGTCAGTCTAGTTCTGATTATTCTTCCTAACAAAGGATTTTCAAGGTAGCCATTTTAGTTTGACCTCATGATGGTGATAGAAGACCGTAGACTGAGAGAAATTTTAAGTATTATTGTATCTAAAAAATCCTTTATTAATTTATATTTGAGGAGAAAAGTTTTGTATGATACTTGTTGTCGCTGAAATCCATGTTGGACTTCTGTATGAAATGTGAGACAGCAATAGTTTCATTATTCTTCACCCAGTAAGACCACAAGCATTGTCGGATGTGTTTAATTCTGCTCACTCTTGAGCCCTCTATACAGTCCACTACATTCAACTCACCATGTAAGGTGCAGTGAATGGGTTTGTGATATTAGACACAGCCTATCACTTCTTAGTTTGCTGCTTCATTGTTAGGGTCACTTTGTGTCAGATTCATCATGTCATCTACAGTTATTGTCTGTTTGACAGAAGAGGGTGTGTGTCATGATGGAGTGTACAATGTAAGCTCTGTTTGCTTTGCACGGTTATTAAAAGGTGACGCCTCGCTCCGCCAGCCACACTCTTCAGTGAAGATTCAGGACCTTTATCCTGGTCAGGTGACATAAAATACCAGGATGCAGTCCAAACTATTTAGTCAAACCCAAACCTTGGCTTTTGTGTTTGCGGCTTGGCAGCAAGGAAGCCGAGTGCTGAATGGAGTTAAGGAGCGTTTATATGCAGGGGCTTCATTTGAACTGTTGTTGTTTAAAGTTTAATGGGAATCAGAGACACAGAGGGAAATGGGACTAGAATATTCAAAGTCCTTCTTGGTCAGATCTAGTTTTGCTGACTGATTTGGGTCATTTTTGTTGTGGAGGTTTTCCCTTTGGCAAGCCAGAGTCTGGATTATTGGGAATTCCTTTTTCTTTCCTTTTTTTTTCTCTGTAGATCAAAAGCAAGACAAAACTCATTCACTCATTGCTCTAGTTCATTTGTAATCAGGATACTTTACCGTCTTTTTTCTCAGGTTTAGAATTCAGCCGCTGTCGTAGTGGGATTGAGCATATCTAAGTAGCACAAGCTTTAAAATAGCAAAGATGAACAGAACATTGTGACCACGAGATTGACACATGTTGACATGGCAACAGCACTCCCTGGCCATGTCCAGCTCTCCTGCGCAAACCCATTTATGTAGGACTAGCAGTGTGTGGTGTAAGTGTGGAGAAAAGTCCTGTTGCAGAGCTCGATTAACAGCCTAAGCTTTAACGTCCTCCAGAAAGCCTCTGCTGATGCGATGTCGGATGATGAGACTTTTTCTGGTGTTTTACTGTCATAAGTACAGATAAAAGTTAGCCCACAGTCCTGCTTGACACTATCTTAAAACAGAGCTGTAAGTAGCAAGGGGGGGAGATGTCAAAAGATTATCACTTTGAAATAATCCACGCATCCACAGAAAAGACGATCAGTTTCCCTCCTTACTTCCAGTTTGGATCTAAATAATCCTAATCTCTTTCCTTCCAAATTTGAAATGTTTTATTTCCTTGTCTGTATTTTTTTTCTTCTTCATTTTTATCTCAACTCTTATGACAACTTATTTCTGGATTGGCCCCCTACTGAGCAGTCAGATAGGGCGGTTATATTCTCAAGACGTGATCCTGGGATTTGACCAGTCTGTTTCTTGATATTAGGGGAAATGCTCTCTTCCTCTCTCTCTCTGACAAAATAAAGTGCTGATACAGGAGTTTCTAAGTTCTTTTTCTAAGTTTTTAACAAGTGTGCTTTAAAGGTTCACACTGAGGCTCTGTATTTGTACTTTCTCATTTATTTTTATCATTTTTTTCTGATATTTCTATGTTGTATAAAAACACTTTTAAATCCATCCTTCTTACTTGTCTTCTCTCACCAGGTACGATTGGCTTCTTCGCCTGCTTCTGGTTTGTAAATAAGATCTACAGCGTGGTCAAGGTGGACTAGAGGACCAAGAGAGTCTGACTCCTTGCTGCCACAGTACTGGCCCACCTCGGAGCTGGCTGTGTGATAAAATGGTCCAAACGGACCTGAACTGAAACCATCACTTATCATAGAAAAGACCCGAAGAGCAGAGCCCGTCCTCTTTTGTGCTTTAAACTTATGTTGCTGTTTTCTTTTTAAAAATATATAAAATTGTGTTCACCGTCGAGCAGTAATATTTTGAGCGGCTCCTCAAAAAAATCAGTGTGGGTTCCAATGGTCTAGTTGTCATCGTGAGCAGTTTGTTTGGGTGGGTTTAACAAGAAAAGCTGAAATGTTTTATTTAAATTTTCTAAATACAGTCAAATGTTCTGTATTTTGCTTTTCTATTCCCTCATGGCTTAATGTTTTGTTTTTGGTTTCACGTACTGATGATGAAAAAGATGTGTGTACATATACTGTATAGATGAAAGTGCGCGAGAGAATGCTACTTAAAGATTGTCACCATAATGAATCCTTCTGTAGTTCTTGCTTTCTTTCTTTTTTGTACAGCGAACGTGGGGCGATTAACCCTTGAATATCAGTTCAGAGATTATGTAGTTTGTAGTTATGAAGTTCTAGAAAACACTGAGATTGCTATGATAATAGATCAATTGTTTTGTATATGATGGTTGGCTACATCAAAGCTAACAGGGTACCCATCTGTATCACAGAAAATACCACAGTCACAAGTGTGTTATACATGAAGAAGAATATTTTAGTGGCATGCCTGATTTGTTTGGCAACAGGAGAGACTTTCACCTTGTAGTGCCCATCAATAAATCATTTTAATACATGTGCTCTGTTGAGATTCACCCTTATAGATATTCATATGTGCTCTACTTGGATTTGAAGGCTAAACGTGACATTCTTCGCATTTATATGGCAGAAACAAAGTACACCCAGACATATTGTGGGTTCTAGGTTTGTTATTCTTAGATTTATCTTTGCAGGAATGGAACCACTCCACATTCCAAGGTGTGTACCTGTTGGTTTGCTGATCCTGCCTACTCAGAGAGGCAGTTTGTAGCCAAAGATCCACTCCTCAGAGCTCAGACTGGAGCAGAGACAAGAATACGGATGGGGTCAGATGCACAGCCCTGCTCTGTCGCTGTTCTTGTCGGTTGTCTTTTAATTACTACATTACAACTCTGCACGCTCCAGAACAAATGTCTGAATGATGTCAATGTCATCGTTCTCTAACTATACAGTGCAGTTTGAATCTGGCTCATAGTTGGAATATTTTAAAGAATAAATGTACTCAAGTGGATTGACGTATCCCAAACCCCTTCAACACCTGCCCCAGCCACTGAGTACAGAGGTGGACCAGCTAAAGTAATGGTCTGTTTTGGTCTGAGAGACTGCTGCTGAAGTGTGACATCTGCTGGACATCCACACTGAAAGCCACAAATTACAACAAGAACCAACGCCTGAATGTCATGTTCAAATAATGTATGACAACTACATAGAAATTATTGAGGGGTACTAAATAACTTATTGAATTCTGAGACTCACTGGTGCATCCTTTCTGGGAATCAAGATTACTAGGAAGTAGATTTCAGGAAAAGTCGTGCAGTCGTCTTTCCTGCTGTGATCAACAGAGTGTTTGAGGCTGAGCAGCTCAACAAATATCTGAGCAACATCACGGGAAACAACTTGAAGCTGCCTGTAAAATAGTCCACCAGTAAGTGTGAGTGTACTTTTTTTTTAAAAAGAGGCTTAATTTTTTTGTTGTTGACAATCATTATCACTGATATTTCACTCTTGTATTTTTGAATCTGCTTTAATATTCGCTTTCATTTCTATCACCAGTTTCTCAGCATTATTAATCAAAACAGACAGAAGAGCATTGTGAAGGTGTGTGGAGAAACAGCTGGCTCAACCCTGAATGGCTTTCTGTTCAAGGTAAGGGCTTAAAAAAGAAACCTCTCTGATCTGACCCATTTGCTTTTCACAGAGTCGCACCTGTCTGGTGGTAAATACATCCTCCCTGCCAACAGAAAATGTCACTTAGAAACTTTGAAGTCCCCACTGCTGTTGAATTTGTGTGTGTTGATTTTTATCTTTTTTAGTGCCTTTTATATTTTATTTATTGTTAGCCTGATTGATAACTACAAAACAATGTTTTACACTGTCACCTGGAAGGGAAAACAGAGACTAGTTTGCACCTTACAAATATCTTAAAAATCAGTTTTTCATTGTTCTTTTCATTATTATTTGAATACAACTAGTACAACTTGGCAAAAAAAAAACTCCTCTCTTATGTGTAAACTTTCTCTCATTTAATGTTTTTTTTTATTATTTTTGAACTGTAGGCAAGATTTTGCAAAAACAAATATAACTGAATAAAGTGGCATGTGCAGAGGAGCAAGGATTTTTGTGGTAGTAATAACAACTTTCAGATTTTTCAGATCTTTTTCCCCTTTTTCACAGTTTCATTAATGTTTTAAACAAACAGGGGTTCAATGAGCAATTTACATCAGAGCAGATCAGACAGCACCCATTTTTCCTGTCTCCAACTGTTTATAGAACAAGCTTTTGAAGGATTAAAATTTATTACAAATACGTAAAAATCCTTTAAGAACCTTTGGCTCTAGTTAATATATCTAAGTGGTTTTAATTTTTATTACATACCTCAAGTTAGCTCTCATTCAAAGGATTATTCTTTTAAACATTTTGATTTTCACAGTTTCTTTCTCCCACACTTTGCTCGATATAAAATAAAAGATCGGATTACTTCCTGTAGTTTAGTTTGATTATAGATCCTGCTTATCAAAACCTAGAGCAACAAGTCTGGGGTCACAAGGGCAAGGGAGAACCCTGACATGCTACATGGGGAACAAGCATTAAGTGTTAAGTCAAAGGTAAAACTTTACACTCTACAATTGATCCACTTTTACTAAACAACAGATATCTTTAATTTTTTTCTTAATGAAACCAGAAACAATACAAAAATCACAAAAAAATCACGTGTATAATTTCAAAGCACTTAAAAACATTATTTTCTCTGATTTGATGGTACATCTCTTAAACAGACTCATTCAAGTTTGATTGTCATTTATATCACTGTAGAATGGATATCTTAGGGAACCACTGAATAAACCAAGGCTAAAATAGATGCCAGTCTGGCAGGTTCTGTTAAGTGTTTCCCAGAAAATAACTCACAACCTGACGAGAGTATTAAAAATGATAACACTGGCAGCAATGCTGCAAAAACATGACAAAGTGAGGTCTACAAACACTTCAGGAATACTGCACACAATGTAGTGATGCACTTGACATCTTTTGGCAACACATCTACTCAATAAACCCAATGCCTTCCTCTGAGATGAGTCAATGCAAGCATACATCACTTACATAAGAACCCACCCTCGACATGGCTCTAAACAGACAGGTTGCTCTATTACTAATACTGTATTAGGAGAAATCTTTACAAATATACATGCACCCAGACACCTGTTACATAAGAGCTTGTGGCATGCAGCCTACAAAAAAAAAGTAAATTGAGTCACTGCAGCACAATTTTTGTTATACCACGCTCTCGATGCTCTTTATCTTTTCAATAGAAATGCTGTGCTTCATCAGAGGAAGGCTGACATCACAACTGCAGCGAATACCAAGTCCAAAATACACAGCAGCACATGAAAGATGCACCACGTATGGGGGTGAAATAAACTAAAGAGACCTGGAAAATGTGTTTGTTTGTGTGTTCTGCACCTTGCAAGTACAATATGTAACTTGTCTGAGTTAAAGGCCGTTACTTTGACAGAGACACAAATATACATTTCCACTCGTCCAAAAGGCAGAACAGTGATGGGCTCTACAAATTCATCCCCAAGCATACCCTGAGTTCATTAGTTGCAGGCAAACTAACACAAAGACACTAGTACATCCTGTGCCACAGATACTGAATCATAGTTTCAGTAGATAGTACAACCCCCAAAATTCAAAGGAGACAGAGTAGTTGTGCAGATACTACAGGTCTATACTTTATCAGGGCCCCTATGGCCTGAAATTGAAAAAAAAGGAATACCAGACACTTAACCTCACAGCAGACCTGAATGATGTAAATGTGCTGTGTATATTTACTTTAGCTCTAACCTCAAGTCCACATTAATATAAATGCCCACTGTATATAACAAGTGCTCCAAAATTAAAGGCATACATTTAAAGTAGTGACGAGTTTGCAGAGACAAAGCAGCTGCACACATACTGCATTTCTGACACAACTAAAAGCAGCATTAACATATCTCAAAATCTCATGTAAAAATGTGATCTAGTGAAAATACACCTAGGATATTATTATACATTCAAAATTTAACAACTAAAAGACCACATTTCCTTAAAAGAGATCATATGAGTTGATCTGATTTATTTCCTCAAACTCATGTTGAAATAGTACAGATGATGTTGGTGATATCCCAGTAAAAAAAAAATCCACATTTCCCATGGCAGAGAGCCTTGAATTAAAAACCCTGCTGCAAGAAGGCTATCATGACAAGATCTTCAAGTAAGAGAAAATGGGCACTATCAGATGAATCCTCAAGGTGGTCTAGGTGCTTTGTTTGCTGTGGACTGTGAGCTCCCTCTCAGAGCTGATGCTGGTAGAGATTGTCTCTTTGCGACTGTCTCTCGACTTCCTTTCGCAAGTGGGAGAGGAAGAGGTTGTGCACTCCTCCCAAGTTCGCAGAGGTAGCACTCGTGCAGTCAGGTTGGGCAGGTGAGAGTTGGCTCGTAAACGTCCCTCTGTTGTTGTGAAGCAGCTCTCCACAGCAGAACTCTGTCTGGGACGGCCCTGTTTGCAGAACAGCCCACAGAGCAAAGCCAGGAATTCTTTCCTCACGCTGCGATGCATGTAGCCGTAGATGTAGGGGTGGAGGCAGCATTGCAAGAAGAAGAGCACAAGGGCAAGGGAGGACAGCCAGGGGGGCACGGCTGCTCTGGCACTCATTGAAATGGTGTTCAGTATGCTGTAAGGCCCCATGCTGAGAATATATGACGCCATGATGACAAAAACTACCCGAGCTGCCTTGCAGTGGTAGTGGAATCGTCTATGTCTGCCTCGGACAGGGTACCCCCTGGCTGGGTAAGGTCCATCTGGTGAACTGGCTTGTTGCGGCTGGACTTGAGGCTGGGGTTGGGGTTGAGGCTGCCGCTGAGGACTGCTAGGAGTCTGGAAGTCCTGCGGGCAAGGCTGGGAGTAGGATTGTTTCTGTATGGGGTGTACAAGTGCATTTTGCCTCCGTGCCGCCCTGAACACCATCCAGTAACATCCAAGCATGATGAGCACTGGTAGCCAGAAGGAGAAGGTGGACACAACTGCAGAGTAGGACAGGCTGGAGGACCACACCACTGAGCACACTTTGTGGTGATGGTCAAAGTCGATGGCCCCCCAACCATAAAGGGGCGGTGTGCTCTGCAAGAAGCTGAACACCCAGGTGCAGATGATCAGGTTAGTGCCCAGGTGAGGGGTCATTCGGGTGGGATAGGACAGCGGGTGGATAATGGCTAGGTAGCGATCCACTGAAACGACAATGATGGTGTTGACTCCTGCAAATGCAAAAAGGTGCATGAGCACCACAAGGGCCTGGCACAATCGTGCATCCAGGGGCCACACGCCTGGCATGGTGGCTGCAATGGCAAAGGGCATGACTAACACAGTCTGAAGGAGGTCAGCCAGAAGGAGGTTAAGGACGAAGCGGTTGGCCACATGAAGAAGCTGCGGCTTCCTCTGGAACACCAGTAAGACCACGACGTTTCCAAACAGAGACACACACACAATGAGTGATATGAGCAACACCTTCACCACACTGTTCACAGTCGAGGACCAGGCTGGGTCTCGAATGGAGCTGGGGAAACCAGGCTCCCAGGGTATCTCAGTGAAATTTCTACCCATACCGTGTGCCTGAGAGCTTGTCATTGTTTGTCCGATAATGGTGCATGTGTGGTCTTACTTCCAGCAAAGGTGTTGACTTTATTCAGGTTAATCCAACAAAGGGAGAGAAAAGCAGCTTTTGTTCACTTAAGCTGCTATAGGTTTCTCAGTGGGATTCAGCTGCAAATTTCTCCATGAATCTTACATCATCCATAAATGCAGCCTCACCTAACACAGACCACCACTCACTGCACGTGAAAACAGCCCAGGAGACTCATCCAGGGGGGAACCTGTCACAACCAAGGTGACCATGACTGTTTCTTTATTCATCGTGACCAGTGATTAATCCCTTCATACATCGGTAGAGGCCTTATTATTCCCACAGCCCACATCTGCAGTGTGAAAAACGGAATTGGTCTGGCGACAGTGGCTGCCATCATTCAAGCCTTCATCATCACCATCATCACCATCGTCTTCGTCGAGTGACAATGTCCAGACGTCGGCAAACACTCCGAAATGCTAATCTGTAAACGACGTATAATACCTCGAAATGATCAGTGAAGCGATGTCTTTTTCTTGAGGTTGATGCTCCCTCTCCTCCCGTTCTCGCTTCCCGTCGTTTTCTCTCTCATTTCAGCCTCAGCCAGTCTCCAGTCAATGGCAGCAGCAGCAGCAGCAGCAGCAGCGAGCTTTCACGGCTCAGCTCACATACGCTGCGTGTCTTCACCCAGCGGGGGTCTCTCATCCAGACGAGCCTATCTCTCCTTCCCTGCTCTTTTCAGGATTTCATGGCAGACCAGACATTTATTAGTGTTTTATCAGCTTTGGGTCCTCGTCAACAGTTTTAGGCTACTTACGGTCGGGTCTTGTCTGCGAGGTGTCAGAAAAAATGAAAATCAGGGACACCTGCACTAAAATCTCCCCCCACTCGCTGGCGCTTGTCACCGACCCCCTCCCATCCGTTTCACCCCCCTTTTTGTTGTGAATGTGAGCTACACGATTCTGTTAGAGGTGTTTTATTGCTCACATGGTGGTATAAAATCATATTTAAGAATTAAGTCACCATACGGTTCTATTTTGAGCTTAGATGAATATTAGATATGATCATATCCCTTTAAATGAAGTGCTACCTGAGTGATAATCTCATGGGTTAAAATCTAATTCTTTAATAAATCTTCCTAATCTACCCTGTTGCTCCTTACAATAGTAAACATAACTGACCATGTAGTCATACAACCTACAGCATCCAAGCCAGTCCCACTCATCTCCTTGGTAACAACATGTGATTCAATCAGATGCCTCTTTATGGGATCTTCACATAATGGTGAGGCTTTCAGGGCAGAGAACAAAATAGATCTTCTGTCAGCCTACATTGCAGCAAACAGAGCAGCATGCTGGGTTAGGCGCAATGTTAGGTTACTAATAATGAGTGTTTAACATCCCAGGTGACCTATCAGTTTAGTGCTTCGATATATTTGTGAAGCTCAACACGTTGCAGCACAATAAAAGCAATGTATCAGAACCAATTTATGCATTTTCCAAAAAATATTCAAAAGGCTTTCAAACACGACAACAACGACAAAAATACGTTAAGATATTATTGGAAAAATAATCTTTCCTTAAGATCTGTTCGTACCTTTGTTTTGAGCCCTGGACAGGTGTGCTGGCTGGGATTTTCGGCCCCATAAATATCACATTGGATCACTTCACAGTTGTGAATATTTTGATATATTGAACCTCTGCTAATCATCTTAACCCTAGAACACTAACGCTGGGTGATTTTCATTATGTTGCGTTTGTCTGAGTATCATGGGTCCCTGGGTAGCTTCAGCACTGCCTTTGACATCTTTGAAGACATATTTGTTTACCTGTTCCCAAACCTGCTATTTCCTACAGGCATGTGTTCAGGTGGTAGAGGGTAAAGTAGGTTTGGGTGGATTTGATAGCTGCATGTAGGGAATAAGGTCAGTAAGAGTGGTCCTGGAATTTGCTTTCTTTCTTTATTTAGCGCAGTGGTTATGAATAACTATCATAAAGTAGTGATTTTCAAGGGAATTCATACGGTGATAAGAAATATTTTAGTCAGCTGTTCATTTTTACTCACTCAAAATATGCCATTTTTGGTTCTCTCTCCGGCAGCTGTTATTGCACCAAGAACCCTGAGTCTTCACCAGGGAAGACTCACATGCCCCAGGAATGGGTGGAAAAGAAACTAAGTTTAAAGTTTCTATGTATTTTTTTTTTTTTTGTTCATGAATGCCTAAATTTAGTTATTTTGTTGCATTTTTATATGGTCCCCTCATGGCACTTTTTTTCCTTTCTTTGGACATTGCGCAGTTACAAATAAAAGAAAACTACTTTAATTTGTCATTTATTGTCCTATTTTGATATATTTTGACGACAAGTACTTTTTCTTGGGTATACTATCTTGGGTAAAAATCACCTGGCGATTGTGATGGTGTTACTAATTTTAGTGATAATGTTCTAGGGTTAACCCACTTTCAGTGAGCTATAGGAGAGGAATGGAAGTGCAGGGTTGCTCTGCCTCCCTCAGAGGTACAGTAGCAGCAGAGGCAGAACTGGTATATGACAGTGGTGATGCGTGGCATCAGAGCCAGCGGGGCGCAACAGTCCAGTGTGTGTGCATGTCTGAGTGGATGCGGGGTTCCTTCAGTGTGTTGACAGACTTTGCCTCTAGTGCTCCGGTAAGACTGTAACCGGGTGTAAAAGCAAATTATATCACTCACTGGGACACCGATGTTATAATTCAGGGTGCAGTGTGTACTTACAAAGGCTTAGAGATGGTGGAGCTTTGTTCTAGTGCTTTATCACAATCGTGCACCACTGTGTGTTTGTAAAATAAATCTCATCTTGCTCTATTGTAACACTCAAATTTCTTCTTCATAAAAAGGTCATTGCAGTAGGAAATATGCAGCATGCAGTTTGTCACACATCCTTTGCCAGTGGTTTCAGAAAATTCCTGTGTAGAAAATTGTCAGTGAAAATGTTTTGCAACCAGCTAAGTTCTTCCCATACACAGCAGCTTTAATTTGCTGTGTGTTTTCAGTTTATTCACAGAGTTGGCCAATGAGTGGTTTGTGGGAAATGCTGTACATTGGGAAACATTAATCACAAAGTAGGCTGAAGCCAACTGAAAAAGGACATGGAGCAGGGAGAAATGAGGAGCAAGTACTCATAGTTTCAGAGTCGGGTCTGAAATTTCTTCTTCCTTCTATCCAAAGAAGAAAGGTTGTGAGATTGAACAGTGATTTTTAAAATATGTGACCACAAGACTGTAACAAAAAATCTGATCATAGAGGCCATTTTTAGCTCTGCCAATGTTTCCAGTCCAGAATCCTGTCACCCTGCTGTCTTTCTGTGACTGATTTCATTCAGCTCTTGCAGCTGTCCTCTTAATGAAACCACAGGATTTCAGCACTCTTTTCATTTTTTCACTACTCATGACCTTAAGTGACACACCGGCAATTCCACAGAACTGTTAGCTTATCAAATATTTATTTTAAACTTTTATTTGCTGTTAATCTTGGCCTATTTTCTGCCTGATCTGTGTCCAACCTGCTTTGCATACATATCCTTTACACAGCACTTAAATTAATGATTAATTCAGGAAACCAATTCGTTCAAACTTCGGTCTTCTTTAAATCTTTATTTACACAGAGACAAGGAAGAAGAAACTTCCTCTTTTTGTTATTATGAGTCCTTTAGGTGTCATTGATCAACCTCTGACAAGATGAAGCTGAAAACTAGATCCTGGTTCATTTGAAATGTACTAGACTTGGCTGATAAGGCTATAGTGTTTTAGATTACCAAGAACTTCTGGAGCCTCTAACAGAAACACCCTTTGAATGTGTTCACCGCTCATTTTTTTTAATCAAATAATTTAATTATCTTTCTAATTTATAAACTCACTACCGTTCTATTTGCTGTGAACTCACACATCACCGTTTCAGCCGTTGGAGCTCAAAAAGCCTTCATTAAGATGCACCGAAAACAAAAGCAGTACTACATCGTGCAATCCAATTAGTCTGTAGCTTACATGGCCTACTAATCAACGCACGTAATTAGTCATTTTATTTCAAGTCTTTGCTCTATCCCAGCTTTCAAAAAGCCCTTTGATGTGACTCTTGAGCACCCTGTGTTTTAGATTTAGATTGCAAATGAAAAGCTGGGGACTGCAAAGGGGTGGGAGATGTTCCCCTGTTCTTCTGTTGAATGGACTGTGTGGTTCAAAGGCAGAGCCACAGGCCTGCTGCCTCATGGGATTATTACACTGTTAATACAGTGAGAATGTGTGCAGTGACCTCAGGTGCCCATCTCTCTGTCTGCAGCTCTGTCTTGTATATTCTCTTTCACACACTGACACCATCAGGCTGACAAAATCAAATGCAGTAAAAGGTAAGGTAGGATGAGCTCTCCCGGCTCACACACAGAGTGCATTACCTGTTCTCCCTTTTTCTCTCTGTGCGTAGTTCTTTTTGTCTCTTTTTCATTTTTTTAATATGACTGAGGTTGTAAATATACAGATGCTATTTTCTACCTAAAAGCGATAATGCCTGAGAATATTCTTGAGAGTCTTGTATTGTCCGAGTCATCAAAGCGAGAATAATACAAGACACAATATACTTCCTCAGCAAATATGCTTTTTCAGTATAGCTTAAACATCCCACTCATACAGGCTCTTTTTTCTATCACAGAAAAGCAGAATTTTAGAAAAAAATCTGAATTTCTTGAAAGTCTTCACTCCAGCTATTGGCTTCAAGATTTGGCATCTACATCATAAGATTTTTAAATCAAACAGTTTTTTTCTTTAACCATATTTCATGAGTACTCAGAAACCAGAATCTATCAATGTTTCAACACAAAAGACAATGAGATTTGCTCAATTTTGCATCAGCCTATAGTTCTGTAAACCATCCTTAAATAGCTGAAAAAATCCAACAAGCTCAAAGACATTAAACCTTAATATGTTGTTCTGTGATATCTGATAAAAATGACTTCCTCTTGGAAACTGCCTTTTTATGATGAAAATCTCTCGAATAACTTTTCTGTCAGTGTACAGTCAAAGGCATATACAGCTGGAGTAAAGCTCTTTGTTGTTGTCATCCAAAAACAGGAAAAGTAGCTGTATCTCACCTTAGCCGTCTGACCAGTGCCAACAGCTAGACTTAACTACATGTGCATGTGAACCGCATAGCCAGGTGTCTTTTAAACTCACAAGATAGAGGAGTGCAAATAAGCGCTGAAGTCTAAATTGGTGGGCATACACTATCCCCACTAGCTAAAGAATGTCCAAACAACCATTTTCTATAGTACTCCAATGACTGCTGTGTAAATAGCTCATTAATTCTGGACGCTCTTTCCTTCTTTACAATCTTCAAATGTCAGCTACTCGCCCAAAGCTAAACAGCAGACAATTAATCCAATGCATGGGGATGTAGATATACTTGTATTGTGTAGTTTTTGGCCACAATGAAGCAGATTTTGCCTCTTGAAGATCTTGCTGTGCTCAAAAACAGCCAGAATCTCTTCACCTTCAGTTTGCTGTTTGTTCACCCTGGTGTCAGTGTCTCTGCAGGTCTTCTGCCCTCTGCTGGCCAAAACTAGTTTGATTGAGTCCCAGTGGTTTTATTTGAAGGATACAGCAGCTCTGAACAACATTGGCAGAAATTAGATGATATTGATTCAAAACAGACTCAGTGTTTATTTATACTTGTTACAGTGATCACTGCTACAAGCTGAGAAAAATATGCTGCTTCAGCCAATGACACCTCAAAAGTGTTATCAACTTAACTTAGAATTTCTTCTTTTAATTTATACCAGCAATGCAGCAATTGTTAAACCGTACAGTTAGAAATTAACCAAAGGTTCTGCAAGTGGATAAAAGCCATAAACATAGACATTTCCAGTCAATATGCACTGGAAAGCCACAAATGAATTTCCCCCTGTGGGATAAAAAAGTTGTCTTAACTGAACTGAACTGATAACCCATCTCTGGAGTTTATCACTGGAGCTACTGGAGATACAAAAACCTTAACTATTTCAATGTGTATTCTATATATAAATATAAGAGTAAAAATAGAAATGTTTGTAAAAATATTTCATTGGTCTGAGTATTTAAACTCAAATATGCTTTGAAAAACTTACTTGCACACAGCAGCATGATGGCAGTTCGTCTCTTTATAGAAACTTATAGAAAAACACATTTCTTCAGTGTCTTGTATCTAAAATGGAAATGTATAATCTCATAGGCTGGTCTGACATGTAGACTTTGTCTCTAACAGTATAAGTAGGTCTGCAGAGCTCATGCTGGAGGTTTTGAAAGTCAAGGTGCAGCTTTGTAAATCCACTATAGCCGTGAAACTAAAATCTGCTCTCCAAAAATTAAATTATTTGGAAACGCTAATGATAATTTTTCAACAAATTAAAAACTTATACTATTAGAGCAGGACCATTTATTGGGGAAATTATGGCTTCAAACTACTATTAATATTCATTTTAATGTGACAAATAGATGTCTGATTGTAGTGAGTCAGATCATTTGGTCTGTGGCGCATCTTTTTATGTCAAAATCAGATAAGGTCAACAAATTGTTTTGAATTTTTGAGCCATTTATGACTTAAAATGTTGATAAACATCATTGATATTAAGAATCAGAGAAAAATCCTGGTATTGATAAAGAAAAAAGTATTAAATTCAAG